TAACTCGAAGATTAAAGATTTTAATGGAATGTGTTTTTGAAAGATGATCCTGAGTTTGAGTTTAAAATTGTTTGAGCGCTCATTATTTTGGATTAATGTCCTATTTGAATAAATCATAGCATTTTGCCTTTGCTCACTCTTGAATTATTCTCAACCTTACCTTATATTCTTTTAATAATAAAGATCCATTTTTTCTACTTTTCACCAAATGAGCATTCCCTGAATGAACCAAAAAAATGCACTATGTCTGTCACTGATTTGAATGTTGACAAATAAATGAATGACATTTTTCATAAAAAGTATTCCATTCTTTTGAAAGAATTTCAAAATAAGATAAATGAAAAGAAGCATGAGAAAATGATTTAGAAAGGGACAAATAGAGTGACCCAATGATGAATTTAGTGATAAATTGATTCACACGACTTGTGAGTTATGACCAGATGAGAAGAATGACATAGATCAGCTGACAAAATTTACTTTGACACTATTACTACTAAGAAGCTAAGAAAGATTGGTGGCATATTGAGAACCTTATCACCACAATTAAAATTTCATGACATCAACTCTACATACATTACATTTGCATAAGGCATACACTTGCATTACTTTGTTATCACTCACTTGATCTTAGCTCAGTCCAAGTCATCTTTTATGACTCGTAACATCATTTTAGTCATCCAATTTTGACTCAAGTCAAATCATTTTTTGACCTATGGCATCATCCCGGTCAACCATCTTCGACCTTGACTCGATTTTGATCACTTTATCTTTTTTACTCTTTCAATATTTTACGAATCTAGAACCTTTACAAAACTTGAAATCCTACAAATCTTTCTTGTGAACCTAAAAATCATTGCGAACCTTGTATCTTTGAACCTTTGCAAAACTTGAAATCTTACAAATATTTTTTTCTTACGAATATAAAAATCTTTGTAAACTTGGAAATCTTACGAATCTTCTATTCTTGCGAATCTGAAAACCTTTACAGATCTTAAATCCTCACGATTTTGTTAAACTTAGAATATTATGATCTTTTCAACTTCTGTCCAAATTACGAATATTTGGATTTAAAGTGAAATCTTGAACTTTATTCGACCTATGGTTTCGTCTTGGTCATTTATTTTTGACCTTGACTCGGTTTTGGTCACTTTTATTTTGACTTGTAGTTTCATCCCAATCACTTAATTTTGGCTCAGTTCAAATCATTTCTTATGACTCGTGATTTCGTCCCGGTCATTTATTTTTAACCTCAACTTAGTCTTAGTCATTTTATTTTGACTTATGGTTTCATTTCGGTCACTTTATCTTGGCTCAGTCTAAATCATTTCTTATGACTCGTGGTTTCATCCCGGACATTTATTTTTTATCTCAACTTGGTTTTTGTCACTTTATTTTGACTCGTGGTTTCATCCCAGTTACCTAATCTTGACTCAGTCCAGATCATTTTATGATTCATGATTTCATTTCAGTCATTTATTTTTTACCTCAACTTGATCTTGGTCATTTCATTTTGAGTCGTGGTTTTATCCCAGTCACCTGATCTTGGCTCAGTCCAAATCATTTTATGATTTGTGGTTTCATCCCGATCATTTATTGTGACCTTGACTCGATCCTAGTCACTTCATTTTTTGACTCGTGATTTCATCTCGATCACCTGATCTTGGCTCAGTTCAGATCATTTTATGATTCATGGTTTTGTCTTGATCATTTATTTTGACTTCGACTCGATCTTAGTCACTTAATTTTCTGACTCATGTTTTCATCCTGATTATCTGATCTTGGTTCAGTTTAGATCATTTTATGATTCGTGGTTTTGTCCAAGTTATTCTCGACCTCGACTCGATCTTAGTCGCTTCATTTTTGACTCGTGGTTTCATCTCAATCACCTAATCTTGGCTTAGTCTAGATCATTTCTTATGACTCACGGTTTCATCCCAATCATTTATTCTCAATTTCGACTCAGTCCTGGTCGCTTCATCTCTAAATTTGTGGTTCAGTCTCGGTCAATTTTACTCACTAATTTGACTCTTGAGTTGGAACAAAGTGGGTGTCTAAGTCTTTGCACCATCTTTATCTGACAGAAATGTGCAAAGAATGGCAGTTGTAAACACCTCATTTTGTCCAAGAATATTTTTTCAAAATTAAGCTTCAACCGTAATTAAGCGATTTTTAGGATTTAATTCTAGAATCAATTGGCATTAAAAATGATGTGAAGAGATTGTCGAAATTTAATTCCATAATCAATTCACATTAAATTGATAGGGAGAGATTTTGAGATTTTATTTCAGAATAAATTCTCATTAAAACAAAAATTAAATAAAATCATAGATTTAAGGGAAATTGATTAAACATGAATTCTTATATAAATCTGTGATCAAAGCAAATGGGGGAAAAGGAAAAAATTATGTAAAAAATTTTAAGAGAAAAGAGAGAAATTTATTTAGCAACCAAGAGGTTTTAAGTTCAGGGTTAGGTTTATTTAGATATTCTAGAATTAGGATTTGGTGTTTTGAGTTTGAATTTCTATAGGGTTTTGCATTCTAGGGATTCATGGGTTTAGCTTTCTAGACAATTTGTTGGATTCCTAAAAATTCTTTGTCAGCTTTTGAGATTTATTCATCAATTTTTTAAAATCAGTTAAAGAGAAGACAGAAGAATAGACATTTTAGAAAGAGAGGCATACTGAAACATTTCTGAATAAAAGCCTGAAATGTGAGACATTTGGATTTGTGTGTTTTACCATGCACAACCCTACCTAATCACAGGTATTTTCTTTCCTTTTTCCAATCTATTTTCTGTTTTGATTCTATTTTTTCTTATTTTGTTTATTTTTATTTATTTTTATTATTTCTTATTTTAAATTGAAAAAAATACATTACTTATTATTATGATTTTTTTGTACTTATTTATGAAATAAATAAAAAAAAACCTTTTTCAAATAAGTTTAAAAGAATAAATAAAAAAATCTTTTTTTAAATAAAAATCCTTACAAAATAAATTCATTAATTCTACCAAATTATTAGAGAATTTTCATGGATTTAATTTTTAAAATGGAATCCACCAAACTATTGAAAAATTTCATAAATCAGTTTTCAAAAAATAATAAATAATAAATAATTTTTATCTTCTAAATTATTGAATGATTGCTTTCCAAATTAAGTCCTACTAAACTATTAGAAAACTTAATGAAATTTCCAAAAGTTTTCACAAATCTTTTTGTAATGAAATTGGGAGATTTGTCTTAAAGTAGGTCATACTAAACTATTGAAAAACTTTACTAATTTTTTGATATAAAGTAAACCAATAAATCCAACGACAAAGTCTCTTAAAAAAAGGACACTACTCTCTATGAATACTTCTGAGATGAAAAAATTATCTTAAATTGCTACCAAACTATTAGAACAATTTTAAAATTAATTTTAATATTAAATTATTTGGTAAAATATAAAAATGATCAAAGCTTAGATAATTTGAAATCAAACTGGGACCATCATTTGGATAAGGTATTATAAGGGTGCTACAACCTTTTTCATGTGTAATCGACTCCCGAACCTAACATTTGTTTTCACATATTAGAATATGTTTTAGGTGGCTAATCATACCTAAATAAAAAAGATTTGTGACGACTCATTTTCATCTATGTCTAGTGATAGGTTTACAAATCTATACGTTATGATAAACTTACAAAGTGTAGAATGTGCTTAATCATGTCTTAAGTTTTCTGGATCTTTCTCTTGTTGCTTTCTGTGAATTCTGATCTGACTCTGTGAATATTAGATCTAAGGTCGTTTGCTCTTGGCTTTCCTCGAGTGCTAGCATTGAGTAATCTTATTGTCCTCCTTCCGCTTATTTAATTTGCGTTATAATTTGAACCATACGTCTTCAGTTATATATGGGTCATTCTATCTAGGCAAGACGACATAGAAATTTAAAGGGAAAAAAAAAAAAAAAAACCAACGATTGAAATCAATAATTTAAATTGTTTGCAAAGTAGAAATAACGAACATAAGCCATAAGAAGCTATCTTTTCATGATCAATCGCTTGATCTACTTGCTCTGATTAGAGGCAATGCATCAATTAATGTCTCGACCTATATGATTTCATTTCAATCATTGTTTCGAACTTTATATGGAAGCTAGTGGTCTGGCAGAGCAAGGTCCAGTTCGGTAACTACATGCAACTGCTTGTGGGGCTGGAGAGATTTGCTTCAAACAACACCAGCCTCCTTGTATGGTTCAAGCCCCACACACCAGAGTCTCTTTCAGGTGCAAGATAATATTATGAACAATTTCTTCAAAACTTTTGTCCATAGAAGCCCCATAATTTTGTAGATTTGGCTAGATAAGAAAGCTATACGTACCGAAAGTGTAAAATATTGGCAAACAATTACTATCCTTTGATTGCAGTTGACAGTACATGTGAAAAATCCTCAAATGTATGCTGATATTTGATGATTGCTTGAAAACCAGTAGTAAAGTTGCTTATATAATTGACAGAGTTTGGTGCCTCGAAAACACGAGTGTATCAAAAGCCTTAGGCCTTAAAGCCTTTTGCTTTGATTGCTTGAAAAACAGTATATATACTACTCTACTTTTTTAACAGCTAGTCATGGTTCTAACTCACTTTTGCTTTGCTGTGAAGTATGAACTTGTTCTTAATATGTGGTTCGCTCATAATCATCAGTCTCGCAGATTCTATGGTTAGTGCTTCCGAAAGTGATCAACTTTTACATCTTTACGAAGGTGCTAAAGCTCACATTTTTTTCATCTTTCTTACTAGGAATTTTACTGCAAGCCTTGCAGTGAGATTCTTTTTTCTTTTTTATTTATGCTTTTTTAATTATCCTCTAACTTTTCTGTTTCCTCCAGGATCTTGCGCAAAGAGATCGATTCTTATTGAGAGATCTGGCATGAAGTTGTGAATAGTGAAAATGGGACTAGTTATATGCACTGGACTTGGACCTGACCCAAATTAAGCCTGTGCCTTAGAACTAGGTGGCTCAAATTTGGGCTGCACCTGGAACCTCAGAGCAAACTGGGCTGGCCTTTTCGAAATGTGTTTGAAGGGTTGTCTCATATATAGGCTTGGTGTAAGCTTGTTTAGCTATGAACGTTGATACGTTCTCTCTCTGTTGCACAGCCTCAAACTCAAAGGGCAACCTGGATTCTGCCTTCAATTCATTTGGTTTGGTTGGAAACCGGGTTTACGTTTTTAAAATTTTAATTTTAGACTTTCGATTTGGTTGGGAACAAACCGTAACTTCTTTTCTTTCTTTTTCTCCTCTTGCTAAAATTGTTACTTCAGACAACATTAATAATCTCGAAAGTCTTTAACATAATTGGCTTAATCTGCACCACCACCATTATCTTTTCTAACCCACTGTTTTACGAGTTTTCTAGAATTTTGTGCTCTCTGCCTCCTCATGCCCGAGTTCCAGTGCCTATTGGTGGCAGGCCTAGTCGAGGAACTACTAGAATTTGTTTCTGCGGTTGAAGCTGGATTAGTTTGTGGTTGCTCAGTTGTTTCCTTGGTTGATGCATGGTTAGACGATGTGACTGTATTCCGAGGATTTATGGCAGGCAAAACAACATGGTCGGACTTGTATCCAATCAACCCACTGTTTTCTTCCTGCAGTTTTAATATCGCCTCAAACTTCTTTCTTCTTATATTCTCAAAGTCCGAATGAAGAAGCTTCTCATCATCTTTAACTTGAGTTTTGTCCACACTCTGAAATCCAACCAGAAGGAGAAATATGATTCATCAACTTCAAAGGAAATTAAAATTGATTAGTGTAAATGGGGGAGAAACAGATAGTTATTAATGTTGGATATTCAACTGCCAAGTATGAATAATCAAGCACATGCACCAATTTACACAGGATTGGAGTATCATGGGCAACATGAGATATATGTGTGCTTTCACAAAATCTACAACAAAAAGATCAGATGACATACCAGTTGAGAAGAATGATTGCCAGCCAAGTCAAGCACGTGTTCAAGATCCTTGGCATGAAAAACCTTACGGCAAACTGGACAGCTCCCCATGCTTTCTTCCACTGCACCATTCATGTCTAAAAATACTAATTCAGCAAATCACAGAATATAATTAAAGCAAACAAAGGTTTTAGGATTGAACAAAAATTTTATATATCAAATGGTACCTTTAGCAATACATTTTCACTCAGTAAAATGTATCATAATTATCATTATTATACATTTTGCACCTCACCACCAATAAAACACAACTTAGTGCCCTATCATATATAACAAGTATTCACATTACCTTTTATCCCCAAATAAGATGAGAAAGAAAATATTTACAAATATTTACTATTTCTAACACATTGTTTGACACAAACTTATCTTAAATTCACATAGGAAAGCAAACCATTTCTGAAATTCATAATATCAAAACAAAATAATAGTAACCCCAAAAGATGACAGAAACTATCAAAAACAGATTATTTGAATTTCATCATGCCTGAAACCAGACTATCTTTTCTTGAGCTAACTATCATTCCTCAACTACTGTGGAGATAATTTCCTGTTTCATTTTAGTTTTAAGTATTTAGCCTCCTCTGCTCCATTGTTAGGCAAACAATCCAAACATAATGTATAGGTATAAGGTATACATAAATCTGCCTCTGAATGTTCGCAGTAAATTTCTTCAACAAAAAATTTGAATAACACTCAAAAGCATGCAGAAAATCTACTATGACAATTTTCTCTCCTCAATTATACATCAAAGATGGTTGCTAATTGGAATTGTAACTAAAATATACCTTGTTGACTTCCTGTGCTCCTTGAACGTACAGTTGCACTAGATAGATTCTTAGCATCATTCTTGTTCTCAATTTGAAGCCAATTCCACCATCTAATAATGCACTCTCTGTACACAAAAATAAATATATAAAACATAAATAAGGATGAAAATAAAACCAGGAACTCAAACCCAAACATAACGTTAGCAATGAGTAAAATTAATACAATAAGTAGGAAGTGTAACTCTACCTATGGAAACAATGAAAACAAGACATCAACTTCATAAAAGGCAACCTTTCAGTCTGGTCATCTTCTGACACCAAAGGATATAAACACAATGGACAATTGCCATAAGGGTGATTCATGGCAGAAAGCATCTCAACCGCTTCCTACAAATAAATTTGAATCAATTTTTTTGCAAGTAAGTAAAATTTAACAATCCAATAAACTATAAACACAGCCATTTAAAATGCCAAGTTCGATGAAATCACAATTTTTCATTTCATCTTTCTAGAAGTTCCTATAACTATTCTACAAAAGGCAAAAGTGCATAATCTAGTTAGACTTATAGCACTAGGAAACATGATACAAAGTATATCATCATGTCGCTAATTTACCTCATTCAAATTTCTCAGACATTTTGGAAAACAATATAAATGAAAACAGTAATACAAATCCACCTCACAATAATGCAGTTACCTCACAAAGTGCTACAAGCATAAAACAAGAGGGGAGCTCACAGGCTTTGTCTCTTATGTTACTTATAAGATGTGTTTGCCTTTGTTCATCAAGACCCTTTGAACCTATAAGATAAACAAGAGGAGGCTCCTTGGGATACTGCCACGAAAATAGAAAGTTAGTGGCAGAACAGAAAATCCAACAAAGAATACTTAAAATCAAATTTTCCCCAATATAATTAATCACATTTACGAATTACTCAGAACCTAATTCTAAGCCACCCGTAGCTCTCATCAACTTAATATGAGCTAGAAATTGAAAGAATTTAGAAGAAAAAATAGATTAAAAATAATAAAAAAGTTAAATATGCAAAAAAAAAAAAAAAGAATGCTATAAAAACACCTGGGAATTCGCTCGAATTCCAATAACTGCTTCCACAAACTGCCAGAAACAAAAGGGTTAAAAAGGTCAAATTAAATATATCTTAGAAGAAGAAGATTTATATTAAAATTTAGGTAGAGTTATCCAAGGTCTATCGGATTAATTTGACCCGTCCTATGTTTCAATAAATGGTGCCCAGATTTGTAAAAATAAATTTAAAATATATATATCAAGCAATGAAGAAATCAGAAAGTAAAACCCTAAGGTTAATAATCCTTGTCTAGTTATTCGTCGATTTGAACCTGTTGGGAAGAGACATCGGCGGTGCGAGGCTTGATGTGGAGGTGAAGGTACGGAGGATACGATTCGATCACCACGCAATCCTCTCCGTAAACCGATTGCACCGCCTCCACTTCCATCTTCACTTCCTCTTCTTCCGCCATCCTTTTTTTTTTTTTTTTTTTTACTACTTTTCGTGCTGTGTTTTGTTTATGTGGTTTACGTGATAAACTTTTATAGTCGACGAGGGAGAAAATTTAAAAGGGCTTGGCTTGCAGGCTCGGTTGATCGGTTCAATATGAATCGGTGCTACGTGGCATAACGAATTCACGCCACGTTGATGGATGGTCGTAAAGTAGTGTTCTATGCCCCTGTCAAAAAAATAAACACGACGCCGTTCTGGTTAGAAGATGACGATAAAAAACTGTAATATTGGAGCTTTGATTTAACTAATATTATATCATCCTTTGGTTAAATTAAAATTATATCAAAACTTACTAAAATTCTATTGTAAATAGTCAAAATTACATAAAAAATTTATTAAAATTATATCATTTTATTTACCAAAATAACACTAACAGTTATCATAATTGAATCAAAAATTTTCAAAATTGTATAAAAATTAATCAAAATTACATAAAAATGATCAAATTTATATCCAATTATACCAAAATTACATTCAAAATTATCAAAATTACATTAAAAGTTACCAAAAATATATTGAGTGTTACCAAAATTACATTAAATATTAACAACAATATATTAAAAATTATCAAAATTATATCAAAAGTTACCAAAAATTCATCAAAAGTTACCATTTATATAGAATGTTACAAAAAAATACATCAAAATTTACCATTTATATAAAATGTTACCAAAAATAAATCCAAAGTTACGGTTATTATATTAAATGTTATCAAAATTATATAAATGATTATTAAAATTATATCAAGTATTATTAAAATTATACTAAAAGTTAGCAAAGTTATATAAAAAATTATCAAAATTATATAAAATTTTCCAAAATCAAATAAAAACTTATCAAAAGTTTATCAAATATTATCAAAATTATACAAAAAATTACTAAAATTTATATCAAGGTTATCAAGTTTATGTAAGAGGCTACCAAAATTAAATTATAAATTATAAAATTGATATTAAAGATTTTTAAATATATGTCAAACTATATTATAATTCGTGCGTTGCACGAAATAATTTTATTAATTTAATATGAATATTATATATATTAATTTCTTTTCAAAATTATATTCAAATCTTTAAAACTAATAGCATATATACAAATTGTAGATATTAACTTGTCATTCAAAAATAAATTTTTTATAAACCACAAGAAAAAAATTATATTTTTTCTTTTGATATTTTTGTTTACAATAATATTTATACACCTATAACATTATATCAGATAAAAATAGATTATGCCTTTTCTTATAAAAATAAAATATATATTATTGAATGATAAATTAAATAATAAAAATATTAATATACTTTAACTTTAGTAATACTAACTAAATTATTATGCAAAATATGAAAAATTTTAGAAAATATGTGAAAAATAAAAAATAAATAAAAAAAATTATTTTTCATATGAATGAAACTATAATAATAATAAAAAAATATAGCTTAAAAAAAGTTATAAACAAATTACAATAGTAATAAAATATGTCTTGGAAAAAAGATACTAAAAAAAATTGATATATAACACATTACATTTGTAGTTGTAAATTTGTAAAAGAATTCTTTAGTGACAATTAAAATTAAATAGATTATTTTTAAATTAAAATTTAAATTTTAAAATGGATATAATACGTGATAAAGATAATACTAAATTTTTTGCATTTATTTGAAATATAAATTTGATAATTAGAGTTCAAATAAATATAATCGTTTTGATAATCTTATTATTTAAATATTTAAGATGAAAATTTTTTGAATTTTTAAAATTTTATAAAAAGTTATTTGAATTTTTAATATCTTACGTAAAATTTTTTAAAGATAATTTTTTAAATCAAAATAAAAAATATTGTTGAAAGATTTGAATAAATTTAATCTTTGTAATTTTTAAATATGTTTGAAATATTTTGATAATTAAATAAAATTTAAATAAAGTTATTTAGTAAACAACTAAAATTATTTATTAAAAAAATAAAATCTATATTTCATATTTTTAATTTTAAAAAACATATCTCTAAATTAATTTAATTTTCAATTATAATTTGAATAATTTTGATATTTAAATAAATTTAAAATAATCTAATTTATAATTAAAAAAAATTATATTTTTCTTTAAAAAAATTATCTTATATGTCATTTAAAAAAGTCGTCAACATAAACGTCAATATGACAAATTTATTTATGTACGTTATTATATAATATATTTATTAGACTTATTAGATGTGATTAAAAATATTTCAAAATTATCATAAATATATCAAAGATTACAAAGTACATTCAAAATTATATAAAAAATTACCGCTAAATCTTAACCTCATTCTCAATTACTAAATAATTTTAATTAAGTTGGTGTCATTCCATTGGAATTTTAGTAATGATATAAATGAGGAGCGGCATGGCCGACAAACGCGGAACCGAAAGCTGTAAAATAGCCGACCTCACACTCACAGTTCGATAAAGAGATCCGAAAGCCCAAAATATTATTTTGAGCTTAATTTATCCAACAAAGATACATTGGGCTTTGATCCAGATTTAAAAATGGTTTTATGGCGACCCGACGGAGGCCCATTTTAGTTGACTCAAGGACGACGTAGAAAGTGAATTGGGTTTAAACTGTATTGTAAGTCTCAGATTCAGACTGTCTTGCCTCGCGTAGCATTTCAACCTCTGGTTTTTTCCTTTATCGTTCTTCCTTGTCTCCTTCATCTTTTCTTCGCTGACTTTTTCGGCGAATCGGCTTGAGATCTTGGTGATCTATCGTCGGAAATTTCTTTTGGATTCTGGCAACCCTATCCTTCGATCCTTTTTTTGTCTTCAGGCTACAATGAACCCCGAATAGTAAGTTTTCTTTTTATTCGTATTTAATAGTATTATTTTTAATTTGTATGCTTTTTGTTCAGATTAAGCCCTTTATTTTATTTCTTTTTCCTTTTCTTTTCTTTTCTTAATTTGGTGACGTTAGTTTGTCGTTCTTGATTTGATGACGCTGGAAAACTACATAAATTAGCCATAATTGTGGTTGGTAAAAGTTAACCCTAGAATCATGAGGTTTTGTTTCAGATCTGTTGATGGAATTGAGATGGTTTTCTTGTTTCTATTATTGTCTTATTTACAACTGGGACTTCTTTTTGGAATTAAAAAAAAAGGTGCGAGGTTTGATGTGTTCTTTGTTATTCTTGTGTTGCCTTTATATTATCTACGTGAGACCAATTAAATGAATTTAGGTGGGAAACAGTCTCTTAATAATGTATCATATATGTATATGTATATGTATATGTATATGTATATATATAAAATAAGTTGTATCTTATTCTTTCGCAAAGGAACCTGATGCATGTTGTTAACACCTTGCTAAATCCATTACGTTTTTGTGATGAAGAATCGAATCTAACTTGAAAGGTGCCGTGGGGCTTTCTTGCTCTTATTTGAATGAAATTGAAATTCATTTTATATTCTACATCCTTGATGGACCTGCCAAAATTAATAATCAACTGACAATGGCTTGGAATTCAAAGGGTTAATCTTTGGGCAGTTAATTTGGTCTTCCATCATTTTAATGCTGACACGTTCAACTTTAGTTTTGGTTTCTGAAAATGTCTCTCTTTGGGTTTGGTGATTAGACTTCTTTTGTAGAAACCAACTTTATGTTAAGCATGGTAGAATCGGAGATGTTAGGTTCTTGCTTCATTGAAAACTATGTTAATATTATCTGGTTGCACTCTTTTGCAGCGACTATCTGTTCAAGCTTCTGCTTATTGGAGATTCTGGTGTTGGGAAATCTTGTCTTCTTTTGAGATTTGCTGTAAGTTTCTAGACTTTAAATTGGTATTTAAAAGTAAATGTCTTTATTTATTAGGGATCTATTTACCTTGTCGCACATTCCTAGATGTTTTTGTGATTACCTTGAATGTTTATATTCACGTTTGATATTGTACTAGTGATTGATTAAAAAGTTGCATTGCATATATACCCTGTATATTGAGAGAATTTATACTTCACATGGTTAAATATTTATATGATTTGGACGGAGGACAATTTTGGCATCAAAATCTTGTCACTATTTTTTGTTGTATATTGGAGATATCAAATATCTGGATATTTTCAGATGGTTATGCAGGACTAAATCTTGAACCTGATTATTATGTAATTTCTTTAATGCAGGATGATTCATACATAGAAAGTTACATAAGCACCATTGGGGTTGATTTTGTGAGTAACCAGTCCTTAGTGCTAACTTGACTTCTAAATGCCAAAATGTATTGCTATTATTCTAATTTCTTATCTTCTCGTTTTCTTTTTTGGTAGAAAATACGCACTGTGGAGCAGGATGGGAAGACAATTAAACTTCAAATTGTATGTTTTTGCATTCTATACTGCTTTTTTTTTTTCTTTTTCATTTAATTCATTTCTTTGAACCTAGGTTCTTCCAGGTAATATGCCTTCTAGGAGATTGAGCTGTCTGCTCATCTTATTCTTTGGCTGCTACCTTTTCCTTTTGTATATTTTAATTTGATTGATTTAGTCCTACTAAGTTGCTTATAAACCTTGACGCTTAGCATTCATGTCAGTTTAGCTTCTTGACAATGGACTAGTTAGTTTGCTCTTTGTTTCAATGTACAGTGGGACACTGCTGGGCAAGAACGGTTCAGGACAATCACCAGCAGCTACTACCGTGGGGCTCATGGCATAATAGTGAGTTATCTTTTCCTTTCTAGATTTTCTCCTTTCGGTTCTTCTTTTGTGGTTTTCACTCCTTATTTATTCTTTTCATGAACTTTTTTATATCTTTTCTTTTTTCTTTTAATGGTGGCTCCTCTAGTAGATTGTTTATGATGTGACAGACCAAGAAAGCTTCAATAATATCAAGCAATGGCTAAATGAAATTGATCGTTATGCTAGTGATAATGTCAACAAACTACTGGTTGGAAACAAGTGTGATCTTACAGCAAATAAAGTTGTGTCATATGAGACAGCCAAGGTATTTGCTAGTTTCATGTGTAAAGCATAAATTAGTTTCTTTTGAGGAAAACCTTTATAGCAGGTTTGTTTCTAGGAAGAGCTGTATGATTATCAAATTGCAATTGTTGCTCCATCCCTTTCTCCATGCTGCTGCTTTTGTTCTTTCAGGCATTTGCAGATGAAGTTGGCATACCTTTTATGGAAACCAGTGCAAAAGATTCCACAAACGTTGAACAGGCTTTCATGGCCATGGCTGCTTCCATCAAGGATAGGTACACATATTCTTTTCCTAAATCGTTTTAGTAGTATTAAATAATAAAACAATTATGCTAGAAAAGTCTGTGCCGTAATTAAAAAAGTCATTGCAGTTCTAGAAGTATGTACAGTTGAATGGCATGCTCTGGCTATTTAGGTTTGTTATTCAATCTTATACAAAAAGCTTTTAGATCAACAAGCTCGTTGCTATGAAATTTACCACAAAGTCTAGATTCCTATTGTTTATCAGTTACTTTTGTGTGTTTGCCTGCTCCATAAAATCGCTTCTGAATGCAGAATGGCAAGCCAACCAGCCACGATCAATGCTAAGCCTCCAACAGTGCAGATACGAGGACAGCCTGTTGCACAAAAGAGTGGATGCTGCTCTTCCTAAAAAGTCTATTTCTTCTCCGGCATGCTGCCTCTTGTGGCGTGTAAGATTACATGTTTCTTAACTCGTCAGTTCCAAACTTATTTCTCCTGGACCAAACCTGATCCGAGGTTCTCATTCATTTCTACACTTATTAAAGTGATGGCTTGTACAATGTATGATTGTCGATTAAATTCTAGTGTTCTTTCTTCATAGATGTGATACAGTCCATTGGCTACTCTTCATAGATGTGATAAAGCTCGGCTTTAATAGCACCGCCAACCGGCATAGTCGTCGATCTTGGTCTGGATTCCTCTGAAAAATCTGATTGATAGCAAGCACTGCGGCTAATCTTCTTAACCACCTTCACCTTTCCTCCGCCGAAGCTTTAGTGGTTGAGTTATAAAATAGTATAAAAATTAGCTTCCTGGCTTCTTTTTTTTTTTTTCCGACCAAACAGAAAAATTTTTGCTAATGTGAAGTCAGCTTTAATCCCACCGTCATTTTACCAATTAGTTAGGGTAACTCTCGCTACCAAGGAAAGTGATAAAAAATTACTACCTCATATCTACTATTTTGTAAAATAAAAAGAAAAAGTTTCTCAATTCAAGAAGCTTATATTGAGAAAGCAAAAAATAATAATAATAATAATAATAATTAAGGTCCTCCAATAGAATTTTTTAGTTTTATTTAACTTTTTTTTCAAACTCTTACATTTCAAATTAAAGACATTATTAAATTACAAATAATTATTTATTTGAAGTCTTTTGATAATTTATTGATAAAATATTAATTTATATTCAGGATTCAAATTACAATCATTTTAAATTTAAAAAAAATCTATATAAAGTATTTGAATATATCTCAAATTTTTTATTCCCCCTAAAATAGTCAAATGTGATGTGATAACTACGTACATAAATTTAGTTCAAGTGTCATAAGTTGAGATTTAAGCTTCGAATTCACGTGATTTTGGGATCCGGACATTTACCCTTTCGATGTCTCGAATTAGCCTAATCGTCACGGTTCACACTCTTGTGAGGTATTGTCCATTCTGGCCTTCCTAACCTCACGGTTTTGTCCTACAAAAGGTGCCTCACAAGGCGAAAGTGGTGTGAATTTTTTTATATACCAGTGACGCTCCTATTATGTTCGATGTGGGATTCAAGACTCTTCTTTAGGTCCGTGACATTCTCGCACCAACTCGTGACGCCTCGTCACGGAGGCTGGCCACTTTACCTACCTCCTTTGAGGTGCTTGACGTGAATCGAACGGTTTAGAGTTGGTTCTGATATCACTTGTCACGGGTCGAGACTTAAGCTAGAAACCCGCGCGGCTCGGACCCGGCATTCACCCTTCCGGCTCCCGAATCAACCTAACCGTCACGATTCACACCCTTGTGAGGTATTGTCCGCTCTGGTCCCCTGACCTCACGATTTTGTCCTACAAAAAGCGTCTCATAAGGTGAAGGTGGTGTAAATCTTTTTATACGTCAGTAACCCTCTTATTATGTTTGATGTGAGATTTAAGACTCTTCCTTAAATTTATGACACAAGCACGGAATACAAAACGACGTAGTTGAGATTCTGGTTGGCGGTCCAGTCGGCTGGATTAGTCTTGCAACATAATTCACGGCAGCGGAGCAGGGCAGAGAAACTAGGCAGAAAATTAAAGCATTTCTATTTCTATAGATTATAATAAGCAATTTTCTTTTGCCTTGCTCTGAACAAATCTGCTCTGCTTTGTTTACATTACTGTATTCAAGTTCAAACCAGTCCTTGACGCTTTCGGAGATGCCAATCTGTTGCTCTGCCCATTATTTACATTGCACGGAATTATATTTGGAACGTCATGAAATGAAAGTGAGGTCATCAATGGAGAGTCCTCCAAGTACTGTTTCGATCAACGTCACACGGTTCCAAGTTGTCAGAGAATCTAAAAAAACAAGTGGGACATAAATCCGGAGGCTTACGCATCTACCGTGTGCCCTTCATGACAGTTAAGTGATCTTCATCGTCACTTTTTGTTCCCGTAAAAAATGCATAAATATATATATGTATTAATGTATGTATATATATATATATATATTATATGCAATATAAATACGCATGTCCAGGCAGCAGGCTAGGCACTTTTAGGTACTGAAGCCTCCATGAACATATATGACAGACAGCAAGCTACAGAGTAAGATTACTTTTAAAGTACTGTTTCGAAGAACTTACAAACATATACGTGGATTTCATTACATGTTGTTTCATCGGTACATATCTTTTTGATTGAATAGAGCCCGGACAGATTTGGGTCATTTTTATCTTCATTTGGAAAAGTTTTTGTATTGTTTTTGTGCTGCCACCTTTCTGAATTGCATTGCTCTCTTGCATGGATCAACTAATTAATTGCAAGGTAAGTGCTTGAGTCATTTCAAACCATTAATCATAAACAATCGATTAAATATCCATATTGAGCAAGATGAGAGTAAATTTTCTAGTTCAATTAATTTCCATTCGAATTCTCATTTCTCACCCATTTTGGTCTATGTTTCTGGAGTTCTTTTATCATTTTAAAAAATGCATGATGCCAGCCCCTGCCGTTGCATTGATTTTCAAATGAATTCTATGATCCTTCTTTTTAATTTCTCAGCTTGCGGATTCCTATATAATATTGCTTGATTTATATTGTATTTACTGGATTCAAACTTGGACTCTTTCAAACATCCAAAATTATTGCTCTGATTTGGAGATAAACTAATATTGATACGAGTTTTTTTTTTTTTTTTGGGCTTTACAAAGCGTGTTTTGGGACAGTTAGAGGCAAGGTCATTTCCTACAAATTATCTACAAAGTAAATATCGACTGACAATTGGAAATTTTATTTGCCTCCTCTCGTAAGAAGAGAGTAAGAAACAATAGAAAAACTAGAGAAAGAAAAAAAGGGCATTTCGGCAATCAATTGAAAGTTATTTTTTTTATTCAAAATTTCAAATATATAAGCTTTATATATGTTGCATTTTCAGGAGAACTGAAGAAGCATGCTCAAATGCATGCCTTTGTAAATTTATAAAAATGTATGCAAAGTATTATTTTTAAAAAATTTGTATTAATTTATTTTTAGTTTATTGTAATTCATAATGCACGTATACCTTTTTTGTTCCGGTACTCCTATGAAATTTTACACAAGGGTATATTGTACAAAATAAAATTATAAAAATGATTTTTTCCTGTTCTTATTTATTTTTAAATTTTTTGAATGCTTAGATTTATTTCAGATAAAAAAGGGAGCATAAAAATCATGAAATTAAAAAAAATATTAATTTAGAGTTCTATAAAAAAGAATTAATAGTTAGTTCTTATATTTGGCAGATTAAAATTAATACTACAGGGTAAGAAGTATAAATGTAAAAAGATAATGTAAAACGTTTTTTTTTGGGCCAGGTAAAAAGGTTATAACTGAAAATTGAAAAAATGGTGGGGACATAGCAGCAAAACTTGGAAGGAAGCTAAGCATAATTACGCCTGAATTATATGACTTCATCATAGCCCCGTTTTTACGCGATTATTACGTGAATCTCCTCGTTTCGCTCTGTTAGAGACGTGGTTCATAGCACATGAGCGTCCGATACGTGGCGCTTAATGTTCCCACCTAGTCCAAACTTTCCAGCCTGGATGCTGACACTGGTAACATTAGAGTCCTTTTTCATTTCTAACGTGTAGGATCTCGTACCTCAAACAATGGTCCGAACAAACACAAATTACACGTGCCGTCTTCTTAAAATATGATGATTAATGGATCTATGAGAGACTATTCATCAATCAAATCAAAGTTGATTCGCAAAGCGCTACAATCTTGTTAGTGATCCTATCATAAACTTTCCCAAAGAAACAACCGTTGCATAGAAAAACCAGTATTTTCTTTAACTCGAGGGAGAGTGGCTGAAGTGTAGACGGAGAAAACATAGAGCTTAGCGGGACTTACAGAGGAAAATGGGATTGATTTTGAGCATTTGGAAATTTGAGCAAGTAATCTAAACCTTTTACCTCCAAAAATTTGGGAGATTTGATTCTAAATTCGGATTAATCTGATAATATGTCACAAAGGTTCAATTGTAGATGAGGAAATTCAATCTTTCCCCAATTGAGTTCTTTCCTAATTATAAGCATAATTGCGGGCGTTGTATTATGACCGTTTGCACTTCACATTATGCAATTATCTTCCTAGCACATCTGATTTGTTGTTCTCATAAAATCGATGATCATATTTTGATTTAAATTAGGAAATTTTAGAAAAAAAAAAAAGGAAAAATCGAATAAATTCATCGACGTAATTTTTTTTTAAGTGAAAAAAGGAAGGAAGAAATAGATTCAAGAAGTAAATAAACAAGCTAATTGAATTCCAACTACTGGGAGAAATAATTATGCTGAAATCTGAATGTGATGAAAATTGGAGTTTGAAGCATTAGGTTTTTGATTTTCTGATCAAGTTAGGAAGTGGCAATTGAGCTTCAAATTCCAAGTATATATTATTAAACCATGATTACTAGAAATGCTGTGAAATAAATCAAAATGGAAATAACATGATTTGATTTCCAAGATACTGAAAATGTTAAAAATATTAAGTTCCTTTGAAATTTGCACAGCTCTGTCAAGAACCCTGAAGGTTGAACTCCTGTTAGTACTAACCAAACATTTAGAATTCAAGAGGTAAACTAATACTCAACATTTAGAAATGTTCTTCTCTACTTTTCAGATGAATGACCAAATCTTTTAAAGTACCTTCTATGAGATAGTTGTTTGTTGATTGGAAACATTATACCAGAATAAAACACAGTAGACATGTTAATTCACTTGGATGGAAAATGTGTTGAGTAATGTTGGTTCGTTTGTGGTGGCTGAATCAAATATAAATGCAAACTCCAAGATACTTTTATTGCTTTAACACAAAGATTACAGCTGCCCATGTTGAGAGGGGTTAGGGGCACAGTACTTTCCTAGTTTATTATTATAGTATTATATTATATTCTCCTAGCCATATGCATAGAAATACCAGATGATATCCCTATATGGCATGTTTGATTAAGCTAGCATTTATAGCATATTACTTCAAGCAAGCATAATATATTATCAGAAATGCCGATGCATTTCCTTTCATGCAGTCTTCTTGATTGAATCGATGAATCTTCTGTCTGCAATGTTGTTGCATGAGATAAAATCAAGAAAGTCTCTGAAACTGAACTCTTTGTAGGAGACAGGGTGTTGCTCATCCACAAGCTCTGGTGCTGGTCCTATTTTCTTGTTTAAAGGTAGACTGTGAAGACTCGCTATGGAAAGCCGCTTATTCTCTGCGCTAAGAGTCACTTGATGAACAACACTCTTATAATGTCCATTGCTCATCACTTCTATTTCATCTCCCAATTGGACCATTAAGGCACCTTCAACAAGTGGAACTGAGAGCCAATTCTTCTTGTTGTCCCGTAGCTGTAGCCCTGGGCTACACTGGAGCAGGATAGTGTTCCATAATCCGAATGTGGTGGCATACCTAATGTAATGTCTGGTTCAGGACATGCTGGATAGCAATTAATGGCCATGAGTTGATTTCCTTCTTCAATTTCCTTTTGTAAGTTGCCAAAGTTTAACCCTAAAGTTTTTAAGATGGCTTCCATTAGTTGCTTTTGTAGCACTTGTACTGCCTTTGCATAGTTTCCCATTTTATCCCTGTGAATACAAAAATGAAAATTAGTTTAAAGTCAATGCAAACAATCTTTTGAACATGATTGGAAGTGGCTTAAAAAAAGAAAATCATGTGTAGTTCCTCGCCAAAAAGAAAAAAGACAAAAGGGAAACTATAATTGGTCTTATTTATTTCCTCTTTTGTTGTTTCTTCCTTCTAGAAGATGTAAAAGCACGCATTAGATCTGAGACCTAGAAAACACCAATTTTAGCAACATTTAAGACTTTAGCTATGAAGTCCCAATGAAAACTGCTCTTCTCTTGTGTTGTTTGCATTTTTGCCCTTAGGCTGTAAGGTAACTGCTTATATAAAATAATTTAGGAGCTCCAAAATAATGGTAATTTACTTACTTGTAACTTGGAGGATTTGAAGGCCATAGATGGATCCAGTCCGAAATAGGATGGGAGTAATGCTTGATTAAGTCTCTCCAAAAGTGAACTTTATCGCTTGCATGATTCAAACCGGTGCCATACCTTACAGGTTCATGCACATTATCTGACAACAGCGGCATTTTCTCCTCAAGAGACAAGTTGAAAAACTCTGTTGCAGCATCTAGGGCATCATTCATGACGGAAAGAGGGATGCCGTGGTTTATTACCTGAAAATACGTGAGTGCTTTTATGTGGATAAAATTATATAATCATGCATGCATGCATGTCTTGTTACTGTTTGTAATTTAAAATTGTGTTGAAGCTTTTTCAATGGGCAAGCATTCTGCCATATAGATGTTGCACTTTGATTCTCTGGTTTGTCAAGCACAATATAGAGTAGAAATGTGTATGCAAGATTTTGATTTATAGTCACACACACCCACACACATCTTTTATTGTTAGTCAGAATGCTAAACCTAGGATAAACACACTGAGATACACTCCACTTTTTGCTGAATGAAAATTCAGGATGTTACGGAAAACAAACAAGTCTCACTTGGGGTTGCGGTAATGTAGACTTGCGAACCATGAATAATACCTGAAAAAACCCAAGTTCCTTACATGCACTTTGTATCTTATCAAGTGTGAGAGACCTTTGAGAAGCATGGTGTAAGGAGGAAAGGTCTACAATGGGAAGGGTGGTAGTGAGGTCGAGAGTAGGGTTTGGTCGTTGTGATGGATAGCGTTGAGGCACATGAGGTACCCTCATCTTGGTAAGTGTCATTGCACTAGTAAACAAGCAGTCTCCCTCTCCTTCCATACTTAGGTTCTTTTGCTATTACTATATGGTGAATGATCAGACAGTGCCTGTTTATATGCTGGATCTAAGGTAAGTTTTCCTAAAGATCATGTCTATCTCATTAAGTTTCCTTGTACAGTTGCAATGTATATTTATAGAAATATGAAACGGTGATTTTTAAGTATTAAGGAGACTTTTGTTCGTTCATGTGCAGAAGGCAGGAGATAGCAATAGAAAATCCTCGAAATAACTTTAAGCATGGTGGTGTCAAAAGCCGAAGTGAACATGGGACAAACACAAAGCTGTGATGCTGAACCTGAATGGGTACCAAAAACAACGATGCTATACAGTTGGGGGTGACTCTCTTGCACACCAATATGGAGCTTGAAGTTATAATATATTACCATATTTTCAAAGGCAGACGTGAGGCTCCGATGGATATTCATGTGGCAAATAGTAGTACAAGACAAACTCTATCGATTAAAATAAATGTTTCTTTTAAACTTATGCTTGTAAGACATCCTGATGATGTGGTTAACATTGAATTTGTATCATTTTATGTTGCTGCGTTCACCTTGTTTGAAAATGGAGCTGAAAGTCGGTCGTCTAAGAAGATCAATTTTGTTTGTATAAACGAAGCAGTCGCAATATCCTAAATTGGACTTGGTAGAACCATAATTTTCAGTTGAAACGAGGCTTTCTTGGTTCCTGTTGGGTCAAAGCCTGAAATTTCCCTGTCGTCCAATTGTCCTTTCTTTCTCTGCGGGCTTATCATTTGCTTCATTTCGAGCCAGGCGGTGGATGACAGTATGGAGGAACCAACTCGTTGCCCATAGCTAGCGTCTAGGCAGGATATGATCTATAATTGTTGGATGCATTTAAATCAAGTGGAGTCTAGATTGATAAATGAGATATTATAATTAAACTAATAATTACATATCATATCAAGTACAAATATTTGAGATTAAAAATGATGAGATGAATATTTTTCAAAAAAATTATTACCATCATATTGTTTTAATGAGAAATAATCAACTATCATATATATATATATATTTATGCATGTATTTAATGAGTTAATTGACTATTCAGCAAAGCTTCGAGAAGAACAAAATATTTGAGCTTGCAATTAAAACTTACTATCTTTAGTCGAAGTTGAACCCTGTCACTTAATGATGAAGTGAGTTTCCAAATCATATTATATATTCAACCTTCCTTACATGTAACATAGTAATAAAAGTAGTCATCACCAAACACATAAATATCATTACGTGTACAGCTCAAATCCTAATTCCTCACGCAAAAGAGTTGAAGAATTTGGCTCTGAAAGAGTATATATAGAAGCTATTGGTTTAGCATTATCTATCCCGAATCGGTTTCTATTAAGTTTGGCCCCAACGTTGACCCTTGAATTGAGGAAGCTTCCCTAAAGTCGCCTGAGGAGGTTGTTTTTTTCGTTTTATTTGCCGTCCACTACCTCAAATTATTGGAAATTTGAATTTTTATTACTAAAATTAAAATTTTAACATTCCGGCTGATTCTTGTAAATAAAAATTAAAATATAAAATGTTATACCGACCCCAACAGCTCCTTATACAGCCATTCATCTTCAAAGTACGTGATTATCATATGCTATGCATAACTAATACTCCAAATCTTTAATAATTTGGAAGAGAGATGTTGGGTTCATGGGAACTAATCTCCCATATCATATAGAGATATTAGGAAGCAATGATGAATAAATAATATATATGTTTAAAATGAAATACATCATGGGGAAATCGTTATTCATTGAAAAAGTTTCGATATATTTTCTTCAGCTTATGCTTCAACTTCTTTCTTCTGAGTTGTTCCTATTTGAGTTGATTGGCTTTTAATTAGGTTGGTGATGTAATGGCCATCGGGGTTAGGTATGATGAAAATGTAGTTTAAGACAGAAGTCGTCGGATAAACAATAAATCAGTTAAACCTGTATCACATAGACAAACTTAATTCTTCAACTGTTTAATTGAGGCGAGGTGATTTAGTCTACTTTAATCAAATATATATACATATATATAATATATGTCACATATAACCAGAGATTTTAGACTGAATTTGTGTTTAGAACGAATCGTTTGTCTCTAGCAAAGGGGCATGCCATGGTTTAAGATCTATTAGACAATGATGGAATTGAAAGAAAAAACAGCCATTGATCCAATAATCTGAGTAAATTGTTAATAACTTTCACCCCATTAATTTGTAAAAGTGAGAGATCAAAGTTTCACAGCCAAATCTATCAATAATACCATGTGCATTTTGATTGAAGTCATAAGAGAAAAAGCAGCAATTTACTATATATTTTCAAATTGATTTGGTGAAGGACCCCATAGAAGAATATTAAGCTAACAATTATTTTGATTTCAATGAATCTCGGTTTTAGCAAAAAAAGATCATCTACCTCTTAAAAAAGTGAATTTTTGCAAGATTAAATTTGATCCATAACAGTTTATTTTTTTTCCCCTACTCGAGTTTTGGTCTCTATGTATAAAAAAATTTATTATGGCTTTAGTTAGAATAAAGCAGGAAGTGTTTGACTTTGCTTCTATAAATTATTGTCCAAAATTTTCGCAAGTTAACTTCATCCTTCTATATAACAATATAACGTGCTAAGAGCTCCCTTGCCGTCCTCGTTTACCTTCTCTAAATTAGGCTTTAAACATGGCTTTAGCGGCTGCACTCCTCGTTCTTCTGCTGGCGACTCCGGCAGTTTATGCCGTGCAATACACCGTAGGAGACAGCAGTGGGTGGTCCACCTCCGGAGATTACACGACTTGGGTTCAAGGAAAAACATTCAACGTAGGCGACACACTTTGTAAGTTGCTTACCAAAGTCAGTTACATGTTTCAACGCGAGCAATTGAATTTAGTTGGACTAACCAAAAATATGATCCTTTTATTTCTCAACAGTGTTCACCTACGATAGCAGCAGCCACCGGGTGGAAGAAGTGACCAAAAGTGACTATGATAATTGCAACAGCGGAAATTCTCTCAAAACCTACAGCGGTGGAAACACAGTCATCACTCTGTCCAGTACAGGGCCAATGTATTTCATATGCCCCACAACAGGACATTGTGCTTTAGGCATGAAGCTAGCCATCAATGTTGTAGCAGCCAGTGGCAACACGCCCTCCACCCCATCTCCATCTGGTTCAACTACTCCTTCATCAGGGACAACACCAAGTGGCTCCACGCCGCCATCGCATGGCGGAGCACCTAGCATCACGAATAACGGTTTGATGTTAGGCTTTTCGCTCGTGTTGGGGGCCGTCCTTGCAATTATGAGCTAGGGGAGAGGCAGTGCTATCTGTGTGATTTGTTTTCATCATTATATGTGTGATTTTTTTTCCCTTTATGAACCAGAGATGTTGATTTATGTTTATTTTATCTACTAAATAATTTACCTTAATTTATGATAAACAGATGTTTTTTCCTTGTATTTTTCCTTTTGATCAGAACAATGAAAAAGACCAAAAAAAAAAGATCCCGATGCAATCAATTTAAACTCTCATATATAAAAGGTTCCAACATTTTTTTTCCAAAAAAAAAAAAAAAGAATACAAATGCATTAAAATATGGTTCAATTAGCAGCAAATTGCAAAGTAAGTTGACTAGAAATTAATATAAATTTAACTCACAAAATTAATTTAATTTGAAGATAATAGGAGCTATATAATAATAGATTATTAATTGAGTCTACAAAGTCAAAGCTAAAGTCAGTCAGATTTCAGTTAAAGCATGAGAGATTTTTTTGTAGCAGAAAGGAAAATAATTACTGTACAAGTTAGTTTAGGTTTAGATCTAGGTTTACGTTGGTAAGACATCATTATCAGCATTAAGTAACATTAGTAATTTTTAATCAATCTTAAATCACCTAAAACTCCAAGTGATTACTACTAAATAGTAAATACCCAACAAAAAAAAATAATAAAATATGATGTTGACACGATTTACACTTTTAAAATATTTGATCAGATAATTTATATATTCATATCATATAAAATATTAAAATTTATGTATTTATATTATATTTTATATAAAAATTATGTATTATAATTTATATTAATATTAAAAATAAAATATATTTTTTATTTTATTAAATTTATATATAATAATTATTAAAATTTTAAATTATTTAATTTTTATATCTTTTATTTATATTATATTCGTGGCTTTTAAGTTGTCAACTTGATTTCAAATGAGTGAAGGCTAGACGATGACAAAACCGATCAAACCGAACCAAAGATTGAAGGCCCAAGAGCTGTCTTTTGTGTGGGCCAGTTGAGTTGACAATACCCAAAAAGATAAAACTGACCCATCGACAGATCCAGAAAAATCCCTTCGAAAGGAGTCGTGTTCTTTGCTTACTGTGTATTCAAGGATCTCCAGAGCAAAAGAGAGGGAAAACAATGGCGGCCGAAGAGGACGGTGGAGAGTTTTACCTCCGTTACTACGTGGGGCATAAAGGGAAATTCGGGCACGAGTTTTTGGAGTTCGAGTTCAGGCCAGATGGGAAGCTCCGATATGCTAACAACTCCAACTACAAAAACGACACCATGATCCGTAAAGAGGTCTTCCTCACCCCTGCCGTTCTCAAGGAGTGCCGCCGCATCATTTCTGAGAGCGAGGTTCTCTTTCTTTTTTAACCCTTTCCTTTGCCTTAATCTTTTGCAATTTCTTTTTCTGGAATTCAAGTTTGCCTAGGGTTTTACAAAAACATTAGGGAAATTAGTCATCTTATTTGTAGTGGGAAGTTAGATTTTTTATTCTTTTGTCAAATTTTTTTTAAAAGGAGTTAGGGTTTGCTGTGTATCCAATTTTCATTGATGTCAATTTTTTTAATTTTCTGTTTTTACCACTTTTAGCTTTTCAAATTGCTTCCTTTTTCCAGCTAGGTTCTGGGTTTTACTACTGTTTGGTAGCTTATTCTTTGATTAGTTAAAAGATTTAGTTTTTAGTTGATAATTGATTATTTCTATGATTTGTGGTAATTTCTGGTTCTTGTAATGCTCAGTTGGGTTTATATTTGCAAATTTAATCGTTTTATCATATGGTTTCTGATATAGTTAAAATCTGGTGGTTTTGTGTAGATCATGAAGGAAGATGATAACAACTGGCCAGAGCCTGACCGTGTTGGACGGCAGGAGCTTGAGATTGTGATGGGGAATGAGCATATCTCTTTCACTACTTCAAAGATTGGGTCACTTGTCGATGTTCAGAGCAGTAAGGATCCTGAAGGGCTTCGCATATTTTATTATCTGGTTCAGGTCAGTTAATGTACATCGTCAATATGCTATTTTATTGCCTTCATCCATGTCCTGAGCCCCTTTTGGCTTTTGTTATGTATCATTGAGCATGGGGGTATTGTTTTAGTTTCCAGTTTCTACTTTTCTTGTTTATTGCATCGCATGTTGTCTGTGATGGAAACAAAGATGATTTTGTTTTCAGTGATGGATTCTCCTTGACTGATTGTTAATTTTTTTTCTGCTTTGGTACTTTATTTTTTTCATGTTTGCTTTTAAATGGCAATGCTGAAATACAAGACTAGCGCTTAATGTCTATCTGAAAAGAATTACTAAATCAGTTAGGACTTAGGATCTATAATGCATCAAACATAAGGGTGGTGCATTTGATGTAGATTAAAGAACATTAGATGCCTCGTTATGCTTGGAATCTGACCAGAATTCTTCCAAGAGGTGGAAGAGCTTTATAAATGTTATCTTCAGTAGTTTATTTGATTCCTTGTGCTCATGCATACACTGATACACAGATGTTGGTTCTTAATACGTGTAATAGCTGTTGTCGTGCTAACATTTAACTGGCTAAAGATTATTGAATCTACTGCTTTCTACTTATCTATCTCTATTCTCTGGTCTTATTGGCATTTTATGTTGCTGCAGGACTTGAAGTGCTTTGTGTTCTCTCTCATCTCGCTCCACTTCAAGATCAAGCCTATTTGAAGAATGATTATGCTTTGCCATACCAGGGTGTCACGAAGGGTGTTTCTGCTTTTGATATAGCCGCCATTTCTTTTTCTTTCTTTTATTTTTCCCTTTTTAACTTGTTAAAAAGTGTATGGTTGTATGAGTGATTACAGTGATTTTGGAACTTTGGGCGAATTGCATCAGTCTCTCATGAAAGCTTTTTATTGTGCACTTGTTTCCATTAAGTACTCCATGTTAAAGCCATTTTCAGCATCGACTATTTAGTGAACAGGTTGCTTTGCTTTGACGCTTAAATTCATTCTTCCATGAAAATGGACAGGTCAGTGATGAAAAGTCTGTACCTGATCAAGTGAACAGCTTGAACCTTTGAAACGGAATCATATCTGATACTTGATGGACTTTGATGATGATGGCTTGAAACCAATAAGTACAGCTACAGCTTATGCTAGCTTAGTCCTTTTAGTTTCAACATCTGCTTTACATCCTAATTTCTGTCCTTTTAATGGCTTCTCTGTCGACTGTCAATTGGCTTGCCAATGTATCCTTTTCCTTGGATTCCATGGCAAGCGCCAGCGCAACATGGAAAGTGTTTCGATGAGTTTTACATGAAATTGCCTTTAGCCTGATATTTAGTAAGTGTCTTTCCTCTAATTGTACATATAAATAAGAGGCCCGGTTAATTGCATTATGTAATTTTTCTTCAATTTTGGTCTTTTTACAATAAACCAATAGATGTGATACTCTCAAAGAGGACTATATATGTTCGACGGAAAAATCAACAGAATAAATTCAAAGAACACGTGTCAACAAATTATACGTCACTGTATCCGAATCCCAAGAATGGTATATTGAAATGACAATTGTTATTTGATAATTAACAAGGTCTGTGGCCGATGGATTCATAAATCGGGAATTCTCTTGAAACTAGGGTTGGGGCCGTGTATATATATATATATATAGACCTTAAGCTCAAAGCTGAAACAGAAGGACAAGAGGCGACAAAAAGAAATAGAAGATGGAGCAAACTTTCATCATGATCAAACCTGATGGGGTCCAGAGAGGCCTGGTATTGCTTCTACTTCACTTCTGATTTTTTTTTTCATTCTTTCTACATTTTCCTGATTGTTTTATTCGCATTAACTGGTAGATTAGAAAATAAAAAACTCGGAGTTGTTTCACTTTTTTACAGACAAGAACTCATTTTCAGTTTTCAGTTGCCTTATTTACGTTCTTAGATCTAATGTCTTCAGCCTGGTAAAATATTGTGATAGCAAATAAACTAACAGGCGTTTTACCTTTTTACTTAGCTTCATAGACAAATTATTATACAAGTCTTGATTTTAGTTTCAGTCTTTTGCATGCTAAGGCGATAAAATCGAAGACCCTTAGTAATGAATTTTTAAAAATCTTTATTTGGAGCCTATGAAAGGTTCTCTTTTTTTCTTATGGAGCACCTTATTTGTTCGATTGTCTGTTAAAAATGACAAACTTTTGGTGTTTACGGAGATTCTCATGTCTTTTCAGGTTGGTGAAATCATTAGCAGATTTGAGAAGAAAGGCTTCCATTTGAAAGGTAAATCTATCATTTCGCTGATAATTTTCTCTGCTTTTACCATGTCACTATATTCCTGAGTGTTGGTTTCTGATTATTTTTTGGAATTTGATTAACGTTCTTGAGTACCTCAAGGATGATTGATTGTTCTCAATACTTCAGTAAATACTTGAATTGGACAGACGAAATGGATGGTGGTTTTCTAAATCTATTTAAATTGTGAATACTATTCAATTTTAAGGGGAATACTACTTATCTGACATTGGGTGTGTCTAATTTAGGGCTGAAACTCATCAATGTGGAACGATCTTTTGCTGAGAAGCACTACGCAGACCTGTCTGCAAAGCCTTTCTTTAATGGACTTGTAGAGTACATTATCTCTGGTCCAGTTGTGGCTATGATTTGGGAGGGTAAGAATGTTGTTACCACTGGTCGCAAGATTATTGGAGCCACAAACCCTGCTGACTCGGCCCCCGGAACAATCCGAGGTGACTTTGCAATTGACATTGGCAGGTATAGTTAGTGTCCTTGCTTTACTTTGAATTATTAGAATGCTTGCCTTCTTGAGTTTAGTTGTATAGTCTTTACCATTTTATTTTTGACACTTGAGCAGACACCATTTCATAGAAATATGTGTTGATTTGGGTTGCTTTTTGCAGGAATGTGATTCATGGAAGTGATTCAGTTGAGAGTGCAAGGAAGGAAATTGCCTTGTGGTTCCCTGAATGCCCTGTTAACTGGCTGAGTAGCCTTCGGCCCTGGATCTATGAGTAGATTTTTTGGTCTAAGCTATTACCCATCATGGCATCATCCCATTCCCATTTCACCGTTTGCTTCTTGTTTGTGAACTTTTTATCAAGTTTTAACTTAGTAGTTATGGTCTGATGATCGCCTTCTTGCCTATGGTACCGTTTAAGATGTTTGTCTGTTGCCGGTATTTTTATTCACTTGTGGTAGTATGTTATTATTGTGAGTAAAGGGCTGAAACTTTTGAGCATCTGGGAATCGGCTTGTAACGGTGGAATTTCAATTGGTGACGCTCTGATGTCTGAATACTGTGGATTGTGTATGCTCTTGAAGCTTCCATTAGCGTGTGGCTGTTCACCTCAATATTTATGCTACATTTTTGCACCATAAAAGGACGGGCTAATTAATTCATCTACCAGAAACTCCAGGGTTAAGCTGCATAAATGTTGTGGTGAATTGTCGCAAGAACTGTTTGGGCAAGGTAATAGTAGTGGGCCAGTGGTAGAATAATCAATCAATCTGTTTTTGGTTGGCCCATTTACTTTGTCTTAGAATGCTTTGAATGGCTATCCTTTCAATGGTTTCCCGGGCTTGACTTTGCAAAAGCAGGCAGGCAGCCGAATACAGAATTTCTATGGGAATCATAAGGTTTAATTTTGAAGGAACGTATTGGTGGAATGGAAGCCAATCAAGGACTTTGTGCCAGAAGGATACCTGGCAAGCGCGCTAAATAATTGATTGACACTGATATCAACCTAACAAACTCGACTCGATACTTCTCTCAATCCTTTCCTAGAAATTCAAATGGGAACGCAAGAACCACTTGTTTGAAAAAAGCACATGTACATTTATCTAGTCTAGACGTGTTCAATTGATAGCACTCATCTTGGCTCGTCATGACAAAAATACTTGTTAAGTCTTTCAACCGCTAACATTATCGTGTAAGAAGACTGTATGAGGGCAGATCCTCCAGCCTTGTTATATCTTCGAGTAGTAGTTCCCTCTCCAGTTGACGACGGGTGGCTTTCATCACTGTCTGTAAAACCAGATAACAGAGAATGAACGACCCAACAAAACGCAGTAGTAATAAAAGGATAACTCGGTATAAAACTTGCGGCTTTTTTCTTTTTTCTTTTTTATCATCCTATTATCCATATCCAAAAAGAACTTTCTGGTTGAAGAATACACACATTGAAGTCCATGTAAGATGCACGCATGGCAAGCCACTGATGGTCCATTAGCTTGAATGTGATGCAATATAGAAGGTCAAACGCTGATTCATTTTCTATCAAAGGCAAAAGAGCACAAACAAGAAGAGTTTAATTGAAGACGATGAAATGACTCGAAAAGAAATAATAGTACTAGTGAATAAACTTCCATGAAAATATTCTATACAACAGAAGTTCAAAAACTAAGAATAAACTGGCATTACCTGATAGGAACTTTAGGAAAATTGCTCCAACAATTGTCCTTGGTTTGACTGTAGAATTGAAACACACTGTTAACTGATGAAAAGTATCAAATAGCAATCTTAATGTGAATTCTTCGGAAAGAGAATGAAAATGTCTTAAATTGATCCATATCCAAACATGAATAGAAGGACTCGAATTCACTGCTCAGCAGACAAAATTATACCAGTGAAAACAATCATCCAATAGAAACAAAAATCAGTTATCTGAAAACAAAGAATCTAAATACTCTGGAGATCCACCCTTCAGAAAGAGTATTGCTATAGGTGCCAGCAAAGAATTCTAGCAAATCACATCTATTTTCAAGGATACATACCTGCTTCAAGATCAAGCATCTGAATGAGCATGAATGTGATGTTCACACCAGCCACAGCAAACGGATATTCCCACATAGACCGATCGCCTTCCTGTTTCCAAAGGAGACCCCGGAAGGATTTCTGCATTTAAGAAACACGTTAGCATTGGATGAACAAAGAAAGATCAAAAGATAAAAGTTTAAAATTAGTTAGTGAAACAGCATAGTAAGATTTTAAAGTAAAGAAAATGTAAATGAAATACCTTCCCAGAAATCATGGTGGCTAATAGTTAACGATCATGTTGAAATAGCTGATTTTGTTATTGAATTACTTAAGTTCAAGTAACTCCCCCCCTCCCCCCTTTTTTTACCTCCACCTTTGCATTTACATCTATATCGTATAGCTTAAGTTCAAGTAATTCCTCCCCCCCTTTTTTTACCTTCACCTTTGCATTTACATCTATAGTTCTTCTAACTTTATTCATTGCATGCATCATAGCAATTCAATTCCTATTACACTTTTAGTTTTCCTATTTCCAAACATCATAGCTGAGACAAACCAAACAAAATGAGCAAGCCAAATACCGGAGAAAACTAAGGAAAGCAAGCAACAGAAGATAAGTAAAAGCACATACTGGAAAATTTCTAGCAAAGAATAACAGGTTCTCCAATGATATAAAACCACCACCCCTGCAAGATAAATCCAAATATTAATAAGTACTTACCAAAAAGATAGTCATTTAAAGAAAGAGAAAATGCACAACAAAGAGAAATGAAATAAAAGGAATCTACACTACCTAAAATCTGTCGATGGATCCTTTCCCTGCCACCCCATTGCCTTCCACTGCTCAGATATTAAACCATGAAGTTCTTCATCCGGGAATGCAGCATTCCACAAAGCCCTTAAGGTTTCCTGTAGAAAAGCAGTAATAATGAAATAGAAAATAACCCTCATAAATCAGGACTGATATTTCAAATTGCAACCCCAAGTGTAAATAGCATAATTCAGAACTGGTACCTGATGCTCAGCGACTGAACTATCATAAGCAATATCTATTCGACTCTGCAGCCTCTGCAAGCATTCCTCCTGACAGCATGAATCCCAAGATTATTTTTTGTTCCAGAAAATGTAAGACCGCAGAGTGAATTTTGGAATTTTCTAAGAAAATCAATTAACATGATGCTTGAAAGACATGCCAGCTTAGCAGAAATAGGCAAACGCAAGGATAATGATAAAATAAAAACCAACCAACCTAATAAACTCAAACAGCTAATATAAGAGTGTGCCATTTTTTGATACTTCAATAATGTTGCTAAACAATCCCAAGATTTAAGTGATTGGAATGCCATTTAAGTAATCATGTTGCCAAAAAATGGTGCTATGATCTATTATCTACATATGTGATTTTTGTATTGAAACCACCAGAATCACAGGTGTCCTCAGTATTTAATAGTAGAAGGCCACCCTGATCATCCTTTCAATAAGCGACCAGATTGTCAGGTCACAAAATGACATCTATAGGATACGCAGTACTGGTAAAACAAGGGATTAAAATCAAATGGTAGAGATTAAACACAAAATTCTGGATCATATATTAGCATTAAACAACTTGGGAAATATCATTAGTTAAAGCAATCAATGGTATGCCAAGTAGCAATCAATGATATGGAGTTATAAATTACACATGAAATTGGCAAATAAACATCATAGTTGACAGGGGTAGAGATAAATAGATCGGTCAAATCATAAAACATTACCTGGGCAGGGGTTAAATCAAATGATGGACGAGTATCACTCTCTCTTCTCTGTGCACAAACACAAGAAAGACCTCTACCCAACCAAGCTGCTGATCCTGCCACAACCTCAGCTGTAACAAAATACAACACTCTAATTACGAAATGCAGTTACTAAATCTTCATCTCACTGCTTTTAACAATTTCAAAAGTAACTGTACATAAGACAACTACATATTCAAAAAGATGGTTCACTTCAGCAGCTAATAGAAGCAACAACAAGAGAGAAAAAGCACATAGGAGAATAACGCAAGCCAACTATCTCCAACCAAGATTAGAATAGCAAAACAGAATGCTAAACATTTGCCACCTCACCAAGAAAGTAGTAAAATCTTCATTATAAATAGCAAGTGTAAAGTCAATTAACAAGGGAGATGCAAAAATAATATGAAATGGAATGATTTTATCTGTGGCCCAAACTTTTCTTCTACATAAATGACAAAGATTTTGAGCCCTAAAATCTGAAATGCTAAGTAAGTTTTGAACCATGAACAAAAAGTGCACCTAATATAACATGATGGAGCTGAGAATTGATTTATGACAACTTCACTAAGCATGAATCTGGCTGCCTTGAAATGTACTAATGAATGGCTTCTATATAAGAGAGGCACAATCTACTTGCAGAATAAAGTGGCACGAAAATTATGTTAGATTCCGCAGATCTTAGAACCTAAATAGAATGAAATGCAAAAAATTTTCAATCCTGAAAGTGTTAAAAGCACTCTTAAAATAAATGAAAAAGGAAAAGCACAACTAATTGGCTTTATACTTTATAGATCCCTTTCTCAACATTAATGACTATTTTTCAATATAACGCAAAATATTTGAAACAACAGAGTAACTAAGCCATGCAACTATGCAACCATGCAACGATACCCGTTAATTTAGTTTGCCTGTAAAATATTATAAAAATCGGATAAAATTGCCTTATGATATATAAGTTTAAATCTCTAGAGCATGAAGTCAATATTAAGGATAAATACGAAAAACCACAAAAACCAAGAAAAATGGATTCATAAATACAATCAAAATTTCCAAAAATTCAAAGAAGAAAGTCTCAGCAAAAGTAATCATTATATCAACGAACAAGCTCACCAAAACAAATTTGAAAATCAGCACACATGAAGTTAGGGATTGTTTTTGGTAACACTCGAAGCTCACTATACCTTACAGTTCAAATTTTGGAGATCCGAAATTTACTCACTAAAAAAAAAAAAAAAAAGAAAAACTAAGAAAATGAAAAACAAAAATAAAAGACGTCTTCTAGCTTCAGGTAGATATATATATATATATATATATATATATATATATATATATAAGAGAGAGAGAGAGAGAGAGAGAGAGAGAGAGAGAGATAAAGGTGAAACACGGAAAATAAAGAAAAGAGGGATTGAAATTAGAGCTTGGTTACCAGAAGTTGAATGGCAGGTACTGCCTCGCTCGAGACCTTGAGAAATCCTTCTAACAGCGACGAAAGAACCTCCTCTATCATCCATTATCACCTCTTCTCTTCTATCGCCTTCTCTCCTTTCACATAGACTTTATCATTTCCATTCTTTTTTTATCTCTCTTCTCCACAAACCCTAACAAACACCTTCTTCACAATCCACAACTGTAACCAATGAGGTAAAAGAAACCGAATCAAACTCCGATTTAAAAAACTGAAAACGCATTCGAATTTTACTTAAACGAAGGAAAATGGTAATGATGTGAGAGAACCAAAGCCAAACATTACCAAACAAACAGCAACTCACTAGAACGTACAAATGCAGGTAAAATCAGAAGGAAACCGGATCGAAACAGGCCAGAACTGAATCAAACAGAATCTAAATATTAATTTCTTCGTTAGAAACAAATATCAATTAAGCCAATATAGCGAAAAGCAGAGCAAAGTGAAGCTCCGATCAGTGGCCAACTAGATTCTTAAAAAAAATTGAAAGAATTTTGAGAGAAAATTCTAGAGAATCTTTAAACGATAAAAGAAAAAGGTTAGGGTTTTCGAGATCGAAAAAACAACGGTATCCATTACAAGCCACGGAGCTCTCTCTCCCTTGTTCTTTTTCTTTCTCTTTGCGTCTGTTAGTTTCGGTTTGTGTTTTTGGGTGGCGTTTTGTGAGAGTTTGTTTGGAGAGAGGAGTTTAATTAGGTAACGCCCCACTTTGGTTTGCGCTATTTTTCTTTTTAATTTATGCAATTGATAATCTTTTTTATTCCTTTTTGCCCACTTTTTCAGGTGCGGGAACGGACGGTGAAATGATGTCATCCGCTGTGATTTAAACGGCGGAATTGCCTCTAGCCGTCCCAGCGGGAAAGGTAACGTTGGGGCAATTACGTTTTTCCATCAGGGGCTTTTTTGGTATTAAAACAACTTGTTATTCGGTTCATATTTATTTGTGCAATTTTTTACTCCTATAGTCTATAGAAAAGAATGTATGCAAATTCTTTTTTTTTTTTTTTGTCATTCAAGGGGCAGATAAAAAAGAATGTATGTAAATTCTTAATATATTTTTTATTTTTTTATTTGACGTGCAATAAATTTTTGATTTTTTGTATTTGAATTTATTAAATGTTAAGTCTGATATTTATAATTAAAAGTTTTACATTTTATTATCAGAACATATAATTATTAATAGATTTTGATTTAATTCATAATCAAATTTAATTAAATCACTTAAAATACTTTTTAAAATAATCATTAAAAATAATTAAATAAATCTGATTAAGTCATTCCTCAAAGTTAATTAGCTTGATTTTAATACAGCGGAAAGGGGAATTAAAACTAGCAAAATAGAAAATGAAGTGGGAAATAAGAGTGGGGGAGAAGGACAAAAATGCCCTAATGAAAAAGAGAGGAATGTCACATGGGATGTTTTGGGGGAAATGGACCAAGGCATATGATGGGTAGAGTTGATTTATGTGGGAGCCCCAGTCCCCCACAGTAACGTCATTCGTACTTGGAATTGCTTATGATAAATACCTCCAAATTAGGGTCAGGGTCCACACGAATGGCTCTCCCTCTCCCAACCCAACAAAGTTGTGCTCGTCTTTGCTTGGCTCTCAAACTTGCATGTAAAATACTTGAAGCTTTTTCCTAGTCCGAAGAAAAAAAAAAGAAAGGCAAGCTTTTATAGGATGCTTTTTTCTTTCTTTTATTATGCACTTTATAATTTTTAAGAACCAAGTCCCAATTTCACTTAAATCTGTAGTACATGATAGCAAATTTGATCATTAAAAAATGAATTAAACGTTAAATATTGAGATCAGTTCCTATTCAACCTGTGTTTCATCCACTTAATATATGGACATGAAAGCAGTGATTTATATGAGTGAAATGAATGGATAAACAATCATGAAAGATACATTAAAATTTTATAATTGATTGAAAAAGTAGCCAGGATCGAATAAGAACTACTAGGCTAGCCCTTTATATCTTAATAATTGTGATTCAAAGAGTAACCAATGCATTTACTAGCTTCTACTGCATGTAAGCAGTACAGGTTGCCAAAATTGAGTGGAGAGAAGGCATTGGCATCTTGCAATTGGCAAAAAGAATTCAAAAGTATTGTTAGGTAAAGCTATCCAAAAGTATAAACTTTCTTTCCAACTAAGCATGCCACCATATGTTTCCAACAAGCTTGTGGACAAAACAATCGTGGCCGGTCACAAAGAGCCTTTGGCCATGGCTTCTCACGCAAGGAATTTTAAAGTTTTTATGGGATTTTTTTTGTCAATTAGGCTTTTTAGAGTCAAGAAATTAAAGACAGTTATCACTATCATTGATGTTAATATCATATTATCATTTAGTGTGAACTAATTGCAAGCAAAGCCCTGCCAAGATGCTAAAAGCCAAGAAGGTTAAACTTTAGGTTGTTCATCAATAAAGTAAAGCCAACAGAGTAGACAAATAAATTCAAACAGCTTCTCAAGAAAAGTAAAACCTTTGATTCCATCAAGCTAGTGAGCAGCTTCAGTCAAGTGATCACAATAAGTAAAAAGTGAGTGAAGATTCCAGTTTCCAAAAGAAAAGTTAATTATCAAGCAATACTAAAGCAAGCAGGGCAAGGCATATGTAAAAGAAGTCTTAATGAAATATAGTTTCATTTTAGTTTTTCTAAACCTGTCAAATTTGAAGTGGAATGGAAACAATGAATTCATATTGTTTGGATCACCAAGTGTAAATTACTATAACTTACCTGAGTAAAATATGGATAATAATAATTAATGAAATAAATCACATTGACTTTGGTTTTGTCTGGGACCTACTTCGATGTAACATTGTAATTGCTATAAAATTAAGACTAAAACAATAAATTAAGAGGATCAGATCTCGTCAGTATGATTAAAATTAATTTGATTAAAGAATCTTATATGAATTTCTCGGTTAATTTAATAAAGATGGCGTAAGAATTTTTATTAGTTATTGGTACATGGACGATATATTTTGTTTGAAGAAAGATAAAGCATTTCGGCTACAACAATCCACCAAAGGGGTCCATTTCCCAACATAGCCTCATGAATTGGGTTAGGTTCAGTCAAATTTGGACGTGGCTGTCATGTTATGCCTGCCATGCCAACAACTCTTTATATTTAATTATATTCCTCGCCCGTTCAACTCCAACGTGGGAAACCCTCTTTGATCAGGATCTCTGTTGGATCAATCCTCTGTAGCTGATGGATATAACCAGGAATCAGTAAGAGATAAGGAAGTGGTCAGATTGTCAGGGGAGCATGATCTGCTGCCTTGATTATTTGTTAACATATTTATCACAAAAGGAAGATCTGGTGAGGGAGGTTTGGGCAAAAAAATGTAAACAAATATGTTGTTACATGGTCAACAAAATCAAACCCATAAAACACCTGAATGGGTCTAAGAGTACGAGTATAATGTACCCTTTTTTAAGGAGATCGATCTTTATGTAAGTTGTGAGAAAAAAAAAATTTACTCTGAAATCTGAATGTTCAGATTGAATTGCGTTTAGCCTATTTGTTAATTGGAATGTAAAAAATAGTTGGAGACAAAGAGAATACAGAAATGGCAGCAGTGATCTTCAAATAGCAAGAGGAAGAGAGGCAACAGAACCAGATGGGATGGGGTCTATGGCTAAGAAGGGGAATTTTGAACAGAGCCTGAACTAAAAGCTTAAAACCAAAGGTATGGAGCATGATAAAAGGTGTCTCACTTTTCGGGTAACAATGAAACCCATAATCATGGAGGATCATGGAATGGGGTTTCTTTGCCAGAAAGCACCTTTCGAGTTTTCCCTTTTCTATCCACCAATAAAGTTTAGTGGTCAGAAACCTAACACATTTACACTGTATAAGACCAACTGGATCAGTGGCCCCAAAAAAGTGCATTTTCCATTTGATTGGTTGCTAAAAAATGTTTTGGGTCTATACATAGATGAAGTTAAAAACGGGCTACACCTATTGAATCTTGAGCATTGGGCTCATGGAACAGGCCCTTTAACTACCACTCTGTCTCTTCTCGCCATAGGAATCCCTGTGTAGGAATTATCCATCTCCAAAGGCATGGAATCAACATCTCTCCACCTCTGCAAGAACTATTGTCTTGGTTTTCACTTTCACCAACCAAATTCTCAAAACTTCTTCTCCTCCTTGTCTCTCACTTCCAAGTTTCCTAATCCAAAGAGCACTAAAAGAAGTCTCATAGCCCAAAGCCAGAACAAGACAAACCCGAAAGGGAAGGTAACACTGAAGGGAAAGAAAGAGAATGTTTGGAGCATTGATAATGAGCTGGCAAAAGCTGAGAAAGAGAGAAAGAAGCAGAGGAGGAAAGGGAAGAAAGTGGTTAGAGGTAGGAAGAACAAGACTGGTAGAGTTTTGGTCTCTGGTGCTATGCTAATGGAAACTGAAACTGTTCTCCAAGCACAGGTACTTTATTGGTTGATCTTATATTTATACCTTTGGTATATATGTTACAATAAATTTTGCCTGGAATTGGAATCAATGATGAGAACTGTTAATAAATTTTGGATTAGGCATTGAAGAGTGTATTTATTTGGAATTTTATTTATCTGAATATCTCGTTATGATTTCTGCTAGGAATGTTGAATGGCCCATGACATAGTCAGTGTCAGATGTGTTTTAGTGCTATATTACTGTTAGTTGTAGTCTCGAAGATATAGATGTTGTGCTGCTGGATTTGACATGTTTTGAAAGGGCTTAGTTTGAACCATATACTAGCTCTAAAGGGGAGCATTATGGTACTTGGTGCTATACTATCAGGTTGTGTTTCAAACACAGCTTATTTTGAGGTTATTATTGGAAGTTCTTCACTCTTCAGTGCTGTCGATAAACTTAAAAAAAGCAAAAATGATAAAGAGGTAGCATGAAGTTTAGTTGTTTGTAAATTTTCAAGTTTCCAATTTGCTTGCAACCAAAATGTAAAATAAATTCTAGATGTGTGTACATAAATTGTTGTTTTATCTTTGGTGCCTCGATCTATTTTCTTCAAATCTCCATCTGACATGAGCTTTTTAGTTTTCTTTGGCTTCCATAAGAATGTTTTAATTTCATGTTTGATGCAGAAATATGCATTTTTTCCTTTTCCATAAGAAACTTGAGACTTGAAAGCCTTTAGAAAGGGGGGAAATGGTTTCTCAGAGTTTCACTCAATGAAAATAGACTTATTAGTTGTCTGTTTCTTCGGTTGTTATGTTCTTTCAGGAACCTGTAATAAAACCAGCGTGGAATACATTTGCAAGTAGTGTGAATGGAATATGGAAGGGGGTTGGAGCAGCATTTTCACCCATTACTGCTGAAATGGAGCCAATTGAAATTGGAGACAGGAATGAAAACTTATATGATTGTTACATGCTTACTCGTGTTGAGGCAGTTCTACCTCCCGGTGGAAAGACCTCTGAAATCCATAGGAAGATAAATTGGGTGACTCTGAATCCACATGGTGAAGTTCCAGAGCATATTGATGTTAGCATTGCAAACAAAGAAGAGTCCAGAGTTGAGAAACCAACTTTATCACTGAAAGGAAAAGCCAATGACAGTATGGTGAATCATGTTTTGCCTGAATTTGAGTCTTTTGACTTGGCAACTAGCGATGTGATGGAAGAAGATGTCATGGGTAATGAACCTGGTCTTGTTTTCTTTGAGGTATGATTTATTCATCCTTTCTTTTGTAATTGCTATATGGATATTGAATCATTTTTTAATAAACCAGGAATGAAATGAGAGACTTCCATCCAATGATTTGAACAAAATGATTTATTCATCCTTTCAATTCTTTTGTAGTGTGACACGTAATACTTATATCCTAATTGTATAAAATGAACTGGCAACAGTTTTTCCTAGATCAATAGAAAGAAAAGTGGACAATATTGTATGAAATCTGATTGCCAAGGAGATGAGACTCCTGTTTACATTTTACTAGAAAAGATGTGTATTAAAATATTGAAGGAAAGATGATACTGAATGCTGATATGAACAATTCACTAAATTGTATTTTTTATTTTAGTAAATAATATTAATGTCTTCTTCGCTACGTTTTTTCTTGATTACTGACATCTTTTATATGTTGATCTAATTTCTTAACTCACAGGATGGATCTTATTCCAGAGGGCCCCTTGATATTCCTGTTGATGAAGTTGATGATTCTAATTATTACCTTTCTCCAACTTTTAAATTTGAACAAGTAAGTTTTGCTTGCCATGTTTGTTGTTTTCCTAAGGATTTGCAACAAATCCACTTCACAGTAATTTCGCTGACACTTAATTTTAGTGGCAATAATCGGCATGTGTCGCTGTGGATTAATAAATAGGCCTAGGGTACTATGAACTGTTTCTGTCACTTTGATGAATCAAAAGCCATTTAATATTTATTTGTAAGTAAACTGAATTGTATGTACATTCATTTCATGCGGACACACATAGTGCTATGCCAAATTTAGGGTGGAAAAGGCTTAGTTATTTTATCAAATTATGATTGCATAATTTTCCATTATCTAAATTGAGCTGCTTCTGCATGCATTCATGTGCAAAAAGTCAGTGCTCTTTTTCTCGTTGCAGTTATAGAACAGAAAAATCAGAAAAGCTGACTCTGTTAGTATGAAATGCATTTTGATGACATATTATGGAAAATGTCTTTTTAAAATTGGAAATGATGATTAAAGGCTGCAGTAGACTCTTTTCAAGAGTCTATATCTCACATTTATCTAGGTAATGGTGTCAAACTATGATGGTATCATTTTTATGAGATTTTTTGGATAATTTGTACTTGAATATGTGGTGTTCTAATTAAAGTTGGGCTGGTGGAAGATGTAAGTTTTGCTTTAATTTTGTTGCTTACAGAAAGAAGAGAGTTATTGAGTTTGTTTTGTTGCACAGTGTTTGGTCAAAGGTTGCCACAAAAGACTCCGTATTGTTCATACAATAGAGTTTGGTAATGGGGGTTCAGACATACAAATAATGAGAGTTGCTACTTATGAAGAAGAGTGGGTGAGTCCTGCAAATCTTCATGATCAAAGGTATTCTTTTATTCCATTCATTTTCAGATCTGTATTTTGATGTGCAATTATTCTGTTGCATGTTTTTAGGTTTGTGATTTAAGCTTTTGAAAGTTAAAGACGGATTGCATTATATCATCTACTGGTCGGACTTTATGCCTAGTGAAATTATCAGCATCGGATGGGAGTTTGCTTAGTTATAACAAATCTCCATGACTTATGATGCTCATGATGAAACTGATTTCGTACGTTATATTTAGTTTGAACAGTGATCTGGAGTTTGATTTGAAGCCATTTTCTCAACGGAAAAGAACCCAACCGTCAGAGCTTGTAGGGCCATGGAAGGTGTTTGAAGTTAGTGCCACACCAATATATGGTGACGAGACGGTAGCTGCAGAAGGCAGTGGTGCCTCTTACGTGTACCTTTGCACAGAAACCTTAAAGAAGAGGAGCTTGCCTAAGAGTTCAGTCTACTTTAGAGAGGAAGAAATGGTAAACATGCAGGATGTTACAGTTCTTTGGCTACTGGGGGGTGTGACTAGTTATGTTGATGTTAGTAAGGATGGGATTCTTACTATTGGAGTAGGATGGTACTCAGATGAGGGAATCAACCTTGCTATGGAACGAGATTATGGCATAGATGGGAAGCTCAAGGAAGTTAGATGGAAATCTGAGGTAAAGAAAAGGTGGCCTGATCCACTTTCTTTGTAAATCATAGTGACAAACATTAACAATATACGAATCATAGGTGTATTTGGTGTCTATCGTTTACATCAGTAAAATTCATTAGGCTAGGAAGGGGAAGGATCAGTAGGAACGAGACCCATGTTGAACTAGCATTTACTCTTTCATTCTATATGAATTGGTTTCAATGTTTTTATTCTTAATTGTCTGAAGTTTGCTTGCTTGCATTTCTTTATGGAGGAGATCTCATTCTTATGAAAGTCAACCAAACACACAAAGTACAAATGAGACAAAAGAATGTTAAGAAAAAAAAAACATTTAATTTCAAATCAAACTGTGAACTTACATACATTCCAAGGACAAAGAATGCGTCAAAACAATGAGTCGACATTACTTTCTTTTACATGAAAATGTCAGTAAGCAAATATCAAATGACTTACAAAGGAGTCCACTTGGCATGCATATTTATAGACAATTGCCTTACCCCATTTTTAACTTGATCCAGTTGGCTTGTCAATTGAAGCAGAGACAGATTCAAGTTTGAGATCTCCAACTCCCTTGGGTGGACCAATGCTGCATCGAGCTGTGTTGTGCATTTCAATGGCGTCTTTTATTTTTTGAAACTGGAGATCATTTTGAAAAAGATCCAGATTAAGTAAAGCAAAAGGATTTTATATTGGATATTGGATGCTTTCCATAATGATAATGTAGCATAAGAAAATTGATCATCAAACAAGAATGCTGGCCAAGTTTGAAATTTTAAGTATGCAGTTCTGTAAAGAAAACACTCCATATCATCGACCTACATTTGCTAGGCAAATATAGAACCAGAAATCTCAGGTGTGTACTCTTATTTTAGGAAAGCAGAAATCTCAGAGTTTTTTATGGCAGTTTTGCATTTTCTTCATTTGGAACATTTCCAGGCAATCATTTAGAAAACAATTTCTCTGGTCAAACACCAAGAGCAGAAAAAATAAAGCAGAAATAGCTCACCTTAGCAAGTGAACAGGAAAATGACTCCAGCTGTCCATCTGCTCCGCGATAGAAGTGGAAATAAGGAAGCACCTTAACATTCAAACTTTTACACATAGGTTTGTTCTCATCAAAATTTACTTTTAGGAATATAATTTCCGGATGTTCTTCGGCTGTCTTGCAGAGCTGAAAGATCAATTATGAGAAAATATTAGGACAAAACAATTAGAATTCAAAAATAGCTTAAAGTATCAGAAGAAAAGCATTATAGATTTCAAAAATAGCTCTTAAGAAGTGTGTCCCATGTTTTACTTGGAAAAAAGCTTTTCCTCACCCTATATTCTGCCAAATAAAGGAGGCATTGGGGGCTTCCCAAGCAAACCGAAGGCAACCACGCCAAGCTAACCATTTTTACAAGGGTATCAAATTTACAAACGGATAAGACAATAAGCAAAGAAGGGTATATAGAGATAAGGTACTCATTATATCATAAAATTATGTTTTCTGCGAAAAAATAAAAGACAAATAAAAAATACTATCTACCACACAAGTTCTTGGAGTCTTTTTGTTTTGCCAACTAATATCTTTCAGGGCCCATCTTACTTGCTGCACCAACGTCAAAGAGACATTCTGACTCCAAATATGCTTTTTCAGTAATCACTTCTCTGGAAGTGAGTCATTATCTTGAATGATTTATATGCAGAGGATTCTTCTCTAGAAGTGAGTCATTCTGTCGACCTTTACATATCATGAATTTTTATATAAATTTGGTTGATAATATTCATCACTTTATTCACCAATGATAACCCCAAACCAGAACTTTATCAAGAGCATAATTTTTTTCAATCATGATACTAGAGCCTGAATTTATGCCCAATGAAATATTACAAAACCATGAAAAAGTGAAAAGCAACATACCTTGGGAAATAATGCTCTGCAGGAAGCACACCAAGTTCCATAAAATTCTACAATAACTAATCTATCGCCAGCTTGACTTAATGCACTCAAAAAATCTTGTGTAGAATGAATATCAATCATATTTGGTCCTGCATTCTTTTCCCACCATTTTGGCTGTTCAGTTTTATCAACAGTTGCACGTACCTGAAGTGAAGGAACTTGGTTAATGGCAATGTCCCATAGGTTCTAAGGACATGATCTTGAATTAACAGGTTACTTTATCATCCATAGGAAACAAACCACTATTAAAAGAAGTGAATTTGATATCACATTACAAACAGTGAGACTCAGAGATATCTGCAAGGAATTTCAATATAGGTGAAGCACTAAACTTTGAAATTTCAATCTTTCCTGGTGCTTGTTCCATTGACTATAGTTAATTCAGATAAAAATGATGTACTACTAGTACCAAAAAAATAAAGAAAAACTTGTGCACCCTGAGAAAAACAAGTTGGCAGCTAAGAAAATTGTACAGGAATGAGGGGAGGGTCTCAAAGCATGCGTGACAAACTAGTATACAGTAGGAAGGCTAAAGATTGTCCGAATTTCATGGTTGGTAGCTAAAACTCAACATATTTACATTCCCTTAAATCAAACAAAACATCACCAGAAACCCCTGATAAGAGCCTTTAAAATGGAAAATGTTCCGTTACAAAAAATGGGCAACCAGAATTACAAAAGGGTCACCAAACCAAATTAGCACAAAGCCCTTACTTAAAAAAATCCACGTTTAAACAAAAACATTTCAGAAAGCACAAACTTTTGCATCAAGTATCCAAATTTAGTTCAAATGGAATCTAAAGCTTGCTAATTTCAATACAAAGTTCCACAAGCAAAGAACTTTAATAAACAGGGTTTATGAAAACAGTCTTTATCCTACAATAAAACCATAATTACCAAAGAAAATGGCACTAGGGAATTCATTATTTTTTGCTAATGAATTAAAATAAAAACTCGAAATCAGAAAGTAGAATTTTTGTACCTTGAAAGAGAGCGATTGTTTTCTGGGAGTAAAAGCAAGGCCAGTAAGACCAATAGAAGAACAAATAGGAGAAATAATCTTATCCGAATTTGGGGCAGAGTTGAAGGAGGTGAGCAGTGAAGGAGAAGAGAAGCGAAGCGAATGAATCAACGACGATGATAATCGAATAGCATCTGCCATCAAGAATTGAGAGAGAAAAAAGAAAGCTAGCCTTGGGTTTTATATATGTGAATGGGTTTATGCTAATGGAATTATTAGGTTTATTTCACTACATAAAGGTTAAAATTTCAACAGCTCATATGAAAAGGCGCCGACGAGCAACAGGGAAGAAGAGAAGGAGATAGTTTGGGTTGAAAGAGTGATCGAAAGTCATTCGTAGGAAGAAGACACGTCCACGTAATCATCTTCATTTCTCATGTTAATTTTTCTGTTGTCCGACACGCTGTCGTTTGGAGGCCGCTATTCTTCGCTCTATGCTTCGCAATTCTACCGGTAGTCCAATGGCAGTTTACTAGAGTTCACAAAGAAAGAGATATTAGTCCTGAAATATAATTGGGCCAGAAAAATTAGACCATTGATGGTAGTCAGGTGAATCAGGCCCATATTGTTCAACTTCTGGGCCGTAGCCTATTATGCCCAGTCTCGTATTGCTTGAAATACACCGAAATGTTTGGTTCTTTTCCTTGGATTTCCTTGGAATGTTAAATGGTCCGCGTGTACAATCAGCTTGTCAACTAGTTTGAATTGAAACTAGTGCTTAGAAACCTATGAACGTTTTGTTTTAAGCATCATACGTCAAAATAATAGTAAGGATTTTTTTGAAAGACTTTACTTTATATTTGAATTTGAATTGCAACATATATACTTGAGTTGAATGGGGTGTTTCTAAATTCAAGCATTCAGACATGTTGAGATCGGAAGTCCTGACAAATTCAGAATAAAAAGGATATGAATAAATAAATGTTGATAGCAAAGTTGGTGAAGATTATTGAATGAAAAAAAAAATAAGTTGGTGAAGATTGTTCAGTTTTACCTGTAAGAGCATTCCCTCCAAACTTCAAACCCATTTGCGAAACAACAAAGTTGAACAGTGTTAGTACATATGAACAAGTTATGAGAAATATAAAGGGACCCACCAAATATTTGATGCCTCACTCTACCATCATGAAATTTAGAAGACTTTAGAAATTGATTGAAAGGCCATGATTGTTGCATGGAATTCTGCATATACTGCCTTTAGCTACTTCCTCTCTTATTGCTTCAACTTGTAATCTTTTTATGAGGATTGTTTATTACACTTTTGAATCTTCAATATAGAAATCATGGAGATGTCGGTTCCCTTGGTAACCCCTTTTTTCTTTCTCCTTCATTGCAGAATATGGTTGAGAGTTATTTTGTTTTTATTGAAAATTTGCCAACTCAGAGGATGGCGATCTCTCTCTCTCTCTCTCTGTGTGTCTCCTCTCGTCCTTTTCGTTAGTCTTACCTCATTTTAATGTTACTATCAGAGTACAATGCTGGAGATATCTTTTCTGTTTTTGTATGATCATCCAATTAATTCAGATATTAACAATGAATTATGACAGCTATTCTTTTTTTTTGTTTTGTTTTAAATTGAAAATTTTGAACTTTCTGATTAATTTTTCATTATAGACAATTGATATGTCACTGAAGAATCTGATAAATTGTGCAATCATTTTTTGTAATAAAAAAAATTCAAAATAAATAAATTATTTAATCTTTAATATTAAAGTAAGATGTATTGTACGTACTCAACAATTTAAGATAAATGATTGGAGGTTATACATTTAAAATAATTCCATCAAATAATTATTGGTTGAACTCAAATCCGAAACCTTTAAATCGAAAAAAAATGATTTTCATCAATTAAACTAATTACTTATTGGCTTGCAATCATTTTTAGGCATTAGAGGGACATTTACTATCTATAGTTTGCTTCTAGGTTATTTTTCTTTATCAAATTTAAGTACCCACTTTTTAATTGAGCCCATAGCACTTAGCCCAATTTTTAAAAAAAATTTTCCATTACCTAAGAGTTTATTATATACTCTTTAATCATGACTTTCTGAGAAAATGTTTCCCATCAACACGATAAACAACTAACAGACCTTATCCCTCTTAAGGCGTAAAAATGATTGTAGGTGTAATCCGTTTCTTGCACATAAGAAATGAGATCATGAACATGAGGAGATTGGAGTTAAAAACTTACGGTACTTACGCAGTTACTGTCAAGGTAAGTTACTTCAATTGAAATAAAATTCCAAGAATGAATGCGGTCCATGAATAAGATAGTACTTAACCATTTTTTGGTCCTGAATGCTAGCTGAGTCCAAAATTTGAATGACTTGGATGTGCAAATTGTTCTTGCAAAACAAGAAAATTGTTTTTTCTTGTATATCATGCACCAATAAACCATTAGTTCCACTATCACAAGCACAGACTCGGGCGGAGCCAAGGGGGACAGGAAGGACCACGGCTCACCCAAAAATTTTTTTATACCATTCTAGATCAGTAACTGAACTTATTAAAACTAATATGCATCCTTTCTTTCCCCATTCAATTCACTGTTTGGCCCCCTTTAGTTATTGTCTAGCTTTGCTTCTGGGCACAGTCTTCGCCACTTGGACAGACACAACCAGTGTGAAGCAATGTTTAGGATTGAACAGCCACAAGGCGAATTTTATATGCTCACGAGTCTTTTGCAGAATTAGCTTTCGTTTAAAACAATGCTTTGTTTAACAAGTTTTGTCGCTAGTGTTCCAAAAGCTAGCAGTCATTATAATGCAATAAACAAGAGGCAAAACATCACGCTAATTAAGCAACATGTTTAACATTTTTTTCTTAAAAAAATTAGATTATTTGAGGCTAGAAAACGTTGTTCAATGTTTTACAATGCTTTATTTAAGTGGGATGAAAATTATTAAAAAAAATGAAGTTGAAACTATAGAATTGCAGTGACCCGATTAATATTCGTTTGTCATTTTTTCTGGTTCAATTGGGTTTACAGTACTTGAAGCATGAAATGACTTAGGAACATGGTATATGCCTCCTTTGTAGCAGCTCAAAATTTACAAAATCCCTTTTTCTTCCATATCCCTTGACTTTTTAACATAAATCTTTTTCAAACTAAAGAAAGAAAATGAATGCATATCTTAACATCTTTGGATTCAATTTTCCAAATTCGCAGGCTGACCCCTTTTTATCTGTTCTTCCGAAAAGATATGCTTTGAACCGACCAACTGCAACAGCCGCTTCAATCTCCATGAAAACTATATATGCCTTCAGTAAGCCAAACATTGAAATAAAAGAATATTAAATCTGATCTTAGGGGGATATGTTTGTCTTCATAAGGTAATCATGTTGCCTTGAAATAAAAGTGAAAAGAACTAGGATGATTAATTGGTTTTAATTAACTACACATTCCCTGATTTTTTCTAGGGCTGCGCTGAACTGTAACCGCTCATCAGCTTTGTCTAGCAAAGCCACATTCTGCACAAGCTTGGTTCTCTTTGTGGCCAATGATGAGGTAAGAAGTTGATCAAACCCCTTTACAATACTAAGGTCAAAATTGCATTTGTTAGTTCAAATGGCAGTTACAACTTTTTGGATAAGATCTTCATATTCTAGTTAAGATTACAATATAAGTTGCTTTCTTAAAGTAGTTGTGTGATGTATGGAAGATTGAGAAAGTTGTTGAGAGAAAGAGAGAGATAGAAAAAAAATTAAGTTAAAATGCTGCTGGTGTTGTGGAGGGGGTTGGGGGGGCCTTTTCATGAGAGAGAGAGGACTGTGGATGAAATAACAGGTGAGAGTGAGAGGAAAGGGGGAGAAATGCGAAGGAAAAATGTGGGGGTGGGAGTGATCATAGTTTTTCTTCTCTTTTTGCAGGGAAGGGTGTGCCGAGTGGACATATTATGCCCTGTATGAGCTGCATATTGGAATTTGATTTGGCAGGATTTGAAAGGCTCTATCGTTTTCCATCTTTCAACTGCATTTGGACATTTTGACATGGATGGAAGTTTTGATGTACCCCACCACTTATTGCTTCCAAGACTCAGGTCTCTCTCCCTCCCTTTTTCTCTCTGATTTTTCTTATAAAAATTAGTATTTCTAATTAACATTCTTGTGCTTTCAAGTCAGCTTGTTTTATTGCTTTGTGTCCTTTCTTTTTCCTTTGCCTCTCAGTATGGCAACCAGAATATCTAACGCTTATAAACATTACCCACATGACCTTGCTTAAATAAATGAATAAATCATGCTTTGAGTGATTAGGACAATGCCTGATAAATATTAGAAACCTAGCAAAGTACCTTTAATAATTAGGCACAAGGCAAACAACTAACTACACATTAAACTTTTTTTGAAACAAGGAACATGAACAAAGTCCTTATCAAAACAATCCAAAAATTCCCAAAAATGAGATGAAACTGTCGGTTTTAATTGTGTGTTTAATGGTTGAATTTAATTAAGGTTTTCTCTCTGTTAAAACAAGTGTTTCTTCATATATTTTCTTTCTTTCCATGAGCCTAAATTGTCAAATATTATTTATATTGGCTACATGATATATTCCTTTCTGATTTGCACACAAACATTTTTCTCAAGTACTCCATTCCCTGCCCCTTTGCTCTCTCGAATTCAAATATATGTAGTACATTCAACTTCCTATCCACATATAAATTAAATACAAAAGATATATACTTGTTTTTATAATTTTTCAAACCATATATTGTTCTATAATAATCAAATAAAGATGCCAATCTCGACTTAGCTCTAGTGTTAAAGGGACAGGTGCTTCGATAGGGTTATGCTGTAATTAAGGCTCTTCTTGTAAGAGTATTTTGAAAAATCAATTCAAGATGGTATATAATTGACTACCCTCAATACTGGGTTAGTTTTTTTTTTATCTTAAATTAATAATATCTTTTTGAAAAATATAGAAAAATTTTTGCATGCATATAGGTAGATTTATGGAGTCTTTTTTTTTTTTTTTTGAGATATAGATTTATGGAGTCTTAGAGTATATAATAAGTAATCATCTCCTATCTCATGAAATTTATCCCCATATATTCTTAAGTTCCAATCTTAGCATTTCCTTATTTAGTCCAATTATAAGGTACATGATTGCATATATTTTCAGCTCAAAAAAATTATATCCAAAAATCTCCTTTTCCACATTCATATCTTGATAAAAGGTTTTTTTTTTTTTTTTGAACTTGCGACATCTAAGTTAAATTTTCAAAATTAATATTATTGCTACATCTATAATTACTAATTAATTATTTTTTATATACTTTTCACATCAAGATCATTTTATTGATAGAAATCACATATAAATTAAATATTGTAATAGCAAATGTGAAACAATGTCAAATTTGTAAACTAATCGTTGTTGATAGCGTGATTTATGCGTTACGAAAAAATAACGAAAATGTTGAATACATAACCTTCACATTCAAAAATGGAAAAAATGGACATAGACATGATGCTGTGAAACAATTAAAAGCATTTTGTTGAAATAACAACTTGTTAAAGTGCTTCAACTATAGTGATTACAAGTATATATAATTTGAACATATTAAATTATCATTATCAAAAAAATAAATCTAAACAAAACCAAAAAACGAATGTGTATGGTAAGTTTTTAAAAGGATAGAGTTCTAATGCATGGTGTAAAAAGGACAGAATACCATACATTTGGGTTTTTGAAATACATATTGATGTAAACAGCTAGAACATTCAAATCAATTATTAGATTGGTGATCAATTATACATGAATAAAATTAAAAAAATTATAGGAGTAGAGACAAATTTATACTAATTGGTGCAACTTGATCATATATATTTTTATTTATTTATCTTAATCCTATATATACCTAGCTATAAAAGATGAATTGAGATATATATATATATATATATATATATATAAACTTGATAGTCAATAAGAGAAATGATATATGTCCCCTTGAACCAGCTCTCCTACACATATGCACCAAAAGAATTTCATAAATACCAACTATTTACAGATAATTAGTAATAATATGTCCTATAATCCTCCCTTTTTCTTCTAGCACAAACCGCATATCTGCTTAATAAATTGTTTTTACTGTGCACTAGAGAAAGCTGTTGCTGTGGAAGCCTTCTGCACGCTCAACAAGAAGATCAGAAGGAATAATTTCCAGTAGAAACATTCCATCTAGCGTTTACTAGTTGACCAGAGACTGCGTTTCTCGTGTGGATGTGTGGAACACAAATCCAAGAGCGTTCTAGGACCTACCAAGTTGCTCTACAATTACGAAAACTTACAAGCAATCCAGTGATAAGAAGAAGAGGATCAGTAGGAGTTGGAGGAGAGCTTCTTGCCGTCTTTGTGTTTTGAAAGAAATGGAAGGCGAAAGGGGAGTTCCTAATTATGAGCTACAAGTTTCATTCTCAACTCCACAGGCAATCCACGAAATGGGGTTTGTACAATTTGAAGAAAACCAGGTCATGAGTTTCTTGGCTCCCGCACAGTCTTCTCATCAAATATCTCAACCTCTCAATACCGCCATCATTGGTAATAACACCAATTCCACCGCCATGGGATTCAGTCATAACGACCAGGTAGTTAGGCTTAATGAAAATTAGGTTTTAAAAAGCAAAAGTTGAAGACAGCTTTTTATATGCTCCTGAAACTTGACCTCTGACCTGGGATTTGTCTAATTTCGTGGTCTTTTATGATTTTCTTGGTATTTTTTTCTGTGTTAGATTACTGATCTTTGTATCTTATATTTGTTGGTATCGGAAAAATTTTAGGTAAGGACCTTGGATCCCAAAGCTGTAAACGACGAAAACTGCGCCAGTAACGCCAACGATGGAAATAATAATTCATGGTATTCTGATTTCTCATCTCTTACCTTCATTTTCTTTTCTTATTTATGGGTTATGTTCTTTCTGAAGCACACACGCACTGACAGAGATTCCCAGTACCAAAACACACATGCACGGTAGCTCATACCATAGATGTATAAAATTCTTTAAGATCTTTCGAGAATCTAAGGAGATCTGCCCTTATATGGAAGAGGGTTGCTTCAGCTTGCTAATGGAATTAATGCTTTTTGTACGGTATATGCATATATCTTAGTCTAACTTTCTCTTTCTCCTTGGTGGGCATGAAGAAGGAAAGTCTTGATATCCATTGATACCCGAATCCACATGCATGTCCATCAAGTAGATCTCAGTTTTCTACTTCCATTACTGGCTCTTTTACAAAAAGGTTGAGCAACTTTGGTTTTGGCAGGTGGAGGAGCTCAGCCTCAGAGAAGAGCAAAGTGAAGATTAGGAGAAAGCTTAGAGAACCAAGGTTTTGTTTCCAAACGAGAAGTGATATCGATGTGCTAGACGACGGCTACAAGTGGAGAAAATACGGGCAGAAGGTTGTCAAGAACAGCCTTCATCCAAGGTACTTTTTCTATGCTTTCCTTGTCACTGTGCATGGGGTAGGTAACCTTCGTTTATATTTCTAATGGAATGATTAAGAAGCTAATTTCATAGATAAATTTCAATATATAACCTTCTTGTTTCTATCGATTTTACCTCATGAATTCGAATCATATTCCTAATGTTATGTAAAAACAGGCATTATTAATCATAAGGATTTATTTATTAAAAACTATTAAAGCAGAATGTTTTCAGTACTGTCCGTGCTTATTGGATCATTTGTAGGAAAGGAAACGGGAAGGGCAGAGCTACTGCTAGCACTATTTTTAATCTACATATATAAATTTTAGTTGTATTTATTTCTTTGTTTCGGATTTGGCTATAGTATATATTATAAATGTTGGTTTGCCTGCTTCAATTAACTAATTAGTATATTTATATTCATCGTTTCTGGTTTCCGACAAATTCAAATGGAAGTTTTTGTTAATAATTGAAAAAACACTTTTTTATATATATGAACACTCATATGGAAGACATGCAGATGATGAATAAAACTAAATAAAGAAGGGCGAGGGTAGAGAAATTTGATAAGAAAAGTACTGCCACAAAATGATAATCGCAATATTATACAAACAGTACTTAAGATACCCTCGTTTGATCCAAAATTAATGGTCTTCTGCCCTAAAGAAACATGGATTATACGAAATGATATGACTTTGTCAACAGCTATTCTGGGTAAGAATAAGTTTGCATAAACATTTATATGAAATGATCTGTTGTTTGACACAGTTTTGCTGTTTTTGCATCATGTCTGTTGTCTTACCTAAGGTTTTGTTTGAGTTACTTGGCAGGAGTTATTATCGCTGTACGCACAATACCTGTAGAGTGAAGAAGAGAGTTGAACGATTGTCTGAGGATTGTCGAATGGTGATAACTACTTATGAAGGTAGACACAATCACTCTCCCTGTGATGACTCAAATTCATCTGAGCATGAATGCTTTACATCTTTCTAAATAGGATTTAGAAAACCAAAAGATTAAATATTTGTTATGAATATATATAAATGTATTATCTTTAGACACCTTTATCCAAATAGTGAATTGAGGGCTTCCCTTATAGTAATTATTTTTATAGTACTCCTAGACATATGGTCAATATCTTATGTATCCATTGTTCTTCATATATAAACATGGCAATATCTATCAGATGTGAAGGACACTAGTGTAAATATATATTGCATATATTTTTCATCAAAGAGATAACAGTATAATTATAAGTTCGCCATTGCTAAATTCCATAAAATGAAGAAATGAAGTCACATCCACGGTAAACTACTACTGTAAAGTAACTCTTACACCTTGAATCAGAACAAAACAACATTCGATCTGTTATAAATGATTTTCCTACAGTTATTCATTACTCATAACAGCCAAATTGCTTTGGCTCAGAGACTGTGACAGTGAGATACGAATAAGAAATTAAATTCATCACCTTCTGGATATATAGCCTCCCTCTGAGTTTCCCGCTGGATAACACTATGCCACATGATGCTCATTTTCTTCAGGACATGTGCAAAAAATTGTTGATCAGCTCAAGCTCATCGTCGTTACTGTCAGCATCAATTAGCTTAACCATCTTGAGATAACATGTGAAACATATAGCCTCGTTCGGTATATATCTTCCATTCAAGCTGTTAAGCAGGAAGTAAAGATTGCAATTTGTAAATAAAACAAACAAAAATCGAATCACATAATAAAATATTTGTAAGCTTTGGCATTATAGTATTACGACTAAAAGTTATAATTCCAAATGTGCTATGCAGGATAAAGAACCCAGAGTGTATATTCATGGAAATATAAAAAAGTGGAGCTTACGCTTAAACATTGGCCAGGATGCTCTTAAACTCAGTGAAATTGTACTTGTAAGTTGCTCTAAATAAGATTTAGCCATGAAATGCCAATTCGATCTTTATGCTTCCAAATCGTTATTCATTTCCAGACAGATGGTCAAGAAAACGAACAGTATTAATGCTTGCTGTATTGCTTTTCAAATGGCTATATATATTGCACCCAAAACTTATACCCAACTGTAATTATATAAGCAAGTTAACAATTCCCTTGGGTTTAAGGTAACAGAAGGAAGGTTGCTTGTTGGGTATGATATGGATTAAACATGTTTTACCATTTATACAAGATCATTTCATGCTTAATTTCTCGATTTTCTTTTCCTCACCTGTTATAAGTATTGCTTGTCGAGATGTCATAGCATATTATCTTTGTGGCGTTATCCAATTAGGCCCAATAGGGTGGATCATTCAGTTTTGGACTCTGACCTTGTTTGCTGTCCAAGGCCAAAACTCTTATTAGGCCTAATAGGATGGATGATTCTCGGAGATTTTAGAGTATTTGCAAAACCTACGAAAAAACATGCCTTTACTTTTACGAGTCATTAATTCATTTGTTTCTCTGCATGAGTTGATTTATAGAAATCAGTTGAAGATTAAACAAAGACGGAAAAACTACATAAATTTTTTTTTTTTAAAATTCTTCTCTGCATTTTGAAGCCTCCAATGTTTTATTTTAATATTTTTTTAATTAGATTTGGAAAACAAAAATTCTACAATCTAACTTTATTATATATTTTTAATATATATATATATATAGCAAAAAAAATCCTCAAAAGGAATTTAGTTTTGAGTTTATTCAAAAGCAACTTATTTTTGTGTCTTAAATTATAATTTTAACATTTTAGTATCCCTTTGTCATATTGTTTCTTTTTGAACTTCCAAATAACCATAAATTCACTCAATTAAGGTTTTAATTTATAAGGGTTAATTTTTTTAATTTAAAATTACTAATTTCTATTGTAATTTTTTTTAAAATTCATGTAAAATCTCCAGGTAAAAGAAATTCATATAAATTTCATGGAAAAAACTTACATGGGGCAGCAGGTATTGTTTTGGGCTCAAAAAGCCCAAGTAAATATACACAAATCCAGATATCCAATTTTGTGTGAATTTAAGGCTGACGTCAAATTAGGGTTGGGCTTTTAATGTCGGTTACCATTTTTCTACAAATTCAGGGTCACCGTAAGCCCATTCTCCTTACAAACAGCAATGGTAAAATTCTTTTCTCCAAAATTTCAATCTTTCGTGAGAGAATCTCCCACAATGTCTTCATCACAGAGTTTCCATATTTACTGTTGAAGGTTTGATTTAGTTGCTTATTTTTGTAAATAACTTTTTAGTTTCTTTCATGGGATCCGCAACGGGCTACGAAATTGCTTTTTTTGCTTTGGTTTTTTTTTTTTTTTATAAAAGATCCAATTGCTGTGGCCCAATCAAATCAAGATCGGGACTATCCAGTCTCGAACCAAATTTGGGCTAGGTATATCCCAGATCCAAACTAATTTATTTTTTTAAATTACAAGCATTATTAGTTTTCGTTTCGATTACTCGTCACTCTTCCTCGGTGCGCAACGATGACTTCCAAATTTCTCCAGCTATACGGTAAATTCGATTTTTAATTTCGTCTAGAAATCGTATATTTAGTATCTTTTCAATTTATTTAGGACTGATTTTGACAGGCTACGACTTGCTTCTGGCGTCTGTCGCCGCGTTTTATGTGCTTATGGTGCCGTACACTAAAGTTGAAGAAAGCTTCAACATTCAGGTAATTTCCAATTTCAATTTTTTTTCTTTTGTATATTAATTTATTTGTACTTGAACTCTTTTTTTTTTTTTTTGTTTACTAAGGCTATGCACGATATTCTTTATCATCGCCATCACTTAGATAATGTAAGTTTAGTTGCCCATGCCTTTTTTCTTTATTGTTAAACTGTGATTTTTCTGGGTTTTTAAAATTTTAGAATTAAATTTATGTTTGGATGTTTGACTATGATATCAGTATGATCATTTGGAGTTTCCTGGTGTTGTTCCTCGCACTTTTATCGGTAAGATTTGTTGCATCTAAAAATGAGTGAATTTGAGAAAATTGTTTTGGTCGCAACTTCTCGGCTGATAATTGGGAATCATTGTATGATGCTTTTCTTTGCAGGGGCATTGCTAGTGTCGATTTTGGCATCTCCAATTGTATTAGCCATGCAACTGCTGCATTTGCAAAAGATTTATAGTCTTATAATTGGTTAGTTATCTGAATACTCATAGCTTGTAGATTTTTGTTTATTGTTTCTAACTGAAATTTCATTAATAATTCTTTTAAGGCATGTCATATTGAGGATATCGAACACAGGATCAGCCAGTGAAAAAAAAAAAAAGGGAATATATTACTGTTTTGATTCAATGATCTATTTTTTTGGTTAAATAACATAAAAATTTGTAGCATTTCATGTAAAATGTTCTATTACTAAAATTTCTTCTCCATGGTTGCTCTTCATATTCTTTTGCTGTGTAAATGCAACTGTTGACTTTGCTGTGTTGACATTTATGTTACTTACAATTACTGAATTCAATGTAATCGTTGTCTTTTTAGTACGTCTTACATTGGGTTGCATCATACTATCTACATTACGGTTTTTGCGTATTCAGGTATTTAGCTTTTGTTCCCTGTGCTTAAATTTTACAATTTTTCTTGCTTTTTCCTGTTCTACTTTTAGGTTTAATGTACTGAGAACGTTCACCTTAAAGTTCTAATCATTGAGGTTTATTTGTTGTTTGAACAGGTCAGAAACAAGTTTGGACATCAAGTTGAAGCATTCTTTGTAATATTAACTGCAATTCAGTTTCATTTGCTGTTCTATTGCTCTCGTGCACTTCCAAATATACTAGCTATGGGTGTAGGTGATTGCTTCTTGCAGTCTAACTTTCTATATCCTCACATATGTTATCACCATGAATGCACTTCCTTTTCAACCTTGTGGTTTACTTAACCTCCTAGATGGCAGCGATAATTGGAAGAAAACTACGATATATAAAACAAGAATGGGCTAAATTCACATCCATAAGCATGGGATTTTTCTGTCTGGATGTAATCTTCATAAAGAGATCGAAAGTTCATAGACATGCATGTGTTACCGTTAAAATTTTTGCTGCTGTAGGTTCTAATTTGGAATGTAGCAGTGCTACTAAAGCTGTTGAATTTGGATCAGAAGAGTCACTTATGCAAAATGCTATTATAATCCTTTAGCCTTGCAAAGATGAACAGTGACTATGCAAATTTAAAGAACTTATTATATTAGAAAAGAAGTAATAGGTTTTCACCAATTAGTAGATTTACTATTTGTCTTTTGAAATTATTAACTTGTTCTTTGTTGTGAAAAGAATTTTACTTCCTAGAGGGCAGGGACAGACTAATTGTCCTCAAAACGTACCTAAGAGTGAGTTCCACTTCCTGAGTTGGTGACCATTGACTTATGGTAGTTTTATTCTACTTGGCAATGTGGATTCAAATGACCGAGTTTGTTCTGTAGATCTCTGGTTGTAATTTGGAATATTCTACTCTTTGTGGACTGACATTGACTAATATTTAGAAAGAAACTAGGTAGAACTGTAGAAAACGAGAATGGTGAGAAAACATGAGATAAGGAAAAGATGATAATTTGAAATGTGGTAATATACTTATTTCATCTATTTTCTGCATGATAATGTCTTAGATTGGACCGGCAATGCTTCCTATGTGACTCATATCTGTTTTTCCTGCTTGTTTTTATCAAATAGAATTGCATTTGTCTTACAATTAAGGTTGTGCTGTTTTTTCTCTGAAAATAACTTTGGTTTTTATCTGTTTTTTTTCTTGTGATGTGAAGAAGTCAATAAAACTTCAGCTAATTCTATTTTTCCTTTTATGCAGTAAATTTGGCATATGGGCATTGGTTGAAAGGGAGTTTTTATACTGCTTTAAACTATCTGGTATGTCTCCTCACTGCTTAACCTTAGCAAAACCAGTTGATTTATTGGATCATGGTTCTGTCAGTGGGTATTTGTTCTAAATGTATTCCTCTCATGATCTCCGATAAAGTTTTTTGCAGTTTTAGGTACTTTATCTTGTAACATGGCATCCTGATTTTGGCTTTGTTAGAACCTTCTTACATTGTTCTGGATTCTTAATGAACAGGTTTTTGCTGCAATCATCTTTAGATGTGATATAGTCTTACTTCTTTGTCCACTTGGCCTGGAGCTTTTGTTGGTAGGTTGTCATTCCCTGTAACATTTTTTTTCTCTTTATACTTTCCCCTTTCTCTTGTGAAACAGTGACTCAAGTTTGTTCAAAAAGAGTGTAGCAGCGCACTGTTTTCTTCTCCTATCAAGCACTGTCATTGTTCTATGCATATGCAGCCTAGCAATCACATTAGATCTATTGCCCTCTATAATGAATCAATTAATTAAGTTCTTTGATATTATTTTTGTTAGCTGCATTTTAATTACATTGTTGGATCTGATTGCATTTTAGTTTGATTAAATTTGCACTTGATTATAAGATTTAAATTTATCAATGACAGACCAAGTCAATTTCATTTTGGAAAGCATTAAAGTGCTGCACTGTGACCACTCTTTTGTGCATAGGTTAGTTAATTTTCTCTTATAAATGTTAAAACTTTTGATGATAAGGATTATCTACTATTATCAACTTATGAAATTCTCCTCAGCTCAGGTCTCACCACGCTGGTTGATTCAATTATGTGGAAGAGGTTTCTTTGGCCTGAATTTGAAGTTTTTTGGTTCAACTCTGTTCTTAATCGAAGTTCTGAATGGGGCGTATCCTTTTTTAAGGATTTTCCTATTGCACAATCCAATTTCTTTTTTAATTTGAAATAGCACAATTAATATTTTTGGTTGATGTGCTTACTAGTTCATTTATAACTTTTTCCTGTTACAATTTATAATTTATTAGATGATTGAAGATGTGAGGTATTTCCTTACGTGTCTTTTACATTTATGTCTGCAATGCACTTGTAATGGAATCTTCAGCATTCATTACAGAAGTCTCTAGTCCATGTCCTATGCATTCTTTCGAATAATCATGGTTTCTCTTCTTATTGGCTAAGGCTGGAAACTTCCTGCATGCATAGCCACCTACTTTATTGGCTTTGCTAGTTTTTGAAGCTTTATTGATTGTTATCAGCTCTATTACATTCATCTTTACCTCGTTTTGATTATTTCATTTTTTATCAGGAAATGCATGTTGAAGGATTGTATAATATGTGCTTGTGTGCATTTCTTTGGTATCTGACTCTTTTCTTGATCTCTATTCCTTAATGATATTCTTTATTTAGACACATTCCATTCACTGGTATTTTACTTCTGCACTGCCTCGCTCGTTACTCTTCGCATATCCACTTTTTATGGTGAGTCTTGAACTAGGAAGATGAAAGTTATACTACATTATTATTCTGAACTACTGCACTTTAAATTTGTTATATGTTGCAGCTTGGAGTCTTACTTGACAGAAGGCTTCTTCCTCTGGTTCTACCAGTACTATCCTTTGTTGTACTTTACTCTAAGCTTCCACACAAGGTATCATAAAAAGAAAATATATACATCATTGGCTTGCTTCCTATTTTAGAAAATAGACACACATATACAAAGTTCACTCACACAATTATGTAATCACATTTTCTAATGACGCAGGAGCTCCGTTTCATTATCAGCTCAGTTCCAATCTTCAACTTATCTGCTGCAGTTGCAGCTAGCAGAATGTGTGTTGTTTCTTTTTCCTTCTTTCCTTCTATTTTGAAGCTAAAACTATTGGAAATGAATGAGGATAGGTTGTAACATACAACATATTCATATGGCCAACTTCTGAATTTAAAAGAAGCATTAAAAAAAATCACACAAACACATTACATAAAGATGTAATAATCTTGCAAGGTTTTCTAGAAGTTTTCATGTCCGACACGCTTTAGTTTTAACACCACCAGATTTCTAGCCGTATTGGTGTGACTGCTTGTGTTTTTGGACAAATTAAAGTCACCTCCCTGATTATTCTGGAGACCTGAAGATGTGACACAGTGGATCCTGAACTTTTGACTTGAACATAGAAGACCCTGGTTATTGAAGTGATTGCGTTGTTCCTCTGCTTTTTACGTTTATTTGAAAAAGTGCATGTAGTAATTGGATATCTGAGCCAAAAGAAACTTGGTCTGGACAATGGGGCCAGAAGGTGGGGGGGGATTGCAGTGTATCTGCAAGTTCGAGGTTTTAACAGATTATGACTTAAACCATGGAGGACTTATGTGTTACTTGCCCTTTCTACTCATGCATGGTGCTACTTTCTGTTCACGAGTAAACCATGTAATTTTTTGTGTCTTATTGTTTTCAATCATTATCATTGCTAGGTAAATATATAATTTATTCTGCCTTATTGTTACAGCTATAACAACAGGAAGAAGAGTTTCTGGAAATTTCTCAATTTACTCATGCTGGGATTGCTTTTAATGAGGTTGGGTCATTTGTTTTTTGCTTTAGTTTGAAATATAGTTTGTTTCCTTGTTGTGAACCATGTCATTACAACTGATTGAATACAATTATAGAATCTTGTCTATCCTTAAATGTGAGTTCTTCTGGACTCCATTAAGTCCCATGTGGAACCCCACATTATGGATGGTTGAGATATGAATCTAAGTTCCTTTTATCTACTCATTTTATATTCTGTAGTCTAGGGTGCACAATCATAACTTTCATGGCGTCCTATGAGAATTATCCCAGTGGTTATGCTTTAAAAGAGTTGCATCAGATTGGTGAGTCCTTCCTCCCTGTCTCTTTCTCTCATAGATAAACATATACATGTGAGTAACTGCTCTCATATATTTGTCTTATTTACCACTAGTGTACTTGATTCACTCCTTTTGATTTTTCTTTATGGATTTATCTGTTATCAGTAAGAAATTATGGAATATTGTATAGACGTTGACTATAAAGCATATGCAATTAAACATAGCAGTATTTTCTTCTTGTTTCCAAGCACGTCATTCCTTCTATGTTTCTATGTATGGTTATGGCCTATGGTTTTAGCGGAGGAGGTTGGAAGCTTGTTTGCATGCGTCTCTGAGCGTGTGTCTATTTTAGTAAGTTTGATCATGCTAGCAGACAGTAAAGTTATATATCCTTCTCTGCCCAAAACTTTCTCCCACCTACCCCTTTATTTTTCTTTCTCGTTTAATTCAGCTAAAATGTAGTTGGCTATAAACAATTTTTTGTCCTCTTTATTTTGTTTCTTAATGTTTTTTCATTGTGAATTGCTAATATTTTGAGCCACGGGTGCATGGTTTCAACTTTCTGCAGGCAATCTTGCTAACAAGACCAATGAACTCTGGGTTCACATCGATCCATTTTCAGCCATGAATGGAATATCCCTCTTTTGTGAAAATGAGTTGCCATGGAGGTAGTTTTCATTACATATGTTACACATTTTGATATGGTACATGCAGAATCTGAAAACTAGGTTTTGTAACTAATGTCAAAAAAGAAATCAATTGCTATGGTTGTGGGAATTGCTGTCATTAGAATGGGCCTAGCATCAAAATATCATATGAATAGAGCACAGTGGTGTAATGTGTAATGTGAGAAATAGGCTTATGTTGTTTCCAGTGTTGAGGTAAGAATATAGTTGCCTTGTGATGTTAGCCTTTTATGCAGCCCATGGTCCAAGCTGTAAGCGTATAACAGCAGTTATGTACTACTAATTGAAATGCTAGCCTGTGAGGAGTAATTGATTGATGTATGATCTTATATTAATGCCAAAACCAGTGTCTAACCATTTTGCAAACAATTAAAAAGAAAAAAAAAATTTGAATGGATATTGTAAACAATGCTCGAGCTAGTTGCCAACAGAAGTAACCTATTGTTTTTTTTGCTGTTATTCACTCATTGTTCACTTCGAAACAGCAGTGACTGCATATTTTTTTATTCATATATTGATAATTTGATATGATAGGTTCCCTGTTAAACTTTAGCTTGGGAAGCATACTGTATAATTGTTTTGTTTTATTGTTGCATTTCCTTTGAAAGCACCAGTTTTCATGTTCTTTTTATGCACTTATAATTCTTTCTAAAGTTGGAATGTTTTTACATCTTTGATAATGCAGATACTCTAAAGAAGAAGAGATTACCCTTGAGGAATTTTGTCGGAGAAATTTCACCTATCTTATAAAGTGAGTTCCCCACTCCCCCTCCACTTATGTGGTTTGTTTTTAATAAAAGAGTCTTTATTTAATGTCAGACCTGGAGTAAACATTTTATCAATGAAAAATGCAACCATGAAGGAAAGATGTACATAAAGAGTAGATCATTGAGAATTCATGGCCTTGGTCATACTTATTTTTCTTCTCTCTTAAACAGTGAGCATTCAGTTATTGACGGGTACAAGTGTTTATTTTATGTGAATGGCTTCTCGAGACTTCATATCCAACCAGAATTTCCACCTATCGTCCTGGTAGGGGATAAATTATCTATTGTAAACTTTGGCATGATAGTATTACCACTAAAGGTTCTAATTCCAAATGTACTATGCAGGATAAAGAGCCCAGAGTTTATATTCATGGAAATATAAAAAATGAAGAGCTTATGCTTAAACATTGGCCAGGATGCTCTTAAACTCAGTGAATTTATATTTGTAAGTTGCTCTAAAGACGATGAAATGCCAATTAAATCTTTCTGCTCTCAAATCTTTGTTCATTTTCTGACAGATGGTCAAGAAAACCAACGGTATGAAAGCTTGCAGCATTGTTTTTCGAATGGCTATATTGCATCCAATACTTGTACCCATCTGTAATTTTATAAGCAAGTTAAACCATTCCCTTGAGTTTAAGGTAACAAAAGGCAGGTTGCTTGTTGGGTATGATATGCATTAAACATGTTTTACCCTTTATACAAGATCATTTCATGCTTAATTTCTCAATTTTCTTTTCTTCACCTGTTATAGGTATTGCTTGTCGAGTTGTCATAGTATATTGTCTCTGGGGCATTATATAATTAGGCTCAATAGGGTTGATGATTCAGTTTTGGACTTTGACCTTGTTTTGAAGTTTATAAATTCTGGTTTGCAAGTTGCAATAAGAAAACAAAATGCAAAAAATCGATGAGATGTATCAAAAGTTTTTTATGAAATTTAACAGGGCAGATAAAAGACCCTTTTTCTGAAAAATAGAGTTAGCACCCAGCCATCAACAAGTTTTAATAAAATTAAAAAATGCACGCAGCAAGCAAAGCAAAGACAGAGAACACAAAGGTAAATGACCCCCATTTACTCGAAAACACAAAATATCCTCTAGCACGTCAAGGTTTTCATTGAGCATATCTGGGAAGCTGATTGAACCTGTAATTAAAGTTTCAAATTTACGGTTGTTTTGGTCCCGTTAGATACTTTTTTTTTTCCCGAAATTTATAAATTATAATTTTTTCTAAAAAGAAAAAAGAGTTTTCAGGATTTTGGATAATGATTGTAAGACATTTTGACAAAGAACGAAACCTACAGGGAATCATGATTTTCTTGCTGCAAATTTGTCCTTTTGCAATCCATTTACTTGCTTATCATCTTATGTGATTGAAGTTAGCTGTGCTTTCTTTTCCACAACTATTATCCCATTGTTCTCATCGACTCCCACATGCTTCACATCTTTCTTTCTTGCATAATTGGCTAGGCTACCCTGTAATTTAAAGAATTTCAATGCTACCAATTTCCAATCTTAATCGTAAATTAATATAATTCAAGTGCACTCCTTCGTTGATAATACTATTCCCCTTACAAATTCCTAAAGAGAAAATAAAAATAAATTGTATTACCAAATTGTGTGGTCGGAATATGTGAGGAGAGGGCTCACATGGACAGCACATGGGTTGGAAGGCACCTTCAACAGACGCCCTTTTGAGTTTTAATTCCAACACGAAATCAAGAACATTGAGAGTTAAAAGACATGCTTTCCTCTTGTTTCACTCCATGAAAAACATGCTTCCAGCTTGGCATTGTCTAACTGACTGCTAATCAAATTCCTGTTCTCCCAAGTTATTATTATTATTTTTTTAATTTCGGTTTCAATCTACAAAGTTGATCAATCATCATGATAAAGTTAATTGAAATCATCATTTTTAAATTAATGCAATATTATGGTAATTATTACACAATAAAGAAGATTGAAGTAACTCTGAATATGGTAAATTTAGGCGTAAATCCAAATGTTTTGAATTGAAATTTTCATTTGGATGTGTCAATCACATCAAAGTGGTTTTTGCCTTTTAAGGTACCTAAAATTTAACTGTTAGATATATCTATCATTTAAAAACTATGAAAGTAAGAGTAATTATTCAATTATATAATGAAAGTGTTCAAGTGGATCTAGGGTCAAATTATTTTAATATCTGAAGCTTGATCATTGATGAGAAGTGGGGCAAAGGACAAGGCTAATGGTATAAACTAAATGTATCCTGGATGAAGTTAGAGAGGGTCCATGCAAGTTGCATATATTGCTGTAAAATCAAGTCTTCCCTCTGTTCTGTCTAAAACAATTTTAATATCTTTACAAATTATATCTTCTTGTTTATAGCTGTAGAAGTGGAAATGCTGGCTGTCTTGGAGTAAGAAATTAAACATGAATAAATATGTACGTAGTAGTACTATTATTTTAATGATTGGCGTCAATTGGGTTCGATGTGGGTCAAAATCAAAATTAAAAACTGAATCTAAGTTTGCAAGTTTCATTGCGTCTTTGATTATTATCACCTGCTATAGTATTTTGATCTGTGAAACGAAAGTAGCATATCGTTTTCTTCTCTTTCCAGCGGAAAAATCAGGCTATGCTCAATGAAGATTCGGAAGCATATTTGAATTTGACTCATAACACGAGATGATTTTTCAGGAGTCAAAAAATGTGACAAGCCCGTGAAGCCAAACACAAGCAGACAAGCAGAACCATGGGTCTTCTTTCATGTTCAAAGTTCTTGTTTGTTGTTGAGTTTTGCAGACAAACTTATGCTAGATCCCTCGTCCAGTAGTTGCCAAGCATATCTTGAATGCAGCCCAACACGTTGAAATCTATACTTTTTTTATTTGCTGTAGGGGAAACAGAGCAGCATATAGTACGAGCACAAGGGCAAGGTTATAGCTATGGACCAGCGGAACAAATACATGTTACCCGTCCGAAAAAACATAACAAATCCGGTTGTGTAAATTTACTACACATGCAAGATCTCCAAAAAGTAGGACCCACAAATTACAATCAACATTTTCCCACATGTAATCACATGATGGGTATGGCATGCCATCAGCACAACAACAGTAGCCACAAGTTAATCACCGGAAAACCTCATTCTCTTTTCAGGAAAATGACTTTAATCCACAAATGAACCACCTTTTAATTTGTTCCCCCTTGAACAAGTTAAGTTTTGAAATTTAATAATCATAACCCCTACTCAAAATCCCACACTTTTGTGTCCAAAAAAGACCTTATGAACTCCACCAAATGGGGACACCCAAGTCATAATTCAAATTCCTGAGGCTACTCTTTTCATTGAAAATACCGACCCTTTAACGACTGCCTTAACCTGTTCTACAGCACAAAAGTAAAGCCATATATACCTCAATAAGAGCAGCAACAAAACACATTCAACATTTTTGGTCCAAAAATCTTTTCAGCTATGGCAGAGTTAGAGAACCCAAATATGATGCCAAATCTCATAACATTTCTGTCTTCTCTTCTCCAAAAAGTGTCTGAATCCAACGATGTAAACTGTCGGTTTCAACCTCAGAAAATTTCAGTGTTCCATGGCTTAACTCGGCCAACTATCTCAATTCAAAACTACCTGGACAGAATTTACAAGTATGCAAATTGTAGCCCCTCTTGCTTTATTGTTGCATATGTCTATCTTGATCGGTTTGCTCAAAGGCAACCCTCGTTTCCCATAAATTCTTTCAACGTTCATCGGCTGCTTATTACAAGTGTAATGGTTGCTGCAAAGTTCATGGATGATATGTAAGCTCTTACCTTCCTTGAATAAATCATAATCCATGCAAACTTCTTGGATTTTATACATGGGTTTGGGTTTCCTTTAGTTTTTCTTTAATACGATTAGCTTATACTTCAAGTGAAGTTTGAAAATTTGTATGCTTTGTAGTGCCAGAGCAGGTTTCCAAGCAAAATCTCAGATTTTTTTCCCCAATTATAAAAAAAAAAGAATCTCAGATTTTGGATAGTCGATTGCTTTTCATGTTTTCTGAATTCTGGCTGAAACATGGGGTTTGATTTTCCATCTCTTTTTTTTTTAGAATTTGAGTTCTTTTTTCTCCTTTTCTTTCAAAGAGCAACCTCTGAAGTGCAATTAGAATTTGGGTTTAGACTTGTTGGAATTGGAAGCCATTAAATTTCCCAGAAAATATATTTCGTAGTAATTCCAAGTTCCAACCAATTGTAGGCATGTGAATCCTGGCTATCCTTGTGATAATCAGACATTTAATCACTGTCTCCATGAAACAGGCCTACCATGGTTTCTTCTTTTATTTTCTCTTTTACGACGTGCTTTAAATTCTAAAAAATGTAAATTAAGAAAATGGATAATACATTTAATATTTTACCTAACATTAAGTTCATCTGATTTCAGTTTCTGATATTTTGGAACTTTATCTTCAGGTATTACAACAATGCTTACTATGCAAAAGTAGGAGGAATCAGCACAACCGAAATGAACTTCCTTGAAGTGGATTTTCTATTTGGGTTGGGTTTCCACTTAAATGTAACCCCCAATACCTTTCACACCTACTACTCCTACCTGCAAAGAGAGATGATGTTGCAACCTCCACCAAGTATTGCAGAATCCTCTTTAAGCCATGGAAGGTCACTAAATGTCCATTTGTGTTTCAGTGAAGAAGAATCCTCTCATCAAAAGCAACAACTAGCTGTTTAATAAAGCCTTTAACGTTAGCTCTGAATGTAGTTAGATAAAGAGATGGTGACTTGTTTAAACATTTTGGGCTGGCAGATTGAACGCATGACTTGTACACTAAAAACCCACATGTTCTCTCTCTCTCCTCTCTTTCTTCCTTTGGTTTCTTGTGGTTTCCCTTTTTGGGGTTTGGATCTCAAATTGTTTTTGTATGTACAGATGGGAGTTTCTTCTTTACAGTCTGGCTATCAAAGTCTCATTGTCAATTAATTTCTCCAATTTCTTTTGGTTCATGCTTGTGCTATTTTAGTGGTGAGGAAAATTCTAAATACCCGCAACATCTTATCACATGTGATAGAAAAAAAGAAAACAATGTATCAGAGTCTCAAATGGGAGTTTCCCTTTTCACTGATGTTATTTTTCCTACCAATTATGGTTCGATGGTACTTTTGGTTGATACCTGCTCGTATCCCCGCTAAGATTCCGTAAAACTTTTCGGAGGGTGCGACTAAAAGTGCAGGGGTGGCAATGTGTTTATAATTGGACAGCATTTGGGTGGAACAAAGAATGAAAATATGAGTGGTGGGTAGAGCCCTGGGATGTAATGATACGAGTAAGTGAGGTGATAAAACAATTTCGGACGCGAACGATGCTGTTCTGTTGTGGCTATTTTTGGTAGAGATGACAAATTGCTCTATTTGACAGTTGTCTTTATTCTTTTGGAGGGGACATGGAACATGTGCAATCACAGGCAACTTCTCTGCTGGAGAGGAGATCCTGCAAATTGTAGCTTGGGGAGTAGATTCATAGATATATCATATACAAGAGTCTTACCAAAAAAAAAAAAAGAAAAATCATATACAAGAGTGCCAATAATGTTTGTATTGGCCGTACAGGTTGACCTATTAACCTGGCAAATTGCAGTTTGTATTCAATATGATAAAAGTTTCTGTTCCTTTTCATAGGACACGATGAGAATAAAAATAATTTAATGCTAGTAAGTAATTCAAAGAAGCCCCAGTTAATGTCAACTTTGGATGCTATATGCATAATTAAGTTAAAAGAAAATTAATAGATGGAGCAATCTATAAAATAGCAAAAAAGTCATCCGTGCATCCAAGATTTTTCTCGTTAGGTTGAGATGAGATTAGTTGAAATGTGGGAATATTAGTCTTATATACCTCACAAGTCACAAGTTTAATGAGGCCAAATATATGGAATAATTGAATACTAAATTACTAGTAATTGTTTCTAGACGTCCAATAATTAGAACCATAAGACCAAGTGAGCAATTTGTCTTCGGCCTGGGACACGAGGTAGGGAAAAACAGAGCCGCAATCATATTAGTTAGCCCAAGCTGAGCCCATTCCTTGACGCTAATTGTTTTGGACCTCAGCTTAGCAAGCCTATAACCAACCCAAGTGGTCAGCGGATAACTACTCAATACTCATTCGAACGTTAATTTGCTTTATCTGTAATACAAAAAACTTCAATAGAAATCAGACTTGGAGAAATATTAAAAAAAATATATATATATATATAATTAGATCATTCTTTCCATTATCTTACAAATTAATAAACGTAACAGCAGAGACTTAATTGTTTATTAAGTTGTGCAGAAAAAATGGTGCTAGTGGGACATTTTGAGCCTGCACCTGTTGAACATCTGAATGAAACTTCTTAATAAAAAAGGCACAGCGGCTGTAATCAAGATGACAAGGGAACTTATATGTTAGAGAAATAATAACAAGAATGGATGAGGAAAGTGGCACAGTGTTAGAGATAAAAGAAGAAAATTCATGCTTATAGCCATCTTCATTAGTGTTAAAATAGTGTTATTCAATCTCTAATAAATAGTTAATTTTTTATAATTTTATATTTAAAATAAATTCTTTCACTTACAATCAATTGATTTTAAATTATATACTTAAAATTGTATCAAAATAAAAAAAATTTTATTATTTTTTTAAAATTTATTACATGATAAATTTTTTTATTTCTATTTACATGTTAATAATCGGATAAAAGGTAGAGTAACAATTATGCATATTAACAGTTAACCACTCGTACTTTTTATTTTTTAAAATTGAAATAACAAAAGCACACAGTACTTTATTTATTAATTTGTACATAACAAATTACACACTTTAGCTTCTTAATTAATTATTTTACATAATTTTTACATAACATTGGGAGACAATTAATATAGCCCACACATGCGCTAATAAAACTATATTTAATAATGTCTTTTTTTTTTTTTTTCTTTTGAGATGTCTAATGTTTTCCTTATTATTTCATTTTATCCTATCTTAAGAAACCGGCAAACCGTATCCCATAACATATAAATAGCTAGAGTTACAAGTTGTTCACGCTCAAACTTATAGGAGTTGCGAGCGTCTGCCTAAAACGTTCATTTTTCTCCATCTTGCTAAGTTTGTGCGGGCTGGATCTCGTCTCTCAGGGGCTCTGTTGTCTTATTTCTAGGCTTGGCAATTACCTGGATCAAACATGGAGGGTCTTCCCTGGTTCTCAACGAAACTAATAGCTGAATCAAACACCGAATCATTAAAGGCGCAGCTGCTACAATCAAGACGAGTCGAAACTTCGTGGCATCGTTCGCGGTAACAAAGAAAATAGAAGATCCGTAAGTTATAATCATTGAAATAGAAGCAACCCGTACTTCAAACTGGAAAGGAAATTTATGCGTGAGAGACATAATAACAAGTAGCGCTGCAGAAAAGGCTAGGGTGTTTGAAGTCAAGAAAACATAGTAGGGTGATGGTTCAGATGCAAAAATAGCAGTGCCTGCTTTTTTATTAGTCCCGTCTTCTGAACTCTGCCATATACCGCCAGGAGGGTTAACCCCAGCTTGGAAGGTCATTGTAGCTATTAGGGTCGCAACTACTAAGAGAGCATTGCGTGCTTGGGCTCTATTCTTCTGTTTATCGTCCTCTTTAGTACCTTCATCGTACTGAAAAAAACGACACCAGCCCCTGAAAGAAGAGCCAACCATTTTCTCTACTATTTGTATTCGGAGATGACGCTTTTATTTATGGGGATATGAAGAAATTAAACAAGGAAATTAATTAGTAGTAGATGGATTTTGTAGAAAAGCTTGGGAATTTAGGTGAGTCTTAATTCAGCTTTTATAGCCTTTCGAACCAAACACTATCAATAGCGTGCCAAACATGAAGCATCAGTGATTCAGTGTTATTACTTCTTTGCCATTTGCATAATTATGTTCGGACAAAATGAAAAGTAGATTCCCATCTCATCTTTGGACCACAACAACGACTTTGTTTCCGATTGCTGATCTGTTGATTAATTACTTTTCTATCATCGTTCTTAATTAGGACAAAAAACCTTAGAGGCACCTCCACTTTCCAGTGCCAAGATATATAACTATATATATTTCTCAATTTCTCATCATTATTTTTTGGTCAAACAGTCAACTACGAAGAAGGCTATAAATCATAATTTTACTTAATAAACAAGGACAGATCATATATATATATATATATATATATATATATATGAGATTATCAAAGTTTAAAGTATGTCATGAGCAAGTAACTCAAAAAAAAATGGAAATAAAAATCCATGCATCGTAAATTGAGAATATTCTAAATTGGGATAATTGAGGAGGCCCTTCCTTATTAAGAGTGGCAGATTGATTTTCAATTTGCGATCAACCTAAATATTCTATCCCAATTATTTACGTGAATAATGGAAATCTAAATGACTTTGACTTAAACGTCATTCTTCCTATATATCTAAACCGCAGTATTATTAGTCCAGAAAATGCATGAGACAAAGACGGCCCGCACTCATTTTTATTTCCAAGGAAATACATATTTGGAGTGAATGATGACCCTTGCTTGGGTCTCTTTCTTCTCTGTTTCATTATATAGGAAGAATGACGTTTAAGTCAAGGTCATGCAAGTTTCCATTATTCAAGTAAATAATTGAGATAAAATATTTAGGGTGATTGCAAATTGAAAGTCAATCCGCCGCTCTCAATAAGGAGGTATCTCCTCAATTATCCCATTTTAGAAAATTCCCAATTTACTATGCATGGATTTTTATTTCCATTTTTTATGAGTTGCTTGCTCATGACATACTTAAAACTTTGATATGTATGTCATAAGCAAGCAACTCATAAAAAATGGAAATAAAAATCCATGCATAGTAAATTGGGAATTTTCTAGATTGGGATAATTGAGGAGGTTCTTCCTTGTTGAGAGCGACGGATTGGTTTTTAATTTGCGGTTACCCTAAATATTTCATCCCAATTATTTACGTGAATAATGGAATTCTGCATGACCTTGACTTAAATGTCATTCTTCCTATATATCTAAACTGCAGTATTATTAGTCCAAAAAATGCATAGACAAAGGCGGGCCGCACTCGTTTTAATTTCCAAGGAAATACATATTTGGAGTGAATGATGAGCCTTTGCCTGGGTCTTTTCCTCTTCTGTTTCATAATAAACGTGTGTGTTTAATCTTATGTCAGCCATGACGGAGGCTTCATCCTATGTAAATGTTACGTATTTAATTGGTCAATAAAGTTAATATTTTGAATCGTTTAATCAGTTCATGCTCAATTGTCATGTCATCTTATTTTAAGAATTGATTCGTTTCTTGTCAAAGAAAGGTTGTCCGACACTTATACAACATTTTATTAAAACATCACTTTAAAACTGAATATTTAACTTTCAATTAACCTAAAATCATTAAATGTAATTTATATTTATCAAAAATCAATAAATGCAATTCACAATCATCTACGTAAAATTTTTTCGAATTTTACATAAATTCACATCAACTATCAATTGTCTTAATTAAATCATCACTTTTAGCCTCATATATAAGGTAAAGAGGAGGTCCAAATTCGTAAGACTTGAGCATTTCCCTTCATTGTAGTTTTCTACCCACACTTTGCCCTCCTCTCCATCAAACCCTAAATACCTTACTAACTTGAACGTATGGGCACGTTTCAAAGAATTAACTCTGACATTTTTTTATCATACTTTCTGGCTAATAAATCTAAGTTCATTTAACCTCCAACCAATTTCTCTTCAATTAAGGCATCCAAAAATATCATCAACAACCAGCAAAGCCACTAACTAGAGTTATTAATTTATGATTCCATTAAGGTGTTGTGCTCTTTAGCTGATCATGAGGTGCTTGTATTTCCTAGCCTTCCAGGTTGTCATTGATTTATTCTATGGATTTTTTCAAATAAAAAAGTTCATTTGCTGTCAAAAGATGTCCTTGATATGTTTTGCTTCCAACAGAAAAGAAATCTATATACTATGATTTACTATTACTATTAGTATAATAAATAGTCTTGCATTATCGTTCCAACTAAGAGACTCCTTTTAACAAGTTTTATTATAATTGATCACATCATTTTATCAATCCACACCATCGTATTGCCAATGTCTTGCATTATTATTAGGAACTCAGGAAAAAATATATTTACATGTGAAGAAACAGCAAGAAATTTTGATTTTGGTTCATATCTGGTTTTGCAACTACTTGAGCTAAAGTCAAAAGGAGACTTTAGCAATTAATTTGAGACTCCTTGCCGTAATAATTTCTTTTCTCTTCATTTGGTTTGTTGTGGTCTGGCTAAAGCATGGGACGAAGGAAGGGTTTTAACAATTTGAGTGGAAAGTTGAAGTTATATAAATTACTAAATGGAGGTTCTTAATTCTCACCTAAGAATTGGCCATTTGCGAGCAGTTGGCATTAGATCCAACTGCATTGGGAAGTTGCCAGGGTTCCAGGCTTAATGCTCTTCCCACAAGCATAACATAATTAAGTTGCTATAACTAGTGAGACCGGGTGGATTCAGGGAAGTTTAGAAAATTTAAAAAAAAAAAAAAATTGGTCATTTGCCAATAATTTCACAAAAGGCAGCGAAGAAAAAATACATTCAAAAAATAAAATCACTAAAATTTTTTAATGATTTATTAAAGACATCGTTCATCATGAAAATGGAACTTTCTTTTACCTCATAGAATGTGAATTTCCTTCATGAATTATAATTTTTTTATTGTCTGATTACAGTGTCAAATTTTGATTTTTTTTTTCTTCTTTTTCCTTTCGAGATTCTCAAAGTATGGTAAATTAGAGATCCAATATTGGGTATTTGGTATAATCATTAAAGAAAATTAGAGCTAATCAAGCTGTACTTTCTAACTAAGTCAATTTATCTTTGGATAAGTTCAAAGTACGTTCTAGAATCTAGCCCATTTACTTTCATGAAAATTTGCGATATATGGTAACATTAGCGTAGGATTTGCGTGATAGGAAGAAATTAAAAAAAAATGAAAATGAAGATGAAAAATTGTGTAATTCAATGATTAAATATTAAAAGAGAAATGTTAACTATTAGTTAAGTTGATATTTAAGAAAAAAAACATGTAATTTTGTGAAAATAGTACATTAAATGAAAAAACATTTTTAAAGACTTGTTAACAGGACTTATTATAAAATATTCAAGTAGACCACGTGATTAACAGCTGCCGATCAATTTTATGTCTAAAAGTTGAAGGGTTCAATTTTTTTTTTTTAATAAAAGTTTAAGATTTCAATTAATTATAATAAAATGATAAAATAATTTAAATTTTTTTATATATTTAAGCCAATTTCTTACCATATATCATGATTTTTGAACGTCAGTTTCTCTTTTTCCATTGTTAATTAAGGGATGCCTTGATTAAGAATTGTGAGTAATTAATTGATAAGATGAAGATTAAGTTTCGTTTGTTCTCCTTTTATATAACGACGTTACATTTTCTATATTCGCACAAAAATGAAAAATCTAACAAAATTTTTTTAAGTATCCAAAACATAACAATCAAGCAATACGTTTTTTATGTCATTCTTTGTCCTTTACAATTTCTTTTTCTTGTGTAATACCGATACCTGCAGATAAGGCAAATAAACCAAATAAACCTGTAAGTTCTAAAATTATATTACAAAGAACAAATTGTTATGTATTTCGCAAGATACAAGACGAATAAAATTCTAAACTGTCATGAATTGTTTGCATTGTATAGGCGATTTCCATTGATTCGTCTAATGCCGTTTCATGTATCTGAAACAACTCCCCATTTCTTCAGCAGCCAAATGGTGAACCGAGCCAATTCTGGAAGAAATAGAAGACCCATCAATAAGACCACCATGTATATTTCTCTCAGTTTGGTTGGACCCATATAGATTACAGCAATCACGTAAGTAGCCATCATTGAAAGTATGACCAGCCGTAAGCCTGCCCTGAGAGGGAATCCACTGGTAAGGAGAGATATCATGGCAAGTGATGCAAAGAAACCGATTGCATTAAAAACAGTGAAGACGGTAAAGATATCAGGGTCACTAGCCATGACAGCTTCTCCAGGCATCATGGCTCTCTTTTGAACGTCGGTGATGGTCTGAGACTTTCCTTTCTCTGCATCCCAAAAACCACATGGAGGGCTATAGGTTGCTTAATATGTGACTGTTGCTACCAGGCCTGCCACAACCATGAGTGCATTTTGAGTTTCATTTGATGATTCCGAAACTTCTTTCATCAGTTCCATCCATAGGTTCCATGAACAAGAAGATCGCACTATTTGCGTGTTGTTAAAGCTTTCCGCTTGTGTTTGACAATAAGAAGGGTCTGTTGTGATTTCTCGGGCTTTCACAGCTCCAGCTTGCAGAAACATCTGATAAATATGGATATCAAGAAATTCACCTCCATTTTGGAGCAAAAGATCTAGGATGTCCTTTGGTGTGGATCTGCTTGAGTTCATGGTATTTGCGTTAACCCCAGAAACAAGTGCTTCTTCACCAATTAACAGTCCTATAATCTGCAAACCAGTGTTTATATATACATAACTTACACTTATGGAAAAGATTCAATGTTGAATTAAACATAATATTCTGGAAAATACTGACAAGGCAATTTATATAATCTATTCTATACTAGAGTTTTGTGTACAGCGAAGGTATTAGATAAAACCAGGATTTGGTAGTGCATCTGCTTCAACTTATGCTTGACATCTTTCCACAATCCGAATATGGTAGAAATGTGTATTTTTTTTATTTTTGTTATTTTGTTAGATTCCCCAATGAAATAATGATATGCATAATTAGCTAATTAACACCCTGCTAGTTTGTCCTTTTCTTCAGCTTCAAACAAATGGTTTCCCTAGGGAAACTGCTCAAGGCACTCAGGCACTATCTATGTGCTTTCAGCTTTGCTTAGCTAGGCAACTTGTTATATATTCTGACAGGGCAATGCCATCTGCACTAAACAAAAATAAAGTTCACTGCAGAGAACCAATTTGAAATTTACATGATCTATATAATTTTGTAAAGGCATTCAGGATTCAATAACAACCCTGATTTCACATGCTGGCGTGCTGCAGTTTTTGAACAGATAAAAGAGACACCAATATCTAGTGAACGAATATATAATAAATCGAAAAAGATGAGAGAAAAACAAGTGTAGACACTTTTTTTGGTTTAGGTTCGAATCAATTGGGTCTAATCCAATGAAATAAATGATCAAGCCCAAGAATTTATTAGTTTTTTTATCATTCATTTATGTTGCTTATTTTATTATTTTATTTTTCTTAATTTTATCTTTTTCTGATTGTTTATCTATTTTATTTATCAATTTTTGTTAGATAATAATTAAAATAAAAAAATTTTAAAAATAATAATTTATCGTGAATTGGGGGTTGGTAGGGTTAGAGTTGGATTCAATCTGTTTAAAGATTGATTTCTTATTTTTTGATAATATTGAAACCTTATCGAATAAGAGTCAAGATTAATTAAAAATTCTTTTGATTAAGCTTATAAAAATCGACTTATCAGAATCCAGAAAGACAGATAGAAAGACACATATATAAAAAGATAGAAAAAGCAGTCATAAAGTGTGGAAGATTGTTGGGGGGAATTTTTGGGAAAAATAATTTTTTTTTTGAAATTTTTTTGAAAAATCTTTAGTTTTTTGGTGAATTTTTTGACACCGATTGAATTTTTTTGATGAATTTTTAGGCGTCGATTAAACTTTTCGGTGAGTTTCCAACCATATTTTTAGATTCCGGTAAGCTTTCTAGTTTTCGACAGCTACTTTCCAGAAACTGGTAAACTTTTCAATGAACTTCCGACGAATAACTCAAATTTCGACAAGATTTTTTTAGAATCATGTGAAATTCAACTAGTGTTCTTGGGGGGTTCTATAGAGAAAGGAAGAGAAAAGAAATAGGAAAAGATAGAGGGGGGAAGCAAAAATCTGAAGGAAAAAGGTTGAAACTTGAGCTTTTATATCGTCTCAAAACAACGTCGTTTTGGGTGTTTTATTCAGTCAAGATCCACGCGTTTTGCAATAGGGTGACCTTGTTAGTGACCTACTTCACTGTCCTTGGCTCAAGCCGAGCCGAGCCATAAGCCGTGCCTTTTCTAGCCACTGTTCCTCCTTGAAGCCAAGCTGAGCCGCACCACAACCATTGGAGCCGAGCTGCTTCCTATTTTGAGTATTTTTTATTTCTATTTTATTTTTTTTAAAGTAGTTTAGCATGATTAAATTTTTAAAAAATAAAAATAAAAAAATAGCAAAAATATAAAATAATTTTTTGAGCATAAATATTAATTATCTAATGATTAAATATTTAAAAATTTCAAATGTTAAATTTCTATAAAATTTTTAGGTGATAACTTTTTTTAAATTTATCTTAAATGATGAAATAATTTAGATAAAGTTTCAAAAGAATAATTAATATTTATTTTCAAACAACAAAATAAAAAAACAATTGGTTGAAAATATTTGACAATTATCCAAAGATGAGAATATTAGAAATTTTAAATGGTAAAGTCCTAATAAATCTAAGTGAGAAATTTCTTTAAATTTATCCCAAATGATGAAAAAATTTAAATGAAATTTCAAGAAAAGTAATTGTCTTATTATTTTTTTTCCAAAAACAAAAAAAAAAAAGAAAAAATTTTTTCTAAATAGGCCTAAATGATGGAAAGTTTAAAAATTTTGAAAAAAGACAATATTTCTAAATTGACTTATTTAGAAATCCAACAAAATAAATAAATAAAATTTCTAAATAGGCCTAGATTATGAAGAATTTAAAAAATTTGAAAGATAAAATATTTCTAATTTGGTTCAAATTGTAAAATAATTAGATATATTTTTGATAAAAAAAACCAAACAAAAAAAAATCTTTCCGACGACGGAGCCTTTTCAAAAAATTAAATAGGATTCTTGAATACTCTTGATGAGTTGAGAAAATATTTTTAAGAATTTTACTAGATTAATAGAGTTTTAAGAGTTATTTTCAATATTCAAAATCAAAATTTAAAACCATCAGAATTAAGATTTTATGATAAATTTAAAATAAAATGATATCATCCTTTGGAGGGGCATGCGTGAGTGCTATAATATTTTACACATGTAATCGAACTTTCGAATTTTGTTTTAGTTAATAAACCTAAATCTATTCTTTTAAGGACTCTTAGTCAAGTTTAAAAACTCCTCAAGAGAATAAATTTTTTAGATGATCAATCACACTTAAATAAAAAATATTATTGCTGACTTTATTTATTAAGTCTAACTATAAATTCTCGGATCTATATATTATGACAACGAGGTAATTAACTAGCAGGAAGAACTGCACTTGACTCATGTTGTCTGTTGGAGGTTGCCTGATGTAATATGGTGTTCCCATGCTTGTCTTTCCAATTCAAAATTTCCATCATTTGTAACCTCCTCATCTCCTCAATCAATACCCTTGCAGCTTCAATCTGGTTACTCTTCACAGCCAAATGAAGAGCAGTTTCGCCACTAGCACTCGCTTCTTTTAAGAGACTCTGGGCAAGCCCAGATCAGTTCCTTAACAACATCAAGTCTCCCTTTTAAAGCCGCGCAATGAAGTGGAACCTTACCATCGACATATATCATATCCAACTCTCATAAGCTCTCTTATTATTTCAATGTGCCCATTTGCTGAAGCAACATGCATGGGGCTAAAACCATTCTCATTTAGCTCCCTAGCAAATCCGGCTTTCTGCTCACAATTTCTTTTGTGATTTCTGTTTGTCCTGTCAATGCTGATATGTGGAGTGGATTATCGACTGAATTTAACGCAACTCGATCGAGTGGAAATGGATCTTCTTCTAGTAATGAGTGAAATGCAGATATATCTTCAGAACGAGCTGCTGCGAACAATCTTGGTTCCATTGATCTTGTTGCCCTTAGCAATCAGACATGCAGTATCAGCTTTTAGTTTTGGAGGGAACATTTTAGTCTATGTTAGATGATTGAATTCGTAATCCTGAAGTTTCATTTGCCCAGTGGACTGGGAATGGAATTTCACAAATGGGCATACTGGCATACAATTCAAGCAAGAAATAAAGTATATATTGTCCCTATTTTTTATCTGTTTTTATTACTATTAAATTACTTTTGAAACCCGGAAAAGTAGCATACAAGAAACTTAGAAAAAAAAAATTCAAAGATTTGAACCGCAAATTATATAAAGGAAAAGAAAGAGTGAATCTAAAACGTTGATCAAGTGGCTACGGCCTACTTAAGAAAGTGATGGTTGGGCTGCTATTAAGGACGACCCAAGGCACTACTCCAAAAACCTCGAACAATACATAGTCAAACCAGTGTCTAATACTTAATGGGCCACTGGGCTTAAACCCATTGTTCTAACAAAGCAAAGTCCTTAAAGTCCATATGATTGTACTACATTTGCAATGCTTCCTTCCTCCCTCCCCCGTCGAACCAAAATAAAAAAAAAAAGGGAGATGGAATGGGAAGGTTAAGAAAATATGATTTTGGGCTGGAGTTCTTTTACTTTTTATTTTGTTAAAAATCTTACAAAAAGTTACTACTATTACAGATTTTGCTACTTGGATTTTTTTCATTGATGATAGGGCATTTTGCGGCCATTGCTCCTCCAATGATGGAACTGCCAACTACCAAGGACCAAAGAAGAAAAATGTTCACTTTAATCCTCTAAAGCAGAGAGAGAGACAGAGACAGAGAGAGAGACAGAGAAATTAAAAGCTGATGTCAGGACTTCTAAAGTCTTGTAAGCAACTATTCACAAGCCAATCTAACGCATCCATGTGAGTAGTAAATGAGAAAATACATTCAATTACCTCCTCCAACGGTCCAACCAAGAGGGCTGCTTCCACAACGTACTTTCTTTTTTGGCCTATCCCCCACCCCCTCTCTCTCTCCACCCACCAATAAATACGAGAAAAAAACCCCACTAATGCTAGGACCGGCTAAGCTAATATCTATTCTAAACCCTCGAGTCAAACCGAAAAATCCTCCACCAAACACATCCTCAAAAAATAAAACAAAAATGGCCTTGGAATCCAGTCACCACCCAAACAAAAACCCCTCCGCCAAACCCCCAAAGTCCAGCCTCGGAGCCGTACCCGAAACCCCACCCTGTGCGGTGGGGTTCAATTCCCACAAAAACAAGATAAGCATTAACTTCGAACCAATAATAGATTACATAGAAATGGGTGCCATTTAAGTTAGAAAAATGAAACAAAAAAAAAAAGTGGACCTCTTTGTCATATAGGCTGGTGCGCAACTTATCACCCCCTACCCCAGCGGCGCACGTTAGCTCCCGCACTCGCCCACACCTAAGCGGTGGCCTCATCCATCTAGATCTCAAAATCAGCCGCACACCCCTCTCATCCCCCTTTTAGCCCCCACCTCCCCACCCCCTACAACAACCAATCAATATGTCACCAAACCCCACTTTCTCCTCCACCTCTCCACCACCAACATTATCTCCCACTCCACAATTGTTCTCCTCCTCCTCCTCCTCCTCCTCCTCCTCCTCCTCTTATCCTAGTTTTCTTTATTCCCAGCCCGAAATCCACTCTGCTATAGCGCACCGCGCCCCTTATCCATCATCCCACTCTGCCAAAGTGCGCCTTCATCACCCCCATCTTTAACCATCCTTATCTAAGCCGAGACCAGAAATTTTAGATCATGTCAAACCTATCTTGTTCTCCCTCACCCCAACAGGACCCACCATCGAACACGTCGCCTCCACTACCGTCAGAAACGCCGCTGGCCCTCCCAGCACCGCCAGCATCCACATCCACACCATCGGCAACCGCCACCGTCACGCCCAACCCAAGGCGGCTCCCACCACCTTGTTGGTCACACGATGAAACCGTTGCCTTAATCGACGCGTACCGCGATAAATGGTACACGCTTCGTCGTGGGAACCTCAAGGCCAGCCACTGGCAAGAAGTGGCGGACGCAGTGGCTCGGCGCTGCCCCATGGCGACGCCTCCTAAAACAGCCGTGCAGTGCCGCCATAAGATGGAGAAGCTCCGGAAGCGGTATCGAACCGAGATACAGCGAGCTAGATCCATGCCCGTTTCGAGATTTTCTTCTTCTTGGGTCCACTTTAAGCGCATGGACGCTATGGAAAAGGGACCAAATGTGAAACCCGATTACAACTCGGATAGCCCAGATGAGGAAAACGATGAAGACGAAGAAGATGACCAAGATCAAGACTTTTACGAAGATGGGTATAAGAACGGAAACGTCAATACAAGAAGTGTACAAAAGTTGTACCGGAATGGCATTGGAAACAGCGGTGGAAGTGTCAGCGGTAGTGGCGGTGGATTTAGGATTAGGATTCCAACTGGAGTTAGTATAGCACAGCCAGGGCCAAGATTTTATGGAAAAATGGATCAGAAGTACGCGGCAAACCCTAATTCTAACGCTAGCCCTAACCCGATTCCTCACTCTAATAAGGGTAATTTTGGTGGGTCGGGGTCTGGGTCGGCTTGTGGGACTAGAGTTTTGAGGGGGTTTGAGGAGATGCCAGGGAAAACGTCAGCTTCAGGGAAAAGGGAGAGGGAGAGTGATGCGATGACGGAGATGGTGTCGGCGATAAAGGTATTAGGAGATGGGTTTGTGAAGATGGAGCAGATGAAGATGGAGATGGCAAGGGAGATAGAGACAATGAGGATGGAGATGGAGATGAAGAGAACTGAGATGATATTGGAGTCACAGCAGAGGATTGTGGAGGCTTTCGCCAATGCAGTTTCAGATAGGAAGAAGAAGTCCAAAGGAATGCCCTCACCGGAGACTTGAGATGGATTACTTGCTGCAAAAGATGGAAAGTGGGTTTTCAATCCTTTGACTACTGATGTGCCAGTGTAAGTTGGTGGAATGTTTAGGGTTTTAGTTAGTTTTCAATTTTTTTTTTGTTTGATTATTGAGTGATAGGATTATGTGCAACTTGATCTGCTGTAGCTTTTGCCTCTTTCTGTGGATTAATGTAGCTTTATTTTCTTTACTTTGCACCTAGTCGTAGAGTAATTTGTACTTGTGATTGTAATCTTCATTTAGGCTATGATAGGAACGTTGTTTGTTGGTTTGACATTAGATCATCTCTTTGTCACTGCTTTTTTGCGCCTATGTGTTTGATGGTGAAGAATATGTAGATTGCAATGTTGTCATACTGGGTGGCCTTTTTGACAGGTTATTCATTTGTTTCTGTGCTCGGCTATGAAGAAGAAATCTTGACACTTCTGTAGATGACATGGAAACTTTTATTTTTAACGAATGAGTTGGTGTAGGAAGCAGCAAAGAAAATGTGACTTAATTTCAATCTGAGATTGTTCTATGAGAAAAGCCCTGTCTTTGATTATTATTACATAAAGTGGAAACTACATATGGATATGGTTGGTGGTCAGCAGATCAGTTATCACTTGTCAGGCGCTTGTATGATTCAGAACATCAGGAAAGTTGTTATTCAGGAATACGGTCATCAAAGCTGGTGTTTCGTTCTGTATACAGCATTCATTCGACAGGTTAAATGGTAAAGTTAATTTGAAGAGCATGATGTCCACAAGATATTTCATTTTCCTGACTTGTAGAACAGTTTGGCGTTTCTTTATGGCTGATATCAACATTGGTAAAAGACCGGGCAGATTGCTGATTATCTTCCCATTTGCTAAATAGCTTAGTTATGTTTCTATTCGCAGACAGATGCACTGTATCATCGGCAATATTTAACCCTAATCTAACAATCTTCACGATCACGGTGCTGCATTAGAGATTCAATGGTGCCATTGCCAAGTTTCATGGTTCATTTGCACGAGATGAGGTTAAGATGTGATGCGTGAATACCAGATATTCTTAAACTTGTTTGGTTAGCAAGTTCTGTTCTCTCGATTTAATTAAAATGAACGCAATGCTCCCCTCACAGCAAATAAAATCGCTGAATATTCACCATATTTAATGGTTTTGGAAATCTGAGCCAAATATGTAACGATCAAATTGTGGAGAATGTCGTCCAGCCAGCTGAATAAGCATCTGTTTTATCTTTTTGCCTTGCATTATATTAGCCATTTGTAAACTATTAGTAAAAACTACTATCTTAACACCTGGGAGTAAGCTATATTTTGAATTATTTTATTTTATTTTTGAGGTTGTATCGACCTTGAATGTTTCTTCAGTCTGATTTCATTACATGTCAACAGCTCAAAATAGGGTAGATCATAGAATTATCGGGAACGTATGGTCATTCATCATCTTGCAGAAAATGCTCTGAATCTGATCATTCTAATCAGAACCTGCTTTACGACTCAACTTCCCAACTTTGAGGATGATCACGCTATACCCATGCTATCTGTAGATAATTATAAATATTTCAAGTTGGGATTTTCTATTTTATATCAAAATGTTATGTTTTTGTTCCTTGTCATTACTATAGCCAACCATTTTCAAATGCCCATTCTTTTTCATCTGGGGCCGTCCAACATGAAGCATAATACCAAATACCAAGAATATTATCTTGCGAGGTCGGAGGTTCTGAACCATAATTTTGCAGCGTTGTGGTTGCAGTTTGGGCTTTCTTTTGCCTGCTGGAAAATAAAACGAAAAATTGAATAAAAAAAGGAGGACTGTTTTGGGGATTGAACCCGACGTGAATCGAACACGCAACCTTCTGATCTGGAGTCAGACGCGCTACCATTGCGCCACGGATCCTTGTTGAAAATATCGGCACTAATTACTTTCAACAGCTTTTATTCACGAATGACTATAACAAAAATAAGCAAGCGTAGCTCCTGGTATACATGCTCACACACATACATGTATATACCATGATCAAACCTGGGTCACCTGTCATCAGTCAAGTCAATCCACGAAGTGACCAAAGAAAAGGCAACCATTCTTCCATAGCAAGAACTACATTACTTGTATGATTATTTAAGGCCAAATTAGGTTCAAATTGATTATATTTTTTAACCGACTCTTTGGAAACAAAATCTTGGTGGGTATTCATCGGACACTGGAAGTATTAGATGAAAAATTTATCCCTGCACTACATTCTGCTGCACTTTGCTCCGATGAACATATGCAGCATCAGATATCAAGGACTTCTTCATTCTTAAGAACCATAAAGGAACAGGTTTTCCCAAGACAGATCCTTTAACATTGCTCCACTCCTCTGGTATGGTTGGAAGCTGCGCAATTTTCTCCACAATGTCCATATCTTTAGGTAGAACATAACCAAACACCGTGTGTGCTTTTCTCCACTCATTGTGGTTTGATAGACTGATAAAAAAACTCTGGTCCAGCGCCAGCCCATGCAATCGATCCTCTTCTTACAGTGGGGCAAACCTCTACTGGAATATCCTTAAATATGGTCCCATGGGCTTCAGGTGTTCCTTGAATTGGTGCAAATATGGGGCCAAATGGAGCCTACATAGCTCATGTGAGCAACACTTTTAAGTTACAACTTGAAAATGCTGAAAAACAAATCATGCATGTGTTCTGAAGGATTGGATGGTTTGAAAAGCATGAAAGAGGATGTGACCGTCAGATATGGTCAAGAATAGATGTGAAATATAAATAATGTGAAGAACTGTCGAGTACATTGACATGCAATAACTTGGCAAAAATTCTGAGGAAAGCCTTACATGTTCAATGTGATTTTCTCGAGGATCCCAAGAGTTTCCCCGGATTTCAGCACAATGAAATTGGCGACCCACAAAATCCTGCAATCCCAATAGCTCAAGAATATATGCAACAGAATGTGAAGCACAATCAGGCAAAAGCCAGAAATCATGGATCGCAACAACTGAGAATAGAAATTGTGCAAAAGGAAGAAAACTAAATTGAACAAATAGAATTAAAATAAAGGTGATAACCCGTGAAACGTGCAAGGCTTATGCCATTTAGTTTGGAATAAGACAATAGAAACAAAGTGGGGGAGGGACAGAAAGAAAAAAACTTCAAAAAACAAAGGTAACACCACCAATATTATATGTCACACATCATGTAAAGAAATAGACGCTAAAATCTTCTCATTGCAAGGGCAGCAATGACAGGTAAATTTGGACCAACCTCTTCCAAGCTATACCAGCACACACTTTGTGCAGAAATTCCCTAGTCTGGAGTAAATTAGATGACTTAAAGTTTTGAACTTCATGAACATAAGTGAAAACAATTAGGGATCTAGCATCAGTTGACTTCCAAACAAGCTGACAAACCTACATTTACCCATTGCATCTCGACTTGAGGTGACAGCAGACAGACGTGGATTGGGGTCAAGGTGTGCAACCTGCCCCATATAACGAAAAACAGATAAGAAGATTGTATGGCTCTAACTATTCGAGTGGTACTTACATGTAGAAGAAAAACAGAGAAAATGAGCGAATTATGCTGCACGCTTATACTATTTGAATTATGCACTTAATTTAACATGGACAACCCCATATACTGTTTTCAACTTAACAATGCCCTACAAAGAAAATGGCAAAGCGTGTTAGAAGTATGAACTAGACTGGCACATATTTCACCTTCTGAAGATTGTCATAACAAAATGGATATTTCAGCATACAAATTAGAAAATCACAGTAACAAGGGCACTCTGACATGCATGTTTCTTAAGGCCAAAATATTACTACATGAAAATATATTCCGTATGTAATAGCTAAGTTTTTCTATTTATTTCTCCACATCCTCAAAGCTTGCAGACACTTGCTAGAGTTCTGAAGGGTTATGAACTCCCAAAGCTAGAGTTCTGAATACAAATTAGTAAGAAAATCACACTAACAAAGGCACTCTAATGTGCATGTTTCTTAAGGCTAACATGTTACCATATGAAAATATATTCCGTACGTAATATCTAAGTTTTTCTATTAAGTTCTCCACATCCTCATACCTTGCATACTCTTGCTAGAGTTCTAAGGGTTATGAACTCCCAAAGCTAGAGTTCCGAAGGGTTACGACCTCCCACAGCCAGAAAAGTTTAACGTGTTTTGAGTAAACTCACGCTCAGAGATTTATACGACCAAAATTTTGATCAGCAAATACAAACCTCTCCTTTACCAAAGATTAGGCCAGGTGTCCATATAACTTTTTCGCCTGAGTCTCAGCCGATCAGGATTCAAGGTATTCTTTTTGTTTCTTCAGCCAACAATGAACGCAAGAAGAGGATAAATCTTAGCAAATTTTATATCCACAGCAAGGATATAGAAAGAATAAGAGAGTTCCCTCTTTTAATAACTAAAAGGAAAGAGGAAATGCTGTGAATTAACTTCAGATTTTAATTCCAAATTTGATATCGGTAGCAATAAATTAAAGGAACTCGTACCGTTAAGATTAGGAAATCACCCAAAAGCAATTCGTTACATCTGCGTTGAAATGGAAATGTTCATATAGTATTTATCTAGTTCAATCCTTTTTTCCCTTTTTTCACTCTCCTTCAACGATTTTTACAGTACTATCAGAAAGACTGGGAATTGAGTCTATGCTTCAAATTTCCAATCAACATTGCATGCAAAAAGGGAAATTTTCCAAATTACTAAATCCAAATATAGAATGAACAAACGAAGGTCGAGATCAAAGCAAGAAATATTTGTCTACCTCACCAAATCTAGACCCACAAGCCTCTCCATTGCCACAAAACACCCAAGAGTCACATAAACAAGGCCCATCGTCACCCTGACACATCTCCTTGCTAGCCTTACAACACTCTTCTTGAAAATTCACTTTGAACTCCGATTCCCATTTCACTGCATCACCCCCCAATTCCTCTGCAACGTCCATTTTCTTTTTCATCTGTCCTCAAACGTTCACTTGAACCAACAGAAATAGTGTCGCTACTGCCTCTAAACGCAACGGAGAAGTTCAGATAGGTCATGCAACAGGAGATCGCGGCTATTGAGTCAGCTTGCCTACAACTCATTTGACAGAGTTGACAAACCCCGAAAGCGATTCACCTATTCATTGCCACTGTGTAGTTAATCTGGGTTTTCCAGTGTGATAGCAAACAGAGGAATCCCATTTTTTCTTTATTTTTTATCATACGATTTTTCAGAGTTTGTAATGCTTGAGGAATCATTGAGCAGCAGAATAGAATGATTAATTACTTTTAACGTATATTTCGAGCCTTGGACAGGAAATATAAGCGAAGTACAGTACATGAGTACAGCACTGGAAAATAACCAATACAAGCTCTATTATACATATATATATTAAATAATGACGTCATATAGGTAGATACAGTCCTGTGGATTATCTTCAGCCGTCAAACGGAAACCAGATGGCAAAAATAAAAAGCATGTTGTGGAGAATAAAGGTTTAAAAACTTTCAAGAGAACAAAAAGAAGGTGGGACTGTATAAAATCGAAAAATGGTATACAAGCTTATGTTTCAACTTGAAGAAAAAAAATGGGAAAGGAAAAGAAAAGTGGCTTACACGGACATAAACTGGAGGCACGATTTTATATTTAGGTATTTACACAGGCTAAAACCGCCAACGCTCGTCTAGTTGTCTTGGATTTATTGGTAATCAATGATAGGCATGTTTGATTGGCTGCTGATTTCATTTTTGCAAAGTCAAATTTACCATTGCTTTGGCATTTTAGTGAGAGTCAATAACAATGGGTTAAAACAGGTTATTGCCACCGTTGCATCCATTTTTAAGTTGACGGAGATGATGAATAGAAACATAGAAGAGTATTCCTTTCGTGATCTTGAAGTAAACAGCCAGACAGGTAAGGATTTTTTTTGTTTTTTTTGTAAAGGAAAAAAAAGGAGACACGCTTGGAGAAGAAAAAAATCGGGTTGAGCACTTGTGGATCGAACTTTGAAGTGATAAATATGAGGGAAGATACAGCATACATCCATAATCCATCTTGGCACAACTTATAGAAGAAAGCAAAAGCTGTTTGGACCTTAGTAACAGCAAAATTGCTTGTGTTCGCGGTCAATAACTATTACACCAGCAGACTTGAGACTCCATATTCTTATACAGTTATAAGGCTAAATATTATTACTCAATTAGACTTTATTTTTCCGCCAAAGAAACTTTGTAATTACTAATCGCAACGACTTTCTGACATCATCAGGGTTGGCCTGAAATCTAGTATGCCAATTCAAAAGAAATACAAGCAATGAATTGAAGATTTGCCTACTCGATAAACATTTAACAAAAATAAGTTTCCCATTGAAAAACAAAACACAGAAAAGTAGTATAGCAACTCAAAAGAAATACAAGCATTTTCAAACAAGGATAAATACAGGACCATACTTCGTTTTCATTAAAGTGGAAACTTCTTCAAATTGTTTACAAAGCCAAATTACATCAAGAAATAAACTACTAAAACTAGCACCTACATTGCATCAAAGCAATTAAGAAAAAAATCATGCTGCTAAATAAGTGCCAGTCCTGCTAATAGCCTGTTGAGATAAAACAGTATACTATGAAGTATAAAAAATGTTATGCAGACACTGCTACTTCCCCATGATAGAAAACCTCGGTTTATTTCCAGCAAAAACATGAATGCATATGTAAAAAGCTTAAGCAAAAATGGAAAGGAACACCCAATCAAGATTTTAATTTCAAAAACCTTATCAACAAAATGGAAGACCCAGACAATCAAATGCCTTCATGCTAAGAATTTTGATTCTATACCAACCCAGGTAACAACAAAATTCTACAAGAATCACATTGAGTCAAGAATAAACCACCATGGAGCAAAAATCACTGAAAGGTAGCAGGTTCCTGTAGACTCTACACTAAATGAGACAAAGTGTCTTGCATAGACCATTCTTTTCACATCTATCGCATATTCTTGTAACTTGTCAACCTATATGTTGTTAAAATACTTGGGGGAGGGAAATCATGTCACTCAATTGTTCTTAAGTGTAGTTAGTAAAAATCAATAATTTGTATACATTGTAACTCCAGCTAAAAGGAGTGGCCAGTGTGTTTTCTTAAATCAACAATCTCTAAGTTACCAACATACCCACAGCTTTGGTGATTACCGAGCCAATTAGGATTCAACTTTTCCAAAATCACTGCTCTACTGAACCCAATATGTAAAGCAGCAACTGCTTTTCCACAAAGTAATCAAACTTAAGAAACAACAAATAGATATCCAACTGAAGAACCTCCAAGTTCTACCAAAAGTAAATTAAACGGGTTTCATCCACCAAAAACCTCCCAAAACTACCAAGTATTTGATGAATCAATCAGGCATTCATCATGAGAAACTAAAAAATTCCCTTAGATCCATATAGTATCTTTACTTGGAGAACAGCTTCATAAGGAGTTGCTTTATCAAAGAAATAACCTGGCAGAAAAGAATTAGCAAGTAATAAAACATATGGAAGCGGTCCTTCAGCCAGAACTGTTATTTTCGTACTGGTCATAAGAAAAGTTCAAATCTTTGCCTAGCATACTCCATCAGGCCAACCCGAAACCAGAAAACCAGGAATCAAACACAAAAAGTATTTCTGAAGAAAGAAGTCAACCAAGAACACTGAAAATACAACACAGACTAAAAATCAAACACATCAGGTATTAAAGATACCATGCCCTCCCCTTTATTAAGATCAACTTCCCATTGCATCTTAGTCTGGAATTCTCAAAGGAAAACAAAGCAAAACCAAAAGTTAGAAGTATGTGTCTACAGTCTACAAGTTTGTGAAACAAGGTCAAGCACGCCCATTAATTTCCTCCAGGCTTGTGTATGGCTTCACAAAGCACCAACTTCAGAATGTGATATGCTTATGCATGAATGTCCTCCACTGATGTCTTTATAGCCTTCAGTTAGGTGCCATTTGAACTCTCCATGCTTATCAAGCTAAAGAAAATAGCATGTTAATGCCTTGTTTCTATCTTAATCAACATTTACCTGATGAGTTCAGCATGGCAAAATATCCAAAATCCCTGACCAAACGTATATTAAAACCTTAATTTCTTCTCTAATACTCTGCCCATTAAAATATGTGATAAATGCTTCCGAATTATCGATCACGAGGAGTTCTTAAATATAAAAATAAACAATGTTGTTCATACACACAGCACATTCTAAGCACTTGCCATTTTCATCTCTAAATGAGAATAGTTTTTCCTTACAGCATAAACTTGAATACTCACAAATAACCTGTTTGTGAAACTAGAAACAGCTTGAACCAACACACACCCTCTTTCACATAAAACTTTAGCCTCAAAATCTTTTTCCTTCAATGTATGGAGGCTATAGCACTTGGCATGCTTCTATCCAATACCATAATCCAAAAGCTTCAAATGTTCCACATCCTACAGCAGCCTCATTGTCTTTGAAATCTGTTCCATAGACAAGTTTACTTGTGACAATATAGCTATGTCCTTGACAACACATCTCTCAGAAGAACATAGAAACCAATTTCTTCGGGGAGCCCTAATCTCCGTTAAAAATACACTAATGCTAAAGATTATTGCACTTCCATGAGTGCAACATGAAAGGAATGGGATAAAAAACAATTTGACTTACATCAGTAGTATGATCCAGAACCACCACCACCCATGTAACTGCTGCCACCCATACCACGACTAGAATACATTGATGAATAAGAGCTACCACCAACCTGCCATGGAAGCAGAGAGAAATATCAATTTAGGCAAGTGTTTTTTAAAAATTTTAAACAAGAAAAAAAAAAAAAGAAAAGGGCATACATCAGATCCCCTAGGCATGTAATCACCACCATAACCAGAGGATGAGTACATTTCTCCAACATCACTGCTGCTGAAAGAACCTGAAACCAAATTAGAGTAAATTATTAAATCACAAAACACCAATAAAAACATGCCAACCCCCAACAGGCAAGGGTCCCCTTTTTCTTCTTTAACAAGTCAGCAGCAACAAAAGACACACCTCCACCATAGCCCATACCCTGACGACTGCCATATAGCCCATGTGAATCCTGACTGCTGGACATAGAACTCCTGCTGCCACCATATCCTAGACTGGATCTACCAAGCCTATCAAAATAAGACGGAAGATAAACATAGCTCCTGAAAGAAGATAATAAAAAGAGAGAACTGCTTATATTTCCAAATGTCAGTCACATACCTATCACCATATGCATCCACATATGGAGGCGCACCTCCAGCAAGTTCATATTCTACATGAGCCCTTGAATGCCTGGCACTGACATCAGCATATCGCGGAGGAATATCATCCTGATTCAAAAAGCAGTATGTGGCATAAACAGCTTGGAAATTGTTAAATCATGCTAATCAGACAAAATTACATGAAGGAACAATAAGACCAACCATAGCCGAATATGGTCGTTTTGAGCCAGACATAGAGGCATAATCACGGCCACGCCCCTCACGGTAACTAGGAGGAGGTCTTTCAAACCTTTGGACATATGCATCATCCACATAGGGTCTCCTTGCAGCAGGACGAGATGTGCTTCTAGGCAAATCAGAGTAGCCAGAATTGCGAGAAGAATACTCATCTCCATATGATGGGCGTCTCTCAGGAACAAACCTAGAACCATAATCCACAACAGCTCTGCTTCTTGGAGGAGGAAGCTCATCACGCCGACTATATTCCCTCTTCAAACTATTCTTTGGGTATGTTGCAACTATAAAAAATCGAAATTCGAATTTTTAAATATAGATAGCCAATTCAAGAATATAGGTAGACATGATACAAAATTGAGGCATACCAGGTGCTCTTCTGTCATAGGATCTAGAAGGAGGTGGAGCCAAAGGCCGACCTCTAGCTGTTGCAGACATAATAGGACGTCTATCTCTTAATCCAACAGGCCTCTTTAGACTAGGTGGTGGAACACGACTACTAATTCCTCTTATCCCACGAGGATGGAAATCATGTGAAGCTTGATGACCCCATGAACCCCTAACAAATCGTCCAGATCCACGCCCAGACCTGAAACTATCACGGCCAATGTGCTTACCCCTGCCTCTCTGATGTGGTCTTGACAACCTAGCTCTGACTTTAGCCTGAAACAAAAGAGTAGCAATTAAACAAGATGACATGTAACTCATGCAGACAACATAATACACCAAGAACTTTGACTAACCTTGTTGTTACCTTCACCCAACTCAGTATTGTTAATGCTCTTAGCACATGTGACTGCAGCATCATGAGTATCAAACGTAACAAAACCATAATCCTTCCTATCAGCAGATGGCATATTACGGGCAAGTTCAATCTTTTCAATCTCCCCATATTTCTTCAGCAGCTCCCTAACACGATCCTCATCCCAAGAAGGAGGTAGGCAATCAATAAATATGGTCCTAACCTGAACTTCGACCATAAAATCATCAAACTCTTCTAATAAAAGACATTCATATTTCCAATAAGCCTAAGCCTTTAGCACCATTGAATGCGAAAAAATTAGCATAATTATTGGTACTCCACACCACCTAATGCAAATATATATATATATATATATATATATATATATATCAAATTACCTGTGCCATGATTTCGTCACCTGGGTCAATGAAGGAATCGGCAAAAGAAACCTTTGCAGGCCTATCAACCCCAAATAAAACATCTCTCCGTTGAAGGCGCTTAAAAGCATCCATGGCATCTGAACGAGATGCAAATTCCAAGAAAGCAAAGCCTCGATTCATTCCCTCATTGTTGCTATCTTCTACCAATGTTAAGTCATCAACATTGTCAACTCCATAATGTTTCAACTTCTCTTTCAACTAAAATCACAGTCATTAACAAACATCAGGAACATATTATCTACTGATAACCAGTTAGAAAGATACTCATACTTTTTAGTTACCTCAAATAAGCCAATGTACTTACCGCTTCCTTTGTCCATGTCCTGCATATGTTACCCAGAAAAAGGGTGTCACTGTCTTGACTTGGGGTAACACCACACTGTTTCCCGTTAATCTGGAATTTCATTGAAACAAAACAATTTAAGTTGTGAAGTCAATACATTTTGACGTTCAAAAAATGATTTTGAAGATCAATAATTACCACAGGATTCTTAAGTTCTGTAAACGCTCGCTTTGCTTGTTCTATAGTTGCAAAACGCAAGAATGCAAACCCCTTGTTCTTCTTTGTTTGAAGGTTCATCATCAGCCTAACTTCAACAACTTCACCAACTTGGCTGAAGACTTTCCTAATATCATCCTCAGTGGCATCCTTGTCTAAACCCCCAACAAACACTTCAAACTCTTTACGCTTCCTTCTCTCTTGAACAACTTCATGTCGCTCCTCATGCTCAGCAGCATCAGCCAAATCTGCATGCTCCACTTTGTCCCCAGCATGCTCATCATCATCATCACCTTCTACTTCAACTTCTACTTCTACTTCATGAACATCTTCTTCATCTGACAGATCACCCTCAGGCTCTTCCTCTAATTCATCCCCCACCTCATCTGCATCCATCTCCTTCTCATCATAATCCACCCCACCATATTCTTCAGTTTCATATTCAGGTTCATTATCATCCAATTCTAAACGCTCATCTTTTTCATACTCCTCAATAGACTCCTTCAAGTCATTATCCTCTGCAATGAAAAAAAAGGGTAGAATAATCCAGGTAAGTCAAGAAATAATCACCTAAAAACAATTTATACTAAATTCTAATAAAACAAAGATCTCTAAACAGTCCAAATCCTCATAAAGATAATAATTATCAACCTTGTAAACTCTCAGAAAGGGGAATCAAGGATAACTTGATGTAATTAAATACCACATAAGATCCAACATAAAGCACAAATTGTAAGATGCTAAACTCCCGAAATAACCCACAAAATTACAATAAAAGCCACAATTTTTTGTAGAATAGGGACAAGCAAATAACAACAGAAGAACGCCACGTAAATTTCAAAATTGCTGATGCCCCAATCCCATCAGATTGAGATCAAATCAGATAAACCAAAAGAGACAGAAGACTTACTCTTCATCGCAACCAACCCATTGAAATTCAAATTTAATCCGGCGTTTTCATCCAGGACAACCCCAATTGGCTTCCCATCACTCTTTACGTCCTCCACGACCTCCTCTTCTTCCTCCTCCCTCGCCATCACAACCGGAACTGAAGCATCCTCTACCCTCACGGCCTCCTCTACAGGCTCCGCAGGTGGATTCTGGGATTTGGATGCCCCTCTAGTGGACCTCGGCATCCTCTTTGATCCAGCGGACGCAGCCCCTCTCTTCGCAATTCTAGGAGGCATTGCTTATCAACCTAACGATTTAAATATCACAATTTGATGATTAAAAAACCTAATCGAAACTCTCGATGGAAGAAACGAATTAAACCCTCCCACAAATTGATGAAAAACCCTAGATTGCTCGAAAAGGAATCCAAATTAAAGACCCTGATAAGTAAAAGAAAGTATACTAAATAAGAAAACACTAAAATATCAGTTAAAACCCTAACCCTAAATAGGATAAAGAAACTGGAGAGGAGAGAGAATAATAACAAAGACGGAAAAAAGAAAAGCGCTAAAAACACAGACGTGAATTTTGGGACTCAAACGAGAATATTTATACAAGGTTGATCTCCGGGTTTATTTGGTACTATAACTCGGAGGGGAGTTATAGGTGTAAGTGGAATTAGGGATTTCTATTGGTACGTGGATTTTGAGTAATATTTGACGACACGTGGACAAATTGTAATGTAGGGAAAGTGTGGTGAGTAAAGCAGGTGATTATTTTTATGATCGAGCTCGGTGACCTGAGAGTTGGGAGTATGATGTAACGATGATTTGTTTGGTACCGTCATCCGCCGCCTATGTGGCACTGTTACATTGCGTAATCAGTACGATAATCTTTTTTTCATTATTATTATCAAACGATAATAATAATTCAGCACCGAGTTACAGCTTATATATAAAAAATTAATTCCTAAAGTATTTATTTTATCCTAATTTATTTAACTTTTTAATTGAGAGTGAAAGAATATGGGTTTATTTTAAAATAGTTTCACATACCCTTAATAAAAATAATATGACTTCATATCATCATAATTCACAAGGTACATGCTTAAAAAAAGGAAAGAGAAAATACAAGCATGAATAATGATCACATATTTATCAGGCATTGTTTGGTTTTTTATTTTTTATTTTTTTGAAATATTTTAAAATTATATTTTTAAAACATTTAAATCTTTTTATCTTTTGATATTAAAAACTATGAAACATCACATTTTTAAAAAATAAAAATTTAATATCATATACATTAAAATCTTTTTTTTTGTTGTAAAAATACATGAAAATTAAAGAAAAAACTAGTAACAATTATAATTTTACACTAAGAAAAGCTCTACAGTCAAAATCACTTTTGTCATGTATTTATCAAACAATATTTGGATCTTGTAACAACAAAATTTCACCATTCTCTCGTACCAAAAACAAAACTAAACTTTTTATGATTTAATATTTGATTTGATCATGATTCATGAATATTCAAGTATGCCACAAATAACAAAAGTAATTTTTTATTTTAAAAAACTATATCAAACCAATAGATTTACCAATATGTTTAGCTTAACGTCTTATCTTTAATCTTTCCACGAATCCCAACATCCAGTGTGTGCTGACCACCTAAAACTCCTAGTTATATTAGGAGCAACTTCGGGATACTTAGTCACAGCAGCCTTTAACTTCTTCCAATCGCGGAGTGCAACCGTTAAATCTCTAACCTTCGCACTTATGTGGCGGCAACAATTTGCATGGACAGTGATTACCGCGCTGACATCTCCGCTGTCTTGACAAAACCCACTGAAATGCTTGGTCTCCAAGAACCTTAGTTGGAGATCCAGTTGCCTGCAGATCCCATGCCGCAGTAAGTCCAACAACACATCTTGCTCTTTTTTCCCCGTGGAATTGTCCTTCTTGGAATACCATGTGTCGAACAGTGAGATGGTCTTGTTATTTGATCTGATGTAGTAGAAGCCGGTGTTGATCAAATTATGCTCAGGCCGCGGATCGCCATTGAAATTATCAACGCTGATTTGGAGATCCTCGATTCCGTTTAGTCTTAACTTTGTTAATGGATTTCGTAGCCACAACACATCTGTATCCTAGTAGAATGAGCAAAATAATTAATTATTAACATCTCGTTAGGTATGATCACATTCAAGTTTCACTTCAGAGTTCAAAGGACTGGTATAAAAAGGCCTTATATGTACCTTTTGATGATGGTTCTTGAGGGTTTGAGAATTGTCAACTTCCAAAATAATCATTCTTAATTAATATAAGTTTGGTAAACGATAAATAAGAAGAACCTCAAGGAAAAGAAAAAAAGACTGTTCCAACCAAACATAGACTAATTACTTTTGAGCCCAACAAAAACATAAGTAGACAGCCTAAAAAATGTCGAGTCCATTAAAAACCTGTGCTTTATGACAAGAAAAAATCAATCGATTAGTAGATCAGAGGTTCAAGTAATCTAACTTCATGGTTTAATTGGTTAATTGGGTTTGTTGTTAACTTCGTCATGGTTACTGAGCAAACATCCAACCGTGCTTTCATTTCCTTGTCGAACATCCAATCTCAACTAAACACTAGAGCTTTTGCGGGAAAAACAAAACACTAGAATTAATTTTACAGAGTCGACCCCTTGCCTAAGAATTAATTACCCTAATTTCTTGGCAGCCTATATTGCTACACCTTACAGAGTTTCGTGTGATTCAGGGCGCTGACGGTTAACGGTTGAGGAACTTCCCCAAACATTGAGGGCACTGATTGCTCAGTGAACTTCTCCCACGTAACACCAATGGCAAACAATGTCCCAAAATGCTATAAATTCCGAGTTGGCAATTCAACTTGGGTTCTACGCAATTTGAAATTATAAAATTCTTTTAATTGAGTTCTACATCGAGTTGAGTTTAAAGTAAAAAAAGTTTGAATGAGGTTTTAGGCAAACTCATTCTTATTTGGTGTGTATATACATGTATATATATATAAATATATATAATATTTTTTATTTAATTATATATTTATATTTATTTAATTTTATGTTTATACATTAAAAATATTTATTAATTTTATGTTGAATTAATTATGATTTTACACGTATATGAATCAGATCGGATTAAATATTAAAATAATATTTTAATATCAAATTAAATTTGATTCGAGTTTTAGGTATATAAAATTAAATCGAGTTCAAAATATATAAAAATTCTTCTCAATCTAATCTATTATCATTTTTCATTCTAAACTAAATATGATTTTACTGTTTAACAGAAATAATAATGCGAAAATTTAATCAATATTTATCATGATTTTCAATTAATGGAATTCTAAAACATGGAATAATTCCAAGAAAATAAAAGATTTAGTGAAGAATTGTAAAAAAAAAAAAAAATGCTTGCCGTGAAAATGAAGCTGTAGCCACGCCTCAAGACATCTAAAAGAAAAAGAGTTCTTGTCCACATCATCTTAATAAAATCCTGCGACATATAAACTTTCTCCCCACCAAAATCAACAGCTTCTGTCACCAATCTGTAACAGTGCAACCGCTTAAATTTGCACCGATCATAAGCCGTTTGATCGACGGTAACAAGTAGTAGATGATCGAGCAATGCCCTGGCATTGTCCCCTACCCAAAAACTCTCCAAGAAAAGGTCCAACATTGTCGTCTCAGCATTAGCACTTTGCTCAACATAAGCTCTGTTGACAACTGCAATGATCACGGTCTTGTTTGGCATGGAAGCTTCATGCAGCGCCAAATCAAGCTCGTCGTTTACAGGGAACTTTACGATGGTAGTCTGAAACAGAAAAAGAATGAGTTTTCATCACTAAGAAAATGATATAAAATTTGTATATACTTACAAAATTGAGGGTGGACGGTTGGTTTCTTGATAGGGCAGTAATAAAGGGTTTGATATTGAAGGAGACCAGACACATATGTAAAGAACTCCAACTAAAAGGAGAAAAACTATTGCAGAAGTTCCTCGATAAAGGTTCTTTGGGTGTTCCATGAATGAGATTGAGAATTAAAGGGAGTAATAGGGCGGTTGCGAACTTTCTTCGATGAAAAAGCCTTTGGTTTCTTTTGGCTTGTAAGGATTCACGAAAAGAGTTGAAAAAGCCTTTGGTTTCCCTTACCTAATTGACTAATAGATTCATTAAATATTAGTTCAATTAAAATTTATTAATTCATCGTTAATTCGTTATAACTCATAATAAATGTTTAGGTTTTGTGATTTCATTACATTATAAATGTTGATCACGCAATAAAACTAGTAATCTTACCAATTGGACTAACTCCTTGCGAATAAAACCCATTGATCACTAACTATTTTGTAATGTTAATGTCCAGTCATTTACAAGTTGGGAAAATTCGACTTTGTAATGGCCTTCAGAGCCCTGAGTCCATGTCTTAAAGCTTAACCAAAATGGAGCTTCAAATGCTAAGAGGATAACAAATTCCACAACTTAGATCACAGAAATAGGTTAAAAGCAAATTTGATTCACATCAAATCATTGCAATAAGCAGCCAATTTACAGAATCCAAACAACCTTAGAGTTCTTGAAGATGACATAGCAAAGCCCCAACTTCAGAAGGAGATGAAGCACTCGATAAAATCAACACAAAGAAAATGTAATAAACAAGATCAAGAATGCACAAGAGGAGAATCATATAGTCAACTTGACACTGTTGTTCACTAGGGAGTTTGTTTTAAAGAACATGGCATATACTCGGTTTCTTCTTTCGCTTCTTTTGCTTTGGGGGCTGGAGAACAACCTTGATAGCAGCATCAAATACAGCTTTCACATTCTGCAATTATCAACACAGATGTTCTTAATGTGTTGAAAAAATGTATTTCTTAAGCCAACCCTGCATTAATCCTGCATTATTTTCTTATGCCAAAGCAAGAAGAAGATCAATCAATGGGTTGATTTTGAGATCATTTGATAAATTCTGTTAGTTTAAATAGTGTAAGACTGCACTTGGGAGGAAAAAAAGTATATTGGATCCTGTAGGTATATGTGATAGGCACTTTGGAATAATAGTTTTATCATAATAACACAGATGCAAGACAAACCTGCTGTGTCTTCGAGCTGCACTCTATGTAAGCCAGTGCTCCTATTTGCTTCTTTAGTTCAAGACCCTGGCAACAAAAATTTAAATATCTAGTATTATAATACAATATAAGTTTCCTAAATTTTGAAAGATCTCACAAATTGCCATTTTAATCAGACAGCATGCACTTCGGTTAGCTTCAGATTCCAAGAAGCTCAACAGGTGAAGTGATCTTCTTTTCCTCTCCCTGACCACCAATACCGGACAAGAGATGCATTACCATCGCCCAGTGTTTTTAACAGTTCAATTTATGTTTGGCAGGAGTTGAATTCACACGCCTGCCTACAGATGATACTAAGAAAAAGAGAAGGAAGAGCAGATATACTATCTGCTACCTGAAATGGATTGCAACTTTATATCTTGCCTATTAGATGAGGATAAAAATAAATTTGTGAATGGCTTAGACTTTCATTAAAAAGTTGGAACCAGTCCACGACAATGCCCTTGATTTACTGCCAATACATGTTCTCCGCAGAGATTTCTCGTTGTTTCTTTTGCCTAAAGCATTCAAAACACCTTACCTAATAGTGACAACTTCTGCAGATTCTATTCTATATAGCAAAACAACTAATGGTGCCACAAACAAGCAGAGAATGAAGCAGTGGGAACAAAATATTATCAGTGGTACCTGTTCTGTAGAAATAGTACACGCCCCAGGATAATCCAAGCGGAACTGCCTGTCTTCTCTTAAATCTGCATCCCAATTAAATTTATTAACAGATCAAACGCATGTAAACCTTGTTCATGCATGACAGATATTCAAATAAAGCTTGCAGCTAGAAAATCAAAACATAATTGAAACCCAACCACAAATCTCTAAGGAACAAAAATGTTCATTTGCTACATTTATGTACACATTATGTGCATTCATTTCTTTCTCGCTTCTTTTTTTATGCTGCCAATGTCATGATACAGGTAAATGAATTTAGAAGAATTATTCGAATTAATCATGCACGTACATGAGAATATGATGATAAATTTTTGATAAAATGATTATAAACAAGCAGAAGAAATATCTGTCTTTATGATATGCAAGAAGTGGAAAAAAGAACAAGAGAAAGAGCTTCATATTCTTCAGCTCTAGTTTTTTTCATCAGACATGCTCAATTATTCATAGCATTTTGAACCTTGATTGATAAGCAAAGGCATGGTTATGGAAACATCCATTAGCAGAAGCAATATAACAAGGAGGAGAGAGTCCATCACCTAGTTTGGTCCCCACAAGAACAATGGGCATTGAAGGGGCATAATGTCTCAGCTCTGGGACCCACTTTTGCAACACAACAAGGTGCATAAAGAAAAATAAGTTAGAAGTAGTATCTACATTTTACATTTCATTAAACTAAGCATAAGCACAAGAGAAGTCATTAGAGGGTTTAAACTTTAAAAACAAAAGAAATGAGCAGAGAAGCTTACTTTTTTTGATACATTCTCATAGCTAGGCCTACTTATTAGGGAGAAAGCAAGAAGGAACACGTCAGCTCCTCTGTAACTTAGAGGCCTCAACCTGTTATAGTCTTCCTGACCTGAACAAATTGTACCATCAACATTATGGAATCCATTTTGTTTTATAATCAAATCACTAAATCTTAATTCCAAAGACTATTATTCATTTCAAGATGCACGGTTTCACTAATAATTGATATCTAAAGGCTATAAAAAGACCTTGAACAAAATAAATGTGGATGTCAAATGGAAAGGATCTCATCCGATGGTGTGTTATAAATTTCACTGTATATGAAACAAGATAATAATACTGTTAAAACTTATTCATGGCAAACCGTCGGCCAAAAGGTATAATAGGACCTCAGCACCTTCTTAATGTGCTCTCTCTAGGTATGAAACAAAAAAAAAACTACAAGTGGTTATAATTTTACTAATTCGGGCAAACAGAGAAGGCAGGGTTTCTTTCAAAGTGAAACTGGGCTTGTAACTTTTGGCATAACATGTCTATTTCTTCACTTTATTGGGTCATCTCTATTGTTTTAGTTGTGTTTCAACTCTTTTCTACAGTAGAAACTAGCCCTTTATGCAACATTAGACTGTTTAAAAGTTACGTAATTGACAACTAAATGTTTAGCAATTGTCGGTTGCCATGAGGAGAAAATGGAAAAATTGGGACTCTCAAACAATTTGGGGTTCTAAAAAGCCAAATTTCTATTTTCTTTCAATTTCCATATTTCCTTGTGGTTTTATCTTTTCCATTTTAAATCTCCACATTTTTTTTTTTATCAAACTGAAACAAACCAATATATCACATATTAGCATACGTAATCATCACAGTTAACCACCATTCCTATCCAGTAAACAACGAATTGACAACATTCAGCAAATCCCATTTCAAAATCTGAAACAGCTAACAGAACTGAAGGAAAAACTAGCATTATTTAAGCTATCCACACCGAACAAGTAGAACTGTAGAAGTAATTATGAGAGAAGCAGAGAAGCATACCTGCAGTATCCCAGAGACCCAAATTGACAGTCTGCCCATCAACCATAACATTGGCGCTGAAGTTATCAAAAACAGTTGGAACATAATCCTGTAAATAAGATTTGTAAGAAGCCAAAAAGCAAAAACAATACTATAAGAAAATGCACATGAACCAGCAAAGTCAATGCAAAACCAAAAGAAAGATGAAAATGTAGGATCATAGTAGAGAAAGAAGTTCATACAGTTGGAAAGGTGTTGCTAGTGTAAGAAATAAGGAGACAAGTCTTTCCAACAGCTCCATCCCCAACTGTAACACATTTTATGAATTTTGTTTGTGTTGTAGCGGTTGCTGATGCTGCTGTGCCAGTACTCATTGTATACAGTTAAACTGAACTCTCATCAACCCTGAGAAGTTTCCGAGATTTTTTCTCTGTCTGCGCTATGGTTTGATTAAAAAAAAACAAAGTTAAATAGAGAAAGAGAGACAAGAAAGGTAACAAAAATTTTCCATGAGCTTTCTGGGAAAGAAAAGTAAATGGTGGAGCACTTTAATTTGAGCTGTCAGAGAGGCAAAAGGTTAAGAAAAGCAATACTCCAATTTCTATAAATTTTATTCCACGCGCTTGGGAGCATGGAAACAGCGGCTCCATTGCGTTTTTTGTTGTTCTGTTCAACATAATAATTTTAGTTTTATTTTTATTTTTATTTTAGAACTCACCTGAGATTAGTGTGAAACACGAGAAGCGGCAGCGCGTGGACAGAGAGCTCTTTAGTCCTTGTAAAAGGGACAGTGGCATAATTGTCGGACCCATCTGAAGCCAACTTTAGGGAAAACCTTGGAAGGCTTTAGCACATCAAATCTTCGAATGATAAAAAGAAATTAGGCAAAAGCTCTGACAGCTACATAGTTTTTTCAGAAATTAAAGTTCAGGCCAGGGCGCTCGGCCAGACAGCTATGCTATCTCTTCAATTACTTAAACTTCTCCTCATGAATGCTCTCTCTAACACTAATCATTTATCAGAACCAGGCAAACCCTCATCTTCATTTATTTAAACAGGATGCTTGTTTTTCCTCTATTGAACAATCTGTTCTTCTCTTTATCCCCTTTTAACGAGCTCTTTTTCAAGCTTTCCGTTAGATTTCTTTGCCTTTATGAGCTAAGAAAATGTCATCATAACATTTTCTGTGAACAGCCTAAAGTCGGTGTTTGCCACACTTATGGCTGAAGTGAACTGACTTGATTTGCAAATTTCATTGAATGCAACTATCATGATTTTTTAATTGCTTATTGCAATTAAAGGTCCTAAAATTGATTTATCCCTTTTTTTTTCTGTTTTATATTATAAGTTGAGAAAAAAAATGATTGTAAATTTTGGAATTTAACTTTTAAATTCAAAGTGCAACGCTAATTTTATTTATTCACTGATATTATCAATTGTAAATCAGCAAATGTATGAATAGAAATTTTATTTTTTTAAGTGACTGAATCATAAAAAGGAAAGTTGGATTGTAGGTTCCCAACAAAACAGTTTCTATGAGGATTGATTTTTTTTTAAACATGATAATTCATATTTTCATGTCATCTAAAATATTAAAATTTATGCATTTATATCATATTTTACATAAAAATTATATGTCACAATTTGTATCACCACGAAAATATAAAATATATTTTTTAAATTTTATTGAAATCATAAATAATTATCATTAAAATTTTAAACTATTTTATTTTTGTGTCTTATTTTTATATAATATTTATACTATCACAGTATTAATTTTAGATTTTAAGGTTTTTTTTTTTTCAAAAAGTACTATAAATATGGGTTTCTATTATTTTTCTCCATACTCCATTTTTCAAGTAAAAAGCTAAAAATGGATTTCTTGGCCCAAAATGTTAAAAAAGATTTGTGGGCCCAAGATAAGTTTAACATGAATTTGGGCTGAAAAAGATCCGGCCCATTAGTACTAGATAGAAGATCGGAAACACGAACGAAACATGTTTGTTTCATGGAAAATAGTGAGAGAAAAGTGGCAATGACATCAACGGCTGCAACAACCCCATACCCTCAATATACTGTCTCCCTCAATTGTAAGCTAACTGTATCAAGCCTTTAACCTCCTTCAAAAATCTATCTTTTTCCCTCTTATCCCATCAAACAATTCATTGTTGATTATTTTGAATGTAATATAACCAGGTTAATTCATGATGAAAATGACCCTTTTACTTAAATTAATAATTTAGAGGTAAAGCTCGATTTTTTGTGGGCCTCAGTATGGGCTCGGGGCATTGCCCAATGTCCATGGGGATCCTTTGAAAAAAAATGCAAATAAAAGAATTGAAAATTGTAAAAATAAAGGAAAAAAAAAAAAAGAGAAGCACCAAGCCACCGCAAAGGACAAGAAAACAAGAGAGACAGAGCACCTTGAGGAGTTCGTGTATCCTTCTTATTCAGAAACCCTAGTTTTCGCCGTCTCTCTCTATCCAAATCTGCTTCCTTCAACCTCGATCTCCTTTTTCATTCTCTAAGAAAACGACGCTGTTGCATCCTCCCACCCTGCAAAACCCTTAATTAATCAAATCTAGGGTTTCTTCTTGTTCTCTCTCTCCCTCACAACGCAATGCATCCCCAAAAAGCTTGAATTTTTGCCCCTCCGTTGATATTGAAAAAGTTGGGAGCTTTTGCCTTTTGGAATTTAGGTGGTGAAAGAGAAAAAGTTATGTATAGTCATAGAGATCGAGGACGAGGGCCATCGAAATCGGAGCTAGTGGGAGGACCGTTGGATCGGAAACGCATAAACGATGCGCTGGACAAGCATCTAGAGAAGTCTTCCCCATCCACTTCGAGGGGCTTGAACAGCAAAGACAAAGAAAGATCCTCTGTTCCTTCAACTTCCACTGGTAAATCCCAGCTTGATCATCGCGATTCGCGCTCTGCAACTCTCTCCAAAGCCAAATGTTCTGATGGTTAGTTACTTGTCGGTCACTCTCTTTCTTTGTTTCTTTTTTTTAATTTTTTTCCTCGATTAATTTTGTGGTCAATCGTGTGTTTGTTTCGAATGCATTGGCTTGTTTAATTTGATTTCGTAGGATCTGGGTTTGAAGAGCTTTGGGCAGCACTGAGCGGATGTGCTTGTGTACACAAATGTGAAAACTGTTTAACTATTACTTACATTATTAAATACGATTACTTGCTGAATTTTTTACTTAACCTTTTCCATTAACAAAGTGCATTGTTAAAGTCAAATGCTTGGGATATTGGTGTGAGGTTGTTTATACTTAAGGGGCTGTAAATATACTTGTGTAAGTTTGAAATTTTGATGCATTGTATGATTGTAAGTTTGAAAATTTGATGCATTGTATGAATTTGTATGTGATACCCGTCCTTGGAGGTTTTTTTTTTTTATTTGATATCATAAATTTCAAGTTTTGTCACGTTTAGCTAGGATTGGATTTTTAACTTAATGGTAAAGCATTTTTTAGCTAGTTATAATTCCTTGTTATTTTTTTCCTTCTTGTCTTGTTTTTATGTGAGATGCAACAGAGACTATTCAGATCATCAATCATGATTGATATAAGCAAGTACTTAAATGTGAGTTTCTTCTCAATTACCTGTTAATACCGTCCTTGATTGCAGAGGAATCTGAGACAGACAGTGAAGAATCAGACGTAAGTGGTTCTGATGGAGATGACACCTCTTGGATCTCATGGTTTTGCAATTTACGAGGCAATGAGTTTTTCTGTGAAGTTGATGATGATTACATCCAAGATGACTTTAATCTTTGTGGCTTGAGCGGTCAAGTTCCGTATTATGACTATGCGCTTGATTTTATATTGGATGTTGAATCTTCTCATGGTAAACTTTTATTGACTTGATTTGCATATATAAATTTTGGATGACTTGATGTTTACCCGATGAGGTGCTATTATTTTCCAAATTATAGACCATTGTTTAGCTGATGTTTTTGCCTCCTCAATTCTTAGATTTATTCTCTGGGGTGTCTAGGCTTTGATAGTTTTGTTTTTGGATCTTCATGAGGATTCTAGTGAGGAAATAATTCGGAAGGGTAGATCAAAGTTTTCTGGGAATAAGGTGTAAGACAGCCAAGTTAACTTTGGTAGCTTGGTTAATTGGGACCCCCACATAAGAAGACTCTTGACTGACACTATAACTCACTGAATGTTAGTCATATCATATGCGGTGATTGGAACTTGTTTGGTAACATGTTGGATTTAGAATGCATAACTGTAGACTTATCCGTCTGCCATTCACATAGAAATTCTATGCTTGCTTGAGACAATGCTTGTTATTTTGAAAAGCTTTTTCTTTTTACTTTTGAATCTCTGCAACTGCTGCAGAAAGTTAACATGAGAAATGTTACATTAAGTGAATTGAGGAAATATATTGTTGCAATTGTTTTAAATCTTCTGTTGGATGCATTTCTGTTCATATAGTTTGCATTCATAATGTTGGTATCTAATTTACCTACTTTTCTCGTGTTTTTAATGTTTCTTTGCGTCATCTCTGTCAAGTGTGCCTGTTTGCTTTAAATATTAAAAATTTTTCTTTTACAAAATATGGCTCCTATTATTGTTTCTTGATACTCAAATAAATCAACAGCCATCAGTGCACTTTCGTTCTTGATATTAAGTAGATGTCTCTTGGGTTTTATAGGTGATATGTTCACTGAAGAACAGAATGAATTGGTTGAATCTGCAGCTGAGATGTTGTATGGTCTTATACATGTCCGTTACATATTAACTAGCAAGGGAATGTCCGCTATGGTAAAATTGCTGTAATTTTTCCTGTTTTTTCTTTTGCTTTCTGTTGATTTCATCATATCTTGTTTACAAAGTTCTACTTGAAACTTCTATTTTTAGTTGGAGAAATACAAAAATTATGACTTTGGGAGATGCCCTAGAGTTTATTGCTGTGGACAACCTTGTCTTCCAGTTGGTCAGTCAGACATTCCTCGTTCAAGTACTGTGAAAATCTACTGTCCAAAGTGTGAAGATATATATTATCCTCGATCCAAGTATCAAGGCAGTATCCTTTTTATTTCACCTATTATTTTACTGGTTATTTTTGGATGATTAAAATTTTACTGGTTTTAAGAACTAAATTACCTTTTGTTTGGTTTTTCTACTATATTATGCTTTTTGACATTTGACACACATCCTACTAAGATTAAACAACTTGTTTCTTAGATAAGATATTTGAAATTCATAATACATGTGTTATGGACTACCCTTCTTGTCCTTGCATATTAAGTTTCCCCCAACTACATTTTGTAAATTACTTATTATTTGAAAAGATAATATATCATTTCACATATACATAGGATCTCTTAGATCATATTGGACCTCACATTTGATCATAAATCTTTTATCCTAGAGGATCAATATGGCGATTGGAATTCCTTTTACCATTTTTATCATGACAATCAGAATTAGCATTATTTGGACGTATGTATTTCAATTCATTCTTTCGTAAATCAGTTTTTGTCTTTTTTATTTTTATCACATTCTTCCCCCTATTTTTGATGATGGGTTTAGTGGGTCAAGTCTGCACCTACTATAGTGGGAGACACGCTATTCTTGTGCTTTATTGCTACATTTTCCTTTGTTCCCCTGTTCCATCTCAAAGATTATGATATCAGTAGGATTTTGTAGAATCTTAAAACTTTTAAGGAATTTTTCTGATGAAAATTATTATCAAGTTAGCAGATGCTAGGGGTGCCTGTGCTCACTCATGAATCTCATATCTTCCTGCCAATTATGGGATAGAAGCTAGTTTATTTCATGATGTCTTTGGGCATGTAAGACAACTCTTATTTGTGTCTTGGGTTGGTGGAATCAAAAATTGGCATGACTTTTTAGTTCTTCCTATTTCCTTTTACCAGATCATGGTTTTATTACTACATTTTATAGCTTAATTTTCTTGACATTAACAAGATATTGATGGAGCTTATTTTGGAACGACATTTCCACATTTATTTTTGATGACATATGGGCACCTAAAGCCACAAAAGCCAACACAAAACTACATCCCAAGAGTTTTTGGCTTCAAGATCCACAAGCCCTAATGTGCTACAGGAGTTGCAAGCTGTAAGTTGTGTTGAGATCTATTGTTCGGCAGCAAGGCGGCGATTTTCACATATCCGGTGCAGTGGATGCCCTACCATGCAAGGTGAAGTGGGGTTCCCAAAAGAAGAATTGTAACGATTGATATGCCAATGAAATGTTTAAAATGAAATATGGCCTGTTAGTTGAGCACATCTCTCTAGAATTTATTCATAAATTTAACAGAGCGTTTGTAAGCATACATATCTTTATCGTGGGTTGAGGATTGTTTGAAGTTCTTTTTGTTGTAGTTAGTTGATATACCTTCCTCGTTTGCTGACCGGAGTAAACATAGATATTCCATTCCCTAACTATAGTGATTTCCAATCCTAGCCTATCTTTTTCACCAATCTGTACTCTTCCATCGATGTGAAATTATGAAATCTGCGTGTGTATTCTAGTCCAAGCAACATTGAATCATGTTAAAGAAAGAAAATACAGGGGTACTAAGAAACCGAGTTTGTCCTTGTCTTTTCCCTATTTCTGTGTTCTGGTATTTATTCTTTTGCAGTAATGATGATGGCAAGGGGGGGGATGATAGTAATATTTCAACTCTCAAACGTAATGGGTTTGGTTTCTTATCCGTGTGGACAACCGTTCATTGCTGAACTTAAGCGTAGCTGCTTCCTTGAAAGTTCTCTCGAACCCAAACCTAACCAACCCCCACACGGCCACACCCACCCCCCTCCCCCGGGCGGCAAAAGGAAAAAAAAAATCCAAAATAAGAAAGAAAGAGAGAGAGAGCCATCTGACATGCCATGTTGTGATACCAGCAGCATAAGTCACCATCTTCAGCAAACATGGCAACAGCCCGTAAGATCAAAATCAAAGGTACTTGGTGGGACACAAACACAAAAATTTAAAAAAAAAAAAAAAAACAGATCAGAATCAGATGATTTTTACCATATATTACAGATTAATATCATAAATAATCTTTAAATTATAATAAAATATTTAATATAATATTTAAATTTTAAAAATTTTTAATAAAATATTTGAATTATGAATCTATTAATTAATATAATACTTGAAGCATTATTTATCCATCATATATCATTATTTGAAATTAAACATATTAAAAGTGAGTGTCATATTAATTAATAAATTTATAATTTTAATATTATATTAAAAATTTTTAAATTTTAGATATAACTTTAAATATTTTACTTTAATTTAAAAATTATTCATAATATTAATCTTTATTATTTATAGTATTTAATGTGTTCAGATTTTGATTTTATGTAATTCATGAGATATAAAATAAAATATAGTTTAGCAAGATGTAAAGGTTTTTTCAGGTTTTCCGTTCACGAGAAAGCAGAAATTAAAAAAAAAAAAAAAAAAAAACACAGAATCTATTTGAGTAGGAACATGTAGGTGATCATTTTATAATATGATCTCAACTTCAGAAAATAAGTTATTAGTAGTCAAAGTTGCAAACGCGGGACTAGGGTTTCCTTTGGTCTTGATCGTGTCAAGACTAATACCTGCACTTGGTATATAAAAAAGTTGGGTTAGGCTTAAAAGAGAGAAAGTATGCTCTGCCTCTCATGTCAAAGTAGCTTAAATCCCGTAAATTATTTATCAAAAAGATGGACAAAAAAAACCTTGACATTTTCACCACATAAAACTTGGAGGAAAGGAAGAAGCTTTACACTTTTACATCGGATCTCCAACTCCAATTGGGTTCCTCATCTTACACATCATCATCTAAGTTAATATGGCCTAATTATATCATTATTTCATGTCATTTTCCCTAAAAACTTGTTTAGAATTCAGCAAGATTTTTCAGATTTTTTTTTTCTTCAAAGGCTGCTTAATCACACGATGAGCAAATAGCTTTGGAATGAACATTTTGATAAGTATACAAAGGTTAATTAAAGCTTCGAGAAAAAGAAAGTAGGCATGTCACAGTCAAAAGAGTCCCCAAAAAGAAGTATTCTTATTTTTTGAAGTTGTATGTACCTTACTTTTTGAGATATCAGACAATTTTGGCTGCTTCCATGCCATCCAAATAATGATATTTCCTTTTCTATTCTTGAAATTTATAGTAAGAATTGCTCGTAACGAAAGAATGGGTCTTCTTATTAAAAGTGCTCCAACTCTTAGCGTCATTCATTAAATGTCATTAAATTTTAGGTTCAAAAGCATTCTTAGTTTTTCAAAATTATAAATCCATCTCGACTCTACGGTAGCTTATATATTCATATTTTCTATTTAAAAAAAAATAATATAGCATGTGTAAAAAAATTCAATCAACGACTGTCGATCTCAATGATTAATGATTTTGATTTTTTTAAGTAAAATTTTGATTTTAAATTTTATAAATAAAAATATTAAATATTAAAAAAATTTATTTTTATATTGTATTTGATTTAACTCAATTTTAAATTAATTAAAATTTAAAATAATTATTATATTCATAAAAAAATATAATAATAACAAAATTTGAAAAGATTTTTTTTTTTTTTGTATTTATTCGATCATATTTGATTATGATTGCCGGCAGAAAAGAAAAAATCATTGGTGGCTGCGGGCAATAGGCTATGCTCGGATTGGGCCCATGTTTATTGATTGAAGCCGAAGAAAGGCCCCTAAATATTTTGAACGAAAAGAAGGGAAATGGGAGTGGCGTTAAGGTAATTAAACGTGGAGAAATGACGTTGAGCACTTGAGCTTTGTGAAGCGGCTAAAGATACCGAAGCATGTGAAGCCACGTTTAAAGGAATAGCCACGCGGATGCGTTCTATTGGTCAGATCGGATGGGTGGAAGAAGCGATAAAATCAAAGAAGATGGTCAGATCAGACTCAGCCTCCCTATTTTAATTTCTCTTTTTATTTTCAAAAATAGAAATTTCTAATAAATAAATTTAACTACTATAATCCATAAAATCAATTGTTAAACACAGTCAGCATGACAAAAAGCAATCAGCAATATAAAAATAAAAATAAAAATAATTAATTAAATCTACCTCAAAATTAAATAAATTGTGTAACATAAAATAATTAAAGAATTCAAAAATTCAAAGGCGGTTTGGCACCCGATATAATTAAATAAAAAAATAGTGGCATTTTGTGTAAAAAGAGTCAAATTCGAAGGGCAATTCAGAAAAAAAAAAAAAAGAGGCCGGTCTATTGGTTTAAAATTAATCGTTTGATCAATTACCATAAATTCCACGCAAAACATTTCTTCTTTCACAGATAGTAAAAATGATTTTCCATTTTTATTCAATAAAGGGTTTTTAGATTGAAAGAGAGAAAATCACTCCTCGACACACAAAGGAAAAGGGAAGGGAAAAAAAGGGGTGAATTGAGAAAATTCCATTCAATTCGAAGCAAAGGAATTGGGGATATTGTTTTTCACGTATGTAATGCATCAGAAGAAATCGGAAGTTCAGATCGGAAAAGAAAGCAGCGGCGTCTCTTCCGATTTTAATCCCAAACCTTCCACTGTTCATCATCATCTGCCACTGCATCACCAACAACCTTTTAATTGTTACCATCAACGTTTGCAACAGCAATCCGATACAACAGCGACCAAGACGACGCCGGTTTCTGTTTTCCCTCAGATAATTACTCAGAACCCTCCTCAAAATGACACAATTGCCCCTCCTCCGTCGTCTTCCTCTTCCTCTTCTCCGACGCCGTACAAGAGACCCCTTTTGACCCAAACGCGTTCTCTCACCAAATCCCCAACTTTGTACCGTTTTACAACGCCCCCGCATTTCAATTCCCAAAATACCACTTCCTTTTTTTCCTTTTCCGTGGCGGCTAAATCCTCCGTTTATCGAATCCTCCGCCGTTTCAAGCACCTGCGTCGTCTTCGAGTTCACCTGCGTTTAATCCTCCTTTTATCTCTCCCTTTTTTCTACTTCCTAGTTTCACATCCAAGCCACTCCTTTTTGCTTGACTTCCTCTCCGCTTTTGCTTTCTCCGCTGCCCTTCTTTTTTCCCTTAACCTCGCCCTCCCTCGCCTTCCTTCTATTCGCTTGTTCTTAGCCCGTTCGTTTCCACTTAAGCTCAAGTCATCATCTGCACTATCAAGGTCGCATTTGCCAGTGTTTTGGTCAATTGGGTCTCGGCCAAAATCCGAAAAGAGAGCGAATTCTGGGTGTTGGGTTCAAGTGTATAGCAACGGAGATGTTTATGAAGGGGAATTTCATAAGGGAAAGTGTTCAGGGAGCGGCGTTTATTACTATTATATGAGTGGACGATACGAGGGAGATTGGGTGGATGGGAAATATGACGGCTATGGGGTGGAAACGTGGGCAAGAGGAAGCCGGTATCGTGGGCAGTATAGGCAGGGTCTCAGGCATGGATTTGGGGTTTATAGGTTCTATACTGGTGATGTTTATGGAGGAGAGTGGTCTAATGGACAGAGTCATGGCTGTGGAATTCATACCTGTGAAGACGGAAGTCGATATGTTGGGGAATTCAAATGGGGAGTCAAGCATGGACTTGGGCATTACCATTTTAGGTAACATAAAGATTGATTTTCTTGGTTTGTATTTGTTTTATATCTTTTTTGGCTTATGCTATTAATAAATTTTGAGTTTATGATTGTTGCTATGAAATCTTTTTTTTTCCTGATTGCTGCTTTTATTGTGAGTTGATTATACTGTTGTTGATTTTGAGATCTAATTCTTATTTTGCTTTCGGTGTCTGAATATACTTAGTTACTTATTTTTTTTTTGTTGTAAGTTTTGGATGAATTTATTTTTGCATAATGGCTTTGTTGTACTATTATTTGTTGAGAAATAGCATAAGGAGGTCGGGATTATAAATTGGTTATCTCACTGATTGTTCGGTGGTTAAAATTAAATGCAGGTATGGCTATCACTTGTCAGAACCAATAGCTGATGGTTTTGTTGCATTATCGCCCTATATTGTAGGATCTGATTTAGAACAACTTTGCTCATTTTTTGTCCTGTTTTTACTTGGAGCTTGAAATTAGATGGCTTTCATTTAAATGAAGTTCAAGCAATGTAGGGAAAGTTTAGTTTTATGTTTAAATGAAGCTTTGCAATGTTAGGGTTGCCTTTTCATTCAAAAGATATTACTTGCTATCCATTTCATGAGCATAGTTTTATATTTGACCAACTTATTCTGGATATGAATCTTTTGATTTTTCTTATTTAGGAATGGAGATACATATGCTGGGGAATATTTTGCAGACAAGATGCATGGATTTGGTGTCTATCGTTTTGCGAATGGCCATCGGTACGAGGGTGCTTGGCATGAGGGTCGACGACAAGGGCTTGGAATGTATACGTTTAGAAATGAGGAAACACAATCTGGTCATTGGCAAAATGGAATTCTTGATGTCCCAAGCACACAGAACACTACATATCCTGTATCTCCTGTAGCTGTTTATCATTCTAAAGTACTGAATGTGGTGCAGGTACTTTAGACTTTTCTACCTTTAACTTTTACTAGTGCTTCTTTTAAATATCAATGAAGGGGTATTTGGTGCCGGAGTTAATAATGTTTTCTACTTTACCTAACATTAATCTAGATGGTCCCATCTTACAGTCTTTTCAGCTGATTAATTTGTCATGGCAGCAAAAAGAATTGCTTGGCCTGGCTGCCAACCCTTGTGTGATTTGTATGTAAATTCCGATTCACTGATGTGAAATATTAGGGTGTAAATCTAGAGTTACATATTGATGGACCTCTTTTATCAATTCAAAAGTAATGAGAAGAGGAGCCCATGTTTCACAACCATATCAAACAAAAAATACGAAGAGAGGCCTAATCCTTTTAAGTCTTGACAATTGCGAAATATGTCTTGTTGTGTTTAAGAATTAAGCTTTTCACCATCCTTAAAAGTCACATCACAAAGAATGTAACTATGTGAAACCTGATCATGTCCGATTGTTTTGTGTTATGAGCAGGAGGCTCGAAGGGCAGCAGAGAAAGCTTATGATGTGGCCAAGGTAGATGAGAGAGTGAACAAGGCAGTAGCTGCAGCTAATAGAGCAGCCAATGCAGCAAGAGTAATAGCAGTTAAAGCAGTTCAAAAGCAAATGCATCATAATAACAATGACAACATTCCCATTCCCATTGTGTGAGGCTTCTGACAATGGCTCATTTGCCTTTGAAAATACATGAGATAGCGGCAAGAGGATGATGGTTTATGTTACTTTCTTTTCAAATAGCTTTGTGTTTAATACTGTCATCTTCTTACAGTCCTCGTTCTTTCATCAAGAGGCTGTAATTTAACATGCCCGCATATTCCATCCCTGGCATGAAGGAAGATGGCTAAAGAGTTTCAGTCCTTTTAACATAAAAAAGCATGTATACATGCTGGGAAGAAATTCCTAGTATAGAATTTGGGTGGAGAAAGAGGGATAGATTTGATGATGGATTGGTGATGGCACCATTTTTCTAATTAATTTTAGCTCTTCTATCTTGGTACAGTTACAGTTTTGTAAAGATGAGCTAGATGTAATATAAATGCAGGTGAAACCTCATTCAGTCAGTGTTGTATGTGAACTTAATTGGCTTTTGCAATGAAGAAAATTATGCATGTCTTGGTTTTTGTTCGTACTCGTTTGTCAGACTTGGGTAGTGTTGAATGTCGAGTTGCTTCGGCAGCAGGTAATAGTCATGCTACAGATGCTTTAGCGTTTTTCCCTGTAAATTCGCAACATTCTAGTACAAGTACTTGATCTTAGCTCTCCAGGTGTCATCTAAACAACTCTGTAGCTCCGTAGAAGGCAAAGAAAAGGCATTGAACGAGTCTTCCGCTTCTTAGCGGTCGCATAAACCTTAAGAAAGACATTAATATTTAAGTTCGAATCAATTTTTTTTTTAATGTAATAAGACGTTATCCTTTTAAAAAGCAAAAAAAAAAGCACTGAACGAGATGTTTAAATGCCAACTATTACAACTGTGGTCTCGTATCTTTTCATCATTACGTCTAGTTTAATCACTAGTATATATTTTCTGTGAGAAATTTATGACGTCGGGCAGATAGCTGTTATTAAACCAATTTTGGTGATTGAAATTCAAGAGGCATTTCTTATTTCCTCGATAATCGTGATCCAAGAAAGGATCCATGCATCAACCATCACAAGGGTAGAGAGATCTCAGTTTTACTGATTGCAATCAAATTTAGAAACTCGTGCAATCTTCAGAACTTAAGCCTTTATAAATCAACTGCGATCAGTGACCAAGCCACTAACATGAAATGTAGTGTAACCATAAAATAACAAGCTCTTGTCACCAAAACTGTTTCAATCGATTCAAGAGTACCCAATATCCCAAAAGGAAAATCCAACTTAAAACATTTGCTCGAGGCGGTAAAGTCAGATCCATATATCAAAACAGAAAAAAAAAAAAAAAGAAAAAGAAACAACAGATTTTTATCAATCAAATTAACTCTCAGTCTGCTCCCTCAGCCTCCTAATGGTGCTTCTGACAGTCACAGCACTTGCAGTGCTGGCACAGAAAAAAAAAAAAAAGAAAAGTAATTAGAAAGACAGCAATGCCATAACAAGCACATAAAATCACAAGCTATGGCCAACAGCATCTTACTTCAAAGTGTAAGCACCTCCAGCTTTCACTTTGCCGCAGTCCTTGCATCCCCAAATTCCCACAGCTTTCCTCTTCACCGCATACTGCAATGACCAATAACATGTTATAGATTACATAAGCAGCCATCAAGCAAATGAAATCATCTAAACTCTCAAACAAGTGGGAAAAAGGATGCTAACAAGTAGAAAATTACCTTTCCACAGAACTCACAGAAGTATTTGCTGTGCTGACTGACCTCCATCTTTTTAATCTGCTTACGCAGACTAGCACCATATCGGGTACCTGAAATTTACCATCCATTAGCAACATTCTAAATACACTAATGTACAGATCATAACACATTCCACAGCACTCGAAAGTCAAGGCAGGCCATGGAGCCCAAAATCCCCAAGAAGATTATAACACAGCATCCAACTATCCAGTTTTCAGCCACAATAAAGGCCTATCATCATAATCAACCCATACAAACAACAACAAAACACCACCATGCAACTAAAATTTGGAGTAAAAAATATATGGAATTCAAACAGTATTACCAATATAATATCACTCATTCTAAAAACCTGACGGAATTTCAATGAAATAACAGAACAGTTCACATTATGGTTCATTTCTCATGGAACATACCAAATTGAAAACGATATAACTTCACTTACCATACTTTCCAACAATACCGGCCTTCTTGGTTCTCTTTGTCTGCACAATATTAAAGAAGTTGAATCTTAAAAAATTAGATACTTCACCCCTTTCCACTATTGAAGAACATTTAGATGAACAATGAAAATTAAAATCCCATTAAAAATACTCAAACAATAGTAATTAATTGACATTAAAAATTGGAACTTCGAGGGAAATTGAAGAATAGATAATATAAAAATTCAGTGAAAGAAAACGTACCATTTTGCAAGGCCTTGGAGTCCAGTGCAAGAGAGGAACGCGAAAACCCTAGAAATGTCACTGGCTTAGCTGCACTGCCGATTAAGAGGATAGATTAGTAAGCGTCCGTATGTTTATATATTGCTTAAAATGATTTGCCCTAAAACTCAGCCCAACCCCCCAATTTCATTGTTAAGCCCATTAAGGTTTTTAACCAATTTGAGCTTCAGACATGACCCAGCTCAAATCATGGATGAATAGTTATATTTTCTAATCTTTTTCGTTTTCTGCTGCTGTCTTGTAATATACAAAAATTTGAAAATGATTTGTTTGAGGAGTATCTGACTTTTTCTTTGTGTTTTTATTGGTTCACAGGAGACCCAGCTGATAGCCTGTGAGCCGTTTGATGTGTATACAAAACCTTTCTCCCTTTGATTTTTAATTTTCTAATGTATGCTGTTTGAAAATTGATTTCATTTATATTTCAAGATAAGGGGATGGATTTCATTCTTGTTACAAGTATCATTAATAATACATGTTTCTTTATTTGTACAATTTTGTTATTTTTGTAGAAAGTTTCAATTAAAGAGTGAATCAGAGATTGCTTAAAATAAATTGGTGAAGTCATGCTCCATTTCTCAACTTGGATGCCTCCAGATCAAACTATGAGATTTCTGAACCAATGAAAGTATGTTCAAAGGCCTTAAAGGCCCAATGTTTTTGTTGAAGCTTACATAATGTACACGTATTTTTAGTGCAAAGATGAGCAAAATTTTATACATCTTATTTTGCAAATCCTGGTCATGGCTGAGGGGCAATAGGCAAACAATCTCGTCATTACGAAAAAGTTGAGATAACATAACAAATGTATGGGATTTAGAAGGAAAAGCGTTTTGGGACTCCCCAAGAGCAGACAAGAGGCAAAAACCAAGTTGCTGCAGAGAATAACTTGGGATGCTCAATTTTGATCTTTCATAATTGCAGTGAATATTTCCAAGAAATAATATTAAAACATGGTGAAGAAGAAACCCATATGTAAAACCCCCAACCCACCCACGGAAAAATATTTTTGCCAAATGCCTAATAACCTAGAGCACCAGACATGAATTTCTTGTAACAAAATAAGAGCATCACTATCCTCTAAATAAAATTTTCTAATATTCTTGATCTGGAGGCAGAAAGTCCTCCAGCTGCAAATTGGAGCTAGCTCGAATTTCATTTAAGACATTCTCTCCTTTTTCTGTTTTAATTATCCCCAAGGTGCTTCCAAGAACATCCCCGGCAAGCCCAATATCTAGAAGTCGCCTTGGCTCCTCTCCACCATCATATATTAAACGCCCAATATCCCTCAGCGAGATCACATTTTCTACAATGACTTCAGCAAAAATACGACCAAGAAATTCCGCAGCTTTTGGAGCATCATTCACAGAATCCTCCAATGTACTGAGAACAGATTCAAACCTGAACCAAAAACAACAAAAACATGTAAAATTAACGACTTCAAAAGGTCATAAATCAATCACCAAACACCGGTGTTAAATGATTCACATACCCTTGAACAAGTTGAACTTGGCTCAGCACACCATCATGAGACCTTGTCAGATTGACAAGTAGCTTGGCCAAAAGATCCCGCTCCATGTCTTTTCTCTCAAAAGAATCCGTTATCCAAAGAGCAATCATTGTGGGATGATAGCTTGTAGAATTCAAATCTTTGATGCACAAAGCAACTTCTTTCTCATCTCTAGCACTGTAAGAATCAAAAGAGAAAAATGCTGAGTACTTGACAAAAGTAACCATGTGATGACATCAAGAACTGTAAATAAAATAAGGACAGCAGTATAAATATGCACTATAACTCTTAAATTTACTGTCAACAGTTGCATTACTAAACTTAAATCAAGCCATCGGTATCAATATCAAAATCTGTAAGATATATTTTAACCATACTTTGATCAAATGTACCTTCTGTGGGAAAACACTTATTTACAGCTGATTGTAATCTTGTAATCTGTATATTTATATTTGTATCTCTAGAATTAAATATTTGTATCCCTAGAATTAAGAAAGATTTAGTTTCCTAGTTTAACCCCTAGTTAGCTGTATGTAAACCTAAGATTCTTGTATAATTGGAGATAAACAGTTTTTCAATATACATTCAGTTTCCACATGATATCAGAGCTTTAGACTCTTCTTGGGAAGAAAAATTTTTCCGCCTTCATTGCTGACTTTTTTAGGCCTTCATTGCCCACTTTTTTAGGCTTTCATTGCCGAATCCTGTTTAGGGCTTTATTGCCGAACCCTTTCAAAGAAAGATATCATTATCATCCAATTTGAGGAAATGTTAACTGAAAAAATCACTGGAGTACTACAGATGTCTCAGAAACAAGGAGAGTTCAACAGGGAAGAGATTGAAAAGCTGAGAAACTTATTGAAAGTCCTTGAAAAGCCTACTATGGTATGTTCTTTGGGTAAAGTTTCTAGTTCAGGTAAAGCTTCCAGTTCTCATGGATTAAATGTCTCGACTAAGCCTATTACGAGTTTTTGGGTCATTGACTCAGGAGCCACAGACCATATGACACATTCCCCACAAAAGTTTAGTACATATAACTTGTGTCCTAGTAATAAGAAAATTGTTGTTGCTGATGGTTCACTCACCACAGTGACAGGATTAGGAGATGTTCAAGTTAATCCCTCGTTTGTTCTCAAAAATGTTCTTCATGTTCCTGGATTGTCTACAAATCTGATATCTATACAAAAACTTACCAGAGATATGAATTGCAAAGTAACTTTTTATTCCTCTTATTGTGAATTTCAGGATCAGAGTTCGGGGAAGATGATTGGACTTGCTAAGGAGAAGAATGGACTATACTATCTTGAGACATCAAATAACACAAGTAGTATCAAAAATAGTTTACCTTTGTCATTTCTTTTTGAAAAATATTCCAATAAAGACAAAATTTGGCTTTATCATTTTCGTCTTGCTCATCCTTCTTTTGAAACCTTGAGAAACATGTTTCCTTCTTTGTTCAAAGGATTAAATGTTGAAGATTTTCATTGTGATATTTGTGAATTTGCAAAACATAGACGTGCCTTTTCCAATCAATAACAAAAGAAGTTCTACTTCCTTTTACTTGATTCATAGTGACATTTGGGGTCCCTCTACAATTCCTAATATTTCTGGTACGAGATGGTTTGTTTCATTCATAGATGATTGTACTAGGGTCTCTTGAGTTTTTTTACTTAAATCCAAATCAGATGTGAATAGTGTGTTTTTAAGCTTCCAAAACATTATCCAAAATCAATTTGGAGTGAGAATCAAGAGATTTAGGTCTGATAATGCAAGAGACTACTTCAACCAGAGTCTTCCCCCTATTTCCAAAAAGAGGGGATTATCCATGAGTCATTTTGTGTTAACACTCCACAGCAAAATGGAGTGGCAGAGAGGAAAAACAGTCATTTACTAGCCACAACCCGAGCCTTTCTTTTTCAAGCAAATGTACCTAAATCTTATTGGGGGGAAGCTGTTCTCACTGCCACACACATTATAAATAGGTTACCTTCAAAAGTTTTGGGATTTAAAACTCCTATGGAACTACTCTCACAATTTTATCCCAACCTCAATACCACAAACAATCTCACACCTAGGATATTTGGTTGTACATCATTTGTTCATGTTCACAGTCATAACAGGAGAAAATTGGATCCAAGAGCAATTAAGTGTATTTTTTTGGGGTATTCTTCAACTAAAAAAGGATATAAGTACTATCCTTCTACCAAAAAATTCTATGTGCCTGCAGATGTCACTTTTGAAGAAAATAAACCATTTTTTACTCAACCTTATCTTCAAAGGGAGACTTCATTCATGGAAGATAAGGATAAAGACTTCTTTTTGCTTGATTTGCCCCGTTCTTCAACATTTACACCCATTAATTCTTTCGAGTCGAAACCTGTTTCTGCTGAGCCCAAGTCAAACACTGAATTTGAGTCTGAACCCATTCCAAATACGAAAGATGTGACAAAGGATAATATTGTTCTTGATTCTATGAAGGAATTACAGGTATACTCAAGAAAGAAAGTTTCAGATCCTGAACCAGTGCCAGTCCAAGAACCTGATCCTAACTCTGGAAATGAGGTAACTACAGTTTTTGACTCTGTTTCTCAAAATGAGCATGAATCTCCTAAAACTATAACTAGTGATTATGATTTGCCTATTGCCGTTAGGAAAGGAACCAGAGAATGTACCAAGCATCCACTATACCCAATATCTAATTTTGTGTCATTTGAAAAATTCTCACCATTCCACAAAAATTTTCTTGTGAGCCTAAACACTATTTCTGTTCCAACTACATTATCCGAGGCATTCTCCGATGAGAAATGGAGGCAAGCCATGAAAATAGAAATGGAGGCCTTAGAGAAAAATCAGACATGGGAACTGGTAGAGTTGCCTAAAGGAAAAAATTCAGTTGGGTGTAAATGGATTTTCACTGTAAAATACAATGCAGATGGTACTATTAACAGGTATAAAGCCAGGTTAGTGGCTAAGGGCTACACTCAAACCTATGGAGTGGATTACCAGGAAACCTTTACTCCAATTGCCAAGATGAATACAGTTAAGATTTTGTTATCATTGGCTGCAAATTACAATTGGCAGCTTCAACAATTTGATGTAAAAAATGCTTTTCTACATGGTGATTTGGAAGAAGAAATATATATGAAGGTTCCACTGGGATTTGGAGGTCATCTAGAAGCAAACAAAGTATGCAGGCTAAAAAAGGCTTTATATGGCCTTAAATAGTCTCCTAGAGCTTGGTTCGGGAGATTTGCCAAAGTAATGCTAGCAATGGGATATAAACAGAGTCAAGGAGATCACACATTGTTTATCAAGCACTCTGATTCAGGGAGACTCACAGTTCTATTAGTGTATGTTGATGATATAATTGTAACTGGAGATGATGAAAAAGAGAGAGAATCTCTAAAACAGTGTTTGGCTAGAGAATTTGAGATAAAGGAGCTAGGGAGATTGAAGTACTTCCTAGGAATTGAAGTAGCTCACTCACGGCATGATATTTTTATCTCACAACAGAAATATGTGATGGATCTTCTGAAGGAAACTGGGAAGCTGGCATGTAAACCTGCAAATACCCCTATAGATCCTAATCATAAAATTAGAGAAGCTAATGAAGATATTGCTGTAAATAGAGAGATGTACCAAAGATTAGTTGGAAGACTCATTTATCTCTCACATACTAGACCTGATATAGCATATGCTGTGAGTGTGGTAAGTCAATTTATGCATAATCCTAAAGAAGTGCACCTACAGGCTGTCTACCGTATATTGCACTATTTGAAGGCCAATCCTGGGAGAGGTATCTTATTCAAAAGAAATTCGGGGTTAGTTCTAGAAGCATATACAGATGCTGATTATGCAGGTTCAGTAACTGATAGAAGATCCACCTCAGGCTACTGTACTTTCTTTGGTGGTAATCTTGTGACTTGGAGGAGTAAAAAACAGAATGTGGTGGCAAGATCAAGTGCTGAAGCAGAGTTCAGAGCAATGGCTCAAGGAATTTGTGAACTACTATGGTTAAAGATTATCTTAGAAGACTTGAAGATCAAGTGGGATGGACCAATGAGACTCTACTGTGATAACAAGTCTGCAATAAGCATTGCACACAATCCTGTACAACATGACAGAACATAACACATTGAAGTACACCGGCATTTCATAAAGGAGAAACTAGACAGTGGGTTGATTTGTACACCTTATGTATCAACCAAGGGTCAACTTGCAGATGTGTTGACTAAAGGTCTTAGCAGTGCAACATTTCAAAGAATTATTTCCAAGCTGGGAATGGAAAACACCTATTCACCAGCTTGAGGGGGAGTGTGGGAAAACACTTATTTACAGCTGGTTGTAATCTTGTAATCTGTATATTTATATTTGTATCTCTAGAATTAAGTATTTGTATCCCTAGAATTAAGGAAGATTTAGTTTCCTAGTTTAACCCCTAGTTAGTTGTATATAAACCTAAGATTCTTGTATAATTGGAGATAAGTAGTTTTTCAATATACATTCAGTTTCCACACCTTCAAATTCAATGTCCTCTTAGTTTTAGGAATAACTAAAACTCTCAAGCATTTTTGGTTCTAAATCTGATTAAATGACAAGACAGTATTTTGGCATGTTAATTGTAATCAGAATATTAGACTCCTGTAAATTTGATATTTGAGATCCTGAAGCGAAATCATCAGTCAACAACCCATTTCCGGGGCACTTTATATTTCAATTTTCTGTTGATGACATAAAGTAGAGTGCACGTTTATGTCGTTATGCAAATGTATATATGTTTGTGCATGTATATACACGTATCTTTGAGCAAAACAAACACTAGTATTAGGGACTCCAAAATCATACTTGAGCCAAGAGGATACCTGTAAAATTCTTTAATTGCCCCCATTGACATATCACGCAGGCGCTCCTCAGGCCAGCCCTTTTCTGGAGGAATATTTTGAGTGAAACCAGATGTTTGGCCTTGTGCAGGTGGTGAAGCTGCAGGAGATCCATCAAAACTGCGATCTGGGGTTCTCAAGTCCCTATTACCAAAATTCATGCCACGTTCCTGGGAGCTCCACTGGTCATAAGCAGCTGGTGCTGCAAATCTATTTCTTGGCATGAGATCCTCTCTAGAACCATAAGTTGTTCGCTCTGATAGAGAACTAAAACCATTCAAACCGGCAGCCATTCTTCTTGAATCTCCAGAAGTCGGAGAAACATCAGCTAAGGGAGCACTGGACATTACTGGTGGTCCTCTAAAAGACATCCCTCTAGCAAGACCACCCTGGGGGCCCAAAGTAATAGAATCATCACCAATTGGTCTTTGAGGCAAGGGAACTGACAAAGTCCTAGCCTCAAATGACTGTCTGTCATCCATGCGAACATCCTGAGCCCCGAAACCACGGAGTTGGGTGGGCAACCCCCGAAAACTACCCATCTGAGCACCTGGGGAAGATAACATAGACCCCCGAGGACCAAAATCCATGGGTGCTCTTCTTGTAGCAGGATTGATGCCAGGACCACGAGTAAGCCTACTGGCTTGTGCTTGTCGCTCTTGAGCAGCATCTCTGTGCACTTCCTCAATCTTTTTAGGCCCTTCAACTTTCCTCCTCTGCTGCCATTTATTCTTTCTCAGATCAATAACATCCTTCAACATGAACCTGACTCTAGAAGATAGTTTCATATTGTTTGACAACTTTGCCATCCTCTCAAAATAAGCATCCATATGCTCCTTTGCTTTCGGATGGTCAATCATATCTCCAATCGTACTCATTAATTTGCACAAAGCCTCAAAATCTTCCTCATCAGGATGCTCATACTCACCGAGTAATTTCTTGATGCATTCATGCATTATCCGTTCAGTTAACATTTTCTTCTTGTACAACTCCCCAATAAGTCTAATGTTACCTAACATTCGTCTCCGTGCCTTGATTCTCTTCTCTTCTCTTTGCTCCTCAGACTGCTTAGCCTCACCCTCTTCCTCAACTTTATTTGCTTCTTCTTGCTCTCTCTCCCCTCTCTCAAATTCCTCCTGGCACTTGTTCAGCAGTATTCTCTTGAAAGTTATCTTTTCATTGTCTTCACTAAAATCAGGTAACTCTCCTGCCAGATGATAACAGAAATTTGCATACATTTCACAGAAAGTAGGCTCCATCAAAGCTTTGTCAAAGATCTGTGAGATGACACCATTCAGAGTACCTAAATTGTCAATTTTTACTGCTTTTACTTGCTCAAAGAGTTTCTCAAAGTTTTGGGGAGTTAGTTTGTTCAAAATGGCTTTCAGCTGCCTTTGCTTGGCGTCATTCTCATCAGCCACTTTACCCACTTCATACTTCCTTTCAGCTCTGTGCATCATCTGTAATGGAGTTTGCGGAGAAGGAATCAACCCCTTTTGCTGATAGTTAGAAGCACGTTGCCACCTGTCAGCATCAGGACTATTGCGTGGCGTCCCTCCTTGTGGACCCATAGGTTGCATTGGTCCAGCAAGGATCCCTCCTACATATGGCATAGGTGCTTGTGTACGTGGGTTCCTTAGAACACCAAAGTTACCTCCTTGGCCAGGCCGAAAACCTGCAGCAGCACCATAACCAAGATCAAGACGCAAATCCGTTCCAGGGCCAAAAGAACCAGGTGGTTTAATCCATCTGTCATCATCAACCATTCCACTAGAACGGCGATCTAATCGAGATCCACTAGATTGCCTATCTATTATTCTTCCCGGACTAGGGTATGAATCACGATCAACAAAGTGAGAAGCACTGACATTGACAGCCGTCAATACCTCTGAAATATCGGAAATAATCTCAAATCCCTGTGGAAGATCAGTACACTGTTCTGCAAACTTAAGAAGGAAATCTCTGGAATACTTCTTTGCTATATTCCCACTTCCATCTTTCTCATGATTTACTAACCCTCCATGAGCATTTTCGCCATTATCAGAAGTTTCTAATTTTGGCGTAGAGATGTCAGCAGCATCTTCCCAATCATCAGGTTCAGCTTTATTCTGTGCAATTTTCTTACTTTCTATGGCATCCACCTGAGGGCCCTCATGAGATGCTTGATTCAAGTTAACACCAATGGAATTTATTTCTGCACTAGCTAAAGGTACATCTGTCTCCTTTTCCTCAGGACCTTTATATGCCATATAGAGATCAGAAGTTGTCCCAGCAGCATCTGCTTTCTGAAGGATTTCTCTTCTTTTTTTCTTCCCTTTAGTTATAGTACTCTTTGTCCTACCGAGTTCTAGCGCAGGTTTGTCCCTTGAACTAGGTATCGGAACACCTTCACTTTCGTACTTTAAAGTAGATTCTGAGAGATCTGGTGTAGGGATACGAGCAGACAGCTGTTCTGATTCATCAGATTTAGTAACAGTTATCTCATTGCTATCAGTGGCACTTGAAGAAACATCAGAACCAAAGGTCATATCAACATGAGAACCTTCAACATATGCAGAGTCAGCAATTGTAGAGGTAGAGACAGTACTATCAGTGACTCTCGCATTTTCTATGTTACCCCCCACATCTTCATCGGGCACCCTCAGTGAAGTTCCTGAGATTGGAATATCATTGCAGGTAGCTGTTGCCTTCATGACAGATTCCTGATTGGATTTACGCTCCATAGATTTCAAGGGAACCAGTTGAGAAGGAATTTCAAGACTAGCATTGTTTTTTAAGTGCTCCTCAGGTAAATTTTTTTCCTCTTCATCCTTAATTCCACTAATTTCAGGTTTCAGTTGCTCATCCAACTTGGAAGAACCATCCATCTTAGCATGCTGAACCATGTCCAAGCTATCAACACTTCTGCCACTAGCAGAAACTTCAGATGAAAAAGAGGTTAAGCCTTCTCTCTTGCTCTCTATCTTCGGTTCTAAGGAAGAAGGTGAAGCAACATTAATTGTTGGTAATTCCCTGGTAGATTGTGACAAAACAACAGCAGTTGCTGATGATGGTTCAAAGGAAGAAGGTGAAGCAATATTAATTGTTGGTAATTCCCTGGTAGATTGTGACAAAACAGCAGCAGTTGCTGATGAAGTTAAAGCTGCTTTAGCCTCTACAGTTTCAGAAACAGCACTGTCTGAGGAAATACCATGTTCGGCAGTGTCGGCCACCAAGTTGGATGTTGACAGAGACTGTCCACCAATGGGTGAAAGAACAGATAAATACATGCAAATAAAACATAAAATGTGCAACAAAAACAACAGAACACAAGAAATATACCTGATTTGGTGGCTGAATATGTCCTCTCTTGCCTGGTTTCTTCTGATAATCTTTTATAGAGTTTGACCTACTCAAACTCTCCGTCTTTCTGCCTTCATTACTGGCAACAACTGGCATGGCGTCCTCAGATGTAGCAGCTGGATCAGAAGATAAGGAATTACATGGCAGGCTCTCATCCAGATTAATTGCAGGAACTCCCCCAGAATGTTTAGAGGTGGCTGGTAATGACTTGGATGTTGAAGATTCACTTCCAGGTTTTGGATGCTGTACAGAGCTCTCCAGACAAGTATCCAAGACCCTTTGAGACTGAGATGTGCTAACCTCAATAGCTTGCACCGAAGGTTTTAGTGACCCAACCTTTTCAACACCAGGCAAGCCACTTGGCAAAGCAGAATATGCAACCTTTTCTCCAACAGAAACAGTAGCTGGCTTAACTGTCACCTGTATTGAACCTGAGGAAGCAGAAGATGTAACACTGTGTGCATCACGTGCAGGCTGTGCATTTGGTGATTCTGAAGTATCATGTGCAAGATTTATGGATTTATTAACTGGCAGCAAACCATGAGCTGCTACTGAATTCATGAAAGAAATGTTTTGATGACCCTGGCTAACAGGATAGTTAAATCTTGGCCCCTGGGCATTGGATGGTATCTGGCTACTAGCCAATGGAAGAGAACTTTGTGGTGGATAAAACAAGGAATTGGTATTATAAGAATTGGAATAATAGTTGATTGAATGAGAAGGTGCAAATGGTGGAACTGGCTGGGATTGAGACGGCAAGTTAGGATGAGACCTTGGACCTGATGACACACCATCTGAATATGTATCTGTTCGTTTATCAAGCCTCAATTCTTCATGAGTGTCAGGATGAGTAATCTTGACGGGAGTAGTTTTACGAGGAACACCAAAATTCCCTCCCTGCTGTTGAGAATACTGAGGGGCAATGCCCATTCCCAAGTTGCTCAATGGGGGAGCAAGCTGGCCACCTATGGGTGGCGTGAAACTCAAGCCCTGACCCTGATGCATCATTCCCTGAGCTGGCAGTGGATGAGTTTGAAGACCTTGAACAAAGACTTGCTGCTGCACCTGAGGTGCATTTCGCATAGTTAATGGCATATGCATTGGCATTTGAAGTGAAGTAGCAGTAACACTCTGAGACTGAATCTGTGGGTTAGGCCCCCCAAATGGCAGGGAAACCTGGGGTTGGTGATGAAATGGCATCTGCAGAGAAGTCATGGGCATATTAAGAAGAGATGGCTTCTGTGTCTGATTCACAGGGGGTGGCGCAGAGACTTGTGCATCTTTTTTGACCTTGGGCACGGGATAAGCCTCCCCAGAATTAGATTGGTCAGTTACAACTGAATCATTTCTCGGTAGCTGCTGTTTAGCAACCGGAGTGGGCAAATTTGGCACAGGTCTAAAAGAAGAATCATGGCGTGCCTGCAGGTTAACATTTCATTTAAACATAAGTGAATCCTAAAACTCTAAACCTATTACAGTTAAAAAGCATCAAGACTATGAACATGAGACACCAGCGACTAAGGTGGACCCAAACAATATTCATATTTTACTTGGGTTCTATAGGGTGTTCTGTCTATTAATATTCGAAAATGTAACCATGATGAGCAGAAGGAAGCAATTTTTTAGTTTAATGCAGTGTAACATTTCATGGTTCTTGAAAATTAAACTACACGAAGAAGTAAAATCACTAGATTTAACGATCCACTAATCTCTTTATCTTTTAAATTTAAAACAAAAAATGAAAAAAGCAAGAAGAAAGATGAGGTGCAAAAACATATATCAGACAATTTACAGTTTATTATAAGCGACCAACCAGATCACATTTCTGCTCATCCAAATTTGGGGGTGCTGAGCTAGTTCGAGCTGGAATCTGATACAAATGAGAACATAACATCTGCTGTTAGAAACAAGGTTTTGAATGGCAAAAGATGGAAAACTAACATGAGAATAGTAAGATACCTGCATCCCGTTCATGAAACCAGGACTTATGGACCCAAACTGTAAAGAGAATGCTTTGGATGCATCTCCTGAAGTTAATACATCAGAAACAATAGCTACATCAGCTTAGAGCTAGAAATGCTACCATGTAAACAAACAGCCAAAAATATTACACATCATTATAACTACTAGTAAATTGAAGAACCCCAAATCTCCCATAATTGAAGTAACTTTGATCCAATAAGCTTAGTACACCAAGCACAACAGAAACCTACCCTTTGCGGGGGTGGTGGGGAAACTACAGTCAGAACTCATGGTGGCAGGTTGAGAAGTTGGAGCCTTTGGAACAGCTCGGGTGCTTCTCTGAGTAGCTGGAGATTCAACCAGCTTGGCAGCACTGCTTCCAACCGGTGCATTAGATGCTCCTGTCAGGAAAAATGAACATGAATGCAAATAACATCAAGATAATCCTATTTTCTTAAATTATAAATCTATAAAGCGAAACAAGCTTAAGAATTTTGAATCATACCCTGTAACTGGGGCTGTACATGTGCTCCATTTTGTATGTTACGGGCGGCAGAAGCATCAACAGACTCCGAAGTATTCACAGACCGTGAATTTACCCTAGATTGCCCTCCTTGTGAATTGTTAGACTTCTTAAAACTATCATATCAGATGACCCAATAAAAAAAAAAGAATAATCAATCCATGAAATTGTATAGACAACCCTAATCCAATAGAAACCCTAAATAAACTGGCAATTAAACGAAAAGAAAATAACAAAGCAAAACCTAAAGCCTAAAACAAGATGCTGAGTTTTTGTTACCTTCGATTGGAAGATAAAGAAGAAGAGGAAGAGAGAGACGGTGAAGGGGCAGGCCCGCCGCCAGCGCCCTTACCGTAAGAGCCTGAGGAGGTCCGCTGCTGATTAAAGCTGGCGGATCGCCCGGATTTTCGGTATTGTTGCTCACTTCTATCGGACCTTGAATGAGTGAAGGACATATATCCCACCTTGATTCCTCCTATGTCCCGCTGTTTTTTTTTCTTTTTTCTCTGCATCCAAACAGATCCACAAAATTCAAAGGAATTTAAAAAAAAAATTCATAACATTCTAACAAGACCGCAATGAGTAATGAAGAATTAGGGTTCGATCAGCGGAAAAGTGTACCTGTGAACTCAAAAGAGTGTGCTTAGAGAGAGAGAAAATTAGGGTTTTTTATTGGATGGTCATGTCGCCATACGCAGCAGCAGAAGCAGCAAAAACAAAAATAAAAATTATAACTTTTTTGTTTTGAAATAGAAAGAGAAAGAGAAAAAGAAAAGGCCAAAAAAAATGAAAACAAAGTTAAAAATAAAATAGGAAGGGAGAGAGAGAGAGAGAGAGAGAGAGAGAATTGGGTAACAAACTGTGGAGCAAGGTGGTGAAAAGTTAGGTTTTTTAGGAGATGGAAACATCGAACGAGTCGTAGCTCCTTTGAGTTGTAAGTGAGAGAAATCACCTCGCCTTCGCTCCACTCCTTTTTACTGCCCCCACTTTTCCTCTTTTTTTTTTTTTTTTTTCACTGCCTTCCCTTTTGTTTTTACCGACCTTACTTCTGTTACTTTTAGTTTTTTTACCCATTTTTTCTTTATTTACGAGTAAGATTTGGTAGCGTAAAAGTCTAAGTAGAAAAAAAAAAAATTTACCATAGTTTTCTTTTGCACTTATTATCACCTCACCAAAGTCAAAGACACAATAAAAAATATGAATTGGTATTTTCCACCATTTTTTTTTACTTCTTCTAAATTATATTTATTATCATTATTTTCTACTATTTAGCACTTTTACTTACTAAAAAATTGAAAATCTATTTTTATTATTCTTTCAAATTAGTTAGAACTTAAAAGGAATTGTATTTCATAATTTTAAGATTAAAATTCCATGAAGTATTAACTAAAATCTTTAATTATTTTTATATGTTATTATCATTATATTTGTAATTCTCTGATTTTTAGTAGAAAATCTAACAACTTGATGCAAATAACTTTACCAACTGTTAACAATTCCTCCCTTTTCTCAATTTAACAATATTAACTTCTTGGAATTTCCTCAAATTAACTCTTTTTTTGAAATTAACTTTTATCTTTATTTAAATCAAATACAAAAATTTTATATTCTCTAATTTAACAAAATTTAAGAATCACATTTTTTTAATATTATTTTTTCTCAAAATTACTTTTCTTTATAAGATTTAAAATTTATGAAATAAACGTGACCGTTAACAAGACACCATCTCTAATTTAATATTACTGACAGTTTCATAATAGGAAGAAGTTGATCAAATATTTCTTTAATTTATGTTTTTTTTAACCAATAAGAAGGAAACATATACAAACAGCATTTTTAATTTATGTGAAGAAATGGATTTTTGCAACACATGAACAATAGTTTTCCTTTATTCGTACATTAACCTTAATACTAGGTATTTATTTTATAAATGACTTTTTTTTTTTACAACAAACAGACAAATAAACCACTAAGATAAAACCAAGTTGCAAACCAACCATTAGTCGTCAATGATGCAATATCAATGCCAAGATGACGATGATGCTAGTTATAGAAATGTAGCAGCCAACATTCCTTTATACTTAGTAGCACACCAAATTATAATTATTAATTATATCTCTTTTTTTTTTTTTTTTGGCTTCATGATTTTAGGGGTTTTTAGGAACTGGTATGAGTGTATTTTTATGTGAGATACCTATAATTTCTGTGTTGAAATTGCCAGGGGAGCTCTTTGCTGTCATTAAAATAGCTGACCCTTGAAAGTTAAGACATTCAGTGAAAGGACGGACAATAAAGCTGTTGAACCTCTTACCTGTCTAGGGCATTAACTTTTAAAAAAATGGGCAATTCTCTTGAATTAGCAATCAAGCATCCACCCACCGTTGCAGCTGCGTCTCACTCCAGCTGGTTGAAATGGGTATTATGCAGGATTGCAGCATTGTCTTGGACATCAAAACATTCAGTATATTGGTTCTTCGCAATGTCCCTCTTGTTGAAAAATTATTGAAGAGAATACAACAAAGACTGAGTATGTGACAAACAAAATACCAGCTAGAAGCCTACTCTGAGAATAAAATGTTTTTATTGCTATGACTGTTGTTTCATGATTCTGTGTGTTCCATATTGGGCATAAGCAATTGGTGGCGGAAGTTCCAATTTCTTGGTGTTGTTCAGCACCCCAATCTCATCAAACTCATAGAATACTGTGCTGTGGAAGGAGAAAGTGGGAAACAGCGTCTTCTGGTATATGAGTTTATGCAAAATAAGAGCTTAGAAGATCATCTTTTCTATCGGGCAAGCATTCCCCCCTGTTCCTTGGAAAACAAGATTACAGATAATACTTGGAGCAGCAAAAGGATTAGCTTATCTGCACAAGGGATTGAAGCAGATTATCCAAGCTTCAGCCGAAGGAATTCACATATGATACTGGGAAATGTTCTGAGACGCAAACAAATTGAGGGTCCTGAGGTATCTGAAATTGAACCAGCTGAAACACAAAAGAAATCAAATCAAGTCAGTGTCTAGGAATCATGAAAGAGGCGGATAGCACACCTTGCAAGATTAGGTGAGCTTGTAGAAGGTGCAAGTAGAAGGAGACTGATGATGTTGCAGACGGTCAAAGTGCCTTCAATTCTCTCTTTTTATTTTCATTCCGCTACTCCTTTTTCAGGGGTAGTCTCTGGTGGTTTCTTTAAAAAACAAATGATTATCATACGAAACCTTTCCGTAGAAGGCCAGCTCCCAGGAGAGTGCATATTATCAAATTATAAATCGGGGTTTCTATTGGTCTCCACGTACAGTATCTAACACAAGAAGACACTGTAGCTTATAAAAGGAAAAAAGAAAAAGAATTTAAATACTTTGAGGAGAGATCTCTAATTAAAATTTTATTTATTGATTTTGAGTTTCAATAAATTTTATTATTTATTGTTTATTCCCACCACTACCAATCAAATTCGACAATCTGATCTTCGACATGCATTCATTTCAACCAATAGCTACTTAGATGGGTAGTTAACAGGGAAGATTAAAGAAATAGGCATGCAACGTTGGAAATAAGTAAGCAGCCAGCCAGCCACTAGTAATTTATGCCATGAAACAATTTTACATGAATAGCTATTATTCGGGATAAGAAGCTGGTTGAACAAATTCATTTTTGCCTTTCCATTCAACAACTATTGTAGGGTACACCATATCTTCCCTCGTAGCTTCCATACCTCTCTTCTTTATATCTCCTTTACCATATCTTCCCTTACAGCTTCCATAACTCTTTTCTTTATATCTCCTATCTTCTTCTGGTGCTTTCATTTCAACACATTTTGTTCCAAGTGCAGCAAGTACCTCTGCTAGACTACTGCAAATCTGCAATCATTTCAACCACCATTCACATCCTTTCCAACTGTCCATACTTTTAAGTTAATTACTGCCAGATACCGAGTACCCCTGTAATCACGAAATTACTAGAATCCTACTTGGTTTACACAATCAATTTAAGAGATTCTGGACTCCTTTTCTGTTTAAGCCTGCTTCTAGAGAAATAATCATTTTGGAACAATACCTATTGAGAGAAGTTCATCCAGCATCATTACAGCCCTACCCATCTTTTGACTACTACAGAAACCATGAATTCGTATATTGTAGGTTGTGATGTCTGGTTCCCACCCATTAGCATACATGTTATTAATAAAGTGATCCTCTTTAACCATGTCAAATGCTTCAAAATACAAACCAATCGGAGTGTTGTAAGTTACAATATCTGGGTCCAACCCCGCACGATGGATATTCATAAATGCATCAAATGCTGACATCATCCTGCCAAGTCAACAAAATCCATTAATGATGATATTGGAGGTAAAACTATCACGAAGGAGACCCTTTTGCCTCGCCTATCTTTCCAATTTCATTGCTTCATTTATCTTCCCATGATTACAAAACCCACCAATCAAGGAGTTATATACAAAATTATTTGGCATTAATCCTTTGTTTGACATTTCAAGAAACAAATTATATGCATCCTCAATTAGACCAGCTTTAGAAAGTCCATTGATGACGGCTGAAAATGCAACAGCATCAGGGGATATGCCCCTATGTTGCATTTCATTCCAAAGACCTTGAGCCCCTGCTAAATCTCCTTTCCTGAAGCAACTATCCAAAAGCACAGTAAAAGCCACTCTATTGATGGGAAAACCCTTCTCCATCATCTTACACAAAAACTCCCTGGCTTCCTTTAAACTCCCCTTCTTGCACAAACCTATGAGCAAAGAACTACATGGGGAAGATGAGGGAGTCATGCTGAATCTCGTCATAACTTTATAGACTTTGTAGGCATCATCTTCTAAGCCTGCCCTGCTATAAGCTGCAATAACAGAGTTAAAAGCAACAACACTTGGTGCCATCCCTTTCTCAAGCATAATCTCTAAAAATTCCTTGGCTTCATCCAAACAACCTACCCAACATAACCCTGCAACTGAAATATCACACAATGAATGATCTGGAAGCAAATTCAATAGAGATAACTCTCTCAACATCCTATCTCGATCCTCTTCCCATCCATATTTGAAATGTCCTGCAACCAAAAAATTAAAAGTTACAGCATCAGGTGTTACACCCTTCAATCTCATTTCTTCAAAAAAAATGTTTGCCCGACCAACAACCCTCTTGCCTTAACATACCCATTGATCAAGGTTTTACAAATTGCAACATTAGGATAAATACCCATCTCTTGAATCTCGTCAAAAACCTTTCTTGTTTCCACCACATTTCTCTAAGAACACAAGGCATTAACAATTGTATTAAATGTAGTGCTTGGCTTACAGCCCCACTCTATCATCAAATGGACCCAAGCAAGTGCACTAGAAGTTCATCCACTAAGGCAATTGGCATTAATCAGAATATTATATGCATAAACATCCGGATTACATTTAAACTTCACCATCACATTGAGCAAACTCTCTCCAATCTTAAGATGACCCTTTCTGCAAAACCAAGAATCATGGCATTGAAAGTATAATTTGAAGGAAGAGGTCCTTCACGAATCATTTCCCTAAACAGCTTCCACAAGCTACCATAATCACCAACTCTGAGCAAAAGCTCAAAAAGAATTGTCATTGCAGATGAACATGGCCTCACGCCCACCTCCCTCATCCTAGTCAAAATGTCCAAAGCCCGTGAACCCATCTCAACAATCAAAAAGCCCACACAAGCATATCAAGAACCGAGAAATCCGACTCATATTTCTGATGACCTCCCCACATTAGCTCCACCAAATCCTCACTCCTACTCTCCCCAATGCTTCTAATCACCCAGGAAACCACATCTTGAGCAAGAAACTTGAGGTTCTGAGCCGCTAAAATATGGGCAACCGTGCAAGAAGATCTAATACTACTCTCAGAATCATCCCTAAAGGCAAATTTAAAGAATGCGAAAGCGGTCTCTCTGGTTCCTAAAACGTTCATGATTCTTAGTATGCAACATGGGCAAATTTGTCAGAAAACCCCTCGATAGATATTCATGCCGCAACTTGACCATCTTTGTTAGGCCTACAGTGATTCTACAGCGGGAAATTACTAAAGTTTAAATAATCAGTGGCAGCTGCTTTATTAGAGTTACAAAATGGGGAAAACTGATTCAAGCAATGAAAGTCTGTTGAAGTTGAAGAAGAATAAGAGGAATGTCGAGTTTGGGGAATTGGGGTTTTGTAAAAATGAATAAGATTGAATGAAATTAGGGTTCGTGATGAGTGAGAAGAAGCTCGTCGTTTCGGTAAATAAGAGAGAGAGCTGCTTTATTAGAGTTACAAAATGGGGAAAACTGATTCAAGCAATCAAAGCCTGTTGAAGTTGAAGAAGAATAAGAGGAATGTCGAGTTTGGGGAATTGGGGTTTTGTAAAAATGAATAAGATTAAATGAAATTACGATTCGTGATGAGTGAGAAGAAGCTCGTCGTTTTGGTAAATAAGAGAGATAGAGAGGGGAGTGATGCACCTGGAAAGTAATGCGCACTTTAGCAGACATGCAAAGCCTTGTTTATCTTCAACGATGCGTTGTCCGGGGATAGAGCGGCTAATATAGTAGTCGGGTGATTCAGGGAAGGCAGCGGTGCATTAGGGGCAACGGTGGCCGCTGGGGAAAGATCCGTTGGCGAATTCAATTATCTTGGGTTTATTTTCCTATGATCTCCAAAACTCTTATTTGATGCTAGTGGGCCAATTATGAAGCACTTGGGCCCTGCGTTTGTGAGCTTTAATCATATTCTAAAATGGGCCAGACAAAAGGCTAGTTATAGTGGATTTGATGAGGACAAATAAAGTGCTCTCAAGTTCTAACCCCCTAGCCCCTGGACTACAAATTTAGGGGAAATTGAAAACAAAATTTAAAAAAAAAAAAAAAGCGACAGCTTGAGACTGATTATACCGTTCATGGATGTTTAGATTCACCACGTTTAGCAAAGAAGGTTTTTTTCTTCTATTTTTCTTTATTTCCTTTTTTTAATAATTTTCTGGCTTTGCTTAGAAAACAGACAGACACACAAACAGAACTTTCTTTGAAACTTCATTGCCTCAAAATTTCAGGATTACATTTTTCATTAATGAAAACTGCACAATCCGATGTTCCCTCCTTATAAACATCCACGTCTCAATCATCAAACCCTTTTCTCTCTCTTGTTTTTCCTTTTTTTTTTTTTATTGTTTTCAAATTTGATATATCACTCCGCTAGAAAAGCAAGATGTGATCAGGCGACGGCAACTGCGCTCGTCCGTACAGTTTTGTTTGGAGCAGAGCTTTTGGCATCTGAATTTCTAAGAGATCTACCAGATTTCCATTTCTTCTCATCAATCTCCATTTGTTCTTGCCTACACTCTGTGCTGCAAAACGGTGTATTCCCTCTGCAAAACTCCCAATCAGAAACACTCAGAATTTCCATCTTTCATTTCTAAATCAATGCTAACCAATCAAACAATATTCAAAATTAAATGCACAAAATATTTGTAAATAAACAAACTGACCTGTACATGAAAATATCGGAATTATGAAGCGATTTGCGACAAAGAGAGCAGGCATCCGGATAGCGGGCCTCGTAGTAATCTGGGCACCCAGAATAATAATAAGCCGACATGACTGCTATTGATTTAGGCGACCCTCGCTGCTGATTTGCGATGTGCAAAGAGGTAAAAGTGGAGAGGAAGGAGAAGCTCAGAGGAAGAGTGTTGGGTGGCGGAAGGGGTAAAGAGGCACTGGAGTTTATAGACTTTAAAAGGGAAAGCTTTGACTTGGAGCAATCAAGTACTACACGACCTACTGTATACCAGTAAAGCCCATTTGTTATGACAAGTGTTAGAATTTGATTGGAAATGTTGAAAAGCAACTGGTTCAAGATGCGGGCCCTACCCGTAAATCCATGGGCGATATTCGGAATCAAAGGCGGTTCAAAATTCAAATCCATTGGCTGCTGTATTTTACAATGGTTGATACGCTACATCCTACTTTTCCCAAAGTTATTATTATTTTTTTTTATTAAAGTGTACCGTTTCTTTCTTTTCTTTTTTTTTTCAATTATATGAATAAGAATAAAGTGTTATATTCTTTTTTTTTCTTTCTTTGTTTTCAGTTCAGTCCCCTTTTGTGGTGGGTATTTCTTTTACATCCATGAATTTTCTTATTCTCTTAGATGTTTGGATTCTCTTCACTTAGACACTTGTCAATGAGAAATTTATATGTAAATCCCACTTTACTTGCTATTAGTTTAGAGTGGAATAATTACTTGGCCTTATTTTCATTTTTTAGTGACCAAAAGATTCTTCATTAATTTCTTACTTATTAGGACTATTATTTATTATGATTCAATGAACTAAACTTGGCCATAATTACTAGCTAAGTTCATTTCCCTTTTTTTTTATATTATATTACAAATTTTATACTGATAAAGTTTATTTTATATGTAAATTGACTATTTTTTTTTTTTTTTTTACATATGATGGGTATAAAACCATGAGAGGAAGGAAAGGAGGCCTTGGTTTAAAATCAAAATCTCTGTATCTTTTTAAAAACTTTTTAATTTGAGGGTTGTTCGCAAATTAATTTAATTGGGTGTGAATTTTTATATATTAATTTTTTAGTTGTAACCCAAAATATTAAATACTTTCATTTAGATACCTTTTATTATTGTCACTTACATTTTTACATTAAAAAAATAACTATTTTTTTATAAGAATAATGTTAAGATATAATAAATTTAAATCTTAATACAAGTAATTCATACAATTCTTTTAAAAAATAATATCTAATAAATATAAGATTCAAATATCAATATTTATAATTATTCTCTTTATCTTTAAATCATGATTTTTTTATAAAAAATCATGATTTAATAAAGTAGTTTTACATTGGTTAAACTTGTTATTTAAAAAAAAATTTCAACACATCAAATATAGCAATGCTATGCATTTATTGATAGATCATCATTTCCAAATTACGTTAACAATGCGTCCATGCGAGTATTACATTCATTGTATGTTTAAAATATCATCAAAGCAATTGTTATAAGATTGTAACTAAATATATTACTAATAAAATTAAAAAAATAAAACGTTTAGTATATAATAAATTAGAAGAATTGTGATTTTAACAAATTAAAAACTTTGTAACTAACAACAACAAATACAATAAGCGAGTCATAACTAAATTTTTTCAACAAAAAGAAATCAGAAATATAATTTATTTTCCACTTTGTCTAAAAAAGTAATTAAAATGTTAAAAAAATTTATGAATTTTATCACTTTACTTAAATAAATCTTTATATTATTATTACACCTAAATAAATGATTAACTTTTAATTTACACATAAATAAATATTTAATTTCTTATTTATATCTAATTACGTTATTAATTTTTAATTTGTATAATTTAAAATAAATTTTGTTTAAAATAAAATTTTATATAGATATAATAAAATATAAAAAATTCTTTTAAAAATTAAAATAATTCATAAAATTTTTAATATTTTAACCAAAAAAAAAAAAGGATTTCCGTAGCATGTAAAAAAAAAAAAAGAATAATTTACGATAATAATTTTGTAAGTTAGTGGGAAATGACAGGTGATATGGTCTGATGGAATTATATAAATCATTGAGAGGGTTCTTTAATAATTAGGGAGGAGAATGGGACAGGAACAGCAAAGACACCTCGTAATTTGTTTTTTCTTTCTTTTCCCTTTTTTATAATATGGAAAAATTTGTGGGCGCTTCATGACTTACGTGGAAGATCAGAGGTCCACTTGTTTGGGCTTTTTTTTTTTATGCTTTTTCCCCCCAACTAGGAGTAGGGCCCACAGTTTGAAAAACATAACACCCAATAAACCCGGACTTGGAGCTGAGTAGACGTAGGCCCCACCAACCCAACAAAACAATCGAAGACTGGGGTCCACCTGACACATGATCCCGCTGGCCCTTTTCCAAGGTCTTTGTCTCCCGGTTCTAGAGATGCTGCCCGTATTCCCGGGCAGCACCTCCCAACCGCCACCTTTTCATTGCCAGGGACACGTGCGCCGGGATGGGATCCCCAGCACAGCTACGTGGCAGCTATGTGAAAAAAGATTCTGAGTTCTTGGAGCTTTCACGATTTCCCAAGTCACTGAGCTCAACGGCTAATCTCGTGCCACGATGTAGCAGTCGCAGTAGGGACTCAATTATTGAGGGCTCGCCACCACATCCACATGATTGTTCCTCCCACGTTGGAGCACGACGGTGTCAAAGCGATTTAAAATGAGTGGCGAGTTTTAGGCTATCCGGCGGAAAATGGCTTTTTGTATTTGGCGATGTTCATTTAATAAAAACTTAGTTTTTTTAACCCGTGCCGTGCACGAGATTTTTTTATTATTTTAAATAATTAAAAAAATTTTATTAACCTCAAATTTTTATATTACTTTAATAAAAATATATAAATATTTATTAATTTATTATATATAATCATACATTTATAAATGTTAAGATACAATTAAATAAAAATTTATATATATTATAATATTTTTTCAAAGTCAAAGCTTTTGTCAATTTTCAAAGAATTATAAATTTTTTTTTTCATAAAAATTATTTTTTCAATTCATTTACTAAACAATGAAAATTTTGCTACTCATTTTTTTATTCGATCAAAAAAAGTAAAGTTTAATTTTAAATAATCAAAATTTTTATTATTAATTTATATATTTTTTAGTGTAAAAAATATTATTATTTACGTTTTTAGATTCATCATGTAATGCTAGTACAATTTACTTAGGGTTTATATTCTTTTATATATTTTATTGTACTCTTAATTATGGTTTGATATTTATAACCGTTGCATTACTTTTGATAAAATTTTACTTTGGCTTGTTAAAAAAAAGTCAAAATTAATAATTATTTATATGTTGATATGAATATATAAAAAATATATAATTTGATTAAATTATAAAAGACATTTATATTAGCAAAATATTCTTAAATTATTAAATCTTATAAAGCTAAACAAAAAATAAAACATCAAATAATAATAATAATAATAATAATATATGATTGAACTACAAAACATAATTATTAATTTGTTCATAACCATTTGCTTTTTATTAGTTCTTTTTTTTTTTTACATATATACTTTAACATAAGTAGTTGTTTTTTTACTAGAACATGAATTAGACAAACAAATTGAGAATTATAAATAATTTAAATTTTTTGTACTTATGCATAGCAAATATCTAGTTTAACTATATATATATATATATATATATATATGAACCGATTTATTTTAGAATAAATCAAATCTAGATGTATATATCATATAATGCAAATAAAACCAAATAATAAGTTTGAATAAACAAACAAATAGAGGAAAATAAATAAAAATATATATATAATATAAAAAAACGCAATGAACTATACTTATTACCTAATTGAAACCCAACCAAATATGCTATCATTTTCTTTTCATTATTGAAATCTAAAAAAATAATAATAATATTATAAAAAAATCAACACCGTTACAAACTCATTTTTAAAACTAAAAAATAAAAATAATAAAATAATAAAAGCATAAAATGAATTTACTTATTTATGAATATGATGCGGTTACTATTATTTATAGCTTTTGTCTATTTCTGTCAAAACTTATAAATCATAATCATCAAATAAAAAAAATTGTATTTTTAATTTTTAATTATAATAATAACAAATAAAATAACATTAATTAAAATGTGACATATTCAGTTTATGATTTTTTTATTTTTATTTTGAGATTTTGATTTCACCAAATAAAATTTATTAAGCTCTCTCTGACACACACATATATATAGAGTTATGATTAAATTAAAAAAAAAAGAAGAAAATTTATGATTTAATATATTTAAATCCAAAATTTATGTAAAATTTATAAATTTTTATAGAATTTGATTTGAATTTAAATAGTTACCCAAAAATATTAATTTTATATTATTTATTAAATAAAATTATTTGACAACAAATAAAAGTTTATTAAGTCTATATATATTTGAAATTATTATTAAATTAAAAAAAAAGATAATTTATAATTTAATATATTTAAATTTAAAATTTATGTAAATTTTTTAATATTTTATAGATTTTGATTGACTAAATATATAAATTGAGAACATATATATAACTTAAATCTCTTATACTTATGTACAGTAAATATCTAATATAACTATATATATATATACATATGAATAAGCTTTTTTTAGAATAAATCAAATCTAAAGGTATATGTCATATAATGTAATAAAACCAAATAAAAGGTTGGAAGAAACAAACAAATAAAGGAAAAAAAATAAAATAGGAAACAAATAATGAACTATACCTATTACTTAGTTGAAAACAATCTAAATGTATGCTCATTTTTCTTTTATTATTGAAATCTAAAAAAAAAAATCAATATTACAAAAACAAAGAAAAAATAATTTAACACCATCACAAACATATTTTTAAGACTAAAAATAATAATAGTAAAAGAAATAAAAGGAAAATAAAGGCATAAAATGAATTTCTTATTCATGAGTATGATATGGTTATTATTCTTTCTAATTTTTACAAATTTATGTCAAAATTCATAAACCATAATTGTCAAATAAAAAAAAAATCTTCAATTTCTAATTCTAGTAATAATGAATAAATTAACATTGGTTAGGGGTAACACTCTCATTTTATGAGCTTTTTATTTTTATTATAAGATTTTGATTTCAACAAATAAAAATTTATTAAACTTACACATACACATAATATATATATATATGTAAAGCTATGATTAAATTTGAAAAGAAAAGATAAATTATGATTTAAAATATTTAAATTCAAAATTTATGTAAAATTTTCAATTTTTGATAAAATTTTATTTAAGTTTAAATAGTTACCCAAAAATATTTAATTTATATAATTTATTAAATAAAATTATTTGAAAGTAAATAAAAGTTTATTAAGCCTATATATATTTGAAATTCTGATTAAATTAAAAAAAAGGGTAATTTATAATTTAATATATTTTGAATTTAAAATTTATATAAAATTTTTAATATTTTATAAATTTTTATTTGAATTTAAATAATTATCAAAACATATTAAATTTACATAATTATCCAAACATATTAAATCTAAATAATTTATTAAATAAAGTTACTTAATAAATAATACAATACAAATATTATCCTATGTGTCATAAAAAAAGACTATCCATATAGGCATCCATATCATCACATATTATCTAGTAATTTTGTATATTGTAATATAATATATATTAGATTAATTGATCAATGAAAAATAATTTATTGATTAATAAAAAATGATATTATTTTTTAAAAAATTATTTTACGAATTTAAAAAGAAAAGATATATTTAAAAAAAAAAAATCTAGAAGTAGAACTATTTATTAATACTTTTAATCATAATTTTACTTCTAAATAATATTATATAAATAAATAATATATTATTAATAAAATATACTATAATATAATATATTAATAATAATATTATAATATATTAATAAATAATATAAAGAATAATAAACAAATTTATTTTAAGTATTTTTTATATTAACATAATATTTTTATTTTTATTTTTATTATTAAAATATAATTATTTTTTAATATTAATAAATTTAATATTAAATAATTTCAATATATTTTAATAATACATATTTTTAATATTTTAATAGATATATTAATATTATTTGATAAAAAAACATATTTTTTAGAAAATAACTAAATAATGAGAAATCTTTTTCATTAACTCATCCAAACAATAAAAAATATTTTTCAATTCAAAAAATGTAAATATTTTCTAAAAATTATTTTTTAAAAGTCATTTTTTACGAAACAAATATAGCTTTATGGGATCGAGTAAGTCCAGAGTTACGTGAGCTTGGAAATTTTACAAAACAGAAAAAAAAATCATAAGAATAAAATTAAAAAATGGGTATTCATTTTTTTAAAAAATTTGAATCTATCTTTAATCTTTAAATCTTTATTGAAAGACATTTGAAACCTTCTCACCCAAGTTTTTTTTCTTCAAAAACAAATACTAGTCCTATTTGATAAAGAAAACTAATTAAATGCATTGCAAGTCGAGAGAATATGTCTAATCGTCTAATATAGTGGAATTGAAACATACCCTTTTTTTTATTCAGTTTTCTTTATTGGAGTGACAATGATTCTGATTTCTGAATCTTAAAACTTTTACAAGGCAAGTTCCCTTTCAAGCAAACTTTGCTTTATCACTGGACCACAATAGGCCGCATGTCAAATAATCATGCTACTTATTGCTACACCTGCATGTTAATTCCATGCATTTCTTTGCACAGTGCTAAAATGAAGTGATCTCATGTCCAATTGAACGACAAACACAAGGTCCTAGCATCCTTTGCTTCACTTCCTGTTTATTTGATTATCTGTCATATCAAAATCTCGAGATTCCTGTTTTATTAACCAAGTTTTATCTCTTGTTCCAATCCCAACAGCATGCGCCCAGCGCACAATGCCTCTGTTCAAAGTGATTCCAGGTTCTGCAATCAAGAAAATTGTCCCAGAGCAAAACTGCCTTTTCAATAATGTGATTTTAAAGCCACACTTTGCAGCCTTGTATTAGCAAAAATGGGAGGGAGTGGTCAACCCAAAATTAAGGGGAGAATTGTAAAATAAGGTGATTTAACTAATTTTTATTTCTTAAAAGTTTCCCCCTTTTGCAAACCAGGCCAATTCCATTGAAGATTCTTTATATTGGTTCCCCGTTCAACGTGGAAATAGAAGAAAAGAAGAAGTTCAGAACAATATCTGGATTCATGAGATAAATCTACGCGTCAATGAGGCAGGTTCAAGGAAGAGAAAAGTTTAAATGACTAATCAAGGAACATTGTGACAAACAACACTAGCCTGTGAGAGCCGAGTTGAGTGCACTATGCACATCAATTCCAATTTGGGCTTCAGCTTTCTCCAAGTCAGTTGCAGCTGAGCTCAGTTTCTGGGTGAACTCTGCAAGCCCTTTCTGAACAAGAATTGCATCAATTCGATCAAGTGGCACGGCCTCAACAGCAACTATATCCGCAAAAGAGTTGGCACGGATAAAAACAAATCCACTGCTGATGAAATTCTTCGTAACTTCACTTCCTTCATGCACTGATAAGACTCCAGGTTTCAATCCTGCAATTGTTGCTACATGTCCTGGAAGAACACCCATGTGTCTTGTTGTGGCTGGTACCATAACCATGTCAACCTGGAAACAAAGAAGTTAAGAGACCCAGAATCAAACTAATTCACCAGATACAGTCTAGGATTTTGGCCATTAGTATTATATATTTCCTTCATCCACTTCACCTTTTTTTCTTGCTCAAGTATTAGACCATGCTTATGGCAACACTTAGACACCATGAAAAGTTGCATTCCTATTTCAATTTAAATAGGCTTAACATTCAAGGAACAACCACTCAAGCCCCCTGCCCAACCCACACCACAAACAAAAAAGAGTAAAACATAAATAACACATACCTCTCTCTCTCTCATTATTTCCATTTAGTTATATCTCAAATGGTCCTGTAGGGCAGAGAAAGTACACTACCGTCTCGTTACATCATTATATTCACCATTGCTCAAACTTAGTAAAACAGCAATTAAAACTAGTCACCTACTCACCTAATTTATTCTTCAGCAAATAGTTTAGGGTGGGAGGAGAGAGAAATTAAAAATATTTGGATACCATATGCATGAAGAGGTGGGATACATATATAAACGCCTAAACAGACAGTAAACTTCCCGTGGGTCATCCAGGTGAAATAGAGGAGCTAGATATGATCAGATTTACTTTTTGAAAATAAAAAAGAGATTCCCTTAATGGCCCTTGGTGTTGGAACCTTTTCAGAGAAACAAAGATGGAAATGGAAGAAAAATGTTTGAAATGCAAACTTGCTAAATATCTGCATTGTTACTATCCTTGAAGGAACAAAAATAAGTAATAAATTCATGGTTAGTATGGTAGTTAATTTGCAATCTTTTTTTAATTGTACACCTCAAAACATAAGGCTGAAATTAATTAGTTTGTCCATTTCCTTTTCTGTTAACTAGTCTCAACCAACCATATTTTTGCAACTTATGAGAGGTTTCCATTCAATGGCCAAATATCAGAACAAGGCAAATGCTTTTCAGAATTAAATTAAAAAGAAAAAATCTTAACATAATAAGGAATATTAAGGAACTAAAACATGGACGAATAGACTTTATCATAATAACACCGTACATAAAACTGAAATTGTTTGTTAATGTTGACTGTGTCCCTGAATAACTTACCACTATCTAACTAAAAGCAAATCCAGCTTTCCAAACACAAATGCACTTGATATATGAGGGGCTGCTGAGAAAGATCTTAACAAGAAAGGATAGAAATGTAATTGGCAAACTACAAAGCAAAAGGTCATCAAAACAAAACCCCTTCTCCTTTTGTCTTCCCAAGGGTTTGAGGACTCTAGTCATCAATGTCACTGCACTTCTAAATACCATTAAAAATGAAGTCAGAATCAAATAAGCATGATATCACCTTTAACTCCTTGCTCTAAAAGGAATAGTAGAATTGGCACGGACAAGCAAAAATATCGAACACCAAAAAATTTAGTAAAAGACGTTTATTTCCGACATTACTAATCCCAGATAACAGCATTGGCAACAAATTAAAATTGTCCCAACTAGAAATCAAAACGACAAAAAAGAAAAAAATACCCAAGTGTTACCTCGTAGGTGGCCAACTCAGAATTATAAGGAAGAACAAAATTGACAGTGAGTTTGGAAGGAATGGAGGAGGCAGTAGGGGGACAAGGCATCATGAAAGACAGAGGAGTCTTAGGAGGGTCCATGTTGGGGATCACTTTCTTCCATGCCTCCAGGAACGTGGCATACGCAGTCTGAGTCGCTGGCAGATCAGTGGAGAAGGGTCGCGCCATTGCTGCTAAAATGGGCCAGGCCAATAGCCCCGATGCTCGCCGCAGCATTCTCGGAGGGCTTTGAGGGTGGTCGCTCGGCTCTCGCAAGGTCGGAGACAGGGAAACGGAGAGTATCTGGGAGTTGTCTTTCACTATCGTACTTCACTACTGTTTTTGGTAGCTGTGTTGCGTTGTGAAGTGAAAAATGGAGAGAATCTCAAGATGTCTTTTGCCTTTGGACTTATTAGAGTTTGGGCTTATATTTGGGCCTCAGGTATTCTATATACACAATTGGGCCGAAGCTGGTAAATCAACCGAAGACGGCCCTATGTAAGTCGGGTCCAATAGTAGCCCGTAAGCCATTTACTTATAAAGGGTGGTTAACAAAAGCCCTTTATTTTAACGTGCCTTGCGCCTTCCATTAGGGTTTTGCTGTGTAAAGCGTAAACCTCTCTCCTCAGCCATGGCGGAACAGGTTCAGATCTCTCTCTTTCCCTCTACACTGTTAGAAATAAATAAGCATTTGGAATGCTTTCATGATCTGATCTGATCTTTTTTTTCTTGTACTTTGCATATTAGACGGAGAAGGCATTTTTGAAGCAGCCGAAGGTGTTTCTAAGGTAAACTAACTTCTTTTGTTGTTTGTCAGTTCTTGCAAATTATCATTATGTAATAATTCTAATAAATTTATAATATTTCACCCTCAGCTCTAAGAAAACTGGAAAAGGAAAGAGGCCTGGAAAGGGCGGGAATCGCTTTTGGAAAAGCATTGGATTGGGCTTTAAGACACCCAGAGAGGCAATTGAAGGTTTGCTTTGCTCTTTGCTACTTGTCCTCCTTTTTAAGATTTCTCGCTTTTAAATTAGGATTAAATGTTTCTGTAATTTTATTTCATTTTGTATTTGGATATAATTGTTAGCCTTTCAATGCTCCCTTATGTTTATCAGTGAATATGGGAACTAACTGTTCTCTGCTAGGTCATTGATGATTAAACGGAAATGTCTTACCAGGTTGTTGGTTTTGGAGATTTGAGAACTACATTCTTTAGCATTTTACTGTGCTTTCAGACTGGAAGCTGTTTTTTGGCAAGGGGGATTTTTTATGATAATAACTAGATTCAATCTTTCATGTTAGATGATTGTAAATAATTTAATCAAATACAGCTATTTGTTGGTGTGTTTTTGTTCTCGGCTTTCCTTTAGCAAGTGTGATTTTGTAGATCAGCTAGCATTAGGATACAATGTGGGAACCACGCCTTGGTTTAACATGGTTCTCTGATGAGCTATCTTGTGGTTTAATCTGTGGATATCTTTGTCAGGAAATCAAGCCTTGCTCTAATTACATATATTGTCACATCATATTTTGCATTCACATTTTTTATGGATGTTTAAATTTTGCCCTTACTTAGATACATTTTCATATTAGTACTATTTCATTCTCTCTATTTAATGTACCACATAACCACCCGTTCTACACATGGATTTGTTGACACTTATGTTGGAGGTTTCACCTTTGCCCAGGAACGTTTATTGATAAGAAATGCCCATTTACTGGCACTGTTTCTATCAGAGGCCGTATCCTTGCTGGCACTTGCCATAGTGCGAAAATGATGAGGACCATTGTTGTTCGAAGGAACTACCTTCACTACATCAAGAAATACCAAAGGCAAGAGATTTCATATATTATTTGCTAAAGAATGTGATGCACACTTACGAAAAACTCTCATGTATGTTATTTTAATCTGGTATCAAAATTTTTTCAGATATGAAAAGAGGCACTCTAACATCCCAGCTCATATTTCCCCCTGCTTTCGTGTTAAAGAAGGAGATCATGTTATAATCGGGCAATGCAGGTTCATACTTTAATTCCATGTTACCTTTTTACATATTTATTGTCTCAACTGTGCCTGACCTGTCCACTGGCACCAGCACCACGGACAACAGACCGTCCAACCCACCCAAAGAAAAAAATGAAAACGGGATGGCTGGGGAGAAAGAGGAATGGCTTGGAGATTGTTACTAACAACTTTATTAATTTATCAATTATTTTCACAGGCCTTTGTCAAAGACAGTGAGGTTCAATGTCTTAAAGGTCATTCCAGCTGGGTCTTCTGGAGGTGGGAAGAAGGCTTTTACAGCCATGTAAGACATTTGCTTTTGAAATGGCAAAACTGTAGTGCCGGTGTTGAGATGTATTCACTATATGAACTTTGTTTGATTTTGCTTTAGTCCGATATGTTGATGGAAATGTAATTTGTTGTCTGGAAATCTCCATTATTACAAATTTGAGAATCTATTTGTGTTATTTTCTCAAATTGTTTTTCAATGTTAATTCTTTTGAGTAGAAAACATCAAATCTTATGTTAATCTTTGATTGCTTTTCTCAAGTTGCTACATGGTTTGTGAAATTCATATTTTTGCTAGAAGAAAGCATCCATTGTTGGCCTATCCGTTCTGTCATTCATTTTGAGAAATGTCTAGTACTAATAGGTAGGTGCACGAATGCCTGGCTTTTCTGGTGGAGGCCAGGCCTGGAGACACAGGACTTTGTGCCAGTAGTCTCTGCACTTTATTTCATTATGTTGAATGCCAATTAAACTCTCCGAAATTTACTTTTTTGTCTCCTGACCTGGGAATTTGAGAAAATGGGCTTAACATCAGTCAGTCATTGCTGTTCCAACTGGTTGCTTTCTCCTCTGCATTGCTTCCTCATTTTGGTATGTTTTCTCTTTCCCCAGTTCTTAAATGATTTGCATTGTTGTTTACTCGAGAGAACATAATTACGACTTATCACCCTCTTCTCCCTTTGGCAGAAGAGGACTGAGAATCTTGCAAGGAACCCAAAGCTAAGTTGACTTAAGTGTTCTTTTGTTCTCTGATAGGGATGCTCTCAACTTTTACTGCTAATAGGGGCAAAAGAGATTAAAACGAACGTCATGTTGGCGGGCACTTTCCGATAAAAACTAATCTACTTCAAGTTAAACTAGGCATACTACTCCAGGCCATCTAGATTCTTTGAGTTGGATTCAAAGCGGATTAGATTAGAATTTAAATACGTGATATGATAATATTGAGATTGATTCCACTCTTACAAAGTCATCTAAATCAATCAAAGCCCATGAAAATGATTGTTTTTATTGAAGCCTGGCTTCTTTCGAAGACTTTAGTCCATGTTTTTACCCCCTTCCAGCTTTCTTCACGAGCGATTTTCAAATTAATATCGTTCTCTGAATGCTAAATCATCCAAATTTGCTTTCTTTGAACAGATCAGTCAAATTAACGAAGTTGAAGAACATATAAAAGGACAAGGAGATACGAATGTAATGTTATTATCCATGAAAGAAGAATGTAATGTTAAAGAAGAAGGGTATATTGTAGTATTATTATAAAATGACAATGATTATTAAATGTAAGAAATGGACTCTTCTTTATAGGACTAGGGAATGAATCCACAACTAGAAATTTCTTGGTTTCTCGGATTATTTGACTAAACAATTACAAGACTAAAATGTATTACATCAAAACCTGCGTGATTGAAATTACATCCTTTCGAATTTTCTTTGATGACCATCCAAAGTATTAAACATATGGTCCCCCTTGCTTGTGTCATCCCATAAATAAATAAATTAAAAATAAAAGTTCAGCATTCCTGGGAATAATCATGTTTTGCACCATTTTCTGGGAACATATATGATTGGATATGAGAAATATATTTAGGCCTATAACTATCGAACCGACATCCCTGATCTGTCTGGCCAATTACATTAATTTCATATTATCTTTTGTCTCGTAGTATCTCCGGTTATGCTTGGGATGTCCCTAAGGGGCCATATGAGAATTTACTGAGAAATCAAAGAGAGTAAGAGTTGTAAAAAAACACGAAGGGACCAAAAATTAAGGATTCCGAGGGGACATGCCTAGAGTGCAAACGAAGCAAAGTGATCAGAGTTTTTTTTTTTTTTTTTGGTTCTTTTTTTTTTTCTTGCCTCTCAGAGCCTTAAATGAGATGGGTCACTTAGATCCATCCCCAAAAGTTTAATGCTCTGATGGAATACAGGCTGCTTTGCTGTCCAACCTGATGATCTCCATAATACCCATTGTACCTGTTACTCAATTCCACCGTTGTCCTTGTTGTAATTTTCTTTCTTTATAAGAAAGAAAAAAAAAATCTACCAATTATATAAAGATGAAAAATTCTTTTATCTTTCCTTATCTTTGACTTAACCTTTGAGATTTTGGCCTAACCTTTCTGACTCGTCAATTACAAGTTTTTTTTATGGTATGGAACTTGCTTTGCCTTTTTCCTTTCACCTTAACAAAAATAAGAAAAGCATGGAAGCTGGACTTTGCCGCAAATTACGAGAAACTCCTAATCAACATATATACTAACCTGCATGAAGTTTGAGAGTTGAGACTGACCATTAATAAAGAAAAAAAAATCTAACAAACAAGAGCTTGGAAAAGTCTGAAGAAATTGCAGCATTGATTCCTTAAACATACTTTTTATACAGTTATTTGGATAAGTATGATTAGCCAAGGCTAGTTGCTGGATCAAAATCCTTGCTGGTGTAGGTGAGCTAAAAGCAGCTCATCACTTTATAGTAATAAAATTAGGTAGGAAATGCATGGTTTCCGATAATTTTGACCCACAACTTAAATTACCATCCACACCAACATTCCTTTCCCTCTTCTTCGAACTCATCAAAACCTTGTTGTACAGAAACGAACCATATATATTTCCAATGAACAGGTAATTAATTAACTTATTTTTTCTAAAACCGAAAGTACACATTTTTAATGATAATCATATATAAAAATGGAACTACAACTACTCAAAGTGGTGTGAAAGATTATACAAATGAATTATAATCCATTTGCTGTAAGGCCTTGGAGGGATTGCTGTTTTGGGAGCATGCCAAGAGTAAGCAGAAAGCAACGAAGCAATGGCAGGCACACGCGAAAAAGGATTCATTCATAAGAGTATTTTATTATTGTTATTATGGAAGTAATGATAGAGTTAGAGTGGGATGCTGCGCATTATTTTAGAATGATGGTGAGACTGTCATGTCGTGCTTTTATATATATATATATATATATATATATCAACTAATTGAATAGCAAATAAGAATAATAATAATAATACAAACAAGATCATTATCTCATTCCTGCAAATTTTGTGACTTGATTTGGATAACTTATGCATTAATCTAATTTTATTCACCACAGTTTCATATAAAATAAAATTGCCTCGCGTGCTCAAATCAAAGACGGTGCAAAAATAACTACCTTGCACACTTTAACAATGCAAATTTTAAGGATTATATATAATATTAACAAAGACTATATGCTTATGGTTATTAGATTCATTGATCCATCCCAAAAACAAAATAGAAACAAATAATTTTCCTTCAACGAAAAAGGCATGGGGAACCCAAAACAAAGTAAACAAGAATCAGTAAAAGAAATGAAAAGCAATATACTAGTAATCATGGATGTAGTGAAGTTGACCTCCCCTTTCCAAACAACATAGAAAGTTACATGTGATCTTCCTCATAATCAAAGACAAAGATGGTAATAATGTAATATGCAATCTTTGTAACACTGAAAAATGTTTTATATGATATTTGTATTAAATACAAAAATATGTTACCCAAACTAAATAGTAAATGTAAAAGTTGTGGTGAGAAACTGAAATGGGCCAAGCCGTTTTCTTTAATTTGAGGGTTTGCGTCCTTCGTGGTGCGTCCGGAGTCGCCGACCCAGTAGCTGCACAGCGCTGATGGCTCTTTAAAATCTGTGCCAAGGCATTTACTACTGCCCCCATTTCCGCTTTCCTTCATTTCTGGCAGTTTAAAATGAATGACTCAATTTAATGTTCTCTCCTCTCTTCATTATAACCCCAACAACGCCGCTTCTCTCATCTCTCTCTCTCTCTCTCTCTCTCTCAAACCCAACTGTCCGTACAGTTCTGTTCCTTACACGTGACATGCACGTGATACTTCTCCGCTTAAAAACATCCTTCGTTCCTTCATTTATTTTCTAAATTGACAGGGAAAATATATACTCATAATACAACAAAAATAAGAAGTCGTCAATGGAGTCGATGGCATCGCCGCCTCCGTTGTTAGTTGGCATAATGGGAGGAGTTATTACCGCCTCCGAAAATAACATCACTGAACGCTCGCATTCTTCGTCCATTAAGAATGTCAAGCCGAGTATAATAATAATAATTTTGATCCTTTCCGCAACCGTGATTGTTTCCGTCTCTCTTTGTCTCCTCCTTCGCCACCTCAACCGCCGTTGCTTGCGTCACTTCTCTCGTTCATCTACTTCCACTATAACCGCCGCTGCCAGCCACCGTGTTAGTCCCGAAAGATCGCTTACGGCTTCGTTGCTTGACACTCTTCCTCTTTTTACCTTCTCTTCCATTACTCGCCACTCCAACAACGATTCAACGGTTTCCGGAGATTGCGCGGTTTGTTTGTCAAAATTTGAGCCGCAGGATCAACTCAGGCTTCTTCCTCTCTGTTGTCACGCCTTCCACTCTCATTGCATTGATACTTGGCTCACTTCAAACCAAACTTGTCCTTTATGTCGCTCTCCGCTCCTCGCTTCTGAGGCCGATCTTATGAAGATTTTGCTTCAGTCTTCTAACGCAGCCGGTGCCATTGGAAGTGGCGGAAGCGATAGTTTCAGGCTCGAGATTGGCTCTATCAGTCGTCGGCAACCAGGCTCCGACTCCGGTGAGCAGAGAATGGCTTATTCCATTGGCTCTTTCGATTACATCGTCGAGGAAGAATCAGAGGTGAATAGTAATCAAACGCAATGGAGAAACGTGTCGGATAAGGAAGAGGTTGGAGGAGCTGAGGCAGCTTCGGAAGCGAGCCTCGCTGCAGAGGTTGCTACTGGAAGGGGTTGGCTTAAGGAATACGTGGATAGGCTCTCATCTTCGTTATCGTCTCGTGCGTTGTCGTTTCGTAGCTCAGGAAGGTTCTTTACGGGGAGCAGTCGCCGAAGCGAAATCTCCGGCGCCGCTGGAGATTATGACGTGGAAGCCAATCGAATCGGCGAAGAGATCAGCGAAATGTTTCGTTGGTTCTCAGGGGTATGAATGGTAAATAGGGGTTCAAAATAGGGGTATTTCTGCATTTTTGGCTTTTTAGTTCAATTAGTTCACTCTATTTTTTGCTCATTCCACTCCATAGGCGATGGATTGGACGACGAACAGCAAAAGTTGAGAAATGGAGTGGACATAGCAAAATTTTTGAGTGCAGGTGAAGCTACCTCTTTTTTAACAATTTTATCCGCTGTAGATAAAGTAGTGAAAAAAAAAGAAAAAAAGAAGCGTTTATAATCCCCCTCTGATTTTTAGTTGAGATACAATCGGACGGTTCACATTTGAACATGGAAATCTTAGGGGATTGCATAATGGAGTATAATTTTTTTGGTAGTAAATTAGCAAATTAGCATAGTAAAAAAAAAAAATGTGGTATGAGTTTATGTGATTGATAGTCTTAAATATGTCACCCAACATATAATGTAAAAAAGTGTGTTACTTACTTTAAGCATTTAATGAGATCTAATAAAGAATTAGTAGTCAGTAAAGTGAGATGGACCCATTATTCTTATTTTTAGAGTTTAAATTTGGGGTTCATTTGGGTGTTATAACTACTTATTCATAGTATAAAAATTTGTTGTACCAAAAACAATGGTGTATTTTTTTATGTTATTAACAAGTTTCACCTTAACTACCACTCCTGAATTTCATGGGCACGCAGTAACTAGGAAGTCCTGCTTTGGGTTTAGATGCTCCATTCGAAGCTAATCAAACCTTTTGTTCATGCCTTTAGGTACAGGGGTCGGATCTAGAAGCTTAATTTTTTGTCATCTCCTCCCGATGGATGTCTTTGGAATACTTGAAGAAGCAACATTTGGGTTGTTATATATACATATATATATACATATATACATATATTAGACAAATTTAGCTACTTTTGATAGGTTAGTTTTGCAATTATTGGGTCGGGAGATGAGGTTTTATTGTTTTAGTTGAATTTAAATGTTGCTATATGGTATTATTATGATTGTTCTTTTTCAGTTTATAATTAGGAATAAGAAAATGGCTTGTTTCATATTTAGTAGTTAGTTGCGCAGAGAAATCCATTGTTTTTTTTTTTTTTTTTTTTTTAATATAAGTTGATCTCTTGTTTACTTTGTAAGTGAAAAGATCCACTTTTTTCTTTTTGTTTAAACCAATGTCATAAGCAAATCAAGTTTTGAAGACAAAAATTGTAAAAACCAAACTGAAAACACAAACAATATTAGATCATTCGAACTATAAAAAAGTGATGCCCACTGTAACTGCTTAGTGGTTAAGGTGCAGTTGCTCTTTTTTACTATTTAGGATTTGCTCCTTTGAATCATCTCTCATTTTCCATTGTTAATTACACGAGAGAGAGAGAGAAGACAAAATTCATTTGGATTTTATCCTCATTATACATTATTACATAGGTGACAATTTGCTTTCAGCTTTAATTATTGTTTGTTCGTACTCTAACATTTTGGTGGATAACCTGAATAATTGTTTTTTTTTTAATCTCCATCTGCTACCCTTAAAAGGATAAATAAGTTCAAGTAATGTTTGTAATTTTCCTAATTTTTCATATTTGTTTCTTAATTGAGGTTTTGGAACGCAGTTCCTAAGAAGCCAAGAGGCCCAAGACATAACTGACGAGTCCAAGCCAGCCTAATGTCAAGCTGGGACGGATTTCACAAATGCCAGTTGCAGAAGAGAAAATACAATCCTATGACATGCTTATGCTCACTGACATATAGAAGGAATCATTCAGGATATCAGACGGTACACTTATGCTAAAAAACAGAAGGGAAAAGTGGGAATAAATTTGGGAAAAATGTACGCGGATGTATAATTTTCAGTTACACTATCTCCAGGCATCGTTTCATTGAACAGTTGGTGATATGAATCAAATGTGGTTTAACACAGAAATGAATAAATAACTCAAAGTAATAATATAGTTCAAAAACATGGTAGTTCTCTGTCCAGCATTGCAAGGAAAGGAACTTCCACTATAGCACCCTTTCTTCCGCTTGATCCCTTGACCGTGATCTTCAAGGACAAAGGTAGAATTTGTTCGACCGTTACTAAATAAAATACACCAAAAGAAGGGACCTTTATGGAACCCAACCAAGCCAACTCCCACCGCACTGCGCAATTTATTTCTCAGAAGAGATAAGGTTTTCTTGTCTTTAACAAGAACGTGTGAAAAGGCTAATGATGGCTCCCTATATTTGGATTGACAACCCACAATGTGGCCAGTAATGGTGCCAAAAGTAGGCAGCTCTACACCACAATTGGTAGCAAAAACTTCAGTGAAGTCATCATCTGGTGGTTTACAGTTTACAGCACTGTTGCCACTGCAGTTCCCCTTGCATAATTCAACATACTGGAGGGCCATGCACCCAAGACCAGGGCTGTCATTTAGTTGTGGAAGTTTTTGAGCAGTTCTATTCTGGTTAATGATCTCAACAAGATCATTTGCAGGGTTTCCTGATGGACAAGTAGCAAATACAGGCCAGTTTTAAAAAAGTTAACATACCAAAGAAGAATAACTTCAGTGAGTAGGTAAAAAATATTATTACAAACTAAAAACACGGGGTTTAGCTATCACACCATGTCTCACCATTCAACCATAACGAATGGGCATGTTTCATGTTTAGGGAGACAGAAGACCCTACACACTAATGTCCAATGTAGCACATGAAATCACAATCAAGCCGGTATATCCAGCTACACAAACATGTATAACTTTATGTAATCAATGTACCAGATCAAGAATCACTTAAAACCAATGCAGCCTTCCATGCCAAAGAGTTGACAGATGAAGTGTCACGTAGAGGTGAGCAAGCACGGTTCAAATTTCTTCTCTTTTAAAAGTGCAATGTACATAGAAAGATGAATGAAGATAGAAGTTATATAACTATTGACAGATGGGCACTGAAGTGTGACCTGTTGAATTCAACTACTAATGTTTTGATACTAGATAACAGAGACCTTTCTATTGGCACCAAGTAGTCAAATCAATTGGATGCGGGTAGAAACTAGCAGTTGAACAACCACTTATTAGTATCTCAATAAGGCAACGTGCTTCAATCTTTAAGAATACCTTCACAAGTTACCAAAATAACTGCTGTTACAGAAATGCGCAACCTAGAGAGATCTCAAGTCAAATCAATGCATTAAAAGGATCATTTCACCTCATAGTCTTAACACTCGCCCGGTCGTCTCTTGTGCTCTTTGGAACTTTCACTATGATAAGCTTACAGTATCTTCATGTATCTAACCAAATTTAGCTACCATACCATTGAATTGAGGTGTTCTGCACTTAGAATTGATATTGCAATACATCTAACTCAGCCATTTTCTCCACAAAAGAACATTGTCGCAATGACCGGAGGTCTATCTACCGACAATGGAACTCATAGAGAAAAGATTTGTCTACTCTAAACTGCTTAAAGATGTGGATGTCTTGGCTAGAGAAGCTAGTAAAAACATCTCGTCCCAAATAATCGGGACAAGTGTATCAAAGCACAAAGTCTCATACCACCAAAGTTTGCCCATTAGGTTTGAGAGATGTTATAATTGAAGGTATATGGGCAATGATTCAGGTATTTGGAGGAATCATCCAGATAAGATCTTCCATCCCAGCTAAAATAGTTTACATAACATCTTCAGGTCTAATGAGTCAGAATCAGCACTCGTCATGACTTAATATGCTGATTTACGAAGGGAAGCATTCATAGGGAAAAAAAAAAAACAAAGAAAGAGGTTTAATATCAAGTGTTTAGACAGCCAACACTTCTACTAAAAGATATAAATCGATAGTTAGTAGATTTATGCAATAAAAACAGCAAAACTCCAAAAACAAAACAAAGAGAGATGCTCAAAGTATCTTACCATGGTGCTTGGAGCAAACGACAGTTACCAACAGAAGATGACAGTAGAATCCACTCACAGAGACAGAGTTGTTTCATCACCATTGTCACCAACACTTGTTATCTTGAAACCCCAGATAGGCCTTTCTTCACAAGGATTAGATTAAAAAAAAGAAGAAAAAAAGGGAAACCCCAGTTCCAGATAAAAGAGGGTGTGCTCCTTTTGCCAACAAAATAAATAGTTTGCCAAGTGAGAAGTGAGTTAAGCGTGAATGATAAACGGGAATGAATGAAAAATTTCCCGGCAAAAAGTAGGGGATAAAGCGCTTTGAAAGTGCAGAGATTCAGGGACAAATGATAGGAATTGTGGTCCCCAAGTAGCCGTTGGTTCAAATATACATAAGGAAATGGACCCTCAAATGGTCGCGAAAACTGGGATGATAATAAAATGGGAAGGTGCCTCGCTTTGTCTGATTCTACTTTTTGCTTCAATTGAATTTACTGCAAAATGTACTTCCCCTCTTTGGATCTGTTAGTGGTAAATTTTACTTTGGAAAGACAAGTTCATAAAGAAAATACTGCTAAGTAGTTGGTAGATTTTGCATAAAAGAGTATTACTGATTGTCAAAATTTTTTTTAAAAAAAAGAGAATTATCATTCTAATTTTAAATTTAAAATTTGAAATTAATATAATAAATGTAGAATATAAAAAATATTTTAAAGAAATTTATAACTGAAAAAAAAAGAAATTATACTTGTAGTCTAAGAAGACACATTATTTGATTTTTGCTCGTAATAATTTTTGACATTAAAATTAAAGTTATAGTTAAAATTAAATATTACATTTACTTATAAATTATAATTATAATTAAATATTATATTTATATTTATATATAAAAATATTAAATAATTAAATAAATTATAACTTAACAGGAAACAAATTTACATATAATAAAACTTAAATTATTAATCTCAAAATCTTAAAATATTTCTATCATTAAATCGAGACATCATTGGTTGCCCATAATAATTTTATCTTCATTAGTAGGAATAACAAAAATAAAAGTAGCAATTAAACATGAGCGCATTACCTAAAAAAATTTAGCTAAAAAAGAAAATTCACCCCAAAGTTTTCCCTCAAAAGAAAAAGCGAGGAAGTCTCTAGAACTCCGGCGAGCATTGATGATGTCACGGAAGATGACACGTAGGCCTATAAAACCCAGAGGAGCAGACGAGGGCTTTACTTACTTTGTTTTGCCAAACGCCCCCTTAGTTCAATCTGCCCTCTCAATTTTCCATGGCGTCTACATTTCTCGCAGCACCAAAAACCTTTACTCTGAACAAGCCTACCCTCCCATATCTTCCCACCCACAAACTTCTTGGTTAGTTTGCGTTAGCCCCTCTTTTCTACCACAATATCTGCTTGTTTTTCTTTACTTGTTTGTTTGTAATCAGTTTGTCTTTTTGATTGTGGGTTTCCAGCAGGGTCTCGAAGAAACTCTCTCAGAATCAATGCAGTTGCCACTAAATGGGAACCCACCAAGGTATTGTTCGATTGATTTCGTAATCCGAGCTAGATAGAGACAATTTTTGTGTATTTATGTTGTTATGCAAATGGTACCTTTGATTTTTGCAGGTTGTTCCACAAGCTGACAGAGTTCTTATCCGTCTCCAAGAGTTACCCGAGGTTTGCTTACGCTTCCTGCGTCTCTTTTTGCCCATTTGTTTAACTTGCAGGTTGTTCATCTATGTTAGTAATGAAGTTGCTTGTTCCGTTGAAGTGTATCTAGCTGGTTTTCTTTGGTTTCAATCTTGTTCCCTTATTGATCTATTCTAAGAAATGAGAATCGAGTAGCATAAGTTGGCTATTCTTATTGATCTATTGGACAAAAGCAATTGATGATTATGTGTGATGGTGGGGAGTGGGTACGGAAAGGGGAACTATCTTATTGGTTGATGTTTGCATTTTGCTTGGCTGTCATGTATAAATTTGTAAATCATTAGGCCCTCGTAAACGTGGTATGTATTTTCTATTAATCTTGTTTGATAAATGTCATTTTTTTTTCCTTTGTTGTAAGTTATAACGCCAATGAATTGCCCATTTTCTACACAGAAATCAGCTGGCGGAGTTTTGTTACCCAAAGCAGCTGTCAAGTTTGAGAGTTGCCTAATGGGGGAGGTATATAAGAATCCCTCTATACTTTTTTTCTCCTTTTACCATGAATGATTGGGAGTTCTTTTATTAGTTCTATGATTTCCTCTTCAGATAGTTTCTGTTGGTACCACAGTAGGACAAGTGGAGCCTGGAAAGAAGGTAAATAAATTCCGGCCCCTGCAATTTCAATGTTCTGAGCAATTCATGTTTTCTCATTCTAAGTGATGCCGCTTTTTGCTCTTTGCCAAAATGATGCCATTTTCTTATGCAGTTATTCTCCTTATACCATCTAAAGGAATGCCTATATCTTTGCAGGTTCTTTTCTCTGACATAAATGCATATGAGGTTAGTAGCATCTCTTTTTGGCGAAAAAATCTTTTTGTGTTGCTTCTTTTGCAATATTTGTTCATTTTGGGTGGACAAAGAAAGGGCAGTTAGAAAGAGGTTCTAGTAACTAGCAAGTTTGGCAGTAAGACCATCTTGATCCATATCTTCATTGTTTTAGCCACTGCCGAAGGCTCTCTCTACTAATGAACAACTATTAACATGATGGTAACTGCTATTGTGATGAATGTCTTAAGGCACAGTATCTGATTCATCTGCAGCATTTATCTTTTCGTTCATGGCCATAGGTTTTATGTGCAAAATAAGGTTTTATTTGCTTTCAATAACATAATAATGGTTTATTTCAAAAGTTGGTCGTATGACTCTGTTCTCAATGCTCTTCTCTTTCTTGCAGGTCGACTTGGGAACAGATACTAGGCATGTCTTCTGTAAAGAGAGTGACTTGTTAGCTGAAGTCGATTGAAGTTTCTGGCCTTTGATCTAGATGAAGAATCTACTTTGATGGTGGCACTTATGGAGTAAAATTTGCCTTGTGTCAAACTTTAGAATGTATTTCAGAATCGAACAGTTCATGTTGCATTTTGATAGCTTGTCATTTTGTAATGAGTGATATTACAAGCTCTTGGTGCATGTATGTCAGTTACTCATTGGAGATGATAATAATTCACGAATATTTAATATATTCAATGGTTTTTTTTCTTATTTTGATTTTTATAAGAAAAAGAAATGGATTCAATGTTGGATGACCATTGACTTCGTTTCATAGCTATCAGCCTATCACTAGTGGGATTTCGAAGAGGCTCGCGTTGTTTGCAATCCTCAATTATGCTTGCATCAGAAAGGAGATGCTCGGCGATCACATCTCACACCGGTGCTGGAATTATTAGATTATTAATTTCAATAATAGTGGAGCAAAACATTTCTCTAATCTAAGTTTCTTTTAGCAAATGTATAATGTATGTGTCAAAACATGGTAACTGTCGGTCGAGAACACAAAAAGTTGGTAATTCAGCTGCAAGACTTCACATCCATCTCCAATGTTTGGATAATTATATGATCAGAAAAAGAAATTTGCTTACACATTTCGGGTTAATGACTTACCCCATAAGAAAGCTAGTGTTCTGAACAAAAAAATCATAGGAATTATAGGACAAAAGACATGAGATAGAATTCAAAAAGGCACAATTCTATCATCCCTTCCTTTCTCTTTGGAAAATACCAAGCAACAACTTTTCCAGAACGCAGAAGCCTCAAGCAGTAGCTCAGGCTGTATATGAGATCCTCAATAAGAGGGCCTCGTTTCCCTGACTTAGAATCAAGCAAGAACTTTGAATCTACTCGAAAGACAATTGGCCCTGCAACCTGCACGCCAAAATGTAGAGTCTGTAAATAATATCCCAGGGCTTTTCCATGTGAGATATGTACGTGTCAATACACACGATAAAAGATTGGCTTCAATATTTTCCCAGCAAATTTGCATCTGAATCATCATTTCATTGCCCTCCTACCACATTTTAGAAGTCCCTCTATAAATGCCCTTTCAAAAAGTATCTCTCAATTGACATGAAAGAGGTTAATGTGTTTTCCCCTTATCTAAAGATTTTTCATCAAGACCTCCATAGATGTGCAGGGGCCTTGTGAATAAGAACAGCTAATAAAACTCATCAGCCATCTGTGTCCATATATTTTTTTTCATTTTTAAACAAAAAAGGACAATCAAACGAGGTATGGATAAAATTACCAGCTGTTGAAAGATCAAATTTAGTCTGGGAGATGATAGTGAATTGTCTGCACTGGAAGAACTCTTGAAAACTCTTTTGACAAATGATGAAAGTGAACATATGTCCAAACGAGCATCTACTCAGGTTAGATCACCATATAGCTTCCGAAACTGCCCATGCTGAAAAGTGTAGCAAACTGAGCCAAATAAATCCGCATTCAAAGGACTTCTCTTGTTATTGGTTGCAGGCATGTTACCCTCTCTCTGTGATTCGGCACTTGTGGAGTCATTCCCAAACCAGGCCGCACATGTGCCTCCTAGAATGTGATTAAGAAGCAAGAAAACAAAAGAAGTAAATAAATGTTTGGGCATCACAACTAGCATGAAGAAATTATCTAGAAGTTGTTTCCTCAGCATTGTCAATGCTTCCCACAAGCCAGAAAGATAAAAGGAATAGCAATTTCCTTCAAGGCTCTGCTAGATAGCATAATCTAAAGTATAAAATGAACTAAAGTAATTGGAGAGGGTATCATAAAGTGGTGGTATCTTACCATATTGAGTGCAAAAATTTACCACAGGGGGAAGTTAGGGAAAAGCCTAGAGAGTCACACAAGTAAAAATCATACCCTGCAATACATAAAACATACCTATAATACCAAATATTGCTGCATGAGGTTCTTTAAGACGCACATCATATGATGGTCAAAAAAATGAACCTTTGTCCATCTTTACAAAGAAATCCTCTTTTGTCTCCTTTTGCCTCCAGATATCCTTGCTCTTTTCATAAGAAAATGCAGCCTTTGCACATAATCCTGGCATTAAAGCAGAAGGTGCCTCACCATCTAGTGCATTGAAAGCCTTGGGATGACCACTGTTTTTATGTAGACCAAAACGATATCGCAGCCCTGAATCAGAAGGAAGAGAACATGTCTAAGTATATTGATTCTGGAACCTCCCAATATTTTCTTTTATGGCCCATAAAAGGCTCAGGCCATGCAGCATCCAGTGTGATATCATGATCAGGAAGCTGTAAATACGCATAAGTGGTAGAATAAACATAGTTTAAAAAGCTATCATTCACCATCATGGAACCAGAAAGACTGACATTATGAGACAAAATAGTTAAAAATACCAGAGATCTCTTTGGAATTATCGATGTAACCAACATCAAACTTTATGCTTCTGAATCTGGGGTAGGCTTGAGAATTCAATTTGCTATGCTTCTTACTTGAAGTTTTGAATAGGAAGAACTAGACTTTGAACTCAAAGGGCTCACATCTAGGCACTAATACTTTTAAATACTTGCTCATCATACTGGCTATATTACACTTAAATTCACACAATTAAAAGTGTAAAACCAATCTAACAAATAAAATTAAACTAAACTTCACGATGCATGAGGTAGACATAAAACTATATAAGTCACCAGCATGACTTAGCTGCTATTCCGATCGAATTGTTGTCAGCAAACTTGGAACATGTTGAAACTTATTATAGTTCACTTTTAGTACCCATTATCTCTCATAGAAGTATGGCAACCACTGGTTATAAAGATGAAAAATGGAAAGATAAATGTAGGCAAGATGTTATCAAGGAAACATATAAAGATGAATGGTATTGAAATACATGCCTGGTTATAAACCTTGAACTTGTGCCGATAACCTTTCTTCTCTCCCTGTTGTTCTGTGCTCCACATTAAGGATGAAGAAGGAGACAAGGAAAGCTGAGTCGCTAACGCAATTGAATACAGTGACTTGTCAAGAAAATGCTTGGCTGCATTTCAGAAAACAGAGAGCTTCAACTCATCAGCGCTCTGAAGCTCTATTCTAATAGCAGAAATAAGTTTCTTTGGCCTAAACTGACCAATTTCTCCAAGCCACCTATATAAGCAAATAACATTTTTCTGAGGCATACGTCACATAGCATTTGACAACTAAAGTGAACAACTTTCTAGCTTAAGAGAATAACTTTATGCAACTCTCTATCTTCTTTTTTGAAATGAAAGACTAAATGAAAAACATGTTCACAATTTCATATCATCCAATTTCCATGCATTTTCCAACAACCACATAAAATCTTCTCCTGTTTTAGATAAAATAGAAATAAGGGTATAAGCCCAAGAGAGAGAAATAGTAGAATGGCGCAATACCAGTTAGCAGTGGAGGGTCTGAGCAAGACAGACTGAAGAGAGAAAGAACCCAACTCTTTCTGCGAAGAAGGAGATAAAGAAGGAATGATACCCAAAGGAAAACCATTTCTCAGAACTGAAAGCTGCTGAATTCTAAGGGCTTTGCTGGCTCGAGATCCATCCAACGGAAACGGCTCGCCTGGAACCGACTTCGCCGAGCCATTTAAAGTCTGTGGGGAGGATATGCTCTCATCCCAAAATACAGAGTCCATTGCCGACTCCAGGTTCGCCATTGTGGCTACAGTTTGCCCTTGACCTTGATTGCCTGCTGGGTTTGAGGATTGGGTTTTCCTTATCTGAGTTGTTATTGTAGCATTTTGAGATTGTCCGAGAAAAGGATTTTGGTCTTTGTTGGCCTTTGGTGATGGGGGTTTTATTATATTTGATTATTTTCAAGGTGAGATAGCGTTTAAGGGCGTTTTTGCCTGTTTTTTCGGTTGAAGATGCTTCAATGGCCTGTGAATAATGCCGTCTGCCATGGGTGCATTAGCCACGTGGATATTAAAGGAAAAAAATATGATGCACATGTACATAGTAAGAAGACCTGAAAATATTGAAATTCTTATCATCTTATTCTTAAGTTTCATTTCTTTTTTAGATAAAAATTTTTATGGCTAGTTTGACTTTGGTTTTACTCAAAGGACTAAGCCCAAAAGTCAAAATTAAAATACCCAACAAACTATATATTGCGTTTAATTTTGAAGCATCATCTTCATAGTTTTTCAAACATAAGATTTTTGAAGTCCGACTGAAAACTCTTTCTTTTTCCTTCTAATGTTATGAAGGAAAGCAATATTTGCATAGCGTTTTACTTCATTTACGTGTAAGCAAAGATGGCGTAGGAACAACATTCAATTGGGACGGTTACACGAATGAATAATAATCATGAATTTGGATTGGAGCAATCTCATTCTTTAATCTTCGGTAATCATTTTTAGAAAGGCAACAAAAGCATGTAGAAAAAGAAACGTATGAACCTCGCAACAAGTAGCTACGAACCGAACCAATCCGTCGGACTATATGACCAAAATCACAAACCAAAAATGTGAAAATCTTATAGTTTTTTTTTTATTATTATTCTAAATGAATTATTCATTTATGCTTCTTTGAAGTAATTCTAGAGTTATAAATATGTACTTTCTCTGATGGCCAACACCAAGAACAACAAGATTACAAGCCACCACGATAAGAGAAATGAGGCAAACCTTGTCTTCTTTTTCCTTCCCTCTCTTCCTCTTCTTGTTGATTTCAACTTGGACCTTCCATGGCATAGCCGCCATTGATCTCATCCGTCAGACGTGCAAGAAATGTGCTCAAAGAGACCCTAACCTTGGCTACAACTTCTGTGTAACTTCTCTTCAAGCAGCTCCGAAAAGCCAATGCGCTGATGATCTTCATGAACTTGGCATGATATCCATCAAACTACTTCGCCGTAACTTAACAAATTCAAGGTCCTTCATTAAGGAGCTCTTGAAGAACAAAAAGCTGGACCCTTTCGTAAGATCATGCTTGCACGATTGCTTTGATCTTTATTCTGATGCTATCCCTACCACCAAACAGGCCATCGACGATTACAAGTCTAAGCACTATGATGATGCCAATATTGATGTAAGTTCGGTCATGGATGCCTCTACAACTTGTGAAGATGGGTTCAATGAAAAAGAAGGTGCGGTTTCGCCATTAACAAAAAGAAATAACGATACATTCCAGTTGTCTGCTATTTCGCTTTCGATTATGAACATGCTACGATTGAATTAGCCATTCGTGACTGGGGTCACTTAGTTCATTAATTAGCTTGATTCTAATTGAGTTTGTTTCCTTGTTTATATTCTTTGTTTTGGTTGCCTGGTTCATTGGATGTTTTCCAATAAAACAAATTAGTTTAAAAGATTTTACACCATAAAAGAAAAAGGGTTGAGGAGATTTTCAGGGAAGGCTTTCATTGGGGTGGTGTCTGAAGCTAACTTTGAAGAGTGACTTGTAATTTATCTTTGTCTTACAGTTTAAATTAATACAGATAATTATTACTTAAAGCTTCTTGGTGTAACATTATTGTTGATCACACCAATCCAAAGAATAAAGGAATTAGCCTATATTTGTGCTTTCATTCAACCGAATACGATGATATGGATCTTGGATTTAATGCTAACTAACGAACCTATACATGATCATTCACGTGGCGATGCCACGAGTTTCACATCCATTTCAGGTTTGTGTCAACCCAGTCGCAAAGATTGTTAGATATTCTTGCCTTGGTTCGACATTAACATATGAACAGTGGCTAAAGCCTGCCAATTCCATCTTTAAATAGCTTCCACAATAACAAAGCCTGCCGACAAAGTAATAAGTCAATTCTCTCTGCCTTTTACCGGCTTCCATGGCAACAGCACCTACTAATTTTTTGACCCTTCAATAACTTCATTCAAAGCTAAAAAAGTGCAGGAGGAAAACAAGAGACCAGACACATCAATTCACTTACTGAATATAGAAATCCAACGCTTGAAAGAAGCAAGCTTTACTCCATTAATGCCCTCGGAAAGAGTATTCCTCATTTCAATAAAAAAAAGACTAGGAGCAAGCAACTGCCAATGTCACAGAGCCTTTTATAAATGAAAGATTACTAAGATATATAAAGGTTCACATCACCTCTGCCTTGTGAGGAGCCTTTTATAAGACAAAACCGTGAGATAAAAGCTCCAGAGCGGATAATACCTCACAAGGGTGTGAACCGCGACAGGTAAACTGATCTGAGACGCCGGATGAGTGGATTACAAGGGTGTGAATCGTGATAGGTAGGCTGATTTGGGACACCGGACGAGTGGATGCCTGGGTCCTAGAGCTGCGCGGGTCGGAACTTAAACCTCGACCCGTGACAAGTGATATCAGAACCAACCCTAAACCGTTCAATCCATGCTAAGTGCTTCAATCTCGGACGCCGAATGAGTGGATGCTCGGATCCTGAAACTGCGTGAGTCGGAGCTTAAGCCTCGACCCGTGACATCAGCGCCAAAGGCAGATGTTGAAGATATATTAGGACAATAGCAAAAGAATAACATAAGTATTTGAAAGGTAAGAAAGCCCCAGGAAATACAAAAAAGTTTATTTCAAGTTGAAATCTGCAGCTGTTTGGTGTAGAAGCAAGTTCATGTAGTATCACACCAAACAGATTCAGATCGTCAGTCTTAATCCCGTTATGAAGAGTAAATTCATACAAACATCAAAAATGTTGAACAAAAACAGAGTAGGAGATGTCATTATCCTTTTCGAATGAAATTTAACAAGATACAACCTAGCTTTGCATTAGATTAGCCAGCCATTGGATGGTTATATATATACTCAATAGCAAGATTACATGAGTCAATGTTGTCAGCCTCCTTGTCTGGAATTTCCAGCTTGAACTCCTCTTCCAAAGCCATTACAATTTCCACATTGTCCAAGCTATCCAACCCCAAATCTTTTTGGAAATGGACATCGGGGGTCACCTGCAAGTAATTGAGAAAAGGAACAAAAGTTGATGCTTAAGGTAAAGAACACAAAGATGCATTTGAACTTTTGCGGTTAAGAAAGTTCTTTTTAAAACAAGCAAAAAGCAGTGAATCAAAATTCACAAAGGAAATGAGAAAGAGCAATAATAAATATAGGGATAAAATAGCATAAAAATGGGAAAAAGAGAGACAAAGATGCCACTAAAATATATATAGGGGCATCGGATAACCTGAAGATCAATACCTTATAAGTTACTCACGATATTCAAAAGAAAAATTAAACAGAAGTGATAAAATGGTCAATCAGTTTATGTGTCACCTGGAAAAAAAGTTAGCTCTTCAAATATTGTCATAGCATTACAATGTAGAGATATCACATAATAAACAAAGAGAAATTAATATACTTGTTTGATGTTTACCAAAAATACTCCTCCCTCTTACTCCTAGTTAAGAATTATGCCCTCAAAGATTCATGAGTTTCTAAGATTCAAGGTCATGCTTCTTGCAGTGAAAGGACTTTAAACTGGCAAAAGTCAAAACTAAGCAGAAGTTTTTATTTCAACTCCCACATTCATCTTTAGAAAGCGAAAAACAAGTGAAGAGTTAATAAGACCTCCATTAAATAGTTTATCTTATGGCTAAGCCAGCGTAAAAAGCAAATGATCCATCAAAATTGGTTTTTGAAATCATTCCATTGTTCTTTTTGATACGTATAACAAAATCATCAAGCACCGAAACTCTAGCACAACCCTAGGGGAATAATTCCAACGGACTAAAATGCAATATCAGCTGCAACTGTAAACTTCAGCAAGCTAATACAACAACTGAAATTGCTTCCTACTAAGACAATCAACCTGAAGTTTTAATTACACATATGGATAAACAACAAAGATGGCCATAATAAACAAAAATGCCCATAAAACAATCTTAGAATTTTAAGACTATTTTCATTACTCGCATTTTTCTAGAAAACCAAACAAAGACATCAGAAAAATAGAATTGCATCCGACTCTTGAACTATAAATCGGGTCAAAAAAATCAATCAATTCCCGACAAGAATAACCGCAAAACTATTTCTTTCTCAGCTCCCGACTAACGAAATATAAGAGTCGAGAATTAGCTGAGAACCAAAGAGTGGAAATTGTAAAATGGTTGAGGGAATAACCTTGGAAGGATCGACTTTGGGGAAGCTTTTGACGACGTCGAGGACTCTGTCGATTACCTCTTCTTTGGTAAGGTGATCATCGTGAGATGAAAATAACCGGAGGGAAGCGCCGAGACTCCATCGGGGCAGAGGTTTCGATCCGGTTGCCGTTAGGGTTTGAACTGGCACCTGAATGTGGCGAAGTACGGCTGCTCTCAATGCCATTTCTCTTTCCTTCCAACTACAACTTAGGCTTCTGCTCACGGTTAGTTTCTAAACAGTGACTTAGGTAGCCTAGTAAAAATAAGGCAACGGCACGTGCTTCTTTGTAGCCTTCAAATGAATTAACTCGGTAGCGACTAACTCAACAATTCGACTCATGTAAACAAGTTGGTGAGTTACTAACCACACTTCGGATGTAAGGGCCGAAATAATGCAATACTAATCTTAAAATTATGACGTACCAAAAAAAAAAAAATTCTTGTAACAATCTGATTAAAATAATGTGATAAAAACTAAACAAATCCAATGAAAATTAAATCAAAATTAAATCAAAATATTCGTGTTTCAAAATAAGGAATAATAAATTGTGAAATTGAAGTTCAAATTTTTTCCTTTCACTAAAAATTACTATCTCTCAACAAGTGATGATGAGAAAGATTTGGAAATTCACAATACCATAAAATTAATTCAATTTTTAGCTTGAATTTGGGTCGCTTCATTCAGAAATAGACTCTGAACAATAATCACCGAAAAGAAAGAAAGGGAAAGAGGCTAGGGATCTTGATCTCAATCTCTTTCTCTCCGGTGAGGTCTCGACATTGGATCCGATCAATAGGATATCCCTGACATAGATCCGAATAACCATGGCTCCAGTTTCCGCTCTGGCCAAATACAAGCTGGTTTTCTTGGGGGATCAATCTGTCGGGAAGACCAGTATCATCACTCGCTTCATGTACGATAAATTCGATAACACCTACCAGGTATTTGTTTTATTGTTATACTATTCAATGCTCTTTTATGTCAATTTTACCATCCACTTTTGGATCTAATTCCTTCTTTCTTTGAATCTTTATGCTATCATTTATGTTATTTGGTTATGACTCTGATTTCCCATAGTTTGCCTAGGTTCCTTGCTTCTTTTAGATCCTCACCCCGCCAGTTCTAAGGTTATCTGTGTCTCTAATTTGTTTACCAGGCTACCATCGGTATTGACTTTCTATCAAAAACAATGTACCTCGAAGATCGAACAGTTCGATTGCAGCTTTGGTAAGGCATTACTTGTCATTTTTTGTTTTAAGCTACTTCATTGTGGACTTTTATGGGCTTATCTAGCTTAGCTTGCTATTTTATACCTAATTCAGATTCTGGGTTTTTTTCCGTGTATGTTTAGAGTTCTCTTCCGAGCCTTGCTTTGATATGTAGTTGGTGTGATGCCTTGTTACAGAATTCCTTTTTGGCTGTACTCATATTCAGCATGGAACTATATTGCTAGTATTCCTGAATTTTGGATTGTCTCATGGACGGTGCTTTGGTGTTTAGATGTTGTGGATACTTGCACCCAACTTGCGATGTATTGTCTATTTTGACCTGAAAATATCATGATTTTGTCCTACAAAAGACGTCTCACAGATTTAGGTTCAGATCTCTACATATATATCATACTATATCCACAAGTTTGGGCGTCACAGATGTTGATTGGAAATTTTGGATTCATTGGTTACTTAGATAATCTCCTGCTGGATTTTATAGATTTCAATAATCCCTATAGCTGTCAGTAAATGATATAATCAGTAACATCATTACCAAGGATTGAGTAGAGGGTATAATGATGAAACTCTTCCTCTCGAATGTTTGTTGTTTTTATTCATTGATAAGCATGTGATAATTTTTATCAAAAATGTTTGACAAGATTGGCATCATTGATCTTTATCTGCTTAATCTGTATTCAGGGATACTGCTGGACAGGAAAGATTCAGGAGTCTTATTCCAAGTTACATTAGGGATTCCTCCGTGGCAGTCATTGTCTATGATGTTGCAAGTATGTTGTTGTTTCACTTTGTTCCCATGCTTTGTGATCTTCCTATCTCGTATGTTTGCTTGTTTATTGGCCAGACATATATTTGCTTGTTCGGTTATTATGTTTTATGCTTGTTTGCTTGGGCAATGCATTGGCAATATATGAAATGCAATCTCACAAATTCATTGTCCTACTTTGTTGATTGTTCATTTGCTTAATAAAAGTAGATGAAGTTTACCAACTTTAATTTTGATGTTGTAGGCAGACAGTCCTTCCTTAATACTTCAAAGTGGATTGAGGAGGTGCGGACTGAACGGGGTAGTGATGTTATCGTTGTGCTTGTTGGTAACAAAACGGATCTTGTGGACAAAAGGTAATACTAATTTTTTATCATGATTGAACTTTCCCATGAAGAAGGTAGATTGCCTTCCTTTCTAATTACAATTGCCTTGGCATTAGTTTGTGGTCATTACTTGAAGAAGTGAACTTATTGACACAAAGTTTCTGATTTGACAGGCAAGTGTCAATAGAGGAAGGAGAAGCCAAGGCTCGTGATCTCAATGTTATGTTTATTGAAACTAGTGCCAAGGCTGGCTTCAATATCAAGGTAAAACATTGGTAATCTACCATGAATATTCATAGAAATATCATGTCGATTGCATGCTACGTGCTGTGAATAGTCTGTATCCATGTCAAATACTATTGGCTTCCTTTTTGTATTGGCACAATAATTTTGAGTTAGACCAATCATCTAATAACTGAAAGTTTTATCATTTTTTAATTTCTCACTTTTGCATCAACTCCATCATATTTAATGGATGCAACATTTGTTAAAAATTTGTTTAATATGTATCTTCAATCCTGCATGATAGTTATGGCATCATTGGCTGATGTTATTTCTGTTCTATCAGTGTTCTCCATGTTCCTCCACTAGCGTTCTTGAGCAATCTGCTGAGTTCTCTGTTTAATCTCCAACAGGCTTTGTTTCGGAAGATTGCAGCTGCTTTACCTGGAATGGAAACACTTTCTTCAACCAAGCAAGAAGACATGGTTGATGTCAATCTTAAGTCTACCAACACAAATGCTTCTCAGTTGCAGCAACAGTCTGGAGGATGTGCCTGCTGATACGCCCTTCATTGATCTGAGCTCCGATTTTCAGAATTTATTTTGTGCATCAGTAATGCTGCAAAGTGTTTGTAAAAAATCTGTCCTCCCTTTTTTTTTTTGTAGCATCGGGCTTTTGGGTTTAGCTGGATGTTTAAGCATATAACTTGAGAGAGGACATTTCTTATGGTAAGTAGGCTAGTCCTAACCTGTCCTATATGTGTAGCGTTCTTGTGATCTCAAACAATTGTGCCAAATTTACTGTTAGTCATATTCAGTTTGATTTTGTTTCTGAAAGGGTTTTTTTTTTTTTAATAAACAGTGAATTTGCTCTTTAACTATGTAAAAGTATTAGCTTCAGATTAGCAAATTTCCTTGTCAATGGGTGTTGGTTGATGCACTGACCCGTTTTCCCTTGTTAATGGGTCTCTTTGATACCGTTTTCAGGTTTCTCCATACTGGTTTCCTTGGCATCAGGGGTATTATTCTTTGTTTATTGGGCTCTGTTTGATGATCCTTTTGCTATTGTTGACCAAACTGTAAGCTGTAAACAACTAGTACCATAGTAGTATTACCCCTATGTTTTGGTTGAGAAAGTGACACCAACCTTTTAATTTTGGCAAATAAAATGGCTTATGCATCCAGTGGTTGTTTTCTTTTTATCACAATGACATCAAAGCACCATTAGTTTACTGCAATTGCCAATGGGTGCTCTTACGACATTCGTCATACATTTCCTTAAAAACAAGTTTTGCTGCATTCTGCCTCTGCCAGAACTTAGAAGGAAACTATTGTTGGCTTTTTACTATCACCGGTGATTCTTTTTATTTGATTTTTCTTTTAAATTTTGTGAAAAACAAAAAGTAAACATAGCTTTTTTACAAGTAACAGCATCTGCGTATGAAATTTGTAATAGTAACCAAAGGAAAGATTCATGAATCACCGTCAAAGTACTTTTTTGTCGTGTCCTTTGTGAAAAAGAAAATAATTTTTTTATAAAAATTTCCCCTCGCATCACGGGTTTCAGTTGTTACTAGCTATTCGAACCCGTGCACGTGCGAATACATCGATACAGCTAGACTTCCGCCTTCCAACAAAAGCTGCAACCATAAAACTTGACTTTCTCTTTCCGATCCGCCAATAAAATTACTAGTGGCAGCGGGGGTTGTCAATTTACTATAAGTAACTCGTCACTTCCCAAAGAGAATTGATTAAAAAGAAAGGATCTTCTTTCGTTTTCATTCCTTCTTTTGTTTATTCTGTTACGCAGAGTCTCACTGCGCCATCTTGCTTTGATTCAGCGGTCCAGCATTCGCAGCATGACCGGTAAGGTCCTTTCTTTCTCTTTTTTTTCCTGCTTTGTTACGCCAATACTTCTCTGCGTTCTCATCAGAATCGAAATTGAATGGTTAGAATTTGTTTTCAGGACTCTGAGGTTGATAGTATTCTTTAATGATCTTTTTTTTTTTTTGGGGGGGGGGGGTGTGGGGGGTTCTATTTCTTAAATAAGCAAAGAAGAAGACTGATAAATCTTGAATGATCCGTTCAAGTTTTCATGTATAGACTGCATGCATGTATTACTGGGCTTGCTACGGTGATTTGTGATGATATGATTCTCTACCAATTAGGTTTTTGCTTGATTCAATTTGGAATATGGCAACTAAAGCAAAGATGAAATATTGTCTGTTTTAGCTTGTTTTTGTAAACATCCACTTGGTTTTAGCCAAACATTGGTGTATATTGCCTAGCAAATAAGTTTTTCTCTTTTCCCAACTGGTTTATTGTGGTCGATTGAGGACTTATTTGATAGACGGTTTCTCTTTGGAAATACATATTATTTGGTTTTAGTTTTATGTCTGCTTGTATTTTCCAGGATCCTATTGGAGTTTGGTAATATAATCCAGGAGATTCTTGCATATTGTTCTTTTGTTTTTCTTTGGATAGTCTTGCATTTTGTTTCTATGCTCTTCAAATAGTCCTAAAGTTTCATGTATGCTTTCTATAAGAAGCATTTTAAATAAAGGTACACAGGTAACTTTATAGACAAATACAATTTAACCTCTCATTTCTGCCTTCATGGAACTCAATAATTGGGCTGGAAGTATGCGATAAATGTGAAGTTTGTAGTGCTAGGACTTGGGTGAATCTGTTTCATTTCCTTTTGTTGACAAAAGTAACAACTTCTTAAATAAACATTAGTCCTTTTGATGTTAGAAAGTTGATATGTTTCATTAATTTTTAAGATAGATAGTTTTTAATTATGAATGATTAGATAAAACCGTTTACACTTTCAGTTACATTTGATTACAGATAATCTAGAACCTATTCTCAACAATGACAAAAATTTAGTGAGTCATTCACCATTTCTTAGACTCAAGAGCTGGCAATGGTGGCTTTTGGTGGCAATCAACATTTTCTTCCTCATTGCTGGCCAGGCTGCTGCAGTTCTTCTGGGGAGATTTTATTATGATCAGGGTGGAAATAGTAAATGGATGGCAACTCTTGTGCAAACTGCTGGCTTCCCAATCCTTTTCATCCCTTTGTTTCTTCTTCATCCCTCTCAGGACGCTTCAACATCTTCCACGTCACCTTCCATCAAAACTCTTGCTTTGCTCTATTTTGTTCTTGGAGTACTTGTAGCTGGGGACAATATGTTGTATTCTGTTGGGCTCTTGTACCTCTCAGCCTCTACTTACTCCCTTATTTGTGCCACCCAATTAGCTTTCAATGCAGTTTTTTCTTACTTCTTTAATTCGCAGAAGTTCACTGCTCTAATTCTGAACTCTGTGGTCATCCTCTCATTGTCTGCTGCTCTCATTGCAGTCAATGATGGTTCAGAAGGACCATCAGGAGTTTCTACGGGGAAGTTTCTCCTTGGCTTCCTCTGCACCCTTGGAGCTTCTGCTCTTTACTCTCTTTTGCTCTCCCTTATGCAACTTTCTTTTCAGAAGGTTTTGAAAAAGGAAACTTTTTATGTGGTTTTGGAAATGCAAATATATACATCAATTGTTGCCAGTTGTGTTTCGGCTGTGGGTCTCTTTGCAAGTGGGGAATGGAAGAGTTTGCACCATGAGATGGAGGGCTTCAACAATGGGAGAGTTTCTTATGTGCTGACTTTGGTTTGGACTGCTGTAACTTGGCAAGTGTGTGCTGTTGGTGTTGTGGGCTTGATTTTTGTTGTGTCTTCTCTCTTCTCCAACGTAATCAGTACTCTATCTTTGGCTGTTACTCCTCTAGCTGCTCTGGTAGTTTTTCATGACAAGATGAATGGTGTGAAGGTAATTGCTATGCTCCTGGCTCTCTGTGGTTTTGCCTCTTATATTTATCAAAATTATATAGATGATAAGAAGGCAAGGAGGTCACATACCGATGTTCAGGAAAGCCATGATTATTCTTCATGCTAATGATTTTTATGCATAGAACTGACTATCATGGATAGTCTTTTATCATTTTTTTTACTGCAATTATACCATTCAGTCTCTTTTTCTCCTTTCATCTCAAACGCAGTTATTAGCCTTCGCTAAAGCTTTGAGATTTATCCAAATTGAGACACATTTCAGAAGCCATTTCAGATTTGAATGCGGTCTTCTGTGGCATAGGAAAATTAAATGTACCAAACCATTGCTTTGATTTGCAGAATTATAGGATGCCTATTGTTACTAAGGTAGAGGAGGCTTTCATTTAAATTGACTTGTTTAGTGAGTAGAGTTGTGCAGAAACAACAAAATTGACTTGTTTAGTGAGGAGAATGAATTTCTGCAGGAAGCCAATTGAACAACAAAATCTACTTCTTTTGATAGCCATGCAAATTTCAATGAATGTGTATGAAGGGAAATGTCCCTTGGAAATCTCAACACCACGCCTTCCATTTCAACCTTGCAATGTAAAACATGATACAGTAACGATACTATATGAAAAATTGATACAAAGATGACACGATTTAATTTTTAATAACAGTAACGGTTAACTGTTTTAACCCACCGCAAGTCCAAAACTCATAATTGACTGCCAAGGGGGAAAAACAAAAAAGACAAACACAAGAAAAGCAGATAGGGAAACTGCCTCCGAAGCAGGTGCTTCTAGTTGCATATTGCCAAACAAACACGACACCAGACTAGACTACTTGCTGGACAACTTCTTTTGATTTAAAGTAACATTCTATCTTTGTCTTCCAATTGCAAACACCCAAAACGATTTGTTGGGTCAGAACAAAATATTAGATTGTCTATTAATCTAATTTGAACTCAAGATCTCCTTCTTAATCAACTGAATATATACTTTTCACTCATTGCATCACGCTGTTCATATTTCTTTCTTTCAGCAATATATATTAGGTACTTGAATCCAATCAACAACCATTCTTATAATTATACTAATAATGTGCTGCTTCAATTGACCAAAATATGTGGGTTCCCCAGGATTCACCTAATTATTAAACAAATAGTTTTGCCCTCCAATCAAATGCAGAGGACAGTGTGCAAAACTTCATTTTACTAATCTTATAGCATGGCATCATGTTAAGCATGATACCAACATGACAGACCTAACCTCCAACAATGGCAAACACAACCCGAAATGTCTCAAGTTTAGTAAAAGTTTGTTAGTGAAGGCATTTGTCCTAAATGCTTGCTTCAAATCTAAACAATTTTTTTTGCTATCATGTCGTTAAGATTTTCATGTCCCACACTCTTAAACCCTCTCTACCCACCCTTTATATTCAACCAAAGATTAATGTTGATGGATTTAAAATAAAATATCTTTCACTAAAGACATTATTGAAATTTGTTATATATTTCCTTGAAACTTAATTTTTACAGATGGGTATTATACTTTTTTGTTCTTTTGTTTACGGTTCATTCTTGCTAATGATAAATATGTTCACAAATATTTTTAAGAATGTTAATGGTGTTTTTAAATGACGTGACGTTTAAACATGTTTTATTTGAACGATCCAAAAATATGATTATATTGATCAAGTCTTAATTAAGTTGATTATTGATCAATTGTTTTAAGAGTAACAAAGAGGATGTTGTATTAGATTTTGCGTACTAATACTATAAAGCTAGCCGGACTACGATGGGTTTCAACCGATGGGTTTCAACCAATGGTTTTATTATCTAAAATAAATTATGTACGAACAGTTTGAATTAAATGAAGGAAAGAGGAAAATCATTGTCTACTGATATGAAGCAATACAGTTGAGATCAACCTACCGCAACAGGCTGGACCTGGCCACCTGGCTGCAGGGACCATGCATAAAGCCCTCAGATTAACGAATTCAAGCTTTTTCTTCAGTTAAATTGAGGGAGACCTGTTGGAAGCATCTGACAAAAAAGGAAGAGATTTTGTATTCTAGTAAATTTTTTGCAAGCTACGCTAGCCGTACTTTCTTCTTAACTGAACCAGCCTCCCTTGTTTTGTTTTTTTCTTTGGGTGTTTGGAGCCCCAATGCAAAAACAAAGAAGGATATTGCTTAAATAAAATATGCTTTGCTCCATCACTGTCTCCATGATAAGTTCAACCACCAATCATGGAGTAAGGATGTTATTTTTATATTGTTAATTATTCTAATTGCTGAAACAGTGAAATTATCATTGGATATGGAAGTTTTCTAAAGAAAAAAAATGGGATTTGAGGTTGGATTTTGGTATGATTTTAGGGATTGAAGCAAAGCAGAAGTTACAACCATGCATTTATAATTGGGTTTAATGTGCCTCAAATATCAATCCCCCATGAGGAATTCGATTCTTAATATGCTCATGTGACTGCAATAATAAAATAGCAAAGAAAAATAGATTTTTGGTGAAAGAAAAAAAAATTAGATAGATAAAAGTCAGATGTTTAATTAATTATTATTTCTGCTTGCCATTAATTTGGATGAAAATTTCTAGAGCTCCAGTATTCAATAGCACGTGGAAAAAAGTTTGATAATAATATTAATAACACATTGATATTCTCTGTTTGGTTAGAAATTTCAACCATAAAAATTAATAACTCGTTAGTCTTTCTTCTCCAATTCCCTGTCTGATATTTTGCTCAGTGCAATTAGACAAACCGCCACATGCGGCTCATGTTTTGAATTCAGTCCAACACAGTTTGGAGGGACAACAAAAAATGAAAAAGAAAGATGAAGAAAAACTGTTTGTTTGAAAGATCATGCTTGGCTTTAAATCAAATAAAATGGCAATGTGAAGGGTAATCCAACGTGGGGGGCGGGGGGACCAAACACCAAAGCAGAGATGCGCAGATTGAGAGCAGCCCTTTTTCGTAGATCACATTTGACCCACTCTGTCTGACCGTTAAAGAGACTACGTGGACGGATATGATTGGACCTAAGGGCCCCACTAATTGTCCCAAAATAAGACCTTCTTTTGTGACCCACCACAGCGAGGCGTAAACGCAAAGCCAAAAGTGATGATGCGCCGGCGCCACGGACTGACAACTCGCGTTTGCTCCGTCATATGTCAAACGCTCTCACTGTCTCACCCAGCCTCTCTCCTTTTTCAGTTTTCGAGTCTCCGCCATTAGGATAAAAACCCATAGGCCACTCCAATATTTCTTCTTAATTAGGCTTTATGTCAACTCATTGATTTTGTCCACGTGGCCCCATCACCTCCTCTGATCGTGTTTTTCATTGTAATGATAGCCAGTTCCATTTGACTCACATTAAGAAAAAAAACCCCATCACCTTAGGGAAACCCTAAAACTTTAGAATCATTATAGTTAGATGCTATAAACGACAATGGATGAGTTTAATAGTGGATTAAATTAATTTATCACCTTTTACAAATTGTTGTGAAATAAATAAGATAAAAAATATAAATAATGAAACAGAAAATCAATGACAAAAAAATTGAAATAAACGCCTCACTCCATGGATAATCAGGTGATAATTGTACAGTAACAAAAATTAATCTTTTTTTTTTAATACTAGTAGTAAGCATACGTTTACAAGTAACAACAAAATTTTCTTTTCTTTTTTTCTCTCATTTTACAAAAAAACCAATAGTAATTTACGAATCACAGAGAGTAAAAACTGTAGAAAAGCAATGGCAAAACCGCAGTTTGATAAATAATACTTGCAGTACGTTCGCAATCACTGTGGTCAAATGTCAACGGTTATGATTGACTCTGCCAAAATCAGCAAGCTTCCTGGACCTATTTGCGCAAAACCCCGCCGCGGTGGCCAGGTGGGGCTTCATCGACGGCCTACCTTCGCCTGTAAACGATATGTCAGACTGCAATCCGCCCTTCTGAGTCCAGTGGCCCCTCACGAGCGGGCTTAAGCAAAACGTTAATCCCGGCACGTTCCTCGGCCCGGCCCTCACTCTCCTCGCCACCGTCGGTGTCCTCTTCCACTGCGGGGAAACCTGCAGGGAGCTTCTAGATGGCAATCGATCACACTCGTCTCCCAAATCCACTTCAATCGTGGGCGACATTCCCCGATCTATGATCGAGCATGATCTCCGATCGCTAGGGCCGAACTGGCCAAATTCTTCTACATGAGATGTCCTCGAAGATTGCTGCTTTTTTCGACGAACAGCAAAGATTGTCGAGAACCAAGACGGGGACGACGATGACGAGGATGGCTCATCGCACGAATCCCGATGATAATGAACCTTAGTATCAGAATTGAATTTCTCGGATCTCGACCTGAACAGATTCAAAAAAAGCGAGAACCTGTTTTTCTTTTTGAAAGTTCTGACGGCTTCAAAGTCGGTGGTGGTTGTGGTACTGTAGTTGGGGCCCACCTGAGGAGTGCTGTAAAATCGCTGTTTGTGGATCCACGAGACACTGTTGTCGTCAGATTTCCGTCGACTAACGTAAGGAGAAACAGACCGAGGGAAAACCAGGGGAGGCGTGTCAGGTTTCCGACGATCCTCAGCAGCGGTTGCAGCAGCTGCAGCCCGAGCTAATTGAGCCTGTTGGACTTGTGCCTCTGCCTGAGCCTGGACGGCGACCAGCGCTAGAAGCCGCTCTCGGAGACAAGTGGCGCAGACGCCGACGCTGCTACTCAGGTCGGTAAGATGTTTCTCACACCTCATTTACTTACGAAATTTTGCTTATTTTTCCAAAAAAAAAAAAAAAACTTTGCTTTTCTTCTATTCTGTGCTTGTGAATTTTTAGTGTAGATATAGATAAAACTATAAAAAGCATGTAGTTAACTAGTTATAGTTTGAATGTTTGTGAGGGTGTATTTCGATGGGGGCATTAGTGGGTGTTTCTGTAAAACGAAGAGATCTGGTGAAGAAATCAAAGGGGGAGCTTTGTCTTCTTCTCAGTGTTAGAAAAACAGAGGAGAGAGAAAGACAGTGGTTGATGATGTTGGGTTTGAGTTTTCATGTAAGAAAGAAGAGAGAGAGGGAGGTGATTGTATTTAGTATTATGTGCAAGAGGGGGCATTTACTTTTGCTGTTGGAATTATGGTATGGTAACGTTCTTGTTTCCAAATAAATAAATAAAGGACAGCCAAGCTTTGTCTCACTACATCTTCTTAAAACTGCAAATTAACAGTTACCTGAAAATTAAATAATATAATTTACTTAGTCTCCTTAGTATATTGAGGAAACCTTCTGTCTGAGTCTGACTTTTCCACTATTAGTGTATTGGGTGGAACTTAAGCATTAGCTCATCCAAAATTTAGCAGATTTTTTTTCCTTTTTAGCCTTATTTTGAATTTTAACCTTGTGCCTTCCTTGCTTTATTTGGTTTTCTTTCGATTCTTTGTTTCTTCAAGTGGAAATATACAAGCACTTCATCCACTGTGAAAAAGAAAAAAGTGTTGGCCCTATCTTAGTTGGAGGCGCGTGTCATGGTGTTGCGCCAGTTAGGAGGGGACAGAGTTTGGTGTCCTCTCATGTGGGCATGATCCATCACAGCAGGCAACTCACAGTCGCACGCCTGCTTTGCAGGTTCTAAAGCCCTGCACGCGCTGAAGAAAAGAGTGGGGGTAAGTTTTTGGTGGCGTGCTACCTTGTTTTTTTTTTTTCATTGCCCTGTACGTGGGACCTGGCTTTAAAATTGGGCTTTCAACCTGGCCTCGTAGGATTTCGCCTTCGGTTTCATGGTGGTGTGTGTTTTAGTTTAGGTTTAGGCAATCAGGAGAAAATTTATATAAAATTTTTTAGATGAAGTTAATAAAGTTTTTTTAAAAATAATTTAATAAAAATTTAATAAAAAATTTAAATTAATATATTAATAGAGTTTAATGTGAAAATTAATAATATATAAAAAAAATTATTTAAAAAATTATTTATAATTTAAATTTGTGTAATTATTATTTAATGATAAAAATTTTGTTAATATTTTTATTAAAAATATATAAATTTTTTAAAAAAAATTTTACATACTTGATTTATATAATGAAAATTTTTAATTTTAATTTAATTATTTTTAATTAAAATTTTTGTGAATTTCGCTTAAAAATTTTTCTCTAAATCTATGTTGCCAAATCATGCTCCTTGTTGACGCAAACATTACTACCTGTGGGCGCTAATTATGGTTCATCATCTTCCATTTAATGTCCCCTTAAGTTCTTCTCTCACTCACCATTGCAACTGTGGGCGCTACGTAGAAATTTAATTCAATGCGGTTCTTATCTCGCCTCATCTGCCCTAAACGACAGGATAATAGTTAGTATGGTAAAAATCTATTGCTTACAATCGGACATAAATTTGTCCGAACTTCTTTTGGTTGTCATCATTGATTATTTCCTGTTGTTGGATGTAAAAAGGAAAATCCACTTTTGTATACAGGGACGTTAATGGTAGAGTACAAAGAAGGTAGAGTATTTTTTGTCTCTATTTTTTAATTTTTATATTATATTTATCTCATATTCATATTTAATAGGTATTTTAAATATATTTTTATATTATTTCTATAAGTATTTAATAGATATGCATAATTTTTATACTCCTAATTTTTAAGAAAAAAAACTAAAATTTATTTTTTTAATTTTTTAAGTTTATCTTATATATTTAAGTAATTTTTATAAATATAATTTTTCAATAAAAATATATTAATTTAATTAATTTATAATAATAATTTATATTATTTAATAAAAATTTTATATATTAAATATATATAGGATATGAGTATAGGGTGAATATTATTTTACGCATCCTCATCCTTATATTTAATAAAAATTTAAAATTTTATCTATCCTCATACTTATAATATAATACTTATCCTTATCTCATTTAGATAAAAAATCAGATTTTACATTAAGTATGTGTAGGATTGACATCTTATTTGTATATAATCATGTAATGGTATATTATTTACATTCATAATAAGAAACAATTATGCTTGAATGTTAAGTGTTATCTTATTTATTCATACAGTCAACAAATAAATGTAAACACTGTAGATTCCTTTTGTGCTACCATACGCTTCTCCGCTACTTGTTCTTAAAAATGAGTGCTTTTTGAGAAACTAGTAGATAAATCTTTTACTTTTTTCCTTAATTCAATTTGAATGTATGAGAAATAAGAAAAAGAAAATGATGGTCAATATAGTAATCATTTTAATTAAGAAATGAGATTAAGTAGCCTAAAGAGTCAATTATATTTGGTGATATTCATAATTCAAACGTATGGTGCTTTTGCTCTGGGTGCACTAGGTTAAAAATCTTATCATAAATCTTATACTCTTTTTAAGTCCACTAGTTTTTTATAAAAGAAAAAAAAAAAAAAAAGCCAGAGCAAAGGTTATTATACTCTGAATTTGGCAAGTTTGAATGGTGAGTTCATAATAACTTGTTATTAGTCCCTAATTAATGATTTGGTAATCCTTCATCTGGTCTCTCTTGACGAGTAAATCTGCCTTGTCTGCTCGGTGTTTCCGTGTTTTAAATTAATTATAGAAAAAAAAAATGAGGATCTTACTTTCTCAATATGCTTTTTCTTCAACGACATACGGTACAAGTGATGATTCCCTGTGAAGCAATTTTGGTGGCATAATTTGACTAAAAGGGGCAGAGGAGGGATCCCTTCCTGTTTGCGAATTAGGGCAGGCAGCAACAGCTAATCTCACAATTTGCAAGTAGGTGTGCAATAGCAATTGGGCGATACCCACTATTCTAACCTCTCCAACTGTTCCAGTACCGCATGCATTCAGGACCCAGTTTTAGAGGAACAAAAACCGTATTCTTGCAATCAAAAAGCCTGTCCCTTACATGTCAAAACAATGAATGATGAGGGTTTACGAACACTTTTTTCTTTTTATATTTACAGATAGATCAGATTTAAATCTAAATTTTGATCACTAAAATTAAAAATCTTACACTTGTATCAACATATCACATTATTGTTGGCAGGTATATGAACATTTAAAGTCTTTATTGGTGTACAACTAAAAGCGTTGTCTGACTCAAAACTGTCTCGCAACAATGGCCTAAACTGCGCTTCGAAAGACCCTTCCTATGGTAAAAAAGATGCCATTGCTTATCTTCTCATTTAAAGACCTCTTTTCGAAGGTTTGGTTATATGGACACTAGCATCCAAAAACGACTTCGCCTTTGCTAGCAATTTGCCGCATAGAGACTCCTTTTTTGGAAAATCTGCATGCTGACTTTATAAAAAAATCATTATGCAAAAATGATTGATTAATACGATCATATCATACATCTTTTCTCGTTGGGTAAAATCATATATTTAGAATTAATATATATTCGGATTTATATGATTGATTGATCATATGATTTGGTATTCATTTTTGCATAAAAAAAAAAAGAAATAAAAAATAACAGTGAGCTCAATTCCTTTTAAGTAAATTCATTGACTTCAAAATATTTCATTACTTTATGCACAGTAGAACTTGAAAGGATTGCTGTCTAAATATTTCATTAATTTGAAGACTTTATGATGTTAGGGATCTTGATATCATCTCATTTGATTTAACAAACGAATCCACTTATTCCAAAAAAAAAAAAAAAAAAATGAATCCACCAAACCTATGTTTCGTTGATACTTACAGTTATTATTATGGAGATAATAGTAGGTGTAAAAGGAGGAGAAAAAGAATATATAGAATAAGGGCCTTTCCCTTTTGTTTATAATTCAATGGAATTTTGTTACCCAAAAATAAAAAAAAATAAAAAAGCATGTAGTTAACTATATTAATTGGAAGGGGTTAACCAAGAAATTAATATAAGCAAGAGGAAGAAGACAAATTATTATAAGAAAAAAGAATAAACCATACTAAAATAAAAAATATATATAAATTAGTAATTAACTGGATAATCAAAGTTTATAAATAAATATTAACGAACGACACTGTCAACAATATTATAAATAGGTATGACATTTTGGCCCCTAATTTCAAGCTTTGATGCCGGAGAGTAATGATTGGTAATTATTTATTGTGTATTAGAAACACTAATGATTATATACTTACTATTAAAAAGTCATGGTGGCAAAATATTTTTATTCAAATCTTAGTCAATTAGTTTACAGTAAAGATCCACTTAAATAAGTATAAGTGTTGTATCTTTTTTTATTATTGGATTAAAATAACTAAATGTCAGTTTTATAAATTTCAATTTGATCCAAAGGTTAAAAGAGGGTATAACAATTATTTTGATGAAAGGACAAAATATATATATAATACTTAGATTAGTGTAACTGGATTCCTCCTTAATTAATAATCCATAAAATATATATTTCTTGTTCACAACAGTGTATGTATATATAGGATTTATGAATTACAACTTTACAAGGACCTAACTAACTACCCATAATCTAAAATAAAATTAAAAAATTTCCATGTTTCTCAATGTAAAAGTGATGTTTGACGACTAAGTCGTGTTCAATTTTCAGAATTGTAAAAATTCCAGTTCTTCCCTCGAAACAGAATGTTTCTAAATGACCTGTTTCATGCCAATTCGCATCAACATGATTCATTAGCTAGTTTTGTATTAATTATAATATACATTTTATTCAGTAAGTCTAAATTTGCTGATTTTTAACTCCGATTAACTTAAATTAACTATATATAATTAACAGCATATATAGAAATTAAACATAAGACACTCAGATACGTAAAATTAGCAGGACAGTTTTTCTCAAACCCAAATCAGATTATGAAAACGTCTAGACAAGATTGAGTCGCTTCCTTAAGTGATCAGTTGAATGAGATTTAATCATTAATTTGTAGGGCATCTAGTGGATGAAAACCACTAACAAGTTGATTGATTACGATAATTAGTTGAATTTCAAGTCAATTAACAACTCAACAAGATGCATTTTCAAGAAAACAATTCAACAAAATAATAACAAAGAATCTAAAACTTAGTTCAATTAGTTTATGTAACCACATAGGTGCTATTCGGCAAGTCTAAAATTCAAATTTCATCAGCTACAATCATTTTCTTATTTCAGCAACCTTCTCTATAAAAAAACAAACACATTATAGTGACAACCTGTATTCCTGAGTAATCGGCTGCATGCCCATTAATTTAATTTCTGTTCTTCAAAATATTGGTCTAGGCATATGCGTTTGCTCATATTTGTTTGATTCAATATAAGATTAGTGGTGAAGGCCCTGGGCTAGGTGAAGAATTAGGTGATGCAAAAATGGCTCAAACATCAGATTTCGTGACCAAAGGAAAGTACAAGATATTCTTTGGCATGAACAATGAATTTACCATATGTTACGACGATACCAAGCCTATAGCCAACAATTACTGGCAAGCCGTGAACCCCTTGATGAAAAGGATGCCTATCTTTATGATGCAATTAAGTGTCCTCATAGCGCTTACTCATGTTTTGATGCTGATCATCAGACCTCTTCGTCAACCTCAATTTCTTTCTGAGATTCTTGTATGTATATTCAATGTTGCATATGTAGTAGAATTGAATTTCAACCCTTCTTGGTTCTTAATTTTGTTGTTAATTTTTGTTTCTTCATCGTGTATATAGGCTGGCATTCTGCTAGGGCCAACCGCCCTGGGTATAACGGGCTGGATATCACCTATTATCAATCCTTTTGAGGGTGGCTTGTTTCTGGAGACAATGGCGAACCTCGGCGTAACTTTCTATATGTTCCTGGTGGGTCTGGAGATGGACTTGACCCCAATTCGGAAAATAGGAAAAACGGCCTTGAGCGTTGCCCTTGCTGGTATTATTTTGCCCTCCATTGCAGGAGTGGGATTACATCACCTGGTGCTGAAAGAAGAAAAAACACAACGGGCACCTGAGATGGGTGCTTTTTTCTGGTCGATTGCCCTCAGCGTTACAAGTTTTCCTGACCTAGCTCGAATACTTTCAGACCTCAAGCTCCTTTACACGGATCTTGGTAAAACGGCCTTGACTGCAGCCGTTGTTAGTGAACTATCTTGTTGGTTTGTTCTTGTGGGAACAATATCTTTAATCAATGGGCGCCAGAAATTGTTCGTGGCAATCACAATCATGGTGGGAATGACAATCTTCTGGTTTATGATGCGTCCATTTATCTCTTGGACGGTGAAACAAATTTCAGCAGCAAGCAAAGAATCATCAACGTCGGATAAGCACGTATATTTTATTTTATCACTGGTGCTCCTTTGTGGATATATCACAGAATTATGTGGAGCACATTCCAACTTTGGAGCTTTTATGCTTGGACTCATGATACCCGGTGGAGAGCTTGGGACTACGATCATGGACAAAATTGAAGACTACGTGGTGGGGATTCTGCTGCCCCCTACCTTCTTGCTTACTGGCTTGAGAACCAATTTCGCATATATTTTTGCTGAATATTCTTTTGGAATGGTGCTGCTAGTTGTACTTCTGGCTTCCTCTGCCAAGATTGTAAGCACTCTTCTTGTCTGCCTCCACTTCAGGTGCCCAAAGCGAGATAGTTTGGCTCTTGGAGTCCTGATGAACACCAAAGGTGCTCTTGCGCTCATTATTCTTAATGAAGGTCGAAACATGAAGGCAAGTTTTAATTTGCTTTTTAGAGTTTTTACCATTATGTGTACATATATATGTATATAAGCAAGCCAATACCTCGCAGTAATTAAAGATATACACAAATATATATTTCAGGGTTTTGACCAACAAACTTTTTCTTGGACTATTGCTGCTATATTACTTATGACGGTCATTATTGGCCCCGTAGTCAGTTTCACTCACAAAAGCGCGAGGCATTTGAAGCAATACAATCGTAGGAGCTTAGAGAAAAGTATCCCAGATGCACCATTTCGAGTCCTTGCATGCGTTCATTCCACCAGAAATTTGTCCGGTTTGATTAATCTCTTGCAAATTTCAAATGCCACAAGAAATTCCCCGATTATTGTCTTTGCTGTCCATTTGGTTGAGCTCGCAGGACGCGCTTCTGCAATGATAATTTTCCATGATAAGAGTAAGACCGCTGATGCTGGGAACAATGCCACTCGAGAAAAAGCTGAGGCGGAGCAAATTGTCAATGCCTTTGAATCCTTCGAGAACGACAACCATGCCGTCACTGTTCAGCCACTAACAGCAGTGTCCCCTTACGCCACCATGCACGAGGATGTTAGCAACTTCGCACTTGACAAGCTCGCCAATATCATTTTGATCCCATTTCACAAGCAACCAAATGCTATTGGCGGATGGACAGATGAAAACATTCAGCATAAACAAGTGAATCAAAATTTGCTGGCAACTGCACCCTGTTCCATTGGCTTACTTGTGGATCGTGGCCTAACTTCAACCTTTTCCCGAGAATCACACCGTGGCATGCGGGAATGTCGCATTGCCATGCTGTTCGTTGAAGGTGCTGATGACCGAGAGGCATTAGCTTATGCCTGGAGAATGACAGGCACTCCACGTCTAGTACTAACCGTAGTGCGATTTCTTCCAGGAAAAGACGTTTCTGAGTTGACCGAGAACGTTGAAGAAGATGATGAATCAGGGATTTTCACAGCCATGTTTGAGAGAGAGAAGCAGAAGCAGCTTGATGATGATTATTTAAACGAGTTCAGGTTCAGGACAATGCACGACCAATCCATAGCTTACATCGAGAAACAAGTTAACAGTGGAGACCAGATTATATCGACCATAACTTCTGTTTACAATGATTTCGAATTGTACGTAGTAGGAAGAGGACATGACAGAACATCTCCATTGACATCAGGGCTATCAAACTGGAGTGATTTCCCGGAGTTGGGACCGCTTGGGGAGACATTAGTATCAACGGATTTGGAATCACCAGCCTCGGTTTTGGTTGTGCAGCAATCTGCTCCTCTCCCAGCTGGATCAAAGAAGTTAAAGAGCTCAGCTCCAACTCAGGGGATACTGGGAAATAGTGCGGCAGAAACTTTTGTCAATCATAGAAGAGCGGAAGATGATTATTGATCAAATGACAGTTAATGCTTTTACTCGGATCGTGAAAGACAGAACTCACTAGTCACTAGCCATTATCTTCTTGCTCGTTAAATGAAAATTCCTGTTACTTGACAGAATTTAAAAGGTAGGCACAATAGTAGATAGCTAATGGTTATTTTTTCTGCATAATCTGCTTTTGCATTAATGCTAAAGGCAGTCACTGCTTTCTTTCTTTCTTTGTTTTATACGTTATTTTGAAGAAAGAACCTTGATAGTTTTCTGTAATGTTCAACCCCTGGTTTCTCTTCTCTGATTCCTGCCTGGCATCAATTCCTTCAAAAACTTGGGTTCAAGTATTTGTTGCACAATTGCGAACCTTTTTTTTTCCTTTTTGGTGAAAAAAAAAGCCTTTTTCACTGCCAAATTTTGATGGCTTACTAGGTGAATAGGAAGCCAAGTCCTTGGGTCTTTTGAGCGGTTGTAGCCAAGGCCTGATGTCACGGGCTCGGTTCCAGCATTCTCGTGTTTTTAAACTTTCATATTTTATTTTTTGGTGTTGATTTTGTGTCCGTACATTTATTTCTTAAACTAACTTACACATACAGAATCCATTTTCAATATAAGACCGCACGAAATTTAATTTAAAATCGGAGGCCGTGACACTTAATTTTACGGTTTTGTCGTTTAGAATACTTTTCTTGACTAAGAGACAATTTTCCATTTATTATTGTAGTTTTTCATTTTTTAAACAAAAATACGATTTGGTGGAGTGTCAAATGACTATATTCAACAAATCAAACTCAATTAACGATTTTGTCAATTTATTATTCAAATTCTTTCTTTTTCTTTTCCTTCAACTTCACCTAATAATATAGTAAAAAAGAAGTAAATAAAATAAATTTAGAGGTTAACGTGTTAACCGACAAGCAGGAACAGGGGTATTTGTATTTGTATTTGTATTTGCATTTGACAGTATATGAGTTCGGACAAATAAATTATTAAAGAGCATTATTAAAATACGTATGAAAATATTATTGTTGAAAATGTGGCAGTCGTATCATTGTGAACATCAAGACAGAGGATCCCAAACCATTGTTGGGACAATGTTGAAAACATGGTAGTACTTGGGTCAGTCGTATTTGCATATGGATAATTATCTCTTCTGCTTAGTTTTCTCTGCGGCCAATAGTATCTTCTTTTTACTGCATTTGACAAGGTATCTAGTTCTATTGCTCTTGCTTCTCCCTTTCTTCAATTTCCTCAACGACCCAAACCCTTGTTTGTTTGTTTTCCTAAAAGATTTTTATGAATGGAAACAACAATTGGTAATTCTCTGTTTTAATTCTTTTATTTATAATGGGAAATTTAAAAAACAAAAGTAAAAGAAGGAAAAATATTTTGATTCTTTTTTAGTAACATGTTTAAGCACACAAACAAAATAGAAGAATACAGAAAGAAGAAAAAAAAAAAAAAGACACTTCATCGATATCTTGACTTTTCATAGGAAGAAGAAGCTTTGAAGCAACCGACTTTCTCTGTTTCTCTATAGATTGTGCTGGAATCTCCTCAATTCAAGGAAAAGACTGCACCTTCTCCCAACCAAAAAAAAGGCAAAGAGCAATGACACTTGTCTTTAAGAATTAGAGGTAAAACATCGCTCAATCTCTCCTTTTCTATTTTTAAGAATAAACAAATTGCTGATTCATCAATTTCCTTCCATACTCTATGCTAAAGCATATATATAATATATATATATATATATTATATTTAATAAGTTCACATGCTCTACCTTTTTTTTAGTTTAAAGTTCTTTTTTTTTTTTTCTTAAGAAGAAATCCTGCCCTGAAAAGCTTGTGTTTTGGTTCTATTTATTTTCATTTCTTTCTTGAATTTGAGCTCCTACAGTTTTAGTTTACTATTATTATTATTATTATTATTATTATGGTTTCTTCTTGATGAAAGAATTTATCATTAATCCTTTGATTGAAAAGGTCAATCAAGTGGCTACTAGGCTCTAGAAAGGTTTCTTTTTTTTTTTCTCTTTGTAATCAACCCATATGATAAAGTCAACTTTTTGCTGAGATATTTGCTGTTTTTGATAATCACAGAGCAAAGTTTCGAAGCACAGAAGTCATCTCTTACAATTTTCCTCCATGCTGTAATTTAAAGCAGAGATCATTAGTAAACAAAAGCCCAAGTAGACAGCAAGTAAAGATCCTTTTGTGTAGAAAGCACAGGCTTTGGTGTACTAGGGTTCATTACAGAAGTGCGTCACTGGGATTATCTAATAAAAATCACCTTTTTTTGAAGAATGTCCATTATGGTGAAGGTTCAAGGCCCTTCAAGGCTTTTGAAGGGTTTAACGATGGTGAATCAAAGGTCTTCACTGAGAATTATAATGGTTATGTGATTGGTAGTGACGATGACGTTGAAAGTATGTCAGAAAGTGGGGAATCAGTAACCAAGGTTTTGATTCCAGTGTTGCCTGATGAGTCCAATGTTGAATCTGGTGCTCCAATAAGCAGTTGTTTCTGGGAGTGGAAACCTAAATTTAATGTGCATTACGAGAAATCAGGTTGGGAAAATGTGAATTGTCCGCCACTACTCTTTCTTCCTGGTTTTGGTGTTGGTTCTTTTCATTATGAAAAGCAACTGAAGGATTTGGGTCGTGATAATAGGGTATGGGCAATTGACTTTCTTGGGCAAGGCATGTCATTGCCTATTGAAGATCCCACTTCCTCTTCTAAGGAGGAGGGTATCACAGCAGGGAAGAATTTTGTGTGGGGATTTGGGGATAAAACTGAGCCATGGGCAAGTGATCTGGTTGACTCTATGGATTTATGGCGGGATCAAGTTCGCTATTTTGTAGAAGAGATACAAATAGATTTACATTTTAACTCTAATCCATTCCTTTCGCAATGCCTCACATGTTTAAACACATAGGTTATTTATCTATACTTTAATACTTCTTTATATTGATGATAATAGTGGTGTCTATGTGACTTCATGCTACATTTGCTTACTGTTGTCTTAATTTGTCTTAAGGCTACCCCAGTTGAGCAAGGAAATCTCGTATTATAGCTAAAATGGCTTTAGGATTTTGAATTAGTAATCACATAACCCTTTGTTTTCAGATAAATTAATGCATTAATATAGTGTAAAGACATCAATATTGACCTTAGTTCTTTCTCTCACAGGTCATTGGTGAACCGGTTTACATTGTAGGGAACTCACTCGGAGGATTTGTTGCGCTATACTTTACTGCATGCAATCCTCAATTAGTGAAGGGCGTTACTCTACTTAATGCAACTCCTTTTTGGGGATTTTTACCTAATCCAATAAAATCTCCAAGACTAGCAAGGATATTTTCATGGTCTGGAACATTTCCTCTACCAGAAAGTGTTAGAAAGCTGACTGAATTTGTGTAAGTTCCTTCTGCTTTGATATTAGAGGATATGGCATTCTCATCATGGAATGCCATTCCATCACCATTAAATTTCTAGAAATGTACATTTAAACCCATAGATATCACATATTAATAATTATCTTGTTGAGGTTTTTACTTGGAAAAGAGGTAAGTGATTTTGCAATTGTTTTCTTCACTTTGAGAGTAAAATTTTTTAGAGTTTCAAAAGAGTTTGTTTGATATCTTTATTTAGGACTCCAGGAGCAAGCTGCCGCACTCTCTTTACTTCAAATCTCTTATTGCTCTTACTTAACTTCTTCTCCCACCTTTTGATTTCAGTTGGCAAAAAATAAGTGATCCTGAAAGTATTGCCGATGTACTTAGACAGGTTTATGTAGATCATTCTATAAATGTAGACAAAGTCTTTTCTCATATTCTTAAGACAACACAACATCCTGCTGCTGCTGCATCATTTGCTTCAATTATGTTTGCTCCTCAAGGAGAGCTTTCTTTCAGGGAGGCTTTATCAAGGTACACAGTATGAATAGTTTTTAACTTGTATGACCAAATCATGTGCATTCTATGTGGAAAAGTACCTATCTGCTTCAAGTTATGGACTTTCTGTTTTTTGTTTCTTTTAAGTGTCATATGAACAATGTGCCTATCTGTCTTATGTATGGAAAAGAAGACCCCTGGGTGAAGCCTGTCAGGGGTCTTCAGGCGAAAAAGCAAGTTCCTGAAGCTCCATACTATGATATCAGCCCAGCTGGTCACTGCCCTCATGATGAAGTTCCTGAGGTATGTTGTCACTGATTGGCTTGCTTTTCACGTCTAATCCCTGATAATCATTCATTTTTGTATATAAAATTTCAGCTTTGAATTTTAGTTTTGCTAGGACCTTTTAGTATTTTGTTGGCCATAGGTTAAAAAGTGGTTACCAATTACGTTCCCATGGTAGTTTTTTCTTTTCTTTTCTTTAAGAAGAGATATATGAAATATAATATGGTTATGATTGTACATAGAAATTGGTTGTGTAGTAACTTGTTAAGACCAAATGACTGCATAATTTTCAATTTTCCTTTTAAATTTTCCATTCTCTCAAAACTTTAACAAATTCATCCAATCAGAGTATAGTTTTCTCATGCTTTTTATGTTGTTGCATTTAGACAAATTTCCTGTAATTGGATATACAGGTGGTGAATTATTTGCTACGTGGATGGATCAAGAACCTGGAATCTCAGGGTGCTGTTTCATTACCCTTACGAGGTGATAATATGGAAATGGAAAGTGTTCAGAATAGCATCGCCAAGGACTTGGAATTTATGAGAGAAGGATCAAACAAATCAGTGATAGTGCGATTTTTTGGATCCAAATTCTCACTTTGGAGCCGGATAGAATCTTACTTTAAATCTCGCTTTGGCAAGTTAGAAGCCAAACAGTGATAACATGTCTATATATAGTTTTTTTAATTCCATGAGATAAATGTAAATTTCTGTACATTCTCTCATGGTTAATTGTATGATTGATACCAAATGAATCACAGGCACGTCAACCAAGCCCTGAATACTGATATTGATTTTGAATTAGGCATTTTTTTATAAGTTTTGATTATATTCGTAATTTAAAATGTGATATAATGATATAATATAAATATGATATGAAAAAAAAAAAATTAAATTTTTAATAATTATGAAATATAAATTTAATAAAATAAAAAAAATTAAATATTTTTATACATAGTTTTTTTTTTATAAAATATAATATAAATATATGAATTTAAATATTTTAGAGTAAATATATAAATCAGTCGGTGTAATTTGGACTATTGACAAATGAATCAACTACGTGAAGTTCGGATGTAACTTGGAAGACGGGTTTAGTCAATAAAAAGACCGGAACTTTGCAATAATCTGAAATTTTCTCTTTTTGTTTAATAAAAAAAATGCTATTGAAGTTTAACGGAATTTTGACTCAGTCAGAGTAACGTAAATAAAAAGGGCAAAACTGGACCGTTGTATATTAATCCCAAAATTAAAAAACTCCCCTGGTCAGATCACATGATGAGGCTGCTCACGAGAACATTCCGTTCTGTGAAACACCCAAATCCAAACCCTAATTGCCTAAAACCATCATCGTCGTTGTCGTCAGAATCCAGTCCCATTGCAAAATCAAAACTAAAACCATGGTGCGTATACCTAATTCTTTCCACTAATGCCCCTATCAAAACCTATATCGGTGTCACCATCGATTTTTCTCGCCGGTACGATAGCCATTTTCTTATATTCCAATTTTATTAAGCTTTATCTTCAAACTGTGTCTGAAATCCTTATTTGGGTCTAATTTTTATTTAGGTTTAATTTTGATTGCTGGTTTTTGAACAGTCTTATTGATAAATTTGTAGAAATTGCTTATTTCATATAGTTTTTTAATTTCTCTTGCAAATGGGTAATTTCCTTTACGTAAGCTAATCTTTTGAAAACTTGTGAGCTTTGTTTATGATTGTTGCAACAAGTTGTAATACCTGTTTCCTTCAAATGACTCTGCTTTGGGTATTTCGCTTCGCTTTTCGTAAGAAAACGGTTCAAAATAAGTGAGACTGAGCCCCCTAAATATTGATTATTGAGCTTTGATATGCAGTTTGAAACAACATAATGGTGAACTAAAGGGTGGTGCAAAAGCATCCCGTGCTGGACGGCCATGGGTTTGCGCCTGCCTAATTCGAGGTTTCAGGGACCAAAGTGAAGGTATTTGCACTATTCTTATTAGTTATTTCTATGAATTGAAATGCAAATTTTCATTTCATAAAGGCTCTGAAGTCTTTGAGTTCAACTGGTCTTCTTGATAATTTCATCCTTTTCTAACTGTTAGCTCGTCTGTTATCTTCGTTTAAGGTTATCATCAAACCTTTGTCTTGCGAGGCCATCAATTCATCTAGATTAATGCATATATTTAATTCCTTTTCATTACGTTTCCACTGCTGTCTTCATAGTATCTTTTATAAGATTCTGCATTTAATCATCAAGGTCTTTGTTGTACAGCCAGTGTTCCTGTAAGAACGGCTCAATGCAACAGCCATATCACAGCTTTTGAAATTTCTAGGATAAATTTTGTCTTGATACAGTTCTATTTGGTTGCCTGCCTTGCCTCATTAGGCATATTAATTACTACCCTTGGTGTTTCATTGCAAATATCATGTGACTTCTAATTCAGCTGTAATCTAATTCATGCCAATGAATGTAACATTAGGTGAATGTTTTTGCTTTGTTATACTAAGACTCGAACAAATGAACTCCTAAAGGAGGTAAAGGTTTGTAGAATTTGGTAATTATTACTGTGAAACTTGCTAATATGACATATGTCTTTAGATTTACCTGACTTTCTGCTATGATCCAACATAGTTAAACACATGATAATATTGCTGTTTCTTTTCTTATTTTTTAGCTTGTGAGTTTGAATCCAAATGGAAAAGATTCTCAAGAGAACTGCCTCGCAAAAGGAAGAATAATGACTTGACAAAGGAGGTTGATGAATGCTCCCTAGCATTATTGCAACACAGGAAAAAAGCTCTAAATAGGGTTAAATGTTCGTTGGATTGCAGTCACTTAGAAATTGAGTGGCAATTGAACACTTCCTAACTTAATATCAGCCATTGTCCATAAGTTTTGTCATAAATTTATGTTGTTATGCTTTGTAAAATGTTATAGAATTAGGAAGAGCTGATTGTTAATGGTACAAAATCATTGAATATGTAATAATAATTGTTATAAATACCATGATTATTTAAGTAATCCATTTCTTTTCTTGCATTACCTTGTCCTGATTGGAGAAGAGCTTCATTTCCTTGTAGGTAAAATTTTGAGTCCATAAAGATGTCGGTCCATTACAAGTTGGGCTCGGGTGGACTCCAGCTAGAACTATCGGAGGCCCAAAGTGTTTTCTTTGGTTTAGTTTTCACTTTCTCTGATTGTCAGGACTAGACTCCAAAAGAGATCAAAGTGGGTAAGCCTTTCCGAGGTTTTTATGCGACAATATATCAAGTCTTTCATTAATTACATAGAGGGGAGTGTTGATTCTCTTTCACATAGAGGGGAGTGTTGATTCTCTTTCAATCAACTTCATTTTTTTTTTCATCTAGAAGTTGAATCAAGATTCATTCCATTTTGTTAAAAACTAGTGGTATGGGCCTATAGGGCATGTGCATTCCATGAAATTAAAAAAGAAAATAGTAAATGTAACATCAAAACTTCAGCAGAAAAGATTGCAAAGCCTGCAAACATGGACGAGGCTTCATTGATTGCTATTCACATATCTTTTTCAGCATGCTAAGAATAAGAATATCTTGTGTATTTTAGCTTCTTGACTTTGGCCATGAAAGAGAAAGAAATGAAATTACCTGCCGGCAGTTGAAGGGCCACAGCCTCTGGTCAGTGTACTTGTACTTTGTGCGACTTGTTTAGGTACCCCCTATTACTGAGTCTGAAACACCACGAAATTTCAGCAAAAAATTTTTGAATTTGATCCCTTTCCCCCTTTTGAAAGAGAGGTGGAAAATTCCATGGTATGAATCATGAATGTTGAATCTACTTTCCGTGCTTGGCCGGAAAGAGAAGAAAAAAAGAAGGAAAAAAACAAACCAACTTTTCCAAAGGAAGCCTCCAAGCAATTCAAGGACAAGTAAAGAACTATTCGAAGACGATAAGTATTCCAACTTCTTTTTACGACAACAAGAATAGGCAGGGAAACAGCGCTGGGCCAACATCAACTTTCTTATATTTGTTAGTTGTTGGATAATCCAAATCTTGCACACAGGTGCTTTCTTGTGAAATTTGAATTCCACAAATGATAACTTATGATGCTAAACTAATTCAACCCGCAAATATAACCAAAGGATCCAATCTCGTATTTCCATTAATCATGGTGAAGATTTTAGATCTATGACATTGAAAATGAATGACTTATAATAGCAATATAATTCATGGCGTGGGTGTATATATATTTCCATTTGGAATATTGGATGGCTCCTTTTAGGGTCGGCTGTGAGTGGTACCTCTTGAATTCTTCAATCATTTGTGGTTTATGTTTCAGAAAAAAGGGTGAACAAATTACCTTCACCTAGCTTTTAATGGGATGGAACCTACCTTGCACCAGTCATCTGCCCCACATTGTCTTCTTCAAGTCACAGACTGGCAAAGAACTAGAGATTGGGAAGGAGATCAGCTCTGTCTCATTTATTTCCCTATGCCCCATTAAAGCTTCAACATTTAATTAGTTCGACTGCTGATTGGACTGTGTCTAGTTTCCTGTATGGCTTGTCGGGTAACATGAAAACTCTGTGCCAAGTGGCCTACAAATGTTGTTTTTTTCATTATTATTAGGTAAATATTTGTTAAATATCAATATTAGGTTGATGCTTACTCCTAAGATTTAATCAAATGAGCTTGTTCTTAACAATTGTAGAAACCAAAACGTATTCTGGTCGTTTTGAAACTGGATATACAGTTTGATGAAAACCCTACTAATAGTAGTTTAGAGATTGATGCGGTCAGTTAATCATTAAAAAACAAACACTTACTCGTTGTGTGACAAATGCAGGGTCCAACGAGCTAGGTTTCGTTAATGTGCTCCTTTCAGATATAGTTGGTTTGGTGTCCACTTCAAAATCAACACCAGGCGTTTCGATTTTGGTCCAATATTATGAAGCGATTTACCAGCCAGAGCCAGAGGCTTCCCACAAAAGAAAAGAAAACAATTTGTTTATATAATAATAATGTAGTAGTAGCCAGTAGGGGTGATAAGAGCTTTGATGGTAAGTAACTGTTCTTTTTGCTAAAGCTAAAGGTACACACTTTAATCATTGAAAAGAGAAAAGGAAAGTGAAAGAGGAAGAACAGAACAGAACAGATAGACAAAAAAGAAGAATTTATTAGCCATAATAAGGCTGTAATAGTGAGCCCGTGGGGGAGTGAATAAATTAAAGATGCTGCATAAATAAAATATTGACTAAATCTTATACAAAATACGATGAACATAACATTAAAATATTAGAAATGTCAACATGCAAAGCATAGACAAATCATGGCAGATATAACAATGGGTAAAAAAAATCCTTGAGATCCCGAAAATTTTCCTCTTTCCAACACATGAAAAAAAAAAACTGCCACTTCATTTTTTCCAAATCCCAAAAGCCCCTTCCATTCCTTCAACTTTTCCTCTTCACGTACTGGCAGCAGAGCAATGAAATGATAAAAATCTTGACTTTTTGATTCATATTTCTTGTAAACTGTCAAATTTCTCATTTCAAAAAACACCCTTCAAGACCCTGATAAAAACAGAGAACTTTTTTGATGGGTTACCTTTCTTGCAAAGCAGGATCAACGGTCTCCATAATCTCCACCTCCACAACCACACTGAATTCATCTTCCAAAACTTCCACCATCAAGCAGGAAAAACCCATCAAGATCCAACGGTTTGATTATAGTGACCTTGAAGCAGCCACCAATGGATTCTCTGACCAAAGGCTTCTAGGCAAAGGTAGCCATGGCGCTGTCTACAAGGCTGTTCTCAGGGGACGCCACGTTGCCATCAAGAAACCATCTTCAAGAAACGAAGAAACCAACAAGGAAGCTGATAACGAGATCGAAATCTTGTCAAAAATTCAAAGTCCCAGATTGGTGAATCTTCTTGGCTTTACTAATGATACTCAAGATCGTTTATTGGTTGTTGAATTTATGAGTAATGGCACATTATATGATGTTCTTCATTCTAATTCTTCAAGGCCTTTGAATTGGGGTCGAAGAATTCGATTAGCCTTGCAAGTTGCGAAAGCCTTAGAGACACTTCACTCACAAAAACCTCCAATTCTTCATAGAGATGTTAAATCTGCAAATGTGTTAATTGATAGGAATTTCAATGCAAGATTGGGTGATTTTGGGTTGGCACTTAGGTGTGGTATTGATGATTATAAGCTTAGATCAACCCCACCAGCTGGTACTATTGGGTATCTTGATCCATGTTATGTGACACCAGATAATTTGAGTACAAAAACTGATGTTTTTAGTTTTGGGATCTTGTTATTAGAGATTATAAGTGGTAGAAAAGCTATTGATGTTGCACATTCACCACCTTCTATTGTGGATTGGGCAATTCCTTTTGTAAAGAAAGGGAAGATTATTGCTGTTTATGATCCAAGGATTGCACCTCCTAAGGATCCTATTGCTAGGAAGCAGTTGGCTGTCATAGCAGCTAAATGCGTGAGGTCCTGTAGGGAGCGCCGCCCTGCAATGAAAGAGGTGGTTGATTGGTTAACTGGGTTGAGCAAATTGGTTCCTCTACATTCATGGAATGGTTTTAACAATCCATGTTTGGTGGTGGAAACAATGGGGCGGCCTGTTGAATTTAGAAATGCCAAGGAGAATTTGGACGCCATGGATGGTAAATTTGTTAGGCAAAACATGAGGGACTCATGCAGAGTCTATTCAGATTTGGACTTCAGGAGTGATTTGATGGAACTTATGGGCATGACTGGTATCGAGTGGGAGTCAGAAGTGTGGGGGGAGGCTGATGTAGTTGAAAGGCCTGGATCAAGATCAGGGAGCAGAGCTTCTAGTCATAGATTTGGTAGCAAAAGATATGTTTTCCAAGGGAGAGGTCAGCAGAAATGTTGGAAACCAGAGTGGTGTTTTTGGTTTGAGGAGGAATCGATCAGCTGGAGAAAGTTCTGAATTCTTTTCAGGGTGATGTGTTTTCTCAATCAAGTTTGAGTTCTCAGGCTGTATGTGTCATTTAGTTCATGAAAATTTAATACATTGAAATGATTGGCAATGGATCAAATTTCAGGCTGCTTGCACCTCAAATTCATGCATATTTGTGGGGTAACTTGTTTTTCGGTGATTTCAATGGATCAACATTTTCAAGGTTCTTTAAATTGTCAATGTGGTGTTCATTTTCAATGTATATGTAGATCAGGACATTGCAAATGTCCATTTCATAGGATGTTAATCATTTTTTTGTTTCTTTCTTTTTCCCTCTTGTTTTTGCTGCTATATATATATAATATATATATATATGATGAAAATGCTGTTAAATCCATGATGAGGTGATTCAAAACTTACCAGTTGAATACTGATTTTTGTAATTGGAACCTGCTGTTACAATAACTGAATAAAATATTCCACAATTTGGTTCCATTTCTTTTAGGATCTATGGAATTTCTTGCGCTCAACTCCTCAAGAGAGAGATGCAGTGAAATTTATAAAGTGCTTAGTAGGGATTGTATTCTTATGGAAAACTTGTACGGTGAAATTCAATCAACATGAATACTGAATGTATATGGTTTGGTTTTAGATATTAGTGCAAAATTTGAGCAGCCAGGCATTCAATTTTATTACTCTAGTTGTTGAGATTTTACCTTTTAGTAACAGCCAAATTGATACTTTACTTTTCCAGGAATTTTTATCTAAAGCATTTCTCATCTTCAAGGCTTCCATTCTGCATACGCAATCCTTGAAGTAAGATGGTTTTTAATTTTAATCTGTGTGCATTCCTGAAATAGATGATGTTACCCAAAGCATACAGGGCCAAATTTGATAGTAGAGAAAACAATTTAAATAATTGATTCCTATGGGCGGCTGTGTCATTTTATCTAGAGATTGCTTTCCAAGTTGTCTCTCATTGATATTGTCTTATCTAATTTCTGGAATTCAAAAGATATTATTAGTACATTATTGAAATGGCGGGCCAATAGAGAAAGAATTGCTCGAAGTTGGAAGTTCGTGTGGGAATTTCTCAAAATCTACACAACTAGATGATTCCCATTTCCCACTCTCCCTCGTGATTGGAATATGAATTTTCCTTAAAAAATTGAATGTTTTACAGAATATCCCATCTTTTTCCCTTTGAAAAGTGAAAAGTTACCATACCATTTCCCAGTTTCATGATTCTACAATTTTTTTTTTAACCATGATTCTCCACATATCTTGAGCAGTTGGAAAATCACTTATAAGACTTTTACTGACTTGCACTGTTGGTTGAATTACATTATTACCAAACCAAACATAAATGAACTCTTAACAATTATGGATCAATTATAACTATTTAAATTATGCATTATAATTAGAAAAATTACCAAATACACTATTAAAAATAATGTGTTATTGGCTTTTCTTTAATTACGCAAATGTCAGATATTATGAATTCAACGATTCGTCCTATTCAAACCAAAAGAAATGAAAACCAATTATTATGTCGTCAATAGACGATGCAATTCTTTACTTGTTGCCAACTAAATTCGTTGAGTAGAATAGTTACGTAGGTTTTCTTGGGACATATATCAGCTTAGCTGGTTGGGTTTAAGAAAACAGAAATTAAGCCATCTAAGCCAAGTTGGAATCGAACTAAAACATAGCAGGTTTTTTTTTTTTTTTTTTTTTTTTCGGCCAAATAAAATGATATGATTAAGGAGCGGTTCGGAAGAGTCATTTGAGATTCTAGAATATGCGCATAGCTCATATCAACAAGACAAGGACAATGAAAACTTGAAGAAAATATTCACTTCTAAGGCATGCAAAAACACTGTTTTTTCCTTTGAACTCCATGTAACTTTAGAATGAATGATACGATTGGTTCAGTGGCTGGATTGGCGCATTAGGAAAAGTTTTGCTGTCCAAGAAAAGGACTGCACAGACACCAAGTTGAGTCCATTCTGTTAGTGTTATCGAAGGGGACCAAACCCCTTCTTTAGTATTTACAAATTAAAATCCATTATTAAGACAAGGAGAAGAAGATGAACAAACCCAACCCAACAATTGTTTCAAAGTTTCAAATGATGTGGCTCTGAGAGTAAGGGAATGTGTCTTTAGTAGTTAGCAGGAAGCAAGAAAATCTATGTTCCTTTTAAAATATCAAAGGCTTGACAGCTCAGGTCCTTGCTGTTTCATATGCTTCTCCTCCTTTTCAAAGACTTTTTATTAGATCTCATGTATTGTATGTATCCTTCCTTTGAATGACTCGGTGAATGTGCCCTGCCTTGCCCACCTCCCTAATTGTTTGGTCAACTATGGAATTTTCTTTGGTTTTATTGGGTCACTAAAAAGAAAAAGAAAAAGAAATTAATAGAGGAAACTAAACTGGATTGTTTTGATTCTCGATCTAACTATGAAGTCTATAAAATTGTTTTCTTTTATTCAATCAATTGTAAGGAATACGTAGAGGTAAACAACCAAACAGAATTGTATGGTTAATGAGTATACCAATTTGTGGAAAATGTCTTTTGACGAATTGGATGCTTTAATTTTTAAGACTTACATTTCTGCTTTTCATATCAGATGGACTAACCATTTAATTTGATTTTTATTGTTTGAAGGGCGCGGGTCTGGTGGTTGTTTCCTATATTTAACTGTTTTGAAACACTAGCCCGCCTTCTAAGTTAGAATCGTACTAATAGCAGGTTTCTTTTTTGGCCAAACGCGTGTGTATATATAGCAGGTTAAATGAGATTATAAATATAAATAGAAGATAGAAGCATTTGTCGTGAAACGCAAAAGGAAAATCTACATTGCAATACAAAATCTACCACTGGAAGATAGCAGTATTTCAATGTTATATATATGGCTTATAGATAAAGAAAAAACTACTTGAAGTTTTGCTTTACCTGAAACTACTATGTAAAAACGAGTGTCCGTTTATTTATTTTGGATAAAATTCTACTATATTTCTAATTTTTTTTCCTATTTATTTTTAATTCATACTTCATAGCAATCCTTTTTTTTTTTTTTTTTTTTGAGCATGGAAGTAAATGATAAAATAGTTAAAAAAAAAAAAAATAGAGGCATCCAGTCAGACGGATATTCAGTTCAAGAGCCAGGCCCGGGATCAAAGTTGGACCGTTAGAGGTCCATAGCAGGATCCACTAACGCTTAAACAAATTGGCCTTCTCCCAGATCGATTAAAATTTTCAAACCAACCAAAAAAATCACATTAGTGATGATGCTCTCTTCATAAATGGATTTATTTACAATCCATTACTATTTACTTACTATCCCATGAATTTCAAACCCAAACCGCAACCCTCAAGAGAGATGTCCCAAAAAGATATTCGAAAATATTCTAAAATACAGCTCAAAGAAAGGTGACGGGAAGGAAACGCTTCAAAGTTCAAAACAGTCGATGAAATTGTAAGCATCCTATTAAAACTCTCCTTTCATATTAATGATAAAAAAGCAGATGGGTTGTTGTACAACTAATGGCCACGCGGAAACCAAACAATGCAACAACAGTATGTCAATCCAATTCACTCACTAACAGAGTTTTCAGCACCCAAAAAAGAGAAAGAAAAAAGTGAAAACTGAACTAAATAAGCCACCTCTACTTCTCAGTACTACAAAATGTCTAATGAGAAACAATCAACATAACGTCCTGAAAACTATTTTCACTAACTGCTTTCAAAAAGAGTATTAATGTAAAATGCTAGTCAATATTTAGCAGGAAGCATGTAATGGACCAAAACAACCAAAATCCTGCAGCAGCAATCAAGATATTCCATTCTTGTGTACTACTATAAAAAAGGATTTATCTGTGCCCCAAGTGTGTTACCACAAAAGGGAAAAATAAGTAGACTGTGGATTAGATCCTTGGAGATTTTATACCTTCTTATAACTTATCTTACATTCTGCCTTGTCTTAATCATCCGCTTGAGAGTGGCAAGCCAAAAGTTGCACTCATCCCACTCACTAGTAGTTAGAAGAACCTGTTTCAGGGAAGAGGTAAAAAAAAATTGAAGCACTTTTAGTTGCCAACAATCATGTGGAAATCAACATAAACAACATTCTTTCCCCACCATACCTGGATTTGTAGGGCTGTACCAAAATCATTATTATCTAAAGCCTGGCAGAGCTGAATAAGCTTATCAGAAGCATTTTTTGAAATGTCTCCACTGTTGAGTTTGGCAAATAAGGCGCCTATTTTCCTTGAATTGTCTTCTATTTCACGCTTCTTAACTGGGTTTGCATGTGAACCTCCCAGTGCTTGAGATGTCTCATTGAAAAGTCTAGTTAAGGTTGTGATTACAGGTTTCTGGTTGGCTGAAAAGCAAACAAGGTAAAGTCATTACCAAAAGTATTACATATCAGCATATATTTCTTCATCTATTAGTTTGCTGACATTAATGAACAGAGATTACTGTTGAAACAACCACACATTTTATTCATCTTTATTTGGGAAGTTCAGAAGCCACAGATTATACCTTCAATCTTATTTTATGTGGATTATGCAAATTCAAAATGACGAATAACTATTGTAAAGAATAGTAAAACATTTTCCCAGTTATCATTTTTGTGACAAATTATTGTATTTCATAAAGGGTAATTATTTAAAGATAAACATTACTTAATTTTTTGGATTGTAAACCATCATTCTGGAATAATCCCAGACAGTGAGGTGGACATACCATACGACTAGAGTATCTCCATAATCCAATATATATGTATAACATTAACATTAGCAACCAAGAAATTAGCAATTACCATGTACATTTGAAGTATCAACAGTCTGCACAGTTGGTGGAGGAGCAGCAGGTGCTGCAGCTGGTTGTATTGATGCCAACTGTGTAGGGCTGGGTGGTTGCATTGTGCCCATCCCAGGTCTTTGAACAACAGATGTGTTAGTTACTGGCATAAATCCCCTAGGTGATGGGGTGGGAGCTAAAACTTGGGGCATTTTGGGGCCAGGAACTGATCCCATTTGTGATGGGACAGGTGCAAGTGAACCAGCCCCAGGGGGTACAGGATAAGTAGGATTGGCACCACCCTGAAAGGCATGCAAAAATAATCAGTATACCAGTCTCAGAAGAATAACTATGGCATCGACCATAAAATTAAATGTAGGAATACAGACAGGATATAACTGAGAACCCAAGGTAGTTGGCTGCTGATATTGATCTGCATTTCTTAGAACAGGAGGATTTGAAGGAACAAAGGGTCTAACAGCAGGCTGAGTGGTGCCAGGTGGAGGAGCAAAACTTGTCTGGAAAAACAAAAGAAACTATTTAGTCAAGCATCAAGCTGACAAATAAAAGCAAAGAGCATCATGCATATAATAAAATAAAAAGCAAGGAAAACTAGGAAGCCAAAGATAAAGTTCTCATTTTGGACAACACAGAACCTTGTCTACCCAATATCTAATCTTCTTACTAAATTTTGTATGTACAGATGCTCAGGTCGTTTGTTCAAACCAAGGTTAATCCAAGCAAAAAGATGAAGCTGGTTTAGTTCAGATTTTCAGTTTGTCCAGTTTTCTCCTGCCCTAGGGGGTCTTGGAGGCAGGATAAACTAGCCACAACCAATTTTATATAGTAGCAATTGTACGGTTTGTAGGTTGAAAAACTATCAGGTGAATGAAGATCAATTGCAAACTAACACCCCACCCCCCCCCCCCAAAAAAAAAAAAAAAAAAACCTTCCAAACACATACCAATCCTATGCTAGTTTTAACTTGGCATGCTGTCCTAAGCAAATCCAATCTTTCACTTCAAAAATCTCTAAACAAGCATTCTCTTTTCCTGAGGATACATCCAATTGGATGGTATGATTCATAGAGAGCGACCGAATGAAAATATCCATTGAATCAAATTGTCTCTAGGTGTTGAGATAGCATGCTAGATTAAAAGTAAAACCGGAAGAAAACTATAATTACAACTTAGCCATAGCTTAGGGCCTACAATCAAATAGAGTGATATGCACAAAAAGAAACCCAATACAGCATACCTGGGAAACATGAGGAGCTTGGGTTGGAACAAAAATGTTGGCAGGCAGCGGTTGAGTGTGATATGAGGCAGGAGGTGCATATCCTCCATACGGAGAAAAAGAATGCTGATAATTTTCATCATAAGCACTAGTAGGAACACTTGGCTGAATTAGTGATGCAGCTGAATTCTAAGCAATGAGGGAAAGTAACAAAAAACCAAAAAAACATCACGACAGCTTATCAAGGAGCATTCAATGAGAGACACATCACATAAAAGAAAAGTGCAAGATAAAGCACCGTATATAAATGTTGTGAAGGCTCAAAGACAGGCTCACTTGTTGGATGAGAGTTCTCAGGAACAGCAGATTTAGTTTCTTTCTCTGCAAGAATAAAAAACAGATATCCTCAACAAGCATATATTGCATGCCACAAAACTTAGCTCAGGCATCAGTAAGCTAATTTCTTGCATACATAAATATTGCTATTACAGGTATGTCACAAAAACACCTGTAAGATAAATTGAAAGAATTAGACACCAGAAAAAGTAGCTAACAGTTCTTAGTTTAATCTAAAGCATCACAAGCACTCCAAATTACATAAGCTCAACAAAGTTTTCTACCAAGTTCAACTGGTGTTCTTTCAGTCACCAGCATGACCTTTTTTCATGTGAATTATTTGCATAAATATAAATTAGCAATGGTAGATCACAAAACCCATATGTAACAGCACAATAGCAGTAACCATTGACCATCTCCTAAAGCACATACCAGGTTCTGTAGAAAGCACAATACGATCTTTTAAGATCACAAGTTCAGGTGACAGCTCATCAGACCCCAAGAGTTTCAAGTACTCCATTGCTGTTGTTAGAAGCCCTTGACTAGCCAAAATTTCAGCATATTTCTCAACAAGCTTGCATAGGGATGCACTAAATCGCTTCTGCCCAGTTGCCAAAGCAAGGACAATGGTCTTTTCCATCAAATCCTAGAGAATAAACCTCTATTATCAGATTTCTGATTAGACAACTTAAGTTTGAAATGTGTTGTTTCTATAAATTGCTAACTTACCTGGAGAAGATCAACATAAGATTTCCCATCATGTTCAGTTGTCAGGCACCTTGACCAAATCTCTACTGTTTTATCAATATTTCCAGCACATATATAACAGAGAGTTGCAGCCAGAGTATTACCCGCAGCCATTAGTTTTGAAGCAAGCGTATCACAGAGTACAGTCCATTCCTCTCTCTGGGCAAACTGCTCATCAAATATGATAATAAGTCCATCATAATAGCAACAAGTACAGTTATATAATTTGTTGCTACACCACAACATATCTACTTCCAAAATAGAAACTTACCGTACAGAGGAGTGCTAGTGTTTCTTTCCAGAATTTCAAAGGCCTGGTGTTGACAAGGCTCATGAGATCATTGTTCACCATTGCAGAGACAACCTACAGACAAACAGCACAGTTAACATATAATTTTCCTCAAAAAAATAATTAATAATATTGTAGCCGATGAGAAATATAACCCATGTAAAGAATTGATATCTCGATTCCTATTTTATAAAGATATATGATTAAATCCTTCAGTGCTAAGCAAATATAAAAATTTAATTCACCTTCAGGTAAGGGGAACAGCTCATCTTAAGATACTGATCACGTGTGCTCTCCCATAAGGAAGCACCACCAACATGAGCAATAACTAAAGCATCAGCCATTTTATTCGCAGCAATGCACTGCACAACTGCTCCCTTATAGTCACCCACCACCAATGCACGTTGAACAGCATCATCAAATGATGGATCCACACTTTCCTCCAGTCCATCTGATTCTTGAGGTATTAGATCTGCACTAGGAACTGTGCTCTCAATAGCAAAATTATTTTCGGAAGTTGAAACGGGTGTATCAGCTTTGGGACTCGGAAGATTGTTGAAGAAATCTTCCCCATTATCAGCTGCAAAGAGGGTAGCTTCTTTCTCACCCTCACAGCCCACTTTTTCTGCCACTTTATCCTCGCGTGTAATATCATTTACACTCTGGGAGAGGTCATCTTGTACAGTATCCTTTTCTTCTGCAGATACACTAAAACCAAGATGCATGAGCAACTTTGTCCTAGCTGTCCCATCATCTTCAAACATCACCTTTAAGAAGCCCCAAGTTTCTCGATCATCCTGAGATCTGTACAGAATTCCAAATGAATCATCAAAAGTATTAATTGGTGGAAGTAGATAAAATTATTCGACAGAAGACAAGAAAGAAAATAACTACAATTTCTTAATTCAGATGACATACTCAGACTCTTGAGATTTCTTTTCACATAAAACCCTTAGTGAAGACCTCTCCCCATTCTGTATCGCAGATTCAAATTCAGATGAACGGCAGACCAGACTTTCTTCAGTAACTAAATTATGCACAAAAACCTGAAAATAGCGTACAGGACCATAAGATCCCAAAAAGAAGAATATCAGTGGAAATCAAATAAAATAGAATGAAACAGACCTTGCTGCCTAAGAATATTTACCTCTGATGATGCAGAAGCACCTAAACCAGACACACAAGGGTGAAAAAATACAACTTTTCCACCAAATCCAAAAGATGCCCCAACAGGACGTTTATACCATTTTGGAGCTCTCAAAGTCACTGCATAAAAAGACATTAGAACTAGTTACAACTAAATTACCAATGAAAATATATATAATCTTAGAAACAATAAGTTAGAGTTTAACAGAGATAAAGATTAAAGACTATTTAAGCAGCCTTGGCCCATAGTCTGCATATCTTCCCCAAATTATATTGGCAGTCATCAATATGTTTCTCCTAGACCAACAAAGCTTAATAGTACCACGGTCAAATTATGATATATATATATATATGTGCAAGCTAATACATGGAGAACATGGATAGTTCTACCAGAAGCAAATTGAAGGCTGCCAAACTAACTGCTGCAGTCACACATATAAATATAATTATGTTTGATGAATTACCTGCACCAAAATCACCCTCCCCTACACCATAACGGCTGCAACCCTGCAGAACAAGGTAAAAAAATTACCTAAAAGAAGTACTAAATCTAGGGTCCAGGGAGGAAAAAAGTTCTGAGAGGCAAAAATTGCAGGTAATCAGACAAGTATCTTTTTCTTTGACAAACCAGCAAGAACAATAAGCTTCAAACGTTTGCCAGATTAAACTACAAAAGCAGTGCTTGTCACAACAAGTTACATAAAAATCCCACCCCTAAACAAATGTATGATAATTATTGGCTAATTGCAATTGATCAGTCATACGTATGTCCAACAACTAGAATTTTTTTTTTTTAACAAAAATGTAATTATGATAGGAAAGATAACTTGGACAAGGTCACACCTCAATGTTGTAAATGCCAATTTTGCCATCAAAGGAAGATGCTGATATTACGCCAGGTATCTTCGGATACCAGTGCACATCGAAGTTCCAGTTGGTACCAGCAGGCAGTTCACAGACAATCTATTCCAGAAAAATAACATAAAGGAAAATCACAATTCAGAAAATACTTGTTTGATAAAAGGAACAGACAGATCTCCAGAAGGAATGCCTGAAGCAGATCAATAGTTAACTCATTCCCCACCTCTCCAGTAACCATATCCCAACAAATAGTCCGATTATCTTTGGCACATGTGAGTAAATAAGAGCCGTCAGAGGGACACCATGCCATTGCAATTACACCTGCAACAATAAATGCAGTCAAATATAAGAACTTAAAATAACAAAACTCCTTTTTAACTTACAACAACAAAAGACCTAGAAAAATAATGCACAAACTGAACAGGGAGATGGATAACTATCAGAAAAATTAAACAGCAAATGACCCATAGCAGGAAAGAGACAAAGTCCTAAATTTATCATGGACCCCTTCTGACTGAAGGGCATCTATTCAATCTTAATAATCTAATTCTCACTCTGACTTTAAGAAGCTAACTAAATACATCTCATATTATATGGTGTAGTATCAGGTTAAAACTGAAAAGAGTTAAATAATAATTTAGCCTTTCCATCATTGTTGTCGTTCTTATTAAATTTTTCAGGCTACTGCTTTTCAATTTTAGAGAGAGTGAGCAAAGTGAAATAGCAAATACTTAATAGCATATAATTGTCATATCAAGTACGGAAACAAACACCCAAAAGCAAAGAAGGAAAAACTATCAGCAAGTTTAAAACGATGCATCAACTTGTCAAGCATGGTTACCTTTTGTGTGCCCTACAAGCTCCTTCACTGGTGACATTATATTCCGCATATCCCAAAGCTGTTTGCAAAAATACCAGAAATTAACAAATTCCTAACAAATGGTAATCCTCAACAGAAGCAAAATCATCGACAAGATCATTACCCTAAGTGCGGGTGAACCATCTTCATCAGATGCAACAACAAGTTGAGTGGCAACATCAGGATGCCACTGCAAAACAGAGCACCGTCTTCTTACGGAATCAGCAAAACTGTCAATTAAAAAGTAAAAAAAAAAAAAAACAGATTGGGTCAAAAGATGTGCCAGGTCACAATAACCTGCAGACACAGAAAATTTTCACTTGGTAGATAACATGAAATTTACCTTATCACAGGTTTTTGCTTCTTCAAGTCCCAAACAACTGGAAAATAAAAAATTAAAAAATACGTATTATCTTCCCCGCTAAACGTAAATGACAAGACAAATAGTCTGGCGTCCATTCATTTACTCACCAGTTGTTCCATTATATGAAGTTGATGCCAATATATGTTGAACCTTGCTATTCCAAGACAGAAATGAGATTTCACCTTGAGTGGCAGAACCACTACCCTGCATGATGACACAAAAACTATGTCAGATGCCTCGGTAGATTTTTTATTCTTTTTTTTTTTGGGGGGGGGGGGGGTAGGGGGGGGTGGGGCAGGGGAAAGTGGTGTTCTTGTGGGCTGATTTCTAGCTGAACCACTAATATATATTGAAAAGCATGCTTACTACAGTAAAGATATGGCAACACACACAAGAAGGCATTTAGTAGAACACCAACAGCATAATAGAACTTATGAGATTATTATCAATGGCATAATAGACGCATGAGGTTTACAATTCAACAAGTAATGGATGATTGGCACGTACCCTAAGAGGTGGAAAATGAGAGGGTTGTGCAGGTGCTGCCAAATCCCAGATGCAGATTTCACCATCATCTGCCCCAGATGCTAATAAGTTTGGAGCAATGGCATTGAACTCAAGACCACGAACCTAAAATATGGGGAAAGGAAAGATGTAAATACCAGGCAGTCTTCAATTTCTTGAGGACAAATATCATGTATGTCAAAGCAATTGAGCATTAATCACAGAAAAAGGAAACTCACAGGCCCTCTGTGCCTTGAAAGGTGTCCAACAAGAGCTTGTTCATTTGCCTCAGAGCTGGGGAAATGAAGCAACCAAAATTACTACTACTTTAATCATATATAATAAGATATCTATGGTGTAGATCACTTAAATTTTCTTCACCCTTTTCTTCTTCTCTTTCTTTGTTTCAAACAATGAATAAAACAATGTTAATAACAAAATAAATATCCCAAAACATGATGAGATTGTTAAAGAACACAAGAATACTAGTAATAATTAGCCAAAAACTCCTCAAAAGACAAATATGAAAGTAATCAAATCCAATCATCTAGACAACAATGACCATAAATGAACAGATAAAAAAAGTTACCACCTCCCTAACAAAGGGTCCCAATCAAGAACCATTTTAATAAAAAAAATTTCTCCCAAAAGATGAAGATAATCTTTTCCTTTTGGATTCTTAGCCTCTAATAAAATAAAGCATCATCCAAATGTAACCAGCAATCCAATACCAGGAAATAAAAAAATTTCCCGCACTTTAACAACATTCTTCTATATATCTTCCAGTCCTAACCCAACACAATATAATCAGCCTGATTTATGATTCAAATACTAAAAAAACATCTGAAAGATACACAAGAAACATGCAAACATCATATTTTGCTCTAAACTATGAAGCTCCAATTTTGATTAACTCTCACTCCTAATTCCTAACAGCCAAACAATACCATTGCCAAATCAGACAAAAATGAAAATCATGCCTGTCGCCTACTCGAAGGCAATGCAAAGATCAGGCACAACAAATTACCATCCATTTATCCAACTTATTCCAGCTCCGCACAAGCAAACAAGAGAGTAACAATTTAAAGGGAAATTAAATTTCAAAATACTTCATCCAGAGTTCAATTTCAACCAACCATTCATCAAATACAGTTATAATAAGTATTCTAGAACTCACGAATATGGGCACATTATTACTAAATCAAACCTTAAAAACTCTAGAGTCAAAGTAAACAAGCCCAACAGCCTAAATAACCATTTCTTACTAACCATATGAAATATCAAATTCTCTCCAGGTCCCAATTGATCCGCTCCAAACAACCAGGCAATCCAATTCACGTAAGACTTAAAAAATTATAGTAAGCCCACATCAAAATGTGTCAATGTGCATTAGATAACAGAATAATATAATCCCAAGTAGATACAAAGCAGTCACCGTTTTCCCATCCACACAAACATTATATACCTAAAACCCAAAACATATCCAATTAACTTACAGATTACAACAATGCACTCTTAATTGACCACATTTCTAATTCAATCGAAAATTAAAGTGAATTAGACAAATCAAACGATATGTACATTATAGATAGATTGCAAGAATATCCAATACCGGATCAGGGTTAAGGGATTCCAAAGATCGATATTGCCGTCAACAAGGCCACCAGCAATGAACCCGAGTGAAAACTCATCGGAACCGGATCCATTCTTGCCCCAAGCGAGGCGGTTAAATCGCTCTGAGCTGGGGCACTCGCCTACCACGGGAAGCTCACGATTCTCATTCTGGAAATCAAACTTGAAGATCTCGAGATTCGCCGATGAGCTGAAGGACAGATCCACCGCCCCAGCCATCGTCCCCGCAGCCATGTAAGGGGCATCCGGCGCCAGTGCCACCGACGCCGATCTATTCACCCCTTTTATACACGCCATTAGATTAAACGCAAATTTTACGGTTCCTTACCCCAAAAATGTCAATCAATTTCTTTGACGATACAGTGAGAAACAAACAGATACAGATAACAATTATCAGCAAATAAGTGAATTGACGAGGAAGAACCCCAAATAGAGATCTGATTTGGACTAAAACGATGAGAATTTGGAGAATTAGGGTTTGATCTGATTCAGGGAATTCAGAAAGAGGAGAGAAAGAGAGAGAGAGAGATGATAGACGAGGAGCAAGAGGGCAGTGTTCCGTGCGGAAACAGTGTGGAGTGGTTTTTTTTTTCTTTTTTTTGGCAATTTCTGATTATTGGACGGAGGAGAGTGGTAAACTTGGTAATTTCATTATATGTCGTCTTCTTTTTGTTTGTGCTGATGTTTTTGGTTTCTAGCTCCTGCGGTCGTTCTTCGTGTTCTGATCTTGAGTTTGGTTCTATTCAAAGCTGTATCTGGGGAAAAAACCGACAGAGACGTAATTTTCATAAATTGGAAGGGTAAATCAGGAACGAAAATATAACTTTAACAAAGGGATTGTGAGAGTGTAGAAGCGTACGAGGCAGGTGATAGTTTCTGTGACGAAAGACGTTGGGCTTTTGTCAGCATGTCGAATCAGGACATGACATGTGGCTCACCGTTTTTACCTTGACTAAGTTAAAAGACTAAAAAGACCCTTTGTTTTATGACCTGAAATCTGATGCGCATATTTTAACTTCCCTAATTCGGCTTGGGTTAATGGTGTGCTGGGCCAAGGAAGTGGGCTCAAAGCAATCAAGTTTGGAGTCCAAGGCACAAATCCAATAGGACAAACGCAAATAAGGGAGGTTTTCTTTTTTCATTTTTAAGTTTGCTTGACTTTTTGGGTAAAATTGGTTGACTCCGCTTTACTAAATTCTTACTGTATATAACTAGAGATTATGGTCAATTTAAAGATTTGTACGGTTAATCCATATGCTAAGGCCATAGGCTATGCTATTTGGGCGCCGCAAAGTGCAAACCGAATGGCGGATTGTGGCGATCAAAGAGGAGCTTGACCTTGCCCGTTGAGCCTGCACGAACATGCTTAAGATTCTCACAATTTCGTAATTCAACCATGAATCCATCTAGATCGTTGATAGAGAGCTGGTCGATCTTAGTCCAACTTTCATCCGCCATTGTCATCTTGACGTACTTCATAAATTCTTTCAATTTTTTTTCATTTATTCCATATGTTGGCACTGCATGTCATGGTTTGTAAAATAAAATAATAATTCAAGGGAAAAAAGGTACCAGCATAATGATAAGTGACAATAACATGTACAGTAACCCATTGTCACTTGAACTTCATATTTATGTCACATGTACAAGCTATAAAACAATTTTTTATGATATGACACACCGATGTGGCACAAAATTTCACATCTTATCATTTCATAGACTGATTGCTACATCTATATTTTTGTATGGGATTAATCACAAGTACCATATTATCACATGATTTTATAATATAAATTTACATTAAATATTTTTAAAATATAAATATCATATTAAAAAAACATATAATATAAGAGTCAAACATAATATTATATATTATATATCTCAACTTACTGCAATGCTTTTCGATTTAAGAAATTCAAAATTAATTAAAAATTCAAAACCCACATTATAAGTATGATAATAAGATTTACAAGATATAAATGTATCACATAGAATAATACTAACTCAATATGTTTATCTTGTTTATGGTAAAAAAAAAAAGTATATCTTCTTATAAGAAAAATCCCTATTAAGAAGGACGCAGAGTTGAGAATAGAAAGAAAAAGAAACGGCGAATTGCAATATGTAGTGCAATAAGCCAGTAATAAATTTTACTGCAGAAAGGAAAGTGAATTTTATCGTCAAAAGTCAAAAACAGTAACTGATGTTAGTTGAATGAACATCCAACTATCCAACAATGGTTTGATCTTGTCTATGCACCAAACTAGATCATGCTTTGGACATAAGCCTCCTTTAATGCAAAACCAAACCACTCCTTGCCCCCTCGACCCCACCATCAATCCCCCCAAATACGTCCACCTACACGCTCGGAACCACCCAACCCAAAAGCCTTACCTCTTCTCGCTTCCCATCCCGTTTGCCTCACCAAACGCCCCTTCCAAAAAAACCCCTGTCGTGGAACCCAAAGAAAAAAGAAAAAATATACAGTAGTTGTGGTTAGAAAAAAATATATAAAAGGAGGGGAAGAAGATGTACCGGGATGTTTCAAGCTGCAACACCTACAACTATGGCGATGCCTTGTACTGGGACGCCCGTTATGTTATGGAAGCTGGAGGTGCCTTTGACTGGTACCAGCGTTACTCTTCTCTTCGCCCTTTTATTCGTAACTACGTCCCTACCTCCTCTCGTGTCCTCATGGTCGGCTGTGGAAATGCCCGTAATTTCTCCCCACTCTATGCTTCTTCTTTTTTTATCACTATTTCTTTTTCTAAAACCTTTCTATTACTTTTTTTCTTTCTTTCTTCATTTATTTATATTTCGTTTTGCATAGTGTTTCTGATTAATTAAAGTGCATATCTTTTGTTTGCTGAGGAAGTGTGGAAAAGGGTAAGGGATGAAGGGATTGAATTTGATGAATGTGATTTTTAGGCTAAAGGGTTTGTAAATTCAAATCTAGGGTTTCTATGTATCTTTACCCTGTTTGCTTGCTGACTAAGTCTGGGAAAAGTTGAAATAGAAAGTTAAAGATTCATGGAATGTTAATTGTCTTCCAACATGAACGTTCATAGTTCTCATCTGGAAGTTTTGTCTTCCTTTGCCCTTGGTGTCTCTGTTTGCTACCTGATAATGGTCAATATTAGTAGAGAATGGGGTTGTCCTTTGTTTTCTTCATTCTATCTGTTAAGGGATTTACATTTTAGAAAATGCTTTTTCTCTGTAGTTATGTCGGAGGACATGGTCAAGGATGGATATGAAGACATTATGAACATTGACATTTCCTCAGTGGCTATTGACATGATGAGAAGGAAATACGAGTATATTCCTCAGCTGAAATGTATCCTTTTAACTATGACAGAATCTTCAATTTTTCTTTTCTGGGAAAGTTTCCCTACCTTTATTTTTGTTTTTATGATTCTTGCTTGTTCCATTTCCTTTTCTGTCCTTCAAGTAGCTATAACTGTTTTCTGTGGTTTCCTTGATTAATCTAAATAGACATGCAAATGGATGTTAGGGATATGAGTTTTTTTGGGGATGAATCTTTTGACGGTATCATTGATAAAGGTATGGCACTATCCTTGTTTCAAATACTTTTTCAAAAGTTGCTGACTTCCTGCTTCAAATGTTGATGAGACTTTTTTTTTTCTTGTTGCTGAATCTGTACTCATGAGCTGCTGAAATTCGATTAAGGAACTCTTGATTCTTTGATGGTATGATCCATATTCAAATGCTTTCGTTGTTTCTTCTGTTCATTTCATAAAACCTAAAGATTTCTTCTTTTTTATGATTCTTAGTGTGGCACGGATGCTCCAATAAGTGCTTCTCGGATGCTGGGTGAAGTGAGCAGGTTGTAAACTTAATTGCATTTATAACATATATCCCTTATTTCGTAATAGTAGTTTATTATAATAGAAAATTTCTTGAACCTGTTACTTGATTACAGTCACTAGAGACATAGTCTTGTCAATAGGAGTTACCCCAATTGTGCATGCATTCAATTTTAAAATTGGTAGCTGATGCTTTTTGTTTTCTTATTGGTAGGCTTCTCAAACCTGGAGGGATCTATATGTTGGTAACCATTTTGCCAAATCTGAAAACTCTGTTTTTGCAATGTTCCCTCTTTTAATCTGAAGCTTCAAAATGAGTGATGTGTTCTTAAAATTGCCTTTACCAGATAACCTATGGTGATCCATCAGTGAGGATGCCTCATTTGAGCCGGCCAGCTTATAATTGGACTATTGTGTTGTACAACCTACGTAAGTTCTATTTCCGCTCCTTTATCTGTTTAAGCATTTTTCTTTCTCATCATTTAGTTGTGAAAAGTTATACATGTTTTCAGATTGTTTTGTTTTTAGTAAATGTTTTTGAATTTAAATTTCGCACCTCTTTTAGTTGTACTGAGTTACAAATGCTAATTAGGTTTCTTCTTTGCTTACTGTTAATCTTATGTGATTTTACCTGATTGGGATCTGCTTTCTGCTTTCATTGAATATATACCATGAACTCTCATTCTAATTTTCTATTTATTCATTAAGAGAGCCACAAGAGCATGTTAACATCCCCAAAGTCTATTTTGCATTCTCTTTACTTCATCTCAGCCCCCTCTTTGGGTTAGAATTTGATTCTCCACTTTCCATGATCTGGAGGAAGTACAGATCTGAGGACAATACTTGTTTAGTGACTTGACAGTGAAGAAACATACTAGCATTTCTCCTCATTACACTTCCCATGAATGGTATCTGTTGTCTCTTAACTTTTAGATACTCTTAAGTTAGAGATCCTCCCTAGAAGTTATGTAAATAAGATTAACACACAAAAGGCGTTTTATTTTTAGGGCACATTTTATTATCCAAATCTGTGTTAAGATGTTCTTTCTAGAAACCAATGCTGTCCTAACCTTGGGCATGCATTTGGGTGCAAACTCAATGGAACTATCCATCAGGCAGATTCAAGGCATGGTGGCAGCTAAGAAGTGAATAGATGCAAGGAAAGGATTGTTGTAAAGGAGAAGCATCTATATTATCTTCTGCATTTATGGTTTTTGGGTTGATGGTTTGACCTGATTAAATCCTGTTTTCGATCTGAACTACTGAGACAGGACTAGTTGGGGTTTGATGTGCTAAATAGGACAGGTCACTGAGCACATTCCCAATTGGTTGCAGGTGCTCCTTGTCTGATATATATATATATATATATATATGCAGGAGATTAAAGTTGTACCGGTTCTGGAATTTGATGATCATATGGCCATTCTAAAGCAAATTACTTTGTTAAACTATTTTATCTTGTATCACCATTTATTTAACTGCTGTCGGAGAACTAACTTTCAAAAGTTTATAGATGCTGCACCTTTACTTGCCCATGTTCTTCTTTGTGCACACACTTGTTAGTGAGTTTTTAAACTGTTTTTATTTTTTTAAACGCATGTCTTCATTCCTTTGCAGCCAGACCAGATTTTAAGAGGCCTGGAGGTATTTCATCAACAAGGTCATACTTGGAGCCTGTTCCTATCACTGAAAGGGGCTTAATTCCGGCCGACTTTGTTTTGGAAGATCCGGATTCTCACTTTATATATGTATGCAAAAAGATGGATGACACAGAGCTAAGTAGGATATCCACCCATCCATTAACAGCTGACATTTTATAGTGTGAATAAGTAACTTTGAAGTGCTGAGATAGCATTTTACTCTGCTGTACAAGCTTCAAAATTGCATTTTGTATAATTATCGGCACTTCCACGAATTAGGACAGATCATTCTCTTGTGTGTAACAAAAAAAGAATTCTATTTTTGTTGTTTGACATGTTAGGTCAGCTGTTGAACACTAAAAAATAAGAAGCCAAGGAAAAGATAACCCTGATGGAAGAATGCTAGTGATTTAAAGTATCGTTGGCATGTTTCGTTTCCTTTATCTGCACTGATCTTAACACTCGTAATCATACATCTTTCTTATAATTATGGGTGTGGTTCGTTGTCTGTCTTTAAATTCTTGTTTTACAAAAGGATTGATCGCTTCTTAAATCATCTTGAACAGCCAACAAAAAGCAAAGACAGAATCAACGAAGAGATAAATGGCTGACCAAGCTAAAACTCTATTCATATTTGATCCGCAAGCTGTTCAACATAAAGCTGTTAAAATGTTTGATATATGTTCCTATCATTTATTGAACGGAGATGCAAAATAGGGAAATAGCCGTTAAAAGTTTCTTCTTCTAATTTTGGAATGGTAGTGTAAATTTGGCAATGGAACTTTGCCACTTTCTCTTTCTTGCCAATGTTAAAAAATGCAAGTAGTGACCGATCTCCAAATTTGGTACAAGTTTTACCAGCTGCCCATATCTAGCTAAAATTACTAAGTATGGGAAAAGATTTTGAAATCTAAAGGAGCATTTATGGCAAATCCCCGTCTCTAAACTTAGCAATTCCCTTGCCAAATGTAGCTATTAAAAAGTACTAAATCTAGCATGCCATGCCATAGAAGGGAATAGGAAAAATTTTTCAAATCGTGGGGGTGACCTCTACGATGAGTTTCATTATAATGAGATCTTTTATATTAAGATAAGTAATTCAATTCGTCTTCGACGGATTTCGATTTGATCCGAACTCATAAGATTAATTTTTTTTTTTTAAATCGAATTTTGAATCGAGTAATATTAAAAAAAGATCGAATTGGATTCGAGTTTTAGGCAAACTGAACCCGATATAATATTATATAAAAATAATTTTTTAAAATTAATTTTTTATTTATATAATTATATATTTAAATATTTATATTTTAAAAAATAATATTTTATATTTAAAAATAATATTTTATTAATTTTAAATCTGATACGATTTATACACTATCAGTTCAAATATAAAAAAATTTAAAAAAAAAAAATTGAATCTAATCAAGATCAAATTTAATAAATATAAAATCAAATAATATTCGAGATAAATAAAAATTTATACCAAGATCAGTTACCAATCATACCGAGGATCTTATTATACTGTTAGATTTGACAGGAACCATTGGATGGATGAAGGTCACTTGGGGACATAAGAAAAAGCAAGTGAAGATTTTTAAAATGGGGCAATGGACTCAAATTATTAAGGATTTAATAAAAATTGGAGGAGGATTTCTCAACGGTTGATACGTAATAGGATCTCATTACAATGAAACTGACCGTAGTAGTCACCAAAACCATCCCAGGTGGCAGGTGGAGCCCATAAATACCCCTGAAAGTAATAAAACATATACATGCAAAAAAAAAAGAATAAAACTCCCCAAGTGGGACCCACCAGATTAAGGATAAAAACAAAAGGTGGGGCCCAGAGATAGGCCCCATCATCACCTACGCTCTCCAAATGTGGCAAAGGAATCAATCATGCAAGCACACTCGAAATAGAATGCAGAGGCCATGCAAACTTGCCGTTTCCACTCTCAAAAACGCCTGCCTTTTTATCTTCCCAATCTCTAATTTTAGCAATCCTTTCTTTTTCCAAGTCTTTTCCCAATTAAGCTCTTCCAATCCTCTTAATAAACAAAGCAAAATTTAAAACCAATGGAAAAAGTTGTTGGTCTTTTGTTCTAAACATTGAATTAAAAGGACCATATTCTTGCTGTTTTTCTGGGTTTCGAGAAGAGCAGATAAGAAAAAATGGGTAGGGGGAAAATAGAGATAAAGAGAATTGAGAATGCTAATAGCAGGCAAGTCACATTCTCCAAGAGGCGTGCTGGTTTGCTCAAGAAGGCTAGGGAACTTTCCATTCTCTGTGATGCTGAGGTTGCTGTCATCATTTTCTCCAATACTGGCAAGCTCTTTGAGTTTTCCAGCTCTGGGTATGTAATGCACAACTTTATATTTAAAAAAATATATAATTTTTTGAATTTTTATCATTGCATGGGCATTTTTTTCTTTGTTGATTATATCTGAGAATTTACTATTTATCTTCCTTGAAATATATTGGCCTTTTTTGTGTGAGGAGTTTGACTCTTTTTCTCTTTGCTTTTAATCACAAAGGCTAAGGGTAATATTTATTGTTTATGACATTTTTCTTTATTCTTGATGATCAAAATGGTGTTTACCAGGGTTTGCATTCTTGCATGTTTTGTTTGGATTTTATCTGCTGATAGTTTTGAATTTCTGGTCTTCTCTGTCATTTTGTTATGAACTTCACCCCGTTGTTCTTCCCCTATTTCAAATTACATTTGAGAATTGAGGACTACTTTTATTATTATCATCTTAAGAAAAAAAGGCTAATTTTGGTCATTTATAATGAATTCAGTAGAAAATTTTTAGTAACAGTAAATGTTTGACAAATAAATAAGTCTTTGGACTTGTCTGTGACCTTTTTATTTATTAATTGTTGCATGTGTTTTTGGCATGTAAATTTGAAATTTTCATTTTTGGGCCCTTTTTTTTCATTCCTGCTGATACATATTACATTATTATTATTATAAGATTTTGTTTAGGTTTTCTAGGATACAATTGTTTTCAAATTATCAATGTTTGTTTGCCTTTATACCTACATCAAGGTAAAAAGCTACATTCCTTTAATGTCCCAACTGAGTTTCTCATTTAAATTTTCAATAGAAACTTGGCATCAATTCATGGCAAAATGATCGATTTTATTGTTTGGATGGTACTGTCTTTGGTTAGCCTCTGAAGTTTTTCCAAGAGCGACATGTTAATCTACGTCAGTGTCTACATATGTTACCCCCAGTGGTCATAGATTAGTGAGATAGTGAGGCTGTCCTACTATGGGATATAAGAGGTGCTCTGCTTTCTCAAGGATAGTTTGTTTCAGCGTGTTTATTAATTAGGTTCATAGTCTATATTTATGTAATGGGAGTTTAAGTAGATACAACTCTAGATCGTACAAAATGGAAATGATTGTAGCTAACGAGTTGTAAACAAAAGGGAATGAAGTGAGGGGATGCCAGAAAACAAATATAGAATGCAAAGATTTGTTGGAAGAAAATTTTATTAGGGAGGAAACCAGAAATGTTGGAATGTATGTGCGTATGTGATAGAGGAAACCAGAATTATTGGAATGTGTATGAGAGAGAGAGTCACAGTAAAAACTCGTACTTTCTTATTCATTGTTCATTGTTCATTTGTGCAGCATGAAGAAAACAATTTCTAGATACAACAAGTGTTCTCAAGGTTCTTCAGAGATTGCTCAAGTGGAAAATAAAGTAGAGGTAATCTGCAATTTATGGTTACGTATGCAAATCTGGTTTTCCTCTGGTCTTGAAACAACATATTTCAATTTCTTCATCTGCATGTTGGCTTTATGCTGTATCTCAAGATGATAGTTGGAAACTAATTTAGAGTTTGGTGTGCATGGCATGTGGTTACTTCTAGTCGAAACAACAGTTTACTTGTTGGTAAAATGTATTATTCCTTGACAAAATTTTCTTTTCCAAATACTTGTGTTTCATTTATTTTTCCTTACAATGGTTGTATGTTTGTTGAAAGTATAAATTTGATTGATTTCAAGTATACACTTGTTTCAGAAGCAAGACTCTAAGGAGGCAGATAATCTGAAGGATGAAATTGCAAAGCTACAAATGAAACAGTCGTATGTCATCTTAATTGTCTGTTATGATTTAAGCATTTCAATTTTATCCAATACAGAGATAATGCTGTTCCTAAAACTAATTATTGTTCAGTTTTTATAGACAGCTGTTGGGTAAGAACTTGATTAGCATGAGCATGAAAGAGCTTCAGCTTCTGGAGCAGCAGCTTAATGAAGGGTTGTTATCTGTAAAGGAGAAGAAGGTTATATGACATTTTGCCCAAGTTCATCAGATCTATTAGGTTAATTAGTTCTTGTTTCTAGTGAAAATTTGTTAACCTAAGAGGCCTTAAAAGGATTCATGCCATTTCAGGAACAATTGCTCATGGAACAACTAGAGCAATCAAGATTACAGGTATATTGGATCCTGCTCTGCGTTCTTTATTTTGTCTAAAAATCCTATTCTTGAACTATGAGGAGGGATGTTACAGTGGTCTCCAATAATAAGATCATATTGAAAATAAAATAGGGATCTTGATAACGAGACACACGGGAATTATGCTTGGTTACACTTGCATGGTGGAGGTGAGGTCTCGGAGAAATTGCAACACATTGGTTATAAACACTTGAAGTAACTCTAAAGTGAGAATAATAAGGATAGTAGTATGAAAATGGTGAGAAATAGCAAGTTCGTGTAAAGTCATTTAATATGTGAAATATCACACCTTGAGAATCTTGAAAAGTTGTACAATCATCTTCTGTTGTGTAACTCTGTCAATGAAGTGGATTATTATCTGTAAACATGATCTAAAAGAAAAAAAAAAAAACCATTAGAGGTAATTAATTCATTATAATTCCTGTTCTCAGGAGCAGCGGGCTATGCTCGAGAATGAAACTTTACGCAGACAGGCAAGTTATATTTTTCTTGATGAAACTGAATATCATTCTTTCTGTTTTGGGTTAAGCATAAGCTATTTTTATTTTTCTCTACCAATACAGGTTGAGGAGCTACGAGGTTTCTTTCCGTTAACTGATCGCCCAGTCCAATCCTATCTGGAATGCTATCCTGTTGAAAGGAAGAATTCTCTTATGAGCCATAGCATTCCCAGTACAGATGTGACCTGTAATTGCACTGTTGAAAAGGGAGATTCAGACACTGCCTTGTATTTGGGGTATGTATTTTCTTATAATTTGGTTAGTTGATGGAAAGGGAGATTCAGGCCTGCAACCAGCATAAGAAATGCTATAACAATGAAGTCAATTCTTCAATGAATTCTACATCTCTGGATAATAGTATATCTCAGTTCTTGTTGTTGGCTTAGTGTTTTTAGATTGGCCTCGCCGGCCAAAATGAAGTTGTTGCCCTTATCTTGCTATCGTAGTCAATCTTTTACTATTTTGTCAGGTCTCATATACTATCTATAATTATCAGGTTGCCAAGTAATCATCACAAGAGAAAGAAACCTGAAAGAGAAACCAATTCCAATGACTCGGAGAGCCAATTGGGGCTGATGTGATTCTTCCCCTCATGGTGTTCGATTTGCCTTTAATGGGGATGACAGAACTGAGACATGGTACAGTTGAGTATAGTTTGGTAGTTTATTAAAGCAACAGTTTTCCAAATCGAAGAAGTCAACACAGTGAAGGTATAGATGTTTCTTTTCAGGAGGAAGACTAAGTTTTCAGGTGATGAATATAGTTTAGTTGTAAGAGTTATTGGAAAAAAGGGTGAGGGTATTCCAAAAAATAGGCTTTCCTTTATTTGTTTTTCTTTTTGTATCACAATGGTCCTATTTTGCTTTCCATTGCAACTTTCTATACTAATTGAATTAGTGAGGTTGCACTTCATGTTTCATTTGGTGGCTGACAGAAAATTTGTTTTTGGCATCCTTTTTCCTTCTGCTTTTTTCAGAATTCTTAATTTTCCTTGGTAACCTGCAACTTTAGCAAGTAAAAGTTGCTGCTTGATAGTTCATGGGTTTTCAAAAAACTCCTGGTTTATTGCAGGCTGAAAGTATTCATTGCATGACATCAATTTATTCGCTGGTCCAAAACCGAGAAACCTAGATTCTATCATCTGTTCTAACATGAAAAAAGTCGACTGCTTGAGCAAGACATGTTGATATCATTCTGCAAGTTACTATTGAAAATATAACAATATTCTTGTTAAAATTTGAATATAGCAAGTTGAAACTGATATAATGATGTGATACAATTCTATTTCCATTAATAATTTGAAGATATAATACTTACAGTTATCATAAAATATGTCTTACAAATGTTGCAATAATCTAAGAAAAAAATTTAGAAGTTTGTGTGTGTGTGTGTGTGTGTTTTTACTATTTACATAAGAAATTGTGGAATTGATGCTATTGCTTGCGTTGTCGAACGACGAGAAGCAGTTCATTTCTGCCTGCCAAAACTTCCGAGAACAGATTATCCACCTGCTTTTCCAAAGCTTCCAGTTGCTTCTCGAAAACACCCAATCTTCTCTCCAAATCTTTGGCTGCATCACTGCTTTTCCCAGAGACTATGGCCGAAGCTAAGGAAGCTGCTGCATTGTTAAGGTCCTTAATGTCTTTCAATAGCTCATCTTTCTCCACTATAACGTCAGAAATACATGAATCTACATCAATCAACAAAGCACTATTGAACCTGTCAATCACTCGTTTGATCTCCAAGTATGGTTTAGCATCTCCAGACAAGCTAGCCAAAGCAACGCCACATACCCAAAATCCAACATTCTTTATTTCCATCAAAGCTTGATTGACTACCCTTTCCTTGCAGGAGGAGAACTTGTCGTCACCATCTTCCATGTTTTCCTGTCCTTTAAAGTCCTTGCTTGAACTTTGCGGTCGAATTGCTTTGAGATGTTTAATTGCCAAAGAAGGTGAATTCTCCAGAAGGTTCAGAGCATGTGCAAACGAAAGCCGAGCGTGGGCCAGATGAGAGAGAGAGGAACTAACAGAATTGAGAAGCTCCAGCAAATGCAAGCCGTAGTTGAGATACTCGTCAAGAGAAGCAACATCCCAGCTGCTCATGGGGTATTCTATATCCACAACTAGCTTTGCAAATGCCCCGTTGATAAGCGGTAGGAGCTCAAAACATTGTTGAATCCATGAAAAAGACAAAATTTCTGATCCGGGTTTCGAATTCAACAACAACTGATTCAGGCAATTCGAAACAACAGATCCAAAAGCCTGTAGAGAAGCTGACAAAACATCTGCTTCTAATTGGTGGTGGTGGTGGTGATTCTCCAGCTTGTAGTATAATTTGGCAAGTCTTTCTTCCAAGAGTACCATTGACAACCTAACACAGAAAAATTTTGTTGATACAGGTGTTTTTGGGTTTTGGTCAGATGTGGTGATCAAATTTGGGTTTTATACGGGAGAAGAAAAGTCAGCAGAGTGTGGTGTAGACCCACTGAAATTTCAAAACCAGGTGACAGATTTGGTGTAGTCAAACGTACTTATCATGTTTATTTTTTTATCGAACACGGTTTTGGACAATTCCTCCATTTGCGGCCGTAATTTGCAAGCAAAGCCTGGGCCCCGGAGGAGGCTTAAACGATTAAGGAAAGTGCCCTACTTGTTAGCTCGTTTTTGTGGTGTTCCAAGTTGCTTCTAAAAGGCGTTTTCACACTCATGTATTTACATATGTTTGGTGGATGATGCATGCAATTAGCTAAAAGTTAGAGAAGTGTAGGTTGTGTCTTGTGGTTGTTAATAATATCCGTTGATTTCATCCGTATTTTTGTCAAAATGACACGTGGAAACAATCGATTTTTTTTTTTTTTTTTGGATTCTTGTTTAAGATTGTGTATATTACTGCAACGCAACTATGCAAGGTGAAAACAACGAAGAAAGCAGATTAGGCAGTCGTCTGGACGAAGCGGTTTTCCAATCACAGCACGAAAACATGATTAAAACTTAAAAGAAGCTTTTTTTTTATCAAGGAGAGATTACGTAAAATTTATCACCAAATTTTAACAAGGCTTAATCTCAATTAAGAAATCTTGCTTATAATAAATAGATAAATTTTGTTTTAAATTTTTTATGGAGAAATTATATTTTTTTTTAATAGAAATTGCAAAAAACCTTCCCACAAAAATATCACTGGTGCATGAATTCCCAATTTCACAAATTTTAAAATCGATTTCCTAAAATTATTCCTTATATTATTATTATTAACAAAAACTTACGCAAAATCACAATATATTGGGCAGAGTTTACAGCCCAGTAGGCTCATATTGACTAACTCAAATTAAATTGACATGGATTAAGTGAAGCCCAATAATGTTGTGTGGGCTGCTATTTAAAGATAAAATAAAAGAAATAAAGGAAGGGCTTAGTAATCTAATCTATTCTCTCATTAAAAACCCATTTAAGTTTGGGGATCCTTTTCTGGCCCATTTTCTGATTATGACTTTGTTAGAAATCAATAACGGCCTGGAATGACGATTGGAACAAGTTTCAATCCTTGCTGAAGCAGCCCTTCTGAACTCGTAACAAAATCAAAAAGGGTTTGATTGGATTTAACAAAATCCAATTATCAGTGTGGACCATTATACAATGGATCTCAATTAAATACAAATTCAATTATTTTAATGACATTTAAAATTTAATAAATTATAGCCTATATTACAATGTTGCCACCCTGAATCCTCATTCTCTCTCAAAGTGAACAGGCCAGGACAGTCATTCTAATCATGTTAGCACATTTCTCAAACATCATTTCTTCGATACTTACATAAGTAAAAAAAAAAAAAAAGTTGTTTGCTTTGAATCGATTTTATTCGTTTCACAGTTTACAGGGGTGATCCAATTCTATGATAAAGAAAATAAAGGAAAAAAAATAATACTCATAATAATAATATTTGGTAGCAAGTGGCAATTGGCAAAAGAAAAACTTGGAGGAGTAGGGCGGCGCTTTTAGTTGTAGAAAATAAGGTCCTACTGTAGAGATTCGGCTTCAACGGCTGCTGGAATTGCATGCAGGCGGGTCCCTATTGCTACTGCCCTAGCGGCTGCTCCCCGGTTGCCATTTCTTCTGCATATTATATATATATATATATATATATATATATATATATATAGAGAGAGAGAGAGAGAGAGAGAGAGGTTTCACCTCACTGTGATTGATGAAGCAAAAGAACATTAAGTAATTGCAATTAAGTACTTGTAGCAATAGATTATTCTAATAGGAATAAAAACTTAATTCAAATAAATCATGTGAAGATTTAATCCCATCATGCTACTCTTCCATGTTTATTGATTGACCAAAATTTCTCTAATTACCCTCACATCCTTAGCACGGTTGGATGTTGCCTAAGAATCATGCCATATTTAAATATTTGGAAGAGATTATTTTGTTGCAAAAAAAAAAAGAATTTAACTGAAACCAAGCTTAGCTAGCTGCCTCGCTGGTTGTTGAAAACTTATTCATTTTAAGCAATTATTCTTCACAATTTTAAATAAACACAACCACGTTTGGATCTAAACCTATCAGCACTAGCTTTTTCTTTCATTCTGTCATTGTTTTTTTCCCACAGAAAGTAAGAGAAAACTCAATGGAGAAAAACTCTGTTCTCCTTCTTGCTTTCTTCCTCATTCTTTCACCTTTGGTAGCTCCAAGTCAAGGCAAGAAGCAAACACAAGCTCTTGGCTATCTTTACAAGAGCAAGATGAAGGGAAGTTCTGGCATTAATAAGAGTCTTTTCAAGGCAGTTGACCACATCAACAAGACCAGGGTTCATCCACAGGAGGGAATGAAAGAGAAAGATAGAATTGAAAAGTTGCCTGGACAACCTCATGTCCAATTTTCACAGTATGGTGGCTATGTAACAGTTGATATATCAGCAGGTCGTGCGCTTTTTTACTATTTCGTTGAGGCTCAGCAGCATTCCAGGGAGTCTTTGCCTCTTCTTCTTTGGCTTAACGGAGGTACTTGAATGGATCTCCTTCTCCATTTACTTTGTTAAGTGCCAAAAAAAAACAAACTTCATTGATTCAAAACGTTCTCCGATCCCTTGTTGACTTTCTTCTTTTATCTTTGATGCATTCTGGTTTTTGTGGTTGTGATAAAGATATCCTACAAATCTCAGGAATCTTATCTGAACATTTTCATGTCTCCATTATTGCTCAAGTAGTTTCTTGGCTACTCTGTGTCACTCTCTTTCTTTCGTATATCCCCTATAATGAGGCCACATTTCTTCTGGTGGAGCTAATTATTAATAAGGTACTACCATTTAATCATGACAATATATAAATAATTTTTTAATATGTGAAAATTTTAAAAAAATGCATGGTTCCTAATATAACAATAATTATTATAAATTTTTAATAGCAAGTTGTAATAGATGCATGTTGTATCTGCTTCTTCTTGCTCTGTTAATTACCACGTTTTGCGGGGATGACAGTGATTGCAATCCCAGAATTCACTCATGAGGAGGATTTCTCAGCATGCATGTTGTACCAATTTAATCTTTTAAAATATAGAAATTGATAGTGTGAAACCGTTATTCCATGTCAGTATATATATTTTTCATTTAAATGGAAGTGATTATATGAAATGATTTAAATAAAAGTGATATAAGTTGACATAAAGTAGCAATTTCGTATAATCCTTTCTTCTAATATAAGAGGCTTATAGAACTATAAATTATTACTTAACCCATTTTTTTTATTATAACCATTCTGTTTCCTGGAATCCCTAAGTTGGCTGAAAGAGTGATGTCAAGTTCTACTATGAATAAATTAGTGGGTTTTACTATTCTAGTTTCTCTTTTGTTCATTAACTCTAAATGATCACTTTTCACGTAATTGAGACTTGCTATCAGGAGTCTGGCATTTTACGAAAGAATAAAATAGTTTCAGTTTGACTGTCACAGTGAAAGAGTAATTTGATGGTATGAGTTTGTTTATAATTGTGATCAGGCCCCGGCTGTTCATCTCTAGCCTATGGAGCAATGGAAGAGCTTGGACCCTTTAGAGTTCATAGCAATGGAAAAACACTTTACAGAAATAGATACTCATGGAACTATGGTACAATACCTTTTAATCATAGCAGTTTTTTCATTCTTTCAGGCGTATATAGCTTCTTTTTTAAATTGATTTTTTTAAAAAATATTTCCAGCTGCAAATGTTTTGTTTCTCGAGTCGCCTGCTGGGGTAGGATTTTCATACTCCAACACAACATCAGATTATGATGAGAGTGGTGATAGTAAAACAGCTGCTGATAATTATGTGTTCTTGTTAAATTGGTTGGAGAGGTTTCCTGAATACAAAGGCAGGGATTTTTATATCGCTGGTGAAAGCTATGCCGGGCATTATGTCCCTCAACTTGCACATACCATTCTCCAACACAACGTGAAGGCTAACAAGACGCTTATCAATCTCAAAGGAATTATAGTATCTCTCTCTCTCTCTCTGCCTGTCTATTTTCTTTCTCTTTCAATCAATAATTGAAAACTTAAGAAGTATGTGACACATGATTTGAATTTAGAGTTGATGTCATTTTTGCTTCTTTTTTCGGACATGAAGAAATGATTGAAACCTAGAAATTAAGCTATGTGGGCTAGCCTTTCATTTTCGCTTTTAAATTTTTAGTATCATGTTTTTTTTTATTAAGATTTAAAATTATGAGATATAAAATTTAATTTATTATTGTTATTATAGTGTTTAACATAAATTTTAATTGATCACCTTCTATTTTGTTTTTTATTTTATTTTTCTTTAACCTCTTTATAAAAATTGCAGATTGGGAATGCTGTGATCAATGATGAAACTGATGTTAAAGGAATGTATGACTACTTTGAGAGCCATGCTCTCATTTCAGACGAAACTGCATACAGGATTCAAAAATACTGTAATTTTGCATCAGAGAATAACTCAGAGTCCAGTATTGAGTGCAATGCCGCCACTGATGAGGCAAACAGGGATGTCAACAACATTGATATTTACAATATCTATGCCCCCTTATGCCACAATTCCAATCTCACAGTCCGGCCCAAGGAGCCTTCTGTAAGTTGACCCAACTCACACAACGGTTGAACATTCTTTTGCAGTCTCACTAGGTTAGTCTAGTTTTTGAGTAGCTATTGTTTATATGTGGGCTAACTCCAAATTTAAGACATTTAAATCTTGGTTTAAGCACAATTTATCGTTCGAAAGTGCATCTCTATGTTTATATTAATTTAACTCAATACAAGTACACAGCATATCTTGGGTTTGGCCACCTGTTTTGGGTTGGCAGTCCTACAAGTACAAGGTCAGGATTCTAACATCCAATCCTGTGAAAGTCAAGGGGGGTTATTTCTTAAACAATTTCTCGTTCTTTGATATGCCCTTAAAATAATCTTATTAACTTTTGCGGTTGGTGTAGGTGATGAATTTTGATCCATGCAGCGATTATTACGTATATGCATATCTAAACAGGGCTGATGTTCAAGAGGCCATCCATGCCAATGTAACAATACTTGACCATGATTGGCAACCCTGCAGCGACATCATCAGAAAATGGAGAGATAGCCCTTCAACAATTATTCCCCTTCTACGGGAGTTAATGGTTAACAGAATCAGAGTGTGGGTTTTTAGGTAATAAAAACATTGCCGTGATCAATTTTTATACATATCATCATCGCCTTGTTTAGTGGGTGAAATCATGGGAACAGGGCAGCACCCCAAAACTTTTCTTACATAGTATCAACCCTTGTGGTCTTTGACTAATAGTTGGACCACATAGCAGAAATTCACTCTTTACCATCTCTAATGGTGGTATAAAATCTTCATATAACAACGCAAGATAAAAAATTTCTTTATTGGATGGAGTGCAGCGGTGATACGGATGGAAGGATACCAATTACTTCAACCAAGTACTCTATTAATAAGATGAAGCTTCCAGTTAAAACTAAGTGGCATCCTTGGTACCTTGACGGAGAGGTAAATTTTATCTCTCGTCCTGTTTGCCATAATTCAGCTCTTGTTCCTGTTCATGTGAACTAATTAATTCGTTTCAGTTTTTTAAAAAGTCCCAAACCATGCGAGAAATTTATTGACACTTGCATTTGCCTTTGGTACTATTCATGTGGCAGGTTGGTGGTCATACCCAGGTATATAAGGGAGATTTAACATTTGCTACTGTAAGAGAAGCGGGGCACCAAGTGCCAAGCTTCCAACCAAATAGGGCACTTTCACTGATCACCCACTTTCTTGCTGGCACGCCTCTCCCTGATACCTCAAAACACATCTGATTTCCTCTCAACAATTCAGATGTCTTTCATTGTTTCATCAAGTATCTTGATTAGGTTTCAGGAAATTTGTTTATAACATCCCAAATGCTATTTTGTCAGTAAAGGTATTGAACTCGAGAAAAATAAATAAATACACAACTAGTCATTCTAAATTATTCATTGAAATGCGGTTAGTTTTTGGCTTAAACGATCAACTTATTAAATAAATGCTCAGTTCAAGGCTAAAGTTTAGTATTTTAAAATTGGTGATTGCATCTGTAATATACGCAAGAGAAGCAACATATTTCAGAGCAGGGCAAACTCAGAATTTAAAATATTTTGGTGAGCTGGAAACCAATCTCGGGAAACAACACAAGCTTTGGACATGATTCAATTTGCAGTTTTTTCAGAGATGTGATGTGAGGCCATGCATCCGAAGCAGGGTTTCTCCAGGTTACCACAATTAAACCATTTGGTATCTATAAGTTGAAAGAAAAGACTGATTATTGTGAATGATACAAATTGAGACTGCCCCTTTGTTTTCAGATGCTGCAAAGAAGTAGTAATATCCCCATAACCCTGAAGTACTACCACAGTGTCCTAATAAAGTCTGACAAGGACTGATCATAATTTTTAACTGAGAAACCTGTAAAGAGATAAGAGAAGACCAGTCTTTTACTTATCAATGATGGATTCTTTCATCAATCAAAGCCATATATAATCAAGGAACAGACAGACGAAACTCTTTTTTCCAACTGCTGCAATGACTTTAAAGGGGCCTACATGGAGCTTCAGGACGGCATCCTCTGTAAAGTTAAATCATACTACCCGATTTAAAAAAAAAAAAAAAGACAACTTAACAATTGGTACACAATAACAAGTCAAAATTGAGTGGTGATATTGATCCAATTTAGTCAAAGGTCTCCTTGACCAGCATAAAATACAATACACTCTGTGGTTCACATATCTAAACATAATCCTCGTATATATACAAACATTAGCTGTAAGTCTCCAGTCAATATGGGGTCAATCTTCAATTATAACCAGACATGATACACACATTAATTAAGATGCACAACAAAGTTCAACTCATCATAGCCACAACTAGAGCCCCAACCGCATTTGGGAAGGAAACATTGTTGACTTTTCTCCGCAACAGATCCAAAACTAAAACGCGTACGCATCAGCAGTATAGTTTTGTCCTTAGTACGCTATCAATGGCTTAAACAATGAGCAAGATCACAACCTGCGGTCAATGACAGATGAGTCATGGAATGTAATTCAATCTTTAAGAATGTTATCCACAAAGCTCCCCACTATAGAGGAATTAAATGTATTGCAAGTACTCTCCTAGTAGAAAGATCAATGCTTAACTCACTAATAAGCATATTGAGTTCATAGAGAATACCTCAATTCCAGTAGAAAATTTTAGAAAATCCATGGAACTAGTTAGCTTTGTTTCCAGGATGTATCTGCATAACAAAGTCAATAAAAATAAATACATTTTGTCTGAAACAAGATAGAATAAGCTTACTTTATTACGTTTCTATCTTTTGTTGGGTCAATCTGTGCGTGAACTGAAATGAAATTACCGTTGAAATCCAAAAGAATATATTTACCTCAGTTGACTGTACTGATGGCCGGAACATTTTTCAGTGTAACATACTTCTTATCCATCTACAAAGCAAGAGAGAAAGTACATCATTGTTTATAAGATTTTCCACAAGCTGATCTGCCAAAGCCCACTAAATATCTGTTGCTTTAATCTCAACACAGGGGATCCGGGATATGAAGTGCCAATATTCTCCTTTATCTCTTGAACATTGGTTTTCTAGAAGTGAACAGTTCCTGATACAAAGTCTTCCAAGTGTTTCAGGCAACCCTTCCCTTGGCAAGCGTCGAAGCTTAGGACACTCAACAACCTCTAGCTCTTCAAGCGAGGACAAATTTTGAAGCCCCACGGACAGGGATTCTAGATTATGGAGTCTTGCAATATATATTGAAACTATAGTTGTAGGAAGCAGACACTTCTCATCTGGAAAGGAAACCATCTCTGGTCCACCGGCAATGCTGAAGTCTCTGAGAGAGGTTAACGCATGCAAGTTCCATTTTGACACTGGTTCCTTGAGTTCTTTACAATCCCAGATCTCGAGTGATAATAAGTTAGGAGGCAAGCCCCCTCTAGGAAAAGAAACAAGACATGGACAGTCACAAATTGTTAAATATTGAAGAGAAGTGAGATTTAGCATCTGATCGGGTAGAGACTTGAGATTGGCACAAGTGCCGATATCCAACTTTCTCAGGTTGGGGAGGGGCAAACCTATCTCTGGGAAGTATTTCAGATCTTGACAATTGCTTATATTTAATTCTACCAGACACGAGAGGTTGTGAAGAGACTCTGGCAAGCATATTAGAGTTGACCAGTTCCAGATACCAATGCATTCAAGGGATGCGTTATTGGGCAGAATTCTATCTGGAAGGGGCTCCAGCTGCAAGCAATCCCAAATCTTAAGCATTTTAAGGCTAGTTGGTAATTTGCCTTCAGGAAAGTAAACGAGAGATGGGCAATCAATGATCTCCAAATTCTCAAGATAAGATGTAATTTTGTTGTTATCAACCTGCATCAGTCCCTCAGGTAGAGAACGTAGGACAAAGCAACCTTGAATTTTTAAACTTTTCAATGTAGAAGGTAAACTCCCTCTTGGAAAGCATGTGAGAGAAGGACATTCTTCAATTTCCAAGTCTTCAAGAAGACAGCTGGTAAATTCACAATGCCTCATTATCCAATTGGGCAGGTCCTTAAGCACCGGACAATCTTTGAGCCGGAGATGCCTGAGTGTGGACAAGAAACCTGTCTCTGAAAAGGATACAAGCTTTGGGCATGAGTCAATATGCAAATGCTCAAGAGACGTGAACCAATTCTGCCACAAGGATGTCAATCTGGTGCAACTGGAAAGGACAAGGTGCTTAAGTGCTCCTGGAAACTGTTCAAAGCCATCTGGAAGACAGGTAAGGTCGGATAGACTCCTGATTCTCAATATAGTTAGAGAGGCAAGGTCAACCATGCTCCTTGAGAGCATTTTATTGCAATCTTCAATATTTAGCTCAAGAAGAGATGGGAGGCTCATAACTGAATAAGCCACATTCGGGCATCCTTTGATTGTAAGCTTCACCAGAGAAGGCAGGTATCTGGGTAATTTCTGATACAACTTGGGACAATTATGAATCATAAGCTCACGCAGACTAGGGAATTCTCCATCTTCTTTATTAGCTTTGTTAGGACAATACCAATATCTCCAATTCAACATATTCTGAAACTGTAGAACTTCCAAAACCGGAAAAGGCTTAAAGAAAGGTAAACTATCTCCAAAAAACTCAAGATCCAATTTTTTGATTCCATTCATGCCTTCAATGGACAATTTCTTGAGTGAGGGCAGTCTCCCAAGTGCTGGAAGGGACATAATGTTTCTACACTTAGAGAGGCTTATATCCACGATATTAGCCCATGAGGAACCACCTAACCAAGAAGGAAATGTTGTACCACCATAAAACACGATTCTAATTGTTTTAAGATTTCCATGAGGCTGTAGCATGTTGAAAACAGGCATCCCATCTTCACCATTTCCATGATCAAGGAATTCCAGACTCCATTGCAAATCTAACCTGTCAAGCTCCTTCTTATCCTTCAGAATGTAACCCCTAGCATCTCGAGTATCAACTACATTTTCCAGCCCAAGAATGGAAAGCTCCTTTCGCAAATGTAACAAGCCCTTCAATTCTCTGATGTCAGGCCCCCCATCACTTTGCACAATGAATTGGGACAAAATCTGTAGATTTTTCAGATTACCTATATGCTTCGGCATCTCTTTCAAGCTATCAGTATCAGTGAGATCAAGAACATGAAGATTAATCAGATTCTCAATAGCTTGAGGCAATGTAATAAGGTTCTTGCACCCATTCAGTATCAATGTCTGTAAGTTGAAAAGAGAACCCATAGAATCAGGCAATGATTTGATTATGGTGCGAGATAAATTAAGGTACCGCAAATGTATCAAATCACCAATGTGATGCGGTAGCTCATCAATGCAATAACCACTCAGAGACAACACTCTTAAGCATTTTAACCTTGGCAGCAACTCTTGTAAGATATTGTTACTTAAAAAGGAATTTGCTGCCCAGGGCAATGTATGAATGGGTAAAGCTAAGAAAGTTCTTAAACTTTTCATGTGATGCAAGATTTCAAATCTTTTTGAAACGTCATATTGGTGACGAAGGAATGAAAAATGACGAAACTTTTCAACTCTTGCATATAATTTGTCTCCATCCAAATTGAAGCATGTTTCTCTGGAAACGGATTGAGCTAGGTCATCCAAATTGAAGCATGTTTCTCTGGAAACGGATTGAGCTAGGTCATTTATGAGGTCATGCATCACATACCTCATTTTGTTACAAGTTGACTGTTGGAAAAAAGATCTCGCCCGTAAATCATGAAAATATTCAACTCCTATGTCCTTCATTTGCTTCTTTCCTTTTGTATGGTGCAAGAAGCCCTCTGCCATCCACAATAGAACCAACTCATCCTCATCAAATTCATAATCCTTTGGAAATATAGCACAATAAGAAAAACACCGCTTCAGATGGAAAGGAAGGTGATGGTAGCTTAATCTCAGAGCTGGAAGCACTCCGCTTTTGTCTTCTGGCAAATCCCACATCTTGGTCTTCAATATGTCTTCCCACTCATCACGGTTCCATTTAGTACGCAGGAGTCCTCCGAGGGTCTTAGCAGCCAATGGCAAGCCTTTGCACTTCCTCACTATTTCCTCACCTATAACTTTTAGGTCTGGGTGTTCTTCAAAACCTAAAGTCCCAAGAGCATGCCGAGTGAACAACGAGAGGCAATCATGGTTTGTCAATTCCTTCAAAGGATAAGTCCCACAATTAGACATGATGGAAGCAACACCTTCATTTCGAGTTGTCACAAGTATTTTACTTCCAGCTGCCCCTGCAATGAAGGGCCTACTAAGAATTTCCCACTGCTCATAGTTCTCATTCCAAACATCATCTAAAACAACAAAAAATTTCTTCCCAAACAGCTTCTCCTTTAGGGTTACTTGGAGCAAATTGAAATCCTTAAAATTGCAACTCTCCAAAGTAAGAGCCTGAAGCACTGTGCTCGTCACCCTAACAACATCAAATTCCTCAGAAACACTAACCCACACTCTCAGATCAAAAAATCTTTCAACTTTGACATCATTGTACACTAACTGAGCGAGAGTGGTTTTACCCACTCCTCCCATTCCCACAATGGAAATCACACCAATATCACCAATGCCCTCGTCACTATCGTTCATCAGCAAATCAAGAATGGCCTCTCTATCTCTTTCCCTGCCATAGACACGAGACTCATCAACAAGAGAACTGCTTCGTAGTCTCTCTCTTATTATTTCATATCTCCTTCTATCATTTTCAACTAAGCTCAAATCATTCTTTAATCCAACAGCCTCTTCTAGTCTAGCAGTAACCATCTTTATTTTGGATTCCATTTTGGTGCTAAACTTAACGGTTGAAGGATTAAAACTGAGGCAGCAAGTTGAAATATATCTCCTTACCTTGCGGGTGGACGAAGAGGCCCCCGGATGCTCCTTCATTTTGCGGCGCCGAGCTTCAGTGGCTAGCTCATCGATGATATCTTCAGCATCATATGCAATGTCTCTTAAATTCGTGAGCCACGACTTCACTAATTCGCTTGTGATTTGCTTTTCTTCTGCATCTTCGATGGAAGCATTGATATTGAGCAGCATCTTTTCCCACTTCTTGAGTTCGGAAAAAATTTTCTCTTTGCGAGCAAATTTGACAAAGCGGGCGGAAGAGGTCAAGTCCAACAGCGAACGAAACAAAGAAGAGAAGACCGCTTCACCGAGAGAAGACGCTATAGCTTCCATCCCAAAGGGCAGGACAAATATTGAAACCGAACCCAAACTCAAAACACAAGACTGGAAGCTTGAAGAATGAAGATGGTCCTTTTTTGGCAACGAAACTGTTACCATTTTTAGATTTGTATTGAATCCATTTTCCTTAAAAAAAAAGTAGATCTTTAATATTTGTTAATTTCAATCTGGCGATACTTTTTTTTTCCTGTTCTTTTTGTTTTTTTTAGGTAAAAAAACAGGAATAAATTAATTATAATAATATAGTACGGATACATAGCATGTCTAGTTTTACCGATGATGACTAAATCTTTAATAAAGGAATGAGATCCACTAAACATCATATAATTGGTTTGGTAATGACTAAAATTATTACAATAATTACTACTACTACTAAATCGAATAAAGGCGTCAGCACATCTGTTTCCTTCGTTAAACATGTGAAGTATGCGTTGATCTTTAAAATTTTTTATCAATTTCTTGCAATTAGAGATCAGAGGGAGTATCATGAGATTAGTCATCTGATGATTCTTAATCATAGAAATAACAGTGATAGCATTGAGTTCAATTTTCAACTTGTGAATATTAAATCTTTTCGTCAAAAATAATCCATCTCTGAGAGCCCACAATTCAGCCAAAATATTTGAACACATCCTAACATATCTAGAGGAATTAAAAATTTATTTTTTCTCATTGTCTCAAATAATGGCTCCAGCTCCAACTTTTACTTTTTCAGGGTTGTCCAATGTCGAGCCATTTGTGTTCAATTTATACCATCCCTCATTGGGAGGGTTCCACCTAATAGACACAGAGGATTGTAACGGAGCGCGAACTCCTTTCTGGTTCATCATAAAAAATTCAGCAGCATTCGCAGTCGTCAATTTCACCAAGTCAGTAATCTCACCATTCTGTCTAAAATTTCTTCTATTCCTTCCAAGCCAAATCTCTTATAGAATATGGATAAATTACAGGTAGCAAGGGATACCACGCATGGATCAGTGCTTGTTTAAAGCATTTTTTTTTTTATCCATTGTCTACAGTCCAATGCATTTTTATTGTTTTTTATTTTTTTATTTAATTATTTATTATTACTATTATTATTTATTAATATACATATATATTTATTTATCTATTAACATATATTATTATTTATCTATTAATATATATATGTTTATTATTATTATTTATCTATTAATATTTTTTATTTATCTAATTATTTTCTTTTAATTATCTATTAATATTTTATTTTTTATTTTTTTTTATTTTATTTTTATTCTTCTTCGGCTATGATTAGGATAAATATTTAGAATTCTACCGTAAATTTGAGATTCAATCAGAGCCCATATTGGATTCAAAGATTGAATCCCAATCCAAAAAGAAATTGGGATTGATCAGAAACTCTTCTAATCAATCCCTATAAATAGATACTGGAACAAACACAAAAAACACACACATAGAGGAAATAGAAGCTAAAAAAAGATTTTGATGCATTAGAACAGCTTTAGGAATTAGTGAGAATTTTTTTTGAATTTTTTGGCCTTTTTTTCTGAAAAATTTCTGAAAATTTTTCAGAATCTGGTGAAATTTTTCGACGAATTTTGAATTTTTTGACGAGTTTTTTGGCCATATTTGAATATTCTGGTGACTTTTTCTAGATTTTGGTAGAAATTCAACCGAAATCTGGGATTGTTTAGAGAAAGAGGAAGAAAAAAAATAAGAGAAGAGAGAGAGAAAAAGAAGCGGTCTGCTGAAAAATAGAAGTTAGAGCCTTTTATACTTGCTGAAAACGATATCGTTTTGACGTTACTATTCTCAGAGGATTTGCGCGTTTTGAAATCGAGCGATCCGTCCCGAGCGCCAACCCGCGTTTGATTCGAGTGTGACCCGAGTGCTAGTTGACCCCTGGAGTCGAGCTGAGCCAACGTCCCCGAGACGCGCCTTCGAGCCGCCCTTTCTATCTTGAGCCGAACCGAGCCATATAAAAGATTTTTATTTATTTATTTTTTATTATTATTATTTGTTGATTAGATTATAATTATTTAGTATTTCTTATTTTGTTTTATTTTTATTTTTATCTTATTTTATTTTTTGATTTTCTTTAAATAAAATTTCAAAAAAAAATATTGTTGAGGAAAAGTTGAAAGTATCAATTTTCTTCGAAATTAAACTTTCAGAAAAATATTTTAGGAAAAAGTTGAAAGCATCAATTTTTCTTGTACAAAAGCAATGAAATTTTGAGGAGAGAAAGATTTATATCTAAAGCTGAATCATTATTATTATTATTTTTTTATTTTAATTTTTTTTTTGAATTTTTTTAATGTTAAATAATCCGACGATAGAGCCTCTGCAAGTGAAACAATAGTCTCCTTGTATACTCTTGAAGTGAGAGAATTTTTTCAATTTTTTGCTAAAAGTATTAGAGTCAATTGAAAATAATTTTCGATAATTAATCACTTGGTAAATTTTTAAGGCTTATTGAATAACACAAAATTAAGCTGGTACCATCTTTCGATAAGCGTTATGAGGGTGTTATAACCTTCCTCACACGTAACCGAACTTTCGAATCTTGTTCTGGTTAGTAGACCTGAACCTATTCTTTTAGAGATCCTTAAGCTTAGGTGTTCTTTAAAATGATAGATTCTTTAGGTAATCAATCGCACCTAGATAAAAAAGATTGGTGACGACTCCTTAAGTCAATGTCTAGCGATGGATCCCCGAATCTAAATGTTATGACACTAGGTATTTTTATTTTTAATTATTTATTATTTTTATTTCTTAATATATGAAATAAAAAAATAAACATATAAAATGATTAAAATATTATTTTTTAAAATATAAAAATATATGAATGTAAAGTTTTCATGCAAAATATTTAAATAACAACAATATCGTTACAAAAATTAAATATAAATAACAAAAAAAAATGATTATTATTTTATATGACAATGAAGTTTTAAAATTTACAAGTGAAATTGTAGCATTAATGTATATCTATTAAGATATATTTTAAAAAATAAGTTATTTAATTATTAAATAAACATATATAACAATAATCTAATTTCAATTGTAAAGTGTAAAAACTTCACCGTCAATCTAAAATAATAATCCAAAATGAAATTTTCATTATAAAGACATCTTTTTACAAAATGTTGTGAAAAGTTTTCATATTTCAAAAACCATCATTAGTACATCAAATCAAATGTATTTTTTCAAAAAAAAAAATATATATATATATATATATATAATTTGTAACCAAACAATTATTCGATAAACTATCTTTTATTTGTTTAAGTAACAAATTTTTTAATTTTTTCATAACTGAAAGTTCTCCTATTCAAGTTTTACATGTGTAGATTTGATCAAACTAAATGTTTGTTAGTTGTTTGGTTGATTTAATCTATTTGATATAATTCATTGACTTTTCATATGTAATACTTGAATATGATTTAAATTTCTCTTATATTCATAAAAAAATTATTTTTTATAATTACAATCACAATTGATAAAATTTAAACTAGTTTTAATATTAAAAAAAAAAAAAAAACTAGTGCATAAAATAACACTAATATTTTCCTTTTCTTAACTACACTTTACATTTTTTTTTTGTCAAATTGTGATATCTATTTTTCACTAATTACATATTAACCCCAAATTATTTTTATATTATATTGATTCTTAAATTTTTATTTTAATAAAGTCAATTTATCTCAAAATTTAATTTTAATAGAATTAATTTATGATTTATTCTATATTATTATATATTATAAGAGGAATTAAAATTTTCAATAACATCAAATGACCCCACTTTTATAAGATGGGTGCACCACTAGCAGTGGACGACAATATATATACGTAGAAAAGTTTAAGTGGAGGTGTTGGTCACTGCTGCTATTATTTATAAGCTGAATACAACATTCTCATAATTACATAAGTCAAATCGTTCGATTAATTACCACGTATGAAAAAAAGGAATCAAAATTACTTCCAAATTAAGTAGATGATGATGGTGATACGTAACAATCTCCACCTACTGTTTGATATTTAATTTCTTCATGAAATTGATGATAACGTCTGCCTTCAGCTTCCATCATTCTGTTTGGCTCTTTACTCAACCACGTCAAGGATTAGGAGAAGCCAAAAGGTAGAGAAAAAGAATGATTATAAAGGCTCACCAGACATTTAAATTAACTCATAAGAAACGAATAAAGTAAATACATAAAATAAAAAGCATATGGAACAATTTCTTTAATTATTCTCTGGGTATGGAACGATTTTATTCTTTCTTCGCTTATAAGATTTCTTCAAAGTAAAGTTTTAAGCAATGCATAAATATATAGTCATTTTTCCAATATCACACACAACTCTTTCCACTTTTCAGGACTCGACATTATCCTCATCAGTAACCAACCGGAGTAAGCCAACCTAACTCATCAAAGAACAAAGAAAAGCAGCAAAGAAACATCCAAAGGCAATTTTAGGGCCCGGGGGTATTAAAAAAAAGTTACTAATTCATTACAACTTGATTTATATGTGTGGATGATAAATTTATTATGACATGATTTGACATTCATCTTAAAAAAATTATTATTGAAGTTTTAAAGATTGAAGATCAGTTTATATGAAGCGTGAAGACACACAAAAAAAGATGATTGTGAGACTTTTATTGCAGGTGAAATCAAGCATGTCTAGCATGAAGACAGATGATTAATGAAATTTGAGTCAAAGTTGAGATTATTGAGAATAATGACTCAAATTTCATGAGAGATTTGTTTGGGATTTGTCAGATATTACTTAATGGATAAGAAGACTTGCAAAAGAAGAATTCTAAGAGAAAGAGGATTATTAATAGATAAGTTTGACTTGCAAGAGAAGAATTCTAAAAGAAAAAAAATTCTTAATAGGTAAGTTTGATTTACAGGAGAAGAATTCTAAGATGAGAAGGATTTTTAATGGACAAGTTTGTATGGTTATAAATAGATGAAGTCTCTACAATGATAGGTATGAGAAAAAGATGTAAGAGAGTTGTAGGGTTTTATAGGATAGACACATCATAGGAGTATTGTGGCTCTACGTCTTATGGATGTGCATGTTTGTTTGTGAGTGGACTAGAGGAGACTGAGAATGTCACATAGGTATGAT